TTGATAGGTTTGAGCCTCTTCTATCAGGGCTCTTTCTTCTATTGAGTCTCTTTCATCGAGTCTCTTCCATTCTCTCCCGTCTTTCTCTTTCTCTTTCTTCTCTTTCTTCTTCTTCTTCTTCTTCTTCTTCCTCTTCCTCTTCTTCCTCCTCCTCTTCCTCCTCTTCTTCTTCTTCACGCGCAATCCACAATCCACCTGGAATTGTGATCGGCATATCCAACCTACATGCCGTACTCCAGCGTAGAAACAAAATTTCATCAAAGCACGATCTGATGCCAAGCGTATGGAGCAGCTAACTAGTTGTTAGTGAAATAAGTGAAGATTTCGGCAAGAATGCCCTTCATCCACGGATCGAGAGACCCTCGGCTCGTGCGTGCTCCCAATGCGACGGGGCTTTACCATCTGGCAGGTGGGCGGCAACATTGATTGTGTCCATTCTATTTGTGTTGTCAACCTTGTCAACCGCATCATCACTATTCGCAGTAACTATCCAGCATTCCCCAAAAGGCCGTGCTCGTAACCCCAGCCGAACTAATAAGGGTTCGTGCACACACGCTGTTCATTTCACCTTGCATCGTTCTAAGCGTTTTTCGATGCTTGTCTCTCCACTATCTTGTTGAAGGACGAACAGTATTCGCTGGCGAGACGTTGCTGCGGCTTTGTACCCAGTACGCCAACTCAGACTAGGAACCTAATACACAACAAGTATTGCTTGTATCTACTTTCAGAAGCCTCGGCAGCCGTTACCCGGTGGCAAGGACCTTCAGCTTCCCATCCTTCCCATCCCAGCACTGCCGTTTACCAAGTTAGCCAGTACAAGTGAAGATGAATGACGCTGGCCGCCAGGAACCACCAGGGATTAGGCTCTTCTATCACTTTTTTCGCCTCGTGAGGCGCCACAGCTGGCAAACTAGTACCCACAAAGTTCAAACTCTATTTTCCAATAGGTTCACAGGCAAACAGACAAGGGTGCTCGTAACTAACTAGATGGCTAGTTCACAGTGAGTTACTAGTTGGTCAGTAACTGTTTGCCTGGGTAGATTCCCGGCACCATGGCTTGGGCAACCCCGTACCAGTAACTAACTAGACAGAAACTCTCTTTTTTGTCATTCACCATACCGACTCTCCGTCTCACCAACCCACGCGCCTTAAACTCTAGCTGCCGGGCGAATTATACCATTCAGGAAACCGCTCCTGTGGAGCCAAACTGGTTAGCCAAGTTAGTTGGACAAGGGAGCTGGATGCACTGTGAAACTCGACTCGCTTCAAGCCCTATGATGACGAATGCAATCTAATTATAACCCCCACGAACCCAGGATCATCACTTGTCATCTACTTGCTGCAGAGTTATCGTTCGTCCGAGGGTAAGAATCCTGGATAATCGTCGTTGCCTCGGGCGTTTACCGAGACGCGATCGGCATGATTTCTCTCTTTCCTCGCCCTCGCCCACGAACCGTGTAGTCCCGACGAAGGGCATCATCGTCTGCCGTGTCTGGTTATACTTTGACGCTGCATATGCGCACGTCTCAGCCGCTGGCCCCAATTTGGGGCTGTTGTGGCGCGTGCTGTCAAATCTCTTCCCCCCCCCCCGCCCTTCAGCAGCCGAAGGTGACGGACACCCTACCCTGTGGCTGTGCGCAACGCACATGTGCTGCTCTACTTGCTTCCATTACGAAGTATAATAGCATCGTCGAGGCTTGCCCAGCTGGGTTGAGGCCGGTGAAGTGGCAGATTAGCCGTGCCCATGAAATAGACTTTTTAAAAGTCAGTTCATGAGACGGTGAACCTCGCTTACAACGGTAAGGGCGTCCAGCCAAGTGTTTTGAAGATGTCTCTTACCTAGAGTTTGTAGGAATCCGGTCCATGCCGACTTCTGGAGTGAACCCGGCACTGGTAATCCCGTCAAGCCACAGCGTAGTATGGCGTTGGAATACGATATAAATACATCAAAACCAGGAATAACCTCTGAGTTTGGACCATAGTACGGGGAAGTCTTCTAACAGGGCAACGAGACCTGCGTTATTATCGCTCCTTCGCCTTGGCAATTGTGGCGTGATGAGGCTCAAATTTACTACTTGGACAACGGCAGTTCACAACCTTGGCATTGCATTATTGTACTTCGTATTGGAATATCACTTTTAACTCTTCCTGCAAATTTGTTAATTACCGGATTTACTTGCCACAGCATGCATCTCGTTGCACGGATGCCGGTCCCAATGGCGGAAATAGGCTTTCGCTCTGCGTCAGATATTGGCCCTGGTATGTGCCAAGCCAGGAATGCCACAACCGTTGATAACTCGTTTGTTAATTCAATAAATCGGGTTTTAATGTCAAGTTATATACAACAGGCTTCTGGGAGCCATTGGTCAAGTGAGCCTGGGAAGCCCAGGCTCATCAGCGCCCGGCCAGCTGACGGGTTGGCATGAGACAGTATATCGAGGACACGGGCGAGCTATCAAACTCTATATCGCAGTAGCCCTCGCTTGAAGCCACGCAGCCTACGCGTCTACCTTGCAGTCGGTCGGTTTGCCGTTGCCTCAGCCACGTCTGTGGTTGCGTCCAAGGACCCTTGATCGTATGAGCGGACAACTTACTGAACTGACTTGGGTTCACGGCAGATGTACCTTACAACGGGACCATTTTTATACTTTGGCTAATGTTTCTTATTGAGCGGGCGACCCCTTCGGTCCATGCCAACAGTGAGTGAGCCCAGACCCTCAGCTTTCTTGCAACCCCAAGCTTGGCAATAGATAGACTCTACTCTAAGCGCCCTGCCTACAACTAATAAGTTAAACTCGTTGGCCAACTTGCCACAATTGTCGAAAAGAAAGTATCGAGAGTCATGTGAGGAGGATTGAAACACTACGCCGCACTTTTTTTCCATCATCGGGGGGTTTTTTTTTTCTTTCTTTGGTTTTGTCTTTGATCTCATGACCAAGTAAAGGCGCCGGCCATTTCAGAAAAAGAAACCCTCAAAAGCAAGAATAGCGCAAAAAACGGAAGCTGATGTAACCGTTACAACGGGGAGCCTAGATGCCAATACTTACTAGCTTAATCTTCAGAGTACATGGTTGTTGGCCTACGGCAGATGTACACAGCCCAGACGATGCCACCGCGCTCGTTTCAGCCAGCAGCCTCACGCTAACCAGGTAAAAAGAGACCGCCAAAACACTCAAAGCCAGTGAGTGAGTGCTCTTGTTAAAAACTGACTAGTAATAACACAATGTCAACTTGAACTGCGAACCAGTGGCGAGGGGGCCTCGCAGTCGAATGATCCAACAAGGTTTGCAAGGAAGTTCGACATGCTAACTAATTAAAAGCCAACTAGTTGTCGTCATCGTACGTATCGTCGCGGGTAGAAGGCCGGGCCGCCACTCTTCATCAAAAAAGGAAAGTCGTATGGCCATCAGAATAAGTTTCGTTTTCTTTTCCTTTTTTCTTTTGTTGTTTCTTTTTTTTCTCTTCTTCTTTCCCCTCCTCCGTGGGGAGTTTGGACCCTCCTCCCACAAACAGCATTTTGTCGGCAACCCTTCAAAGTCGTATCGTACCTTGCAATGAGCGGTCCGCGCGCTCTCGGGGTACTCATATCGAAGAGAACTCGGATTTTTGGCAGACGCGGCTGTAGGGTATCCTCTTTTAGGCTGTCCGCGCGGCGGCAAGGGAGGGAGGGGGGCGAAAGAGTTGGTTGGTCGCAACCCTGCACGGCTTTCCCTGCCTTTTGGTTGGACTTTGTTTCCCTCTTCATCACCGTTAGCGGGCGGGGGGTTGTGCGTCCGTGCGAGAGACAGCACAGAGAAGAGGAGGAGATGGATGTCTGCGCTGGCTTTCCGAGTCAGTAACTACGTATTTCATTCCGTCTGCAATGGCACTGAACGAGATTGGACAAACTTCGCCAAGAAGTCCCCGTCGGAACCGGAAAACAAAACAATGAAGAGAGGAGACGAGTTGAGTCAGGCGGGAAGCGAAAAAACCGTTTCTTGGCAGCGGCTTCTAATCGTCAATGTCCCCAGCTCCCGTTCATGGGCCCCCGCCTATTTGATTGCCTCTTTGAGATATGATATCTTGCACTTCCCTTACACATAACTTGCTCCGTGGTTGTGGAAGGAAAGTGACTGGAAAACTCTCGGCAGTCCGTATACCTTCTTGGAAACTCCCCATGCTGGTGGACGTGGGTGCGGCTTTGTTCATCCACAATGGTTGGCGCGCTTCCTGCACTGCAAAACTTTAATCTTCCGATCCTCGCAATAGCCTCCGGCTTTTCGCCATACGCCACCATGCAGCATGCAGGTCAGTTGACCGATCCCTGCCTATTTGTCCCCTACCTGCAGCCTACACACACACTTGCCGCCAAGTCCACCCCAATATGGACTGGGCACTGACTGTCATCAGGGCAAATCAACAACTCTCACAAGCCATCAAACTGCAAGCACAACCTTTATTATTTGGAATAGGCTCTTGTACTTGCACCGGGAAAAGCCCTCGGGGTTGTACACAGAATGTAGTGGCGCTGAGTCTATCCTGGTCTAACTAGCTATATCCACCCCCTTTTAATACAGATATTATACAAGATTACAAGCCCGTTTACCTGCTCAAACTCAAATCTGCAGCCTCCTTGCAGATTGCTGGCCTGGTCGGTCATGTTCATTTAACAGAACTTGCTTCCAACATCTCAACCTGCCTTTCAGAGAACGCCCTCATACCGGGTACCCAGTACTATCGTACCACCTCTCATCAAACCTTGGACCTCCACCTAAGGAAAAGTCTATCCAATTACTTCAAAATGTACAAATGTTTGACTCGCCGTTGAGTTGGTGTGGGGTCTGCCGTTCACCCGTTGTCGGTTATCGACACGGGTACGAGTCTTGTTTCCCGGCCGTCACAAACGAGTGGCTTCTTGCGCTGATTTTCCTCCGACGGCATGAGTAAGGAACAGTCTTGACTTCCCGCTCGTCAGGGACGGCCCCGCATTGTCGCCGCATGAATGAGCTGGAGCCCGCCCTTTATGCCTTCTTTCCAATGTTCCAGCCCCAGGACCGAAGCTTCTTGACAATTTTGGGCGTGAGCGCGGCCGTTAGTGGAACTCGCAGGAAGATGAAGCTTTTGTGGATGGCGTAGGCTAGAGCCAACTGCGTTCCCAGGCCTGCGAAGAGAAACCATGTTAGCGGCTAAGGCTTCATAAGGCAGGCCAAAACGCAGATACCCATAGGGCCGAAAAGCCACTCGTGGCTCAACGTTAATGCAAACCGGAATGGGATAGGGTACTTACTGGCTTCTTCGTTATGGTGCTCCTGAGCCTTCTCAACACCCCAACTCATCATCTCCACTGTTCCACTAACATCCCCATTGCCAAGTGCATCAGTTTCTGTCTTCTTGACCGATTGCCAGTAGTCGCGCCACTTCTGCCGGATGGATTCTGGGATGAAGTTTGAGACGGTGGATACGACGGCGTGCTCAATCTTGCCTATTTTACCGAGAATCAACTAGTTAGTAACTGTGCCTAGACACGGTCAAGTGCATGTGCACTCATTTCCCGGATGCTGTGACATACCTATAGTATCAGTGCCTACGACGCGAACCAGCAAGAAGCAGAAGGGAAAGTCTAGAACACTGAGCGCCAGGTACACGCCGATAGCCGACTTTCCGTAGTCCTTGAACAGTTTCTTCAGTCGTTGCGACAGCGATAACGACTCTGCCTTTTCCCCGTTTGCAGCATTGCGTCTCCAAGCAGTGAAGCGGAAGCCTCTTCTCGACGCCGGCGTCCACCCAGGTGCTGCTGCTGTACGCAGCCCTACGTGCCGCAAAGGGTGAAAAGCAGTCGCTGAGAGGCGTGATGCTTTAGAGCTGATCGAACCGTGTCGAGAGACGCTGCGCTGCGTTGTTGTGTAAAGGCGTTTCCAAGCACCCTGCCAGGCGCCCAATGGTGCCTTGATAGTGTTGGACCCTTGCTGGGCAAGCCCAGAGCCTTGCAGGAGGTACCGGAGCATCGTGATGGCCAGGACTTGTGCTTTGAGGTGTAGCTGGATGAGTTGTTCGAATCGTAGATGGTATTGGACGAGTTCGTTGGCCAGCGGCGTGCCTGCCAGCTGTTGGAGATGTACGGAGATTATGTGCGGGAGCTACTCGGAGCTATCGGGGTCTTCGCAGTCCGCTGACGGTCGGGAATTGAGGTACCGAGATTGCCACCTGAGATACGCGCGGAATCGGCGGTTCAATTGCCTGGTAAAAAAGGCCAGCGGTGCCGCGTGATGCGCTTGATGGCCAAGATCCCGGTTTCGCCCTTTTCGAAGCTGCCAGAAAATTGATGATGTCGTTGGTCGGTCAGGGTCTGGCGGGGCCTGGGCATTTAGCTGGCGTCACGTGGAGCAAGCCCAAGGCAAGTGCTGGCATTGAGCCATGCACATTTTGCCTGACAAACGACCAATATTTTCCGAGTAGGATATTTTCGGTAAAAACAGGTTCAAAATTATAGACGATACTATTTTGAGAGAAAGTTGATCTCATGTTGAAACATCGGCTGTTGCGATTGCCTGATAACCTGGAGGCGACCCCTGTATCGGAGCTAAATCGGCGGCAATCGGCATCGTGTAAGTGAGAGCAGCAAACGGCGACGCGCCGCATTCGCAACATTCTCCCATTTAACAGATAATGTGATTTTATTTTCGTAAAAAAAATCCAAATAATAGTACTTTTGTCATGTAAACGTACTCGGCTAAAGCGACTAGGTCCTGCTGCAATCTCGAGCCGAGGCCGACCTGCGAGTGCCATCGCTGTTTCCATACTCAGTCGTCCGCCATCTCCCTGGCATCACAGCCTAACGAGCCGGACACGTGATAATATTTCTTCTCTTCGTCCCTCGTCCCTCTCTTCCGTTTTTCCTTCTCGGCCAATGATGCCGCGCATCTTCTGGAGTTTTTGCTCTCCGTTCGCTCGTTAATCCGCGTCTCTCCGTCGTTCGTTTTACCCTGTTCCTTATGTCTGTTGGGCAGCCTTGGCTGCGTTTCGCTCCTTTGGTAAGGCGAGCGTCCAATGGCTAAGATTGCCACAACGTACGGCAAAAAACGTGCATCATCACGCATGTTGGATGGAAGAAGACATCGTCGAAGCTTACTGGTATTATTTAGTTCCTCCAACTCAGGTAACGCCTAGCCGTTTTCCCTAGCTCCGCCGTACCCAATAGACTGACGGCAGTGTGATCTAGAAACAAGCCAAGCAACTATAAATCCTCCTTTATCATCACTAAAGTATGATTCAACAACTATAATAAACATTCCAGAAACGGTTCCGATGTGTTCTTCGTCAACGAGAGGCCCCTCCACCATCGGCCATCAGCAGCGAAGCACCGTGCCAGCGCTCGCGCCAATAACCAATCCCAATGCCCGCCTAACTTCAACCACCAGTCAACCTGTCAAGGCATTGGAAGATTTTAAAAGAGACCATTCCAGAACTGCTCTGCACCGATCTCCGCTACTGGCTCATCCTCCCCAGGTTGTTAGCCCTACGAGGCATTGCAGCGCTACACTTTGCAAGAAGGGTACAAATAAAGAAAAAATTACACCAAATGCATTGAGGACGGTCGTCCCAGTCGATATTGGCAACAAGATTACGGCTATGCTAGCGGCTACCGCTTCACTTAAGCCACAGTCTCTTCCCACGACTCCTCGTCTCTGCCTGGCCGCATCTCGTGCTTCTCGCGGTGCGACGGGCCGTCAGCCGCTTGAAGCTAGTCGATCTTTGCAGAAAACAAGAAGTGGGAAGCTGGTGAACAATGCCATGCCCGAATTGCAGAAGAGAAGCCTATTGCAGGCCGAGCCGTCAATGGTGGGGCGTGAGCAGCTCACGACCATTGAGCTTCGCTTGAACGAGGGTAACAACCTTAATCGAAGGAAGGTGCAAAAGATTGTGGGAGGAAGTATCAAGAGGAAGCCTGTTCACTGCCAACCTGAGCCCCAAAGCGTAATAGATGATTACCCCAAAGCCCAAGTGAAGCTTGACACTCGGCCAAGCACTCCTCCAGGCAATGGCTGCATACGCACTCGAGATCCTTTTGAGGATGAAACAAGCTTTGAAGAGAATCTCTTTGACGGATTGCTATCTGAATGCCCAGCAGGGTGCTCAACACCAAAGTCAATATCGAAGACACCACCTGAACTACACAGGATCCTCCAAGAGGAGGACTACTCTTGCAAGCCAAAGTTTTGGTCGGAAGCCTGCCATACCAAAGACCTTGACGGAAGATCAAGTTCAAAAACAAAAGCACCCACGATTGAACCAATATCTGGTGACAGTCGGGTTAAGAAACACCCTTCACCGAGCAAGAAGGCTCTGGAGGACTTGGAAGCAGCGTTCGCCATGTACACCAAATTTAAACCTTTGGCAGGAGGAGACAACACAGATGAACTGGCCAAAGATAATCGCGGAGCATTTTCAGTTGCAGATCGCAATAGATCAATGCGGAAGTCTCGGTCAAAATATGCTGTCCCGGAGGCAGCTCGCCAGATGGCCCGCAAAGGAGCATACAGGATCCGGCATGGTCTGCCATATCGATATGCTCTAGCAAGCGATCAGGATATTGATGATTTACGAGATTAACGATGTTCATGTTTCATAGTACTAAAGCCGGTTAGTTTTTGCTTTGAGAGCCTTGCTTTCAGCGAGAGATCTGAGTGGACCAGACAGGAGCTAATGGCTAGGAAAAGGAAAATGAGAAAATCGTGGGGGCATGAGAGTATAATTTAATAAACGAAGCTAATATTACAAAGCCAAAAAATAAAAGATGAAAAAAGGTAATACAAATTCGTCATTCCATCATAAGGGTATCTGCGCTTGAAATGGCTGGCTAGTAGTAATGGCGATGAGAGCCTCGGCCGTCCGTTCCATGCATGCGACGAGTGCCAGCGGCCTGTAGGGTAGGCTGTGTTAGCAGCCGGCGGTTGTCAAGGTGCAGAGAGCATAGGTATTCATGGATAGATGAGGGAAACATACCTTGACGCCAGGACGATGGGTCAGACTGCCGCGGAGCTTCAGAAACGCGCCGGAGATCTTGTCACCAATGCTAGGCTTGCGCTGGTGGTGGTGCTGGACGGCAGGGCGGCGAGAAAAGAGACCTCGACGACGGGGAGCCTCGGTGGTGGTTGTGGTGTGGTGCGCAGGACGGCGCGAGAAGAGGCCTCTGCGCTTGGGAGGAGCTTCAACGACGCGTTCACGGTGACGACGGGAGAAGGGCATTTTGATGGTTTTCTTGATGATAAAGTTGCGCATAGAAATTGTTGCCGTGTGCTTGGTGGCTTTAGTTGATGGCGATGGTTATATTCAACATGGGTTTTTGGGAGGGATAGCAGCCCATTATATATCTTCAAGACGACGCCTCGTCACGATATCATGATACTACAATGACGGAAGAATATGCACGCCATCTTGTCTCACGGGAGCCGGGTATATGATGCAAGATGGCCAGCATGGGTGGGAAGCTCATCAGGCGAGAAACTTGGCTTTACACGAGTCCTGCCAAAAAGGGCAAGTGATCTGTGGCGAGTGGGGGGCCACCTTGTGGCTGAGGATGTCACCGCCAGGGAACAACGTGCATAAAAGCAGGGTTTCTGACGCGTATTTTGCAGCAGCTTTTTCGTCCAGCCTTGGTTTTTTTGGGTACTGACGGGAAGAAGGCGAAAAGTGTGGCTTGAGTGGCTTGCAAAGACCGTTGGACCCTGATGGAGCTGTGACGTATGGGACGGCCGTTGATGTAGGGCACGCGGCGGATCACTATGTCATATTTAACATAAATTGCATCCTTCTTTCTAAAAAAAGAAAAATGCCGGATATTGTACATGATATCATGGAGAAAATGTTGAGGTCAAGTCTAGAGCAACGGTGTAACTAATATTGCCAGAATCAGGAAGTGAGGCTATGTTGTATGTTGTACAGGCCCAGTCTTTCTTCAGTTTATTCAGAGGCACAAACGCAACAAAGCAACAGCAAAGGCAGAAACAAAAAAAAACCAACTAGGCAAAACAGAGCATTCAGCGAGAAACTTCCTCCAAATTATTGCCCCGTTTCCTCTCCTCTATCCAGCCACCCTTGCTTCCTTCACTCGTTGGTCGACGGCGGGGCTTTCACGCTGTCCAAGAACTTCTTTAGGTCTTCCTCGGACAGGACAAGTTCAGGTCCCAGATCTTCTTGGCGCCTTCCTCGGACGAGTCCAGGTCGTCCCATGCCTTCTTGATGTCATCCTCGGACAAGTTCAGGCCATCACGCGAGGGGGCATCGCCGTCCCGGTTCGACGGCGGGGCTGTCAGGTTGTCCTTGATCTTCTCGAGGTCTTCCTTGGAGAAGTTCAGGCCATCACGCGACGTGGCGTAGCCGTCCCAGCCGCCGAATTTCTCGGAGAGCGCTTCGACGAACGCGTCCCAGTAGGCGCGCCGCAGCTGGATGAGGTTGTCGAAGCCTGGTGTGTCTGGGTCCGTGATTCCAACCATGACCATGGCAGACTTGAACACCATGCAGCGCTTGAACTCACAGCCGATGCGCGAGAGCATGTAGTCGCGGCGCGCGGCCTCGGGGTTCGAGCCGGCGAGGTGGTGTAGCAGGCCGAGGAGGACGCTCGTGCGGTCGCGGCCGACTGTTTTTGTCCTGCTGTCAGCAAATTCTCGCCTCTCCTAGAACAAGAATGCGTTTGCATGGTCTCGGGTCAAATCGGGTTTACTCACGAAGGCAGTGTATTAGGAGTCGCTTGCCGCGGTAGTCGCGGATGTACTCGAGGGTAGCCCGGAACGCCGGGCTGTACCTTCTTGCAATATCCATGTAATGATCTCGCCAGCTGGCGGCGGCATCTTCCTCAGATGTAAAGTTTTCCAGCGCAATCTTCTCGTAGTCTCCAGGGAGTGTGTCCTCGCAGATGCCCTTGATCCCGTCGATTATGGGGTCCTTCGGGCCTTCGGAACCGTCGCGGCGGCGGAGGTCAACAACGCAGTCGGCATTTTTGGAAATCCAATCCACTGACTTGTCGTCGTGAGGGAGCGCGCCAGAGCGGAACACGCGGCCCTCCGGGATACGGCTCCCAGGTACCTTGCCGGCATCGCGCAGGTTGAGGATGTTCAAGCACTCAAACAGCCCAGACGCCTCGAACTTGTTCAAGTCTTCTTTCGGGATAACATCTCGAACGTCGGTATGGACGAGCTTGTCGATGGTATCGCTGTCGAGGCCCATTGTGTTGGGAAAGGAATTGGTAGATGCAGGTGACATTGTAGGTGTAGTTAATTATATGCGGCGAGGCAGAGATGTGAAGTGGTTTGGTTGAGATTGACAAGCCCGGGGGCTCGCAGGGGATTTATACATTTATTCGCATTGTGCGAAATCAAGTGATTCAGTGATGAAAATGACGAAAAGTATCACAGGAATGCAGAAACTCACTGCGCCCCCCCCCCGACAAAAAGTCATCGGGCCGGCAGCGGGCGACTCTGACGGGATGACAGGCGGCAAAAGGCGGGGTGTGCGCCTTGAAGCTTGAAGCTTGGAGCTTGATAGTGGGGTTGGGTAACTTGATCTTGTCAAACTCGTACATCAAACGAGCTAGCCAAGACGGTTGGCTCATTGAGCTTGGCTAATAGACGGTTTGGTCGTTGATACAGGCATCTTTAACATCAACTCGAAGAGAGAGGTATCCCCAGCCCATCCATCGATCCTCGAAGCGAGACGCATCTTCCCGAAAGCCCTTGCGGTTGGGTTGGTGAAAGATGGCCACAGCGAGCGAAAAAGCCAGCCACGGCCCTTTGCCAAAGACACAGCCACCAGATGACAGAAACAGTACTACGGTGAGACCGTGGATAGGATACCTTGGACGCGCCTTTCTGTTTATATTCGCAGCCTCAACACTTGCCGCTAGTCTCTTGCAGAGGTATTACCATGACGCGGCTTCCGTCCGCTCAGTTTCAAAGACGCACTGCTACGCCAGCGTACAGACCCTGCACGGTGACCAGCCTGTCGCGCAGTGCTTCACCGTGGCTAGCGGCCTCTTTACTGACGTCACGGAGCAGCAGCAAACCGCGTTCGACGAGGCCGAGCTGAAACGTCGAGCTGAGGATGGCGGCGCTGTAACTGGACATGTGATCCCTGGTCTCTGGGATGGTCACGGCCACTTGATTGAGCACGGCGAGATGCTGACGCAGGTCGATCTCTTCGGTGCCACGACGCTCGACGAGTTGCGCAGGCGGCTAAGGGAGCACATCGCTGAGCATCCGGAGTCAGGCACCAAGGAACGCTGGCTGCGAGGCATGGGCTGGGACCAGACCGACTTTGGGCGCATGCCGACTGCTGTAAGTGAGCCATCGTCTCTCCTTTTCCTTGGTCCTTGTATTTTTGTCCATCTCCTCCTCGTGGACACAAAAAAAAAACAGCATTAACCCGACCCGGATAAGGCCGACCTTGACGAGGACCCTGCGCTCCGCGGCATCTACCTGTTCGTCGACCGCATCGACGGGCATTGCTCGCTCGTCTCGCACGCCGTACTCGACCTGCTGCCCACCCCGGTCCCGGACGTGCCCGGTGGCGAGGTCGTGCGCGACCCGGGCCCGGGCGTCTTTTGCGACAACGCCCTGGGCATGATCCTCGCGCGCTATCCCCGGCCGGACGACGAGACGCGCGCCGCGTACGTCGCCGCGGCCATGCGCCATCTCAGCTCCGTCGGCATCGTCGGCGTGCACAACGCTGGCACCGATCCGGACAGCCTGCGCCTGCTCGGTCGCCTCGTCGGCGGCGACGACTGGACGGTGCGCATGTACGCCATGCGTGAATGCGCCGCGCGCAACACGTTTTGCCCCGCGGACGCGACAAAGATTGAGCGGGAAGATGGGCTCTTGGACGTTCGCAGTGTCAAGCTTTTTGCAGGTAAGCCAAATACACGTACACGCGCGAGGACCCCCATCTCTTGCATGCTCCCCACATACGCCTCTTGCAGTAGCATGACCTTCTGACTCTCGAACTCACAACAGACGGTGCGCTCGGGAGCTGGGGCGCCGCCATGCTCGAGCCCTACACGGACGACCCCACCACCTCCGGCTTCCTCCTCATTAACGAGACAGCCCTCGCCGCCATCACGCGGCAGTGGGCCGCCGCCGGCTTCCAGGTCAACATCCACGCCATCGGCGACCGCGCCAACCGCGCCGCCCTCGACGCCTTCGAGGCCGCCCTCCGCGACGAGTGCGGCGGCGACGGATCCGCAGCCGGCCTGGAAACGTGCGCGCACGACCGCCGCTTCCGCCTGGAACACGCGCAGATCATCGCGCCCGAGGACCAACCGCGCCTGCGGGCCCTGCGCGTCGTCCCCTCGATCCAGCCCACGCACGCCACCTCGGACATGCGGTACGCCACCGCGCGCCTCGGCGAGACTCGCGCCCGCACCGCTGCGTACCGCATGCGCTCCTTCCTGGACCTGCACCCGGTGCTGGGTAGCGACTTTCCGGTAGAGCCGCCGAACCCGTTCCGCGGCATGTACGCGGCCGTGACGCGCAAGAGTCCCGCGACGGGACGCGGTGGCGGAGCCGACGACGACGACGGGTGGCACGCGGAGGAGGCGCTGACGCTGGAGCAGGCGCTGTGGGGGTTCACGGGGGCGCCGGCGCGTGGGGCGTTCCTGGAGGGTAAGGCGGGCCAGATCCGCGAGGGCGCGTACGCGGACTGGGTGGTCCTGGACGAGCCGCTCGGCGGGGATGGATTTGATGTGGAGAGTCTGCGCTCGCTGCGGGTAAGGGAGACGTGGGTAGCGGGGAGAAGGGTGTATAGAAGAGAAGATGATTAATGACTGCATGATGACACGACCGAGTTAGCAGAACGGCAGGGTGAGCAGGTGTGAGATCGCGTAAAGAGATATTTGAATTACATGCCCGTGGATATTTAGAGATATACAGCAAATTAGCGAAAAGATTTGATAAGACAAGTTGAAAAAAAGAACATGACTTGTGTCGTTGAATTTTTCGACACATAAACTGTAAACAAATTACGCCTTGATAATGCATTTAGATTCCACCCACTTGGCAAACTTGACTGTAGGAATGTCGACGGCCCTCCAGAAGACGTCAGCAGACCAGACGACGGTTGGGATGCAAAAGACGGCGCCGAGGACGAAGCCGACATTGTACCAGTAGCCTTCGACGCCTGTAATGGCCCAGGCCATGCGCTCCCAGTGGTAGCCGACGCAGTGCATGACGGGCCCGTGCATGAGGTAGATGGCGTAAGAGAGCTTGCCAAAGTAGTAGACGACGGGGGTGTTGAAGAAGGCCTGCCAGGATGGGGAGTAACCGACGGCAAAGGCAAAGACGACGGCGCCGAGGGACTGGTAGTAGCGGTAGGGCTCCTCGCGCCACCACGAGGGGATCTGCCGATGCAGCCAGACCCAGCCGGGGGTGATGTCGCCACGGAGGTCAGGCTGGCACATGAGGTACAGGCCGAGAATGCTGAGGGCGCCCCAGAAAGCGCGCTTCCAGCGGGGACGGGGCGGCGGGGCGGCGCCGTCGCGGAGGGGCAGGTCGGAAGACGGGGAGCCCGCGGCCGTTGGGGCTTTGTGGGCACCGCGGATCAGATCCATCTCGGCGAAGGCCATGCCACAGAGGAAGAGGAGCAGCTCCCAGCGCGAATGCGTGTAGACGAACCACATGATGCCGCCGACGACTAGGAAGCGAAACCGAGTCTGCAGGCGGGCGGTGCCGATGAGAACCAGGAAGAGATACAGTGAGCAGCGGAACTCAACGGGAATCGTCCAGAGGTGCACATCGTAGGCTAGAGGGAGGAGACACGAGTGGTGTTAGCGGATAGGAAAGCGAAGTTGGACAGGGACGAGGAACTTACAGGTGCTACCACCATATTTGTTCCAGTCAAACACATGAACGAAGCGGTACATGTGCATGGCCCAATCGAGGAACTGGTCCGAGGCAAACTCCATTCGTTCGGGGTGAGTTTCAACAACGTTCTTCATGTACGTCCTGTCCCTGGCAAACTCTCGCGTCCACTCATATGCACCGACGCGCAACAGGCAGATAATGAGAAAGGTGGAGATGGCAGTGGGCAGGTAGAGGCGAATGGCGCGGCGAAAGACGAGAGAGCTGATGGCATTGGCGGCGTCGGCACCGGCGCCACTCCGGATGAGCTTGAGCGGGCGGTAGGAGAGCGCGTACCCGGAGATGACGAAGAAGAGGCAAACAGCAGGTGGGCCTTGGTACCAGAGGCGGATGAATGGCAGCTTGAGGAAGTGGTAGTTGGTGTCACCAGCGCCCCAGCCCTCGGCGATAACAAAGGCCTGGTAGAAGTAGTGGCAGAAGAAGACGAAGAGAGAGGCGAGGCCGCGCATGCCGTCGAGGTAGGTCGTGGGGGCGAGGCGTGCCGGACGGATCATTTGCTCACGGACATGGCGGCCCTGAAGGAAGCTGGGGAGGAGGAAGATGCCGAGGCGAAGCAGGAGCGGCCGCCATGATGAGAAGACGACGAGGCGGAGGCGGGCCCAGAATGAGAAGAGGGAGAAGGAAGAGGCGAGTCGAGTTTTTTCATCAAAGAGATCGGCGTCGCTCTCGGCGTCAGAGAGGTGGCCGGCGAGGAGACCTAGGTTCTCCTCGCGAACCGGGATTTGGTCGGGTTTGGACATTACGCAGGGACATGCATGAATGAGGTGGTATAAATGGACTTGGTATCAATAGAGAGGGATGGGCGACTGGCTGGTATCATGAATAGATGCCTAAACAGGGACAAAGGAGTGTCGGAATGAAAGAAAGACTGGACGGAACGACAGGAAGATGTGAAGAAGAGAAAGAAAAAAGAATCGAGGTGACGGAGATGTAAACGGACAATATAAACGGACAATGTAAACGGACGACGTGTGTTGCAGCCGTTGGCTTGGCGGCTGGCGGCTGTATCGGGTTCGAGTTGACAGCTGCCAGAGTGTTTGCAGAGGGAAAGACGGACAACACGCAGCAATCACGGGTTCCGGGATGGGGGAGGAGAAGGAGAAGGAGGTTTAACGGAAGCTTAATCTTTCTGGCTTATTACACATATGGGGAGGGGGAGGGGAGGCATGTATCAGAAACATGGAAACCCATCGGCCGAGGAATTGGCTGCTCGGTTGGGTGGGAAGGACGAATGGGACGTGATGGGCTGTGCGATGTGACGTCTCTAACTCATTTCTACGAACCTGAGAAATGTGAAAGTCCGCCGATCAGCCAAGCGAAAGAAAAGAAAAAGGCCTGGGCAGCTCAGAAGAGCGCTGCGGGCGGGCACCATCAGCATCCTTCTCGAGGCCATCTCTAACAGCGTGTGAAACACTGACTGGCATGCAGCAAAGAAAGGGCAGGAGTGTGAAAGGCTGGGAGGCAATCGGGTGCGACCAGCCAAGAAGAGAGGGAGGCGAGACAGTGGACGTCATGATTTCAGCGGGGAGGGCAAGCGAGCTGAAGATGAAATGGACGGATAGAAGGAACTCCATCCTGGAGAAACAAAAAGTGCAGTGGGGAAGAGGTTCAAGTCTGAAGCTCGATATGTTTCTAATTCCCTGGCTCGGCTGGGGCTCGTGGGCAGGCATTGTTGGCGGCCAATCACCGACGAGTAGCAGATGAGCACGCTGGTGTATGTACCTAGGTAGATGCTTGGATGACATGAATAAGTAGTAATGCGAGTTTGTCAAGTTTGTTGAATCAGTTTAAGCTACGGATATGCATTTCGCAATTTGGCATTAAAAGCTGGGTCGACCGCAACTGCGCCCCATTTGAGCCGCAGTAGGACACTCGTTGGACGGCTTCACGGCCCAAAGAAGCAGTGCTTCCGCTGCAACCGTCAAACACGACAAGGCCAAGAAGGGTATTTTGTATTTGGAGTCGGTAGTTACTATTATATACTGAGATCTACTATTATGGATTAATTTTTTCCTCCTTTTTAAATCCCGTCCTCAAGCCACTTCTACCTACACTCGCGCCACCTTCGCCACCTGCATGTTCAAGGGGAACGTCAGCGCCAGGAGACAGCATTTTCCGATCCAACCACAGCCTCCCTCTCCTCTCCCTCTCTCTGCATCACCACCAAAAAACAATGAATCCCTAAAATCAATCCGACGCTCTTTACTCTACTCGACCATTCCATCTGTGTTCATCCTTGCTTCTCTTTCCTTTCTCTCCAATGAGCTTTACTCTGCTCGCCACCGCCGCGTTCGACCCTTGCTTTGCCGTCCTTTTCCTGCTACTCCTCGTCGCCACCCTCGTCCACTGTCACAACCACCACCACTACACGCCGCCATGCTTCTCACGCTGGCGCCGGGCCTGCTGCTCATCATCTTCGGCACGACCATCATTGTCCGGGCTGCTTCGCTGCTTAGCCGCTACTATATGCTCCCGAGCTTTCCGCACGACCACAATCCCGCCGCTGCCGCCGCGAAACGCGACATTCGCTGGATTTCATAGCGCTGTCACATCTGCTGCCACCCTGTCCCACCACCGACCCCAGAATGGTCACGCGACCACCATTGCCACCCACGACAGGCTCTTGTTTCCTTTTCGGACTCGAATATTTACATGAAAAAGCAAGTCATCATGCGTGAGGGATAGCATTTTTATAGAGTGGGAAGTCATTTTAAATTTTGGATCCATTACTATTGCTTGTCCATGAAAAAAAGTGCCATGAATAACGCCATCCTTAAATGCATCATTGTAGTCAGTCCCCGCAACACCGTGTGCGCCCATCCCAGCACATCCAGCTCCCAACCTCGGCACCGTATAGCTGTATCCTTTTAGATAATCCGTATGCCCTAACCACCAACCTTGAATACATTTTTGTTTATGATTCGCGAAACGTGTCTTTTGCTCTAGTTGTCGAGCCAGTCAAGGAACTCGGGCGTAAAGTAGCTGACGATAATCGTCGCACCCGCCCGCAGGATGGCTTCTGCAGACTCGAAAGCCATCTCCTTGAGGCCAAACACGCCAGCCTTGGCTCCAGCATGAATCATGGCATATTCACCGCTAACCTGGTAGGCCGCAACCGGCAGGTCCTTGCCCAGCTCCTTGGCGTCGCTGATGATGTCGAGGTACTGGCCTGCAGGCTTGACCATGATTATGTCGGCTCCCTCGGCCATGTCGCGCGTGATGGCGCGGCGCGCCAGGCCACGGCCTCCTGGGGGCAGCTGGTAGCACTTGCGGTCGCCAAAGGACGGCGCCGACCCGGCAGCATCGCGGAAGGGTCCGTACAGACAGCCCGAGAACTTGGCGGAGTACGACATGAGCGTCGTCTTGTGCGAAATGCCTTCCTCGATGAGCTTGAGCTTGATTGCGCGGATGCGGCCGTCATTCATATCGGACGGGGCCACGCAATGGGCACCGGCTTTAGCGTAAGCGACGGCGACATCGGAGATGCGGTCGACCGAGAGCTCGTTGTTCAGGCTACCATCATCGCGCAGAATGCCGCAGTGGCCATGTGATGTGTACTCGCAGAGGCAGACGTCGGCGCAAATGTAGAGTTGGGGAAAGCGGCGGCGGATAAGGCGGATGGCGCGGATGACGGGGCCTTCGGGGTCGTCAGCCGCGCTGGCGAGGGCGTCCTTGGTGCCGGGCTTCATGGGCACGCCAAACAGGATGACGGACCGCAAGCCCTTGTGGACGAGGGGCTCCAGGAAGGAGATGACGCGGCCGATGCCAAGCTGGTGTTGGCCAGGCAGGGAGGGGACGAGTATCATGTCGTCGTCGTTGTCGGTAATGAAGAGGGGGTAGATGAGCATAGACTGGAGGCTGTTAGCGTCACAGGTGACAATATGCGTGGAAATACCGGGATATGCCCTGTTGACAGCCGGAAAGAAATCATACCTTGGTCAGTTGGCGCTCGGCTTGCCAGGAACGGGCGAGCGGGTGAAAGTAGCCGCCATGGAGCTGGCTAGAGATGTCGCCTGAGATGCTGACGCTGGTGGCCGCGGTGCTGGCGTACGATCGGGCGCGCGAAATGTGGGAAGCGCGATCGTCAATGGACGAGACGGTGGGGGGTGGACGACGGCTCATTGCGGCGGCGTTGGAGTTGTTGTTGCCGCCGTCGCGGAGGCTGAGATCATGGACGAGGCTTGAGAAGGACATTGCAGGAAATCCTCGGTGGATGGCAGGGGGGTGGCGTATCAATCAAAGCCGAACCCAGAGAGTTGCAATAAATAGAGGCTTGGATCAATTGGCGGCGCTTCTGGTGGAGGACAAGCGACGGCTTGTTGGGGTGTAGTGGACGTGGTACGGTTTGTCGGGATATTCCTATTATAAAGGAGGTGGTTGTGTTGCGACGGCTGACGGGGAAAGAATCAGATGGATTTCGAGTCCGTTGCAAGAGGGTGGGGCAGAGTCTCCAGTTTGATTCTAGTTAACTGGAAGTGCCTGAGCGGCAATGTTGACGTGGAATGTTTGTTGTTGATGCTGAGAAGAAGCAATAAAATATTGCTCTGAGGTGAAGAGGGGAAGAGGGGAAATTGAAGACGACGTTGACCTTGAGCACTGTGTGTAACATGAAATGTCAAAAAGAAAAGTTCCAATCGTTTGTCGGCAAGAAATGGCATAAATTGCCGTGGTCGTGCTCGGAAGCCACAGCGTCCGAGCCGCCACAAAGAACCGGGCGGGGGCGCCGAGGCCGCCCTGTAAAAATGCAGGTGACAGCGTGCAATAGGCACTGGGAAGCGCTAATTTTTGGCCATTTTTCGGAAAGTCCGCCCAGCCTTCCATATATGGGGCTTGTTTGTCCAATCATAGGTCACCATTTGTCAGGATGAGCAAGATGGTAAGACATGCAGCCAGACCAGAACCGAGGCCGAGGCCGAGCAGCGAGCACCGTTACAGTTGCTCGCACGCCACCTTGCATCGACATACCATAATAAAAGCACTGCTCACAAAGACTTACTGACATTTTCTATGCAGCCAACATGTTTATATTAGTGGCAATTGCCATGGTCTAAGTCTGGTTTGTCCGGCATAAAATTCCATGGTAAGTGAAACAAATACCATCTGGCAACTGCAGTAACTACGGGGTCACGGCAGAATGATTCACGACGCTCGAAGTTCGACCATGTCCTTCAAAAGCCCTGGTGCAGATTATTTTAGGCTCTCGGTCGAGGCGGTAGCTCGAGCCATAAACAAGTAACATTGCTTGCTTCTATTAGGGTAGGAAGCCAGGCCAAAAAAGATATTCAGGGAGACAGACTTTCCAAACTCGGTAAGTAAAAGATGTACAAGGAAAGGCTCAAACTACCAGCAATAAGCTTCATAATTGATCTGGTAGATGTGACACCTTTGCCCGAAACATTGACAGCCCGCGCAATCTTGCATAGAACTTCGCCCAGCCGGGTCAGCCCCGCGATGACAAACATGCCGGTCTGTTTGTGAACTGTGTGCGAGTGTACTTTGGGGAAACTTGGCCCATGTTTAGCAGTATCCTTGAACACTGGGTTGTCCGTACCGACTAGTTATCGGCTTGCCAGTAGATTAATTGTACCCGGGCATCATACATTGCACACGCGGGCTGATCTCGCTATTCACATATCCATAGCCCTATTTGCCGCCCCTTCCTTTCGCAGGGGCCTAAAATTCACCACTGCTGTGCCAGCTCACAGAGGTTCCCTCTCTCCACAGGGAAGCCACCGGCGCAGTTTCCAGTATTCTTTGCGGTCAACTGTATCAATAGGGAAGAAGCATCAACAGATACTAAATTCAATAGACTGTTTCTTTATGTCAAGGTAAGCGTTACGCGGCATGGCACGTTGCCAACCCTGATTGCATACACCACAAGCCTGTCAGGAGCTGATTGGAAACCTCAAAGTGAGCCGGTTCTGGTGATAAAGGGCGTAGATCCGTATCATCACTGCGCGAGTCGGTAGTCGTACGATGCCTTGGCGCTGATTATTACGTCGCCTCGGCATCGAAAGGCCCTGCTGCGCCCCTTTCCATAAGGCTACTACTGCCTGTCCAAAACGGGCTGTCCGACGACGCCATTTTTTTTAAACAAGAGACAACGTGCCAATTCCATAGCCGCTTTAATGCGTTTATCTTTTAGCCCTCAAATTATAACCTATTTCGGTATTTTGGCCGTGCTGAGGTAGGGCTCACTTCTCCGGTGAGTTAAGGCAGCAAGGCCTGCTAGCTATGTTTGATCTAGAATGTTCACGGTCTTGATCGGCAAATGGGGGAGACGTCTGAGTGTGGGCTTGAAGATGCCCAAGTTGTCTGAGTGAAGGGCAAAGATTTTCCTCTTTAAAGAGTATAAGATGGGTCTTGAGGCATGAGGCCTTTCACTGCCTGTTCACCCCGAGAACCGAGTTGAGCACGCGACTCCAGGCGGACAGATATGGCGACGTCCGATTCCGCCTCCCAAAGGGCCATACTACGATCAGCCAACAGCGACTCTCACGATGTCGAATTGCAGCCCGTCCAGATGCATAGATCGGGGCCGCCCCCCTCAATGACTATAGAAAGACCGCCGGCATCACCATCTACATCACCATCGTCGCCGGCATCCCCCAAGCACATCTGCACGGGCACTACGCGGATAGACACTGGCGAGACCGTCGCATACACCTACGAGCGCTTCGACCGCCGGCGCCAGCTCCAAAAACTACTTCTGCGCAGTCTGGCGCGGTGGCTCATTACTGTGGTTCTGTGTGCATCCATATATGGCGTGCTCATCTCCTACTCGTCGCACGAGGCGCTGGCGCAGCGTCGCAGGCTCGAGTTCAACACCTTTGTCATCGCTCTAACCATTGCGCTCGGCCTCAACATCGCCAGCTCACTCAAGGCCAACGCCGTTGAGCTTCAGTGGTGGCTGCTCAGCTTGCACCACTATGGACCCCGGGAGGCCGACCTCATCCTCTCCAGCGGTCACTTCACCGTCATGCTGCAGCTAGGCTGGACCACGCGCCGCATGCTTATTTGGGTTTTCGTGACGCTATTTGTCACCCTGAATATTGTGAGTTCTTGTCTCACTTACAGCTAGACACGGACACGGAAACGGACACCATGGAACTGACCAACTTCTCTCATCTCTTTTCCAGGGCTCGCAAGTTGCCCTCGCTCTTCTCGGCATCACGTACAACATCAACCCCGCCGACAAGTTTGCCATCACGAAGCCAGGTCTGGTATCGATAGCTGACCTGTCCGACATTCAAGGCACCAAGGTCCTGGCTACGTCCGCCAAGCATCAAAACCTGACCGAGGATATCAACTCGCGGCGCTACGCGGCCAACATGTTTGGACAGATCGGCCTTGGCTTTTCCGAGACGACCGTGGACAAGATACCGCGGCCTGGTGCACTGTACACCTCGGATGCGCTCTCTATCTACTCCTCCTTTTCTCTGCCCTCTCTGCCCGACGACTCTGACTCTGACAACACCCCCGAGGCCGAGGCCGAGAACTACGGAAACTCGTATTCGTACACGTACGTCTTCTTCGAAACAAATGTCCTCAATGACAGCTACGCGGGTATCGTCGCCTCGAACCGCACCGTGACCGTCAACGCGAGCTGCGACAGCTACAAGGTCGTCGCCGGCGGCAACGGCATGTCGACCAATATCACCGTGCATTTCGACGACGGCGATGGCCAGGTCTACCCGCCCGTGGCCAACGGCGGCTCGCAGATCATGTACCTGCACGACCCGGCGGCCGAGGCCAACGACACCTGGAGCCAGGTGAGCGCCTTCGAGCCATCCGCCGACTCGCAGGCCTGGTTCTACGTCTGCCAGGTGAACCTCGGCAACGTCACCAACGGCGTCGTCCCCGCACACTACATGGGCGCCAACTTCTCGCGGTACGTGCCGCCGGCCATCGCGCTGCAGGGCTACGGCTCCTCCACCGACGGCCTCACCGCCAACGCCAGCACCAACTACCAGTTCCAGAGCTACCCGTCGCAGACGTACTTTGGGCGGGCAGCGCGTGGGCGCGGCGTCCGCATGGCCGCGCTAGTCAGCCGCTACGCCATCAACGCGCTCGCCTCGTGCGCGCTCGCCAACGCAAACGTCGACGCCCGCGGCATGACCCCGCTGCGCGCCATCCAGCTCGAGGTCACGCGTTGGCGCTACGTACACGTCATCGTCGGCCTGACCGTTGGCGTCCAGCTGCTCGTCCACCTGGCCGCGGTGCTCGTGGCGAACCGCGTGCAGGTCCGCGAGCAGCGCAGCTTGGCGACCGCGTCGCTGATTCGGCCGCTGCTGGTCGGCGTCGACGATCGCGCGCGCGTGGCGTCGGGGAGGCAGATTGCCAAGATGATTGGCGAGAACGTGACGGTGAGGTATGAGCCTGTCGGTGCGGGCTACGATCTTTGCATATATAGAGACGGGGAGCTCAAGGGGCTGGCCCGCAGTGCCATTGATAGATAGTCTGGCCCAGGCCATAGGGCATTAGAACAGCGACTGCATGTATTCCTTGTATATGTCTGCCATGGCATTCAAATATTGAAATTCTCAACGCCTACTGCTAAAGAACAAAAAAGAAACAAAGTAAAATCTATTTTTGAGTGCATCAACTTCTTACAGGCCCCGCAGGTTCGTGTTGTCACGGTCGTCCACCGGGGTATATCTCGCCTTCAACACCTCAGCCACCGTTCTCGTATCCCGGGCTGTCGTCTTCTGGTATCTCTGGTGCAGGGCCTTTTCGACGGCGCTCGAGCCCGTAGTCAGCGTCACGCCGTCAATAGCAGCTGAAGCCGCCGTGGCACCGCCCGCCGCCAGACCGACGGCCTCCTTGGCCTTGCCCGCCAGCTCCGCCGCCTTCTCCTTGCCGCGGCCAAGCAGTGACGACAAGACGCCGCCCGTCTCCCGAGCACCCTCCTTGGCGGCGGCCGCCGCGTCCTCGGCCACCTCCTTGGTCGCCTTCTTGGCCTGCAGGCGGGCCTCGAGGGCCTTGTGCTGCGCGGCCTCCTCGACGCTGCGGGCCTCGGCCTTTGCCTTTTGGAACGCGCCGCGCGCCGACTGCTCGATGGAGCGAGCACGGTCCGCCGCGGAGCCTTCTACCGCCTCGACTGACTGCACGGGGGTCGTACCGCCGGTCACTCGGGTCCAGAGGGCACCGGCCTGCGACTGCAAGCCGTAGCGGACCTCGTCCCAGTCGGTCGTCTGCACCCAGCGTACGGCGCGGCCGACCTCATCGTTCCACTTCTCCTTTAGTACTTCGACTTTAGCGGCACGCTGCTCGGCGGCCACCTCGGACCGGGTCGGCGGTAGCGGCAGTGGGATAGGGTCGATGATGGTTTGCAGCTCGAGGGCCTGCGCCCGGAGGGCCTGTCCCTGGCGCTCGCGGTTGCGCTGGTGGGCGAGAGCAGAGAGGTAGGCGACGGAGAGGGTGAGGGTGACGCCTCCAGCCTATAGAAAAGGAGAGCAGTGGTTAGCATGATGGATCTTTGCCCATGTGAATGTCGTAGCTCATAGCTCGGCAGGAAACGGCTGTCCTTACGAAACCGGAGACGAAGCCCATTGTGACGTGGAAGAGCTTTGCTGCGCTCTGAGGATGCTGTATTAGGTGACGAATTACCCAATCAGTCTTCAGCTTCGCATTCTTCGATGCTTCGATACCAATTTGCAGAAATTCTTCTGCCGAATGTTTTGCGCGCAAAGATGTTGATGTAGGTTAGCAAGGTGGGCTAACGGCGAGCAACTGTGCCCAGTGGGCGGTAATTTTCGGCAGCACCTTGGCCGCCTCCCGAACGAACTAAAAGTTTCCACTCCCAGCTTGACCCAAGTTTTAAAGCATCGACAAACTGTATCGGTAAACAACGTTCGACTCATTGCAACCACAAAAACACCCTCGCACAGCATTTAGACCCATCGATTGACATACTGCCAATTGCGCAGCGACACCATCACAAACCATGGCCGGCGGTCTCACCAAATACCGCCATCTCGGCCGCAACTCGTCGGCGCGAAACGCTCTCCTGCGTGGCCTCGTGACATCCCTCGTCCAGCACGAACACATCCAAACCACATACGCCAAAGCCAAGGAGGCCCAAAGACTAGCCGAGAAGCTGATCACCCTGGCCAAGCGCGACAATGAGCCCTGCCGGCGGTCAGCGCAAGGAATTCTCTATGTATGGCAGCGCACTTCCCTCCACTTGAGGATCAAGGGGACGCAAAGAGCAAGAAAGCTAACTCGGGTCTTTTCTGAACAGATGCCGCACCTACACCTGCCCAAACTTCTCGGTCCCCTAAAGGAACGATACATGAACCGCGAGGGCGGCTACACCCGCGTCGTCCGCACCGAGCCCATGAACACCTACGACCAGGCCGAGAGCGCCATCCTCGAGTTCGTCGACGGACCCCGCGACTCGCGCTTCATGCTGACGGCCAAGACGGTGGCTCGCGACCGCATGCTCGGCCAGGCGCACAGGGACCTGACGCTCGAGAACATTGACAAGGTGACCAAACACCGGGGCGAGGCCGAGTTCGAGGCCATGGTGAAGAGATACATGGTCAAGGATATCAAACGCAACCGCGACAACACACGAGAGAAGGCGCCAAAGAGAGCTACGTCTCCGAGTGATGTAGAGTAGCGGTTTGGCGAAGAGAAGGGCGAGAGCCATGGTCGGATAGGCATGGCTCGAGCAATCGCAGCGGAGGTGATGATGGAAAGGAACATGTACCATAGAGGTTGATTGTTGGGTTTGGAGAAGGAAGCTGTATTTGTATATTATTTCATGGCGTTCTCTTACGTCCAGTAAGCTCGCCAGGTTATTCCCTTGTTACAACAAGCAACGCATCATTAAGTCAACCCAACGTCCACCCGTTGTTCTACGCATCTGAACACTACAGTAGCCCAATACGCAGGCTGTCGTTGGTGTCCTTCGTAGACAGAAAAGTACAGTTGGAGGTACATTGACCAAACAAAGAGGCTTTTATCTATGAGTAATACAAGTCTATGGTAGAAAGACAATTCCGTCCTAGATGAAATCAAAAGTATCGCCACGATCGTTCAGCATCTTGCCTAACCTTTGGGACCCCGCCACTCGTTCCAGCTTCATGGCATCAAACCTGGAGAAGAGCACCCGCACGGTCCCCCTGCCCGGCTCAATGGTCAAGTCCTGCTCGCTCTTGCTCAGGTACTCGCCCGCAATCTCCTTGTAGAAGACGGGGTTGTCCGGCAGGCCGTAGAAGACGACGCGCTGGACGCCCTTGATCTGCAGACGGCGGAAGTGGTGCGCCCGCTCCGAGTACAGCAGGACCTTGTGGCGGCCGGTGACGAAGTGCGAGCGCGCGCGCGACGCCTCGGGCACGTCCGTGTACTCGGAGATGGCGCCGAACGAGACGGCCGAGACGGTCACGGAAGTGGCGAAGTAGTTGCGCACGCGCACGAAGTCGAGGTACGATGGCACGAAGAGCAGCGTGCCGCCAGCCGAGGCCGACTCCTTGGCGCGCTTGACGATGCCGGGCACGACGGCCGAGACGAAGTAGTCGAAGCGTGCGTCCGGGTCCGCGGAGAGCGCGTGCGACTGGAAGCGCGAGAACGTCTGCCGGGCCTTGACGCCGAGCTGCGGAAGCACGCCCGCGTACGACGGCTGAAGGCGCGCCTTGCCCGCCCAGTTGGCGCAGCCGCCGCGCTGCAGCTCCGCGAGCTCGGGCGTCAGGAAGCCGCCGAGCAGGACGGTCTGGCGGAAGCAGCGCGCCCAGCCGTCCTCGAGGTACCACGGCCGCAGCCGCCCAATGTCGCACCCGTGCGCATCCTTGGGCTGCAGGTTGAGCCGCTCAAAGATGTACTCGACGTGCTCCCAGTTCTGCATTAGCAGTGCGTCGGCCTGGTCCACGACGACGACCTCGATGGAGCTGAGAAAGTCCGAGTCGGGCTTTTTCTTGTCTTCCTCAGAGCCCATGGCCATGCGCAGCCCCAGGGGGCTAGCGAAGAGGATGTCTGAGCTATAAAATTGGGCAAAGTACTTGATGGTTTTGCGGGTGAACTTGACGCCAAGGCGGAACATGTCGTCATCATTGCCCTCGAAGAGATCGCGGAAATCGGCGGGTCTGTCGGCGCCAAAGTTGTTATCCTTGGTGATGTACGACTCATCGAAGCGCTTGCGGTTCTCCTCCTGGTCCGGCTGGCAAAGTTCTCGGATCGTGCGCACCATTCTGGCGCAGGAGTTGCGCGTCGGCAGAAGAAATAGGACTTTGGGGCGCGTGAACCCTTGGTCCCTAAACTCTTGCTCTGTTTCCGGATCCTTGGCAAGTTTGTAGTTGTTTTTAATAACCCGATCCCGTGTTCTAGTTGACTGGTTAGTTCCCTTGCCCCGGCGACAGAGTATGAAATGATCTTACTTGAAAACATGATTCAGCGCATGACTGCATACTAACCGGCGCAGAGTGTCGGCATTTCCAACATTGCGATCACAGTAGAATACATCTTGATAGCTGAACAGGAGAGAAGCAATATGCTTTTGTGTCTCATCCATTCCAGCGAGGGTCTTGCCGGCAGTCTCCTGCAGCTTTTGCTTCAATTTGACATTCTTCATGTCACGAACTTCAAATGTGCTATCAGTGCCAACAGATTGCAAAGTAGCCCTGAGAGGGCCCATCATCTGTCGACTGGTCGTCCACTCTTCGTTCTTCACTGCATTCACGGCCTTGGCTGAGCTTGCTTCGTCGGGATGGGCAAAATGCAAATCAAAGGGGTCCAATGATTCACCTTCGTCCTCCGAGTCATCGTCATCCACTCCTTGCTGCAGAACCTCTTCCTCTTCCTCTTCCTCATCTTCGACTAGATCGGCATCTTCAGCCTCTCTTCCCTCGTCTTCTTCGTCGCCGTCCTCATCTGAGTTGTGTGCCTCTTCGCCTTGTGTTCTGTGATCCAGTTTGCGACGCTTAGCTTTGGGTGCACTGGGCTCTTGAAAGCTTTGTAGTAGCGCCATATATGGCCGACTGGGTTGCTCAGTCTCCTCCTCGTCGTCATCAGACTCAACACTCATCAGGTCGTCCTCCACTTCTTCTTCCTTCCCATCTTCTGAGCCTTCAGACGAATCAGATTCCCTTTTTGAGGTTAGAATTTCGTTCAAAACGTGAGGGAGATAAAGGCAGATTACTTACCGTTCATCGAGACGGGCACTGTCAAAACGACGAGTAGGACCAAACTGGCCGTAGGACTTTCGACCACCTCGGCCTCGACCTCGGCCGCCGCCTCTACCGCCGCCTCTACCGCCGCCTCTACCGCCGCCTCGACCTCTGAAATTTCCTCTTCCGCGGGCCATAATTGAAGGTTTGGGAATAAAAAATGATGTATGTAGTATAAAACAGTCGCCAAAGATAGTTCAGGTTCCATGAAAATAATCTTTAAAACACTAGCCACAGACAGTGGGCCACTTCACTTACGCACCGCCACACCGGCTTATCAGCGGGTTATCTTAGCGCGCACAACCCCAGCGGAGCCTGCCAAACGAGCAAATACCCAAAATCTCAGTAGGTCGAAATTTGGCGGCGAAAGGACAAGCCCCTCATTGTGGGAAGAAACTTGCTGGCACACCATCATCCCACCCTTTTTCCGCCGTCCACGAACGCAACTCTCCCGCGACAGTCCCGACACCCACGATCTCCCCCGGTCGAGAGTCTGCATCTGCCCAGCATGGCTGCCGCGACCGAGAGATATATTCACCTTGCGCGCCCGTTGGCCCACGCCAACGTTGGCATCCAGACAAACATCGCGCCCCTCAGTGTCAATATTCAGCCCGAGGTGCGTAGCGAACGACTCTTCACAGCATGCGCAGAGAACAGGCCTGTCGACATGTGGAGGGAAATTTTCGCCGATTTTTTTTGGTTTATTTGGGTAGTGTGAATACTGACGGGCCAAAATCATGTAGGCCATCCTTTCGATCCTCGACCACGCCGTTCGCCGCGATGTCCGTGACGGCGCCCAGCCCACCCGCGTCATCGGTGCCCTGGTCGGCACCCGTTCCGAGGACGGCACCGAGGTCGAGGTGCGCTCGTGCTTCGCCATCCCACATACCGAGGAGGAGGACCAGGTTGAGGTGGACGTCGAGTACCAGAAGAGCATGCTCGCGTTGACCCTCAAGGCCTCGCCCCGCGAGTCGCTGCTCGGCTGGTACACGACCTCACACGAGCTCAACAGCTTTAGCGCCCTCATCCAAAACTTCTTCGGCAGCCCCGACACCGGCACCTTCCCTCACCCGGCCGTCCATATGACCATCTCGACCGAGCCCGGCGCGGACATTGAGACGCGCTGCTACATCTCGGCCCCCGTCGCCGTCAACGCCGAGCGCGCCGCCGATAGCTGCCTCTTCATCCAGGTACCCCACAAGATGCTCTACGGTGACGCCGACAAGGGCGCCCTCGAGGCCGTCGCCTCGGCCCGCGATGTCGAGTCGCGCTCCGTCGCCCTGCCCTCCGACATCGAGGGCCTCGCCCGCTCCATCCAGCACACCATCGGCCTGCTCGACCGCGTGAGCGAGTGGGTCAACGGCGTCCTCGACGAGGACGAGGAGCCCAACAACGCCCTTGCCCAGTACCTCATGAGCGCCCTCTCGCTCGCCCCCAAGGTCGACGCCGCCCAGATCGAGCACGACTTCAATAACCACATCCAGGACGTCCTCATGGTCAGCTACCTCGCCAACTCGATCCGCACCCAGATCGACCTCTCCCAGCGCCTCGCCACGGCCAACCTCGTCAGCACCGACAAAGACGCCGAAGGCGGCAAGGGCGGCGACGGCGAGAAGGGCAACCAGCGCGGCGGCGGTGGCAAGCGCGGCGGCCGGGGAGGTGCCCGCGGAGGCGGCCAGCAGCGCGAGCAGCGCGAGCACAGGGAGCCGCGGGAGCCGCGGGAGCACAGAGAACCCAGGGAACCCAGGGAACCCCGCGAGCCTGCGGAATAGAATGGGCGGCGGCGTCTTCGGTTCCCTTGATATGAGATCTGCAATAAAGGAACGGATGATAACGAAGCTTCTTTTTTTATTTATTTGTATGTTATGGGTTGCTTCACATGTGAGACGCAGGACAAGGCTGTCCTGCACAGTGTCTTTGAAAACCCAACCTTAGCCGCGCCTGTCCTCTCGTCTACTCTCTGACGTTGCGGTTGTGCGCGTTTTGTTGTTTTGAATCACATAGAACAGGGCATGCGGTCATGGGAGAGAATTCCGGTGATTCGGAATAAGGGAAAGGCTGCGAGCCTTTGAGGAAGGCTTCTGGCGCTGGGAGGAAGGGAAAGACAATAAAGTTTCATCGTGGCGTTTTGTGGGCTAGGCAGAGAAAAAGCAATGAACAAGGTCATTTTGTTTGCCAACCCCATATCTTTTAGAATCCAAACTGGAAAAAAAATCATGATACAATCTGATTCTACTTCTGAGTGACAAGAATCTCATCCATCCAGGTGCATACATTGAAAATCGTTGTCGTTTCGTTCTATGGCATGATTCTTTTTCACCTCTCTTATGGATATATAAAATGCCAGATGCAAAAAGTTATCCTGATCCGCCAGTTCCCTATGATCTCTTGTTTTCGTATCATAACGCCCAAATATGCTGTAATCCATACCATTTACGCCATTCACCAAAGGACCGTACCCTACCCATGTTTGACTGTGTAACGTCTCAAGTGTGTTTTCTCACATTCCCGTAGCCGGCTTTTGGGGCAGCGTAGCGGGGTTACCGTACGTGGGGAGATGGCTATACATCTGACCATTGGGTGCCGGTCCGTGTGGAGGTGGCCTGCCATTCACAACCATCGGCGGTGGTTGAGGCATGTGTTGCGGGGTTTGCATCGCCACATGCGGAGGCGTCCCGTGCGGAGGACCATGGTAGGATGGGATCGAGTTGTTGGAGCCTTGCCTGACCATGCCGTACGCACCACCATATGGGGGAGGCATCGGGGACTGATAGCCCGCGTAAGCCAGATGAGGCGGTGCGCTTATTTGAGGACTGCTGTGATGCGACCCGGGTGCAGTGAAGGGCGGCTGTGGCGGGTGAACGGGGCCCATTTGAGCAGGGCCCAGAGGCGCTCCGGGATTGAACGATTGTGTCTTGGGGTTAAAGGAGTGGTTTCGGTTGTAGCTGCCTGGAATGGGATGCTGGCTTTTGGGGTCATGCGGATTGGCATTAGCAGGCAATTGCCCGAAGGCGTAAGGAATTCCACCAGGCCCAGGGTTTGGAACAGGGCTTTGGTTTGGAGCCTGCGGTGGTCCAGGTGGAGGAGGGCCTTGCGGCGGGTAAGGTCCAGACGCAGTGTACGGCTGCTGCCAACCAAGTGGCGGTGTATTTGTAACCATTTGAGGCTGTTGTGCATACACTACAGGGCTTCCGGAAGAGTGATACTAGACAACGTTAGCCGAGATGGAAAGTTGACAGAAATGAGGTTCGCAACTTACCTGTCCCGCAGGATACGTGGGGTATCCGGGGTTCGGTGGCATAGCAGGTACCGGACCATACATCGGCCCTTGCTGCACATAACTCGGCGGGGCTTGGTAGTTGGACGGACCAGCATTATACTGCACGCCAGGCGGTCCGTATTGCGCCTGCGATTGGGGCACCCATGTCTGTTGCTGAGGGCCCCAGTAAGCATGATACTGGTTGCGTGAGTCGAAGCCGTCGGAGTCGCGGCGTTGTTTGGCTTGCTTCCCACGCTTCCCCAAATTTGATCTATTAGCAGAGGCAGAGCTGGTTCTTGACATGCCAGTGTCTGCGTCATTCTCTGCTTCGGAGGGTCAGCATTGTGCATACTACCATTTGCATCGACAGTGACGGACCTGCAGTGTTTTCCTTATCCTTATCCTCCGGTCCAAAGATCCGTAGTCTAGTAATTTTATAATTTTCTTCGCGTTGCTCTCGCGACAATCTACTGAGTGTTAGTTTTGATATGCAGTTCACAGGACTGTCCAACTCACTTTTGGTTGGCGGGCTGCTTATCCTTGGCGTCGCTCCCTGCTTCAGAAGCAGGCTTAGAGGGACTGGCACTGGCTGCAGCACTATCACCGTCTTGTCCACGTCGCATGATCTTTCGCGGCAAGACGGCAGGCGGCGGCGTGCTGCCGGTAGATGCTGCCGGCTGCGGTACCATCGATGCTAGCGACTCCGGGACACGGCAGAAGGGTGTCCGGAATATGCGGACAGATCCGATGTGATGTTCATAAGAATGCGTCATGTGATAGTAGTCTGCCAGTTTGTGGGTTAACATTCTACAAAAGGAGTTGGATGGTGGTATATCCATGTAGGGCTCCCTAGGAGTCATGTTAGAACGAGCATGAACAGTAAGTACAATTATAGTTCGCCTTACTTGGAGTTCTGGACAAAGTCAATGACATCTTTCTCGAGCAGCAGCAAAAAAAGGCGATCCCTCGCTGAGTTCAGCGCAAAAATGAGCTTCTCGTCGGGCGCTTTGCGATAGATGACATGAAGCGCATCCGATGTCCCAGCGTCGCCATTCTCAGCTGGTGGCTCAGAGGATGTACTCTGTGGTGTAAGAATGCCGGTAGTGTTGCTTCCCATGGCAATGGCGGGCCGAGCTCTGGCTATAGCGGCTGCTTCTGAGCCCAAACGAGACCCGGCAAGGAGAGAGGCGGCATCGTCGTCCTCGGCGGCGGCTTGTACACTCGCGCTATCATCTGGACGTAGCGACTCTTTTTCATCCAACGCAAACGTAGTTCCTGATATGATGCTTTTGCCGTCAAGACTGGAAGGCTTAGTCCCGGAGTCTGAGCCGGAGTCGAGTCTTTGAATGGTCGACAGCTTGTCTGCAGCGGCAGCATTCGAGGCGGCCGAGTCTAGGTTGAGCTTGCTGAGCGATGCAGCGGCTGTGTCGATGTTGGGGGCAACCCCCGGTCGCTTCAGCGGCATGACCACTGATTTCGGCAAGTGGCATGCGCCAACGACAACGACGGGGTCGGTCGCAGGAGGCCGTTCAGAAGGCTCCATTGGTAAAAGAAAAAGAGGAGTCGAGTATCGATTTCGATTTCTACACCTTTCGTAATTAGCGCCGCGGCGGTGAGAGGGAGAGATGCCGCTGCGACGTACGTTTGCGAGGACGGGCGTTTGCGGCTTGTAAAGGGGGGTATAAGTAAAGCTGGTGGTAGAAGGCTGCCAGCCCAGATGCAGGTTTATCAAGAAAAGGGCATGCAGTACGAGTCGCGTCAAAGAGATCGAAACAGTGGCGGGGCCAGTAGAAACTCAAAAAATCAGAGTCGGTCGAAACAAAGTTAGTAGAGAAGGCACCACGCAAGTCTCATGATCATGAAAAATAGGACATGGTTTCCAAGGTTTCGAAGACGTTCGCAAGTGTCGTATCGATCGATGGGATTGAAAAATGAGAGCCCGTCTGGTAGGAAGTCTGTCGCTGCAAGGAAAGAGTCAGACTTTGGGTTGGTCGTGATGCCTCAGTGCCGGCGACTCTCAAAGGGAAATATCGTGGGGTTGGAGAAATTGTGGTAGATGCTGAGGAGGGGGGTATTTGCGCTGGAGAGGGGAGGAAAAAGGCCGCCTGGACCGGAATAAACATACCAGCAATAAAGTCACAAGAGGCTGCGTCGCAGTCACCGGTGCTCTTGCTATTGGGTAAATAGCAGAACGTAGGCGAAGAAAGGTCGGGTTGTCGCTGCAAGCAGGAATATTTATTATGGGAGGCAGGTCAAAAGTCAAAAAGTTCTGGGATCTTGGTCAAGCGGCCGCCCTCCCACGGCTGTGGCGTTTAGTTGGATCACATTAGTCAGGTGACTGACTGGGCTGGGTCGCCGAGGTGGCCTGCGGTCGTCTGCATAGCCCGAGACTGCCTGAATAAATCCTATTTTTGGAGCTGCAGTGAAAGACTTGTCTTGTATTTTCGTCGTGCTGAAAGTAAAATATTGTGCCAAGTTATTCCGCATGTCCCTGTGTGCCATCATGAGCCCGCTTCTTTGTTGTACATGGGACAAAGGGCGGCAAGATAGATGACCAAGATCATAACGCACATTCATAGATTGAGCTCTTTCTAAATACATAGATGAATTTCTATCTCCTTCATTGAATTCGCATGATTTTTACGAAAAAGAAATGCATGTCGCTGCGGGTTGAGGCATTCATTCAACACGATCATTGTCAAGTCACGTGCACCAATCTCGTAGCTACTTAGGTAGTACTACAAAGTCTGAACTCACTGTCTCCACGGCTCACAGGCAAGAAGTGGTGTTGCGAGCGTCTGCCACCATCATTTCAGCTCAAAGTCCAATTAAAAACCGGCAAAATGTACTCATATCGCGGTGGTCCCTCACAAAGAACACCGGCCAATGTGCAATGTCAGAAGTGTCTAAAAAGAGATATGTTTCGCCCGCCAGCTCGTCCAAACATCCTTACTGACTACGCAGCACGACACTATTCATATGAATGCAAAGCGAGCGCTCAGGAGAGGCCATATGTCTCTCGCCCATCGCGGACCCAGCAGCTGCGCAACCCAAAGCTAGTTCCGAAGCTTACCAATGATGCCCCGAACCCCTTGGAGAAAAAGTTTGTTCTTGTGCTTCTGATGCTTCACATCTCTTGTCGCAACTGACACGTCGATAGGAAAGGCGCCGCCGATGAGGAGCTTGCCAAAAAGGAAGCCGAGAGGGAAAGAAAACGGGCCTTGGAGGAAAGGGACGATGAGTCGGACGGTCCCCCGCGCCGGGCAAGATCGCGTTCTGTGGACTCAGTATCAACCGTGTCTACGAACTCGCGCTCCGACTCAGTATCGCCGCCCAGACACCCCAGTGATCGGCACGGCTCTAATAGTGACGAGGAGGCCGGTGAAGTAGCTGAGCCGGAACCTAGTAGGTATCGATCGAGAAGCCGGTCGCCGCACCGCCCCAGGGATGCGCATCGCGATCGACGCCCAGCATCCCCAAGGGGCTCAGATCGCAGGCGCGGAGACAGGGAGCCTCGCCGCAGGTCGCGATCACCACGAGATCGAGGCAACAGGGAAGACAGGCATCAACCGCATAGGAATCACAGGGAACCCCCGCGCGAACGAGAAGACGCTGCGCCACAGGGCAAGCCAAGGGAGCGAAGCCTCAGTCCGTTCAGCCAACGTTTGGCCATGACGCGAGCGATGCAACGGTAGAGTGAGCTAGGGGGTCCGAGAGATGAAGGGTATCAATATTTACACCAGTATGCCCAAATTTATATGTACAAAATGTAATGCAACAATTTTCTGAAATCCAGCCCGTGCTTATGCAGTCAGTGCTTCCTCTTCTTCCTTTTCGCGGCGTTCTTCCTCCTCTTCTTCCTGCTCTCGGACTCTTAAGGACTCGACGAGCGTAGCTCCATCCATTCCAGCCGTCTCGAAATCATCCCCGTTTGAATCTTTTTGGGCCGCCTTTTGCGCAGCGGTGATGCGGTCCTTGACCAAGCGCGCAATTGCATTGTCTGTGCGGACGTTCAAGACGTCTAGCTTTTGCTCCAGGTTGCGCTTGAGATCCCAATTAGGCTTCTTCGGTTGCAGCTTGAACAGGTCGATTCCTTTCGCGTCGGCAGCTTCGGTCGCTGCCTTCTCCTTCACTTGTGCCTCGAGTTCTGCAGCCTGCTGCTCAAGCGTGGCCTTGTCGTCTGAGAGGGTTGGCGGCGCCTCGAAACCAAGCTTCGGCCCGCGCGTCTCGGGGTCGTAGTTTCGGCCTGATAGATGCAAACGCGTGACATCAGGGGGTGCCTCCTCGTCTTCGCCATGCTCGTTTTCCTTGTTGCTCGATGGAATTGGCAATCGTTCGTCGGCTTCGGGTGCGACAAGCTCGTCGGCGGGCTGTTTGCGCTTGAGGCTCTTTAGCTTAGCGAGGCGCGCCTTGCGATCCTCTGACGCGGCGCTGAGCGTGTTATGTGACGACATTCCGTAGTATAGTAGATGTTGTGGAAAAGCAGAGGCAAGAATTGTAGAGGCAATGTTTTTCGTAGGTCGGGAAGCTTAACAGTGGTGGGGCTGGAGAAAGTCGATGCCAGGCTGAAATGCGACAGCCTGCAAGCACCAGGAAAAAAAGTGTCGCTCGATCGCGGCCCACCTAAATTTAACCCATGGAACATCACCAGACGACAAGGCGACGCAACAAAAGGATTCGATATTCCGACTCTGAATACTGCATCATGGCGATAAACGAGCGAATGGCGAAGCACTATACAATTTAACGTGTTCCGCAAGAAAATGTACGGCGCAAGGAGGAGACTGTGCTCGGGGGCACACACGGCGAAGCACTCGACATCACAATGCTCCCGTACCAGCCAAGCTCACACGATACGAACATGGGTACAAGAACCAATGGCCACTGCCCTCTTGTCAAACTATATGCGCAAACTAAGTCTTGCATCGGGGCGCTCGAATGGGCCGCTGCCACCGTCAAAACCATGGCTCAACTGGCGATCCTACTCGACAGCGACAGAGGAAGCTATCAGGAACAGATTTGAAAAGGCGCGACCGACCAACGAAGAGCAGCAAAGAACAGACGCTTCCGAAATTCTGACGCCATTTCAAAGCCGCGACCCCGTTTCTGTTGAGGTGCCTCCCGAGACATTCCGCAGAAATTTTAACCTCCCTTATGTATCAAAACGATTGAAGCAAGACAAGCGGCTGCTACAGCAGGCCAGAATGCAGGAACGGGAGAAATATTACCAATGGGGCTATCTGCGACATCAATATCCGGAATCCGAATTGGGTGCCGTGCGGAAGCAGTTCAACAAGTGGAAGAAAGCAATACACCGGCTTGGCTCCGGTCGTCAGTCAGGAGGCACACAACATAACGAGGATCAGGGCAAGTGGTTATACGACTTGTCTGATATTGCACTCATGCGCGAGGTTTGGGATGCAACAAGTATTGAAACCAGGCAACAGCAATGGCCCGGCATCATGCTCGCAACGCTACGCCAGTGTCCCAGCAAGGCAAGCATGGTTCTGGAAGCAACTTTGAACCCGCCACCGCCTGGCTATGCCATTCACGATGTGCTACGCTTCATAGCGCAGAATTTACAGCTTCACAGAATCAAAAATATCCACGACAGAAACGCGATGGCCGGCGAAGTCTTGGCTCTGCTCGCCCACGTGGTTGAGGGTGTTCCAAAAGGTCATGTCCCGTTCCAGCAAAATGTTCTGGGTCTCTTTGTGCAGCGGCTCCCAGCTGCCCAAGCCGTGGATTTCTATGAAATCTTGGAGAAGGCAAATTATGCACTTCACAAGAATACCCGGTTGCAGTTTGCTAGCAAATTGGCTGGCGAGGTCGCCCACAAGAACACTGCTTTCAAAATACTGAGAGCCATGTTGGAGGACGGCGTTACCTTTAACGACGCAGTTTCGGCCAGCACAATTACAACCCTTCTACATTGCAAAGCCGAGAGCGATGGCTGGACGCAGCGAGTGGAGAGCTTTTCCGCAAAAGATGCACTGCAGCTATTCATGGAGCACGGATTCACGCCGAATACAATCACTCTGACAGCTGTACTAGACTCACTGTGTCAGCATGGACAGACGGCGGAGGCAACACGCCTGGCTTTACTATTTGCAGAGTCTGGTGTACCGCTCGATGCCAAGACATGGACGACGGTGTTTGCAGGCGCAAAAGCGAGTCTGAATATCGATAATGTAAACCGAGCCTTGATGGTTGCCAGAGTCACGCCAGTGTCGTTTGAGAGTGTGCTGAGCAATACCTTGCACGCCGTATTTTACTTCGCGGATGCGGAGATTCGAAGCAAGAGAATCAAGGCGCCTTGGTCGATACCATTGTTCCGGCCCATGCTGAAGATATACGCAAGAAGGTTTGAGCTCAAGTCACTACAGTGGTGGCTACCAGACTCGCTACCCTTGCTACTAAGCGAGGAAGGCGTTGACAAGGAACTGGATGACAAATTCCGTGACCGTCTGGAGAACCGCGAGTGGGATTTCATGCACACAATCTTACCTGTGGCAGAAAACGTGTTTACGGCGGAGGGTGACGCTGCTGAGGGCAAGCTGCAGCCCAACACAGCAGCCGATGCGGTGATGCTTCGAGCATATATACGATCTCTGTCTCGTCCACAGGATATTCTATCCTTCTACAAGTTCTTCAGGTCGCGGTTGGAGGAGCAGAGTAAATATCCTTCCCTGATGTTGCAAAGCCAGGGCAGCATGATCCACGACATGTTCATCTTGGTCATGACAGAGCACCAAGAACTATGGAGGGAGGCGTTACATGTGTTTGGGGACATGCTCAAGCATACTTTGCGCAACCGATCGATAGCCAAGGCTGACGGCGATCCCCATGAACCCGCCGAAGCGACGGGCGAGGTCATTGAACCAGACGCGCTCGCCGCGGCAGCTGGAACGGCATCGGCAGAGCAGGTTCACCCAACTCCGAGCGCAATGACTCTGACGATCCTACTGCGAGGCTTGCTGTACCAGGGTGAGAGCGCCCTCGCCGCGCAGCTGATGGAGGTGATGGCAGAACTCGACATTGAGGCCAACTTGGTGACGTGGAACACGCTGGTGCGGCACGAGGCGTTGGCGCAGAACACGCTGCGGACGGTGATGCTGCTACAGGAGATGGAGGCCGTCGGCGTGAAGCCAGACATCAACACGTACAATGCCTTTAACAAGCTGCGGGACCAGGACAAGGCGCTGAGGATGATGCAGTCAATTGTGGACGAGAACCGCAGGATCATAGCGGGGGGAGAAGGGACCAGCAACCCAGCCGATGCATAATCTTTGTACAGTACTTGTAAAGAGGCAGGGCCATAGCGATGGATTTAGCGGCGATACGTTTTATACAGGTTCTTTTATTAATTGTGACAATGGACCAATCGCGCTTGATACCACCCCTTCCCCCGCCGGGACGGGGGCAAGAGACGTGCCGTCGAGCCTAGTTTTTAGTGTCTTACGGTGAGCCAAGGCCAGCTGAAGCCGATCAAGGCCGAGCCCAAATCCTATGTTCCTCTGGCATAGCGCCTATATGGTTCGTAGGGCTGGAAGATATGGCAGTATCTAGCCGACAGACTGTGAGGAGACTGTGAGGAGGTGTTTGGAGGTGTTAGCAGACGGAAAAGGGTTCATATTTTTAGAGAACTATTTAGTATTAAACAAAGACAGAATAACTCAGTTTGGGATGATGATTTAAAAGCCCTAAATTTTTCGATCCAACGTAGTGGTAGAGGGGGGGCTTCCTCTCAACGATCAAACACCTCGACCATTACACCCAAGAAAGAGCACAATTAATAGATAGCAATAGAAAAGGTTGTCTCCCAAACAAGAGGTTTAACTTGCCAAATATCTCCGAGGAGAAAGATATCGAATAGCGAAACTCCTTCTCCAGGTCTGCCAATTTCCCTCTTTTATTCTACCTTGGCTATGAATGGCTGGCAGGTGCCTTTTATATCCCGGCAAACTTCCGCATGACAGCTGCCATCCAACGGTTCAGCTCTGCCCGCTAGGGGAACGCGGCAAGGTGGCGACCCTTTTTTAATCTTCCGAAGGATGGAGAAGTTGTTAATTTGTCATGTATTTATAGGAGCAGGGTCAAGAAAAATTGACTGCTAATTGCTGTCAGTAGACAAAGGCTTTCGTTCCTCGTTCGCGAAATACCCTCGCCGAGCTGCCCCGCGGTCCGTCCGTCTAGCAAGCGCGGCAGCCTTCGGCTCTTCGGCCCTACCATCTTGTCGCGAACGTATTACTCAGTGCCCGCAGAATCACGTACGAACAACATGCTTGTTTGCATCATTTTGGAAGCTAAGAAAAAAAATACGAGAAATCAGAGCCAGCGGCGGCCGACCAATTTGACGCGCAGCTGCACCACGAACAAACGGCAACATCGACAAGACATCAAGTCGGCCGACCATCGCTTAGCCACCACCATCACTCACCTCACCTTGCCAACCTCAGCACAACCCAGCTCACTCATCCACCATGCCGGAACCCGACATGGCGCAGTTCACCGGCGTCTTCCGCGCCGGCAAGCCCAACCGGGTCAAGAGGAACCGGCAGCCTGTGTCCTGCGTGGCCTGCCAGCGCCGCAAGTCCAAGTGCGACAAGCGACAGCCGTGTGGTGCTTGCGACAAGCGTGGCGAGGGCGACAGCTGCCGGTTCGGCATCGCGGCGCGCGCGACCGGCGGAGCTGCCCGCCAAGAGGTCCGGACAAAGCTGTCGCGCCTTGAGGAGATGATCAAAGGCTTTGCCGGCGCCGAGGACGCGGGTCAAGGAGCGGACAAGACGTCCAACATCACTATGATGGACGTGCCGGCAGCGCCGCGCAGGCAGCATCAGCATCAGCAGCCGGTACAGAGCAGCAAAAGCGGCGGCGTGACACCAACGTCGGGCAGCTCACAGCTGCCTCCCTCATCTTCACCCAGCGTCCCAGCAACGCAACAGTCACGCCCACCTGCGCCATCATCATCATCATCACCATCATCATCATCATCATCACCCCCCTCGGAGCAGACGGCTCAGCAGTATCACGGTGCTACGGCCTGGTCCGCTGTTGTCAGCAGCATCCAAGACATCCAGCACATGCTCCAGGCCGACTCGGACGCTGAGTCGAACCCAGACATCGACACGTCCGAGGAAGAGTTTGACCAGCTGCTCGGCCACACGCGGCCCATTGGCATCGACGAGATCAAGAAGAGCCTTCCCTCCAAGCTCTTCACCGACCGCGTCATCTCGTGCTACTTCAACGCCAAGTTCCACGCCGTGCCCTTTATCCACGCGCACCAGTTCCGGCGACAGTACGAGGCGTTCTGGGAGGCTCCCGCGTCGGCCGGCTTCCTCTGGATCAGCCTGCTCTTCTCCGTGCTCGGGGCGGGCGCGTTGCTGGCGAAGGCCAAGCTAGCGCACGAGCCCGGCCTGCTCCGCGCGATCGAGGAGCCGGGCTTCTACCTCGGCGTCTCGGCGCGGTGCCTCGTCGCCGGGCGGTACCTCGAGTGCCGCCCCGGGTCGGTCGAGGCGCTGCTGCAGCACGCGCACTCGCGCAACATGCAGCGGCAGGACGAGGACCGCGTCCTGTGGGCGTTGTACGGGCTCGCCGTGCGCATGGCGCAGCTGCAGGGCTACCACCGCGACCCGAGCCGGCTGCCCGTGCCCGTCGGCGCCTTCGAGGGCGAGATGCGCCGCCGCACCTGGTTCATGATCCAGTCGGCCGAGCTGCTCGTCGCCCTGCACTCGGGCCTGCCGCCCATCATCCACGAGGGGCTCGCCGACGCCGAGCACCCGACCAACCTCCTCGACGAGGACTTTGACGAGGACACGCCCGCGCTGCCGCCGCCGCGCCCGCCCGCCGACCCCACCCCCATCCTCGCCTACATCGCCAAGTCGAGGCTGTCCGTCATCCTGCGCCGCGTCATGCTGCACGCGCTCGCCGTCCGCCGGCCGTCCTACGCGGAGACGCTGCTCCTCAGCGACCAGCTGCGCGCCTGGCACGACGCGCAGCCGGCCTGCCTGCGCATCCGCTCCATCCGCGCCACCGCCTTCACCGACGCCAACTACACCATCATGCACCGCATCATGCTCGAGCTCATGTACCGCAAGTGCCTCTGCGTGCTCCACCGCCCCTACCTGACCGAGCACCGCGCCGACCCGGCCTACGACCGCTCCCGCGCCACCTGCCGCGCCGCCGCCCTCGCCATGCTCGACATGCACGTCGAGCTCGACCACGAGATCGGCGTCCGCGGCCGCATGCACGAGGACCGCTTCATGGTCTCCAACCTCACCCTCCAGCACTTCCTCCTCGCCTCCACCGTCGTCTGCGTCGACCTGGCCGCCGCCGAGGACGGCGACGACTTGTCCCCCGCGGACCGCGCGCGCTGCCGCGCCGCCCTGCGCCGCTCCCACGACGTCTGGGCCGCCCGCAGCGCGTACTCGGCCGACGCGCGCCACGCCACCCGCATCCTCCGCGCCGTCCTCAACAGGGTGGACGACAACGACCGGCCCCGCAGCACGCCACCCTCCTCCGGCTCGCCCCTCACCTCAGCCGGCATGAGCCCGGCGATGCCCAATCTCGGCGCCGCCACGGGGCTGGAACCCCCGCTCGCCGCCGTGAACGTGGACATGCAGACGCCGTCGCCGCAGATGCCCATGCGCTCTACCCACATGACCAACTCGGTGCCGCTCCTCGACTGTGGCGCGATGCAAGGCCAGCCGTCGCTTCCCTCACATCAGCAGCCGCCGCCGCCACACATGCAGCCTCACGCACATGCCCATCCCCTCCACCCACATGACCGCGTCACCGCCGCCGCCGCCTCGCAGGCCATGTACTACGACGCCTTCGACGCGGGAGGCTACATGGCCGTGCCCGAGCCCGACGCGCAGTTTCCCGCACCGACCTTTGGCCAGCCCACCGACTTGGACACCCTACTGTACAACACCGAAGGCGTCAACTGGGTAATTTGCCTCTCCCGCCCCCCCCCCCTAACGGTCCGTGTTATCACTAGCTAACCCTTGGTTCCTTCTCTCTTCAGAACTCGATTGATCAGTTTTTACGCGTAGAGAACAGCACCGGCGAGCAGGGCTGGTCACACATTTTACAGGGTGTGTGACAGGGCGATTGATGACGGAATGAACTAGCACGTGGCGCTTGGGGGGGTTTTCTCTTTGTAAAGCTTGCCTCTTTTTGTTTTTTCTTCCTTGTGCATATTCAGACTTGTGCGTGGCTCCAGAAGTGGGCTGGACTTTGTGAATTTATGGATGGCTTTCTTTGGTCTTCTGCATCTAGACTCTTTTTTTGCCCGTACTTGTGATAGTAACACATCACCGCGTCTATAAGATCATGTCAGCAAGTCAACTCACCACAGGCGCGTGGTGTAACCGCTGAGCGTTAAGTTTTCTTGACTTCACGCGCACCACAGGGTCAAGACTAGTAGCCATTTTCTCTTAGAATCAATTCTTTCAGGAATTCGTACACAAGCCATCTTTACAAACCATCATCAGCGTCGTAATTACAAATGCAAAAAGTGCCTGAGGGATGTTCTTCATCATTCCCAACACAATACATCACCAGGAAATAAACCGCTGGGAACCCCCCTAATATAAATTCTTCCATACCCCAAACAGGTGTGCTGTTGATGCCTTTCCTGAAACAGATTCGTCTTCCCAAGCCGCTCCAGTCGAGAAAATGGTAAAGTGCGAGATGAAAGCCGGAACAATAAACGGAAATAATAACAGGCATGTGAGGAAAACGGCAAGTTGTCAAACAAGGAAACGAGAATCAACATGAATACGCCAAGGGGACCATGTGCGGCTGGCAAAAGGCCTAAATGGAAGCCACCCCACGCAAAACACGCGCAGGATTGCCAGCAACAACAGTAAAAGGGGGCACGTCCTAGAAATAGCAGCGTCAGTACCAGTGTCGACAACAGACGATGATGGGCTGCTTGACGGAAAACGTACCTTGGTAACAACCGAGCCGGCGCCGACGGTAGAGCCTTTTCCGATAACCTTTCCAGGCATAATGATCACACCTCCACCGATCCAACAGTCCGAGTCAATAATGATACTCTTACCCAATTGAGCTCCATGGCCACCCTGACGGTGCTTAGGATCAGTAGACAGCTCAATGGTATACATGCTGACATTGGGTCCAATGATGCAGTTGTCACCGATTTGGATCTTACCCGCATCATTCATGGTGCAGCCCTTCCCGATGGAGACATTGTTGCCAATGCTGATATTGTAACCATAGTCACAGTGAAAGGGGGATTCAACGGCAACGTGGCGTCCAACGCGGCCAACATTGCTGCGACCAGAAGCCTCTTCAGCGGGAAAGGACGAAGATTCACGCGGCTGTATAATCTCAAGGAACAGGCGAGCACGCTCCTCGGTAGAGACACCGTTGGTGGGGGGGTAAGTCAGCTTGTTGAAACGCCAGCACGCAGTGGCCGCACGATCTCGTTCCAGGCTCAGCTCAGTGTCGTACTGGTAAAAGTAGCCGCCCTGTAGCATTTCCTCTTTCTGGGTAGGGCGTCTCTGGTCATAAGGCGCAACAGTCATGCTATGAGGTTGTGCCTGGGCGTGTGAAAGTGCCATCTGGGCAGCTATCTGAGCGCTTGATACCGGCGGTGCGTGACCCTCGTGGTGTCGCTGGTAGTCGTTAGTGACACGATCACCAAAAGCGGGTGGTTGAGTGTTGGCTGATACCGGAGTGGGATACGCGTTGGCTCCAGGCGTGAAGGGAGCCGGTGGTTGCTTGTGCTCAGGACTACCAGACGGGGCATCCGCTCCCTTGGGGGGTTCAATACGAAGGTTCTGACCGCGGTATTGGGGAAGGGGCTCGCGCTTAGGGCCGCTTGGTTGGCCGTTATTCGCAGCTTGTGAGGACGTGTACGGCGATGCAGGCATGCCATAGGCACCGGGTGGCACATAGTTGGGATCCTTTGATTCGAGAGGGACGCCTCCAGGCTTATTTTCGACCAGCTTGGGCCAGCCCGCACCTCGCTGAGGTGGGTATCCGGCGCAGACGAAGGCACCCTTAATACAGTTGTTGCCTACAGATGGGTTAGTGCGACGGCTCAAGAGTAACAGTTCGAAATGGTCTTCAGCTTACATTCCGGCTTCGCCTCGTCACACTTCTTCTTCCTTCTACGGCATGTCAGGCAACCAGTCTTGGTTCGGTTGCTAAAATTGCGCTTTCGTTTCTTAGGGTCATGCTGCACAACCGCGCCAGAGCGGGATTCCGAGTAGGAAGGGCTTTGGTATTGAGCGAGAGCCTGGCCGTTGTTCTGAGGTGTCACAGGGGTGTATTCGACTTGCCCACTCGCCTGACGCTGGGAGAGGTGCTCGGCAGAGGCACGAATTGGAACGGACGGGGGCGAAGACTGATGCTGAGGGGACGTCGATACGTGCCCCTCGCCGGTTGGAGATTCGGATCCATAGTAATCACCATTGGACTGCGAGGTGACAGTTGCAGACTCCGGGGTACGCTCGTGCGTGCGATCAGTTGCTTTCTGGATTCTTTTGACAGGTTGGGTGGGAAGTTGGGTCCTGCCCTCATTCGAATGAGACCGCTTGCGTTTGTTGGAAGAGTCGCTTTCACTTGGTGCCGGCACAGGAGGGGTGCGCTCCAAGCCCTGGGTAGGCCAGCTCTCACGCTGGTTCGGTGATTGAGCCTCAGAGGCTGAAGCAAGCGCAGCCACGGCAATTTCAGAGGCGGGGGCCGCAAGAGGGAACGGCAGTTCGGTGGAAAGCTTAGTAGTGGGAACGGGTGCTGAGGCGGATGCTGAAGCGGGTGTTGAAGCTGATTGCGGAGCGGCAGCTTGGATCGGAGCAGCTTCGACAGCCGGTGCGGGAGTCGAGGCGGGTGCTTTGGGTTGCTCATCGGCAGTCACATTTTGAGTGTCGGGGTCCGAGCTAGAAGTCACAGGCTTGGGCGCAACCTTGGGAGAGGAGCCATTCAGTGCCGTAAATCCAGACATTGCGAGTTGATTTGCAAAGTAGGTTGAGGCCAAGTTCGCATAAGCCCGGTAGGGTGAAGTGAGCTGGCCGTCGTCAACAATGTACTTGAAAGAAGACTTCTGAGCGCACAGAATGCGTGTTGCTTCAAATCTAACAATCCGATAATGTGTCTACTGCCGGGCCGGCCGACTGATTGGTTTGTTCAGATGAGCAACAAGAGTCGTTGAACGCGTGACGCTAGAGGGCAGGGAGCGCGCTACGCCGCCCAGAAAAGATGAAGAACAGCGGGGAAAAGTAGGCGGTCGATGGTTATATAAATAGTGACGGTAAACAAACAAGCCTCAAGGAACTCTGCCAGAATAATTGAAAAAAAAAAGTTGAGGTTGGCGCGCGACTATGGCGGGTGAAGGGGGGTCTGGTGGGCGGCAGAAGGGCGTCTGACGGGTGCGATTAAACCTAAAAGATAGCCAAAGCCGACTGATAGCAGAAAAAGGAGGACGGACGAGAGGACAAGGTGGTAAAATTGTCAGAAAGTGCGATTGAGGCCAGGGAGCAGAGATGTGATGCTTGGGAAGGGAAGAAGAGGCGTGGGTGTGAAGAGGGGAGGGAGGTGGAGGTGAAGATGCGAAGGAATCGGGCTGGGCTGGGGGGGGAGGGATGCTGTTCGTTTTGAGGAACTGGGCGGCAAGAATTGGCGTGGCGGCACGCGGAGCAGAAGTCGAGCAGGCCAGCTGTATCGGTGCTAGTGCGAGGTCAATGTAGGAGGGTACTGTCAGTAGGTAACGTTGGGTACTTAAAACATTGTACTGGCGAGTCGCAGAGAGTCGCAGCAAAGTTGTACCATACCTGGAGGCGTAGGCTGTGCAGCCAGCTCCATTCGTGGGCGGCCCAGCCTCAGGGTTAGTACGAATACTCAGTTATAACCTTTCAATTTACCAAAAGTCCCTGCAGTGCTCTGGGCCATCAGAGTCCGCTCCAATGCCGGGGCGGCGCAGCGAGGCAACGAGGCAGCAAGTTGCGGCTACCAGCCCCAGAAGCCAGCCGGAGAGACGACAGAACACGTCGGCACAAGGCCCAAAAAAAGAAGGCCAGCAGGGGGGCCGGGGACCTGAAGGGACCTGAGAAGGCCTTGATGAGCCGGCCACTCTCTCCAGTCTCCAGTCTGCAGTCTCCAGTCCCCAGTCCCCAGTCGAGCGCAGAGAGGAGCGCTTCTCCGGGGGGTGGCAGTGGGAGCGACGCCTGGCTGGCTGGTGCAGCAGAGGTGCTGGAGGCAGGGACGGCGCTATTCGGCGCTGCAGTCCACTCACAACCCACCTGCGGCGTCCAGAGGTAAAGAGGCTAGCACAGGAAAATGAGGGAGGGGGCGTGTGCAAGTGCGCGACGGGCGGCGCTTGAGCGTGCTGGCGGGCGTCGGCGTACGTGCAGCGAGCGCAGAATTGGCGACAAGGGTTGGACAAGAATTGGGCCGGGGGCAGCGGAACGCGGCCGCCGAGGCAGTGTGTGTGTGTCTTGATTATCGAGAGGGGGTGAGCAAGATGAGGATTGTTCCAGTGTCGGGTCGAATTAGGGCCCTGCCACAGTCAGACACCCCATTCTCGCCAAGGTGTCAGTACAGTCGGCTGTCGTGGCCGGCGCGTGGTACGAGCAGCGCCAACTCGCTGAGAGGCGAGGAAACCAGACCACGACGGCGCTGGTTACAGTCACACCAGTGCTGAGTGCTTGGTCGGTGCTACCACTGGTCGTCTCGCCTGCGCCGCGGCGGAGTTGACTGGGGGTGTGAGGCGAGGGTGAGGGCGAGGGCGAGGACCAGACAGAGTTCGACAAGGGCTGCTGCGCTGCGGTCCACGGATAAGCCTGTCCTGTGAAGTTGAATGAACAAGCCCACCACCCGCAGTAGCGTGTCCGCGCGGGTGCGACAGGTGCGACAGCGCCGACAGCGCCGACAGCGACCGCGTCCTGGATAGACTAACTACCTTATTAGTAGATTGCTAGGCAGCAGGTAACAAGTCGGCGCAGCCAGCGTGTGCGAGCGAGTGTGTGTGGGTGCCATGTGAGCGCGCGCAGCCTGTGGCCAATGGGGAATCTCTATTCAGGCTTGGCTTGCCGTCACCGGCCAGCATGGCGGGTCCGTTGATGATGTCGAGGATTTGGGGCTTCTTCTTACCCGAGGAGAGGCAGATGTGATGTGATGACAGGAGGAGAGGAGGGGAACGGGACGTGCATACGTGAATTAGTAAGAATTAGGACAAGGCAAGTCACCATTTTCCGTCTCTGACACTGTGAGGCCTTTGTACATAAATTTACGCTGTACGGCAATGTTAGCCGTCACTGTTCCTTTCTTGTTTGCAGGCCGTCGCCCTCGCCAGCTGCCAGCTGCTGCCACCCGCCGCCCGTCAACTCTTCCGTTTGCTTCAACATTATACTCTTTTAAGTGATGACAGATGCAAGTTTCCTAATAGATACTAATGACTAAACCGCTGATTGGCTCCCCCGTCTAAATTATTCCGAAGTTCTGGCGGCTTTCTTCTCCCATGACAGCCTCGTTTGCCCCGGCTTCCCTCGATTATCACCCTCGATTATCACCCTCGAAAAGAACCATCCCCTCTGCTTGCCTCTTCCCCGCCCGAACCCATCTCTTTCGTCAGCCTTGCTCACTCGTCAATCCATCCCCGAATAATAGCAACAGAATCGGATTTTATACCTCGACACCTCACAGCAGCAGACGCCGACGGCATCCATCCCACTATTGTGCCTATCGCCGGCCACTCTCTGCGCTCCTCTCCGCCTGCTTCCTGCGCCCCTCTCTCCTCCTCTCATGGTATGACGCCGACACCACAACACAACGAACAAGTACTATACACTGGTATGAGCCGCTCATCCTCCAGCGCGCCACTCTGGTTAATTTACTGTCTCCCACTCACACCCCCGAGACCGACCAGGCCGCCCCTCCGTCTCCGTGCCGTCTCCGTGCGGGTGCGTCTAGCTAGTGGAGGGTCTCCCAGAAGAAAAGTCTTGGACACCGCGTCCATTGCCCGATCGAGGCGCCGCTCAGGTCCTAGTTAGTGCCAAGTCACGGTACACACTTCGGCTAACACTGGCTCTCTGGGTACCGTACCTCGCACCTTCACGCGTGCGGCGTGGTCCGTCGCCCGCCGCCGCCCTCGCTTTCCGCCATTCCCAGTGCCTACCTATAAACAGACATCCTTCGCGCACATGCTCGGTCAATTATCGTCACGCTGGCCATTCGCCCTGAGCCGCCACGGCGCCCTGTTTTCGACGTCCTAGCAAGCAGCACCGCGCCGCGCCCGTCGGCACTTGGTCCTTGTCCTCATGAGCCGCCGCATCCAACACAGACCACCAATCCAATGTATGAAGTGCGTGCTCGCCGCGGCTACAGGCTGGAGCACAGCATAACAGGGGCCGGGAAGCGGGCGAAGTCTCCCAAGCTACTGTGTCCTGTACTGCCGATGACGACTACTACCACTAATAATAACTACCGCTGGCCCAGAACTGCTCCGCCTCTCTAGCCTCTATCCGCATAGCTTGGGTGTCATTCAGCAATGCAACCACACGCGAAACGATTACCTTATTAGCCCTCGGCAAACTCGATCCCTGGTCAGCGCTTCCATTCCCTGCACAGAAGCGTTCTTGTGCCAGCCCCAAGGACTCACCCTAAGGCTGGGTGACCACTTGTCGAGAGGCCGCTGACAGACCGCACTCCGGCACACCAACCACACCACTTCCAGCGCACCTCAACCAAGTGCCCACCAAAGACTGCATGTGCCATCTCCATGTCTCACAACCGCAACACGCCGTCCGTCGTGGCTGCCAACCATCAACCTTGCTACCTTACAAATTCAGTACGGACCGCATGTCGCCTTCTGACACACTTCTTACACCGTGAACACATGTGCATGCCCTCACACAGGCGCCATTTCGTGAACACGAAAGCTGGCGGCGCTAGGCGCGGCGTCGACCTCCACACCAGCGTTTTGCTGATGATTGGCCGGTCCGCGTGCCCCTCATTAATCCACTCCCAGCACTGATGCCCGAGGTCAAGGCTGGACTTTGCAATTGCTGGGTTGCAGTCAAAGCGGGACACGGGTGGGTGGCTAGATAGCAAATCCTCCGCGTTCTGACTGCTCAACAGGACCAACTGGATCCGGCTGCAATGTGATGCTAGACCAAGGGCTTGTTCCACGACCATCTACAACGCTTAACTAGTTGCGACTCCCAGTTTCAATTCCGACTGAGGCTCACGCAGTTGCGACCCCCCATTTGAAGGTCCCAATGCAACGACACGCGCCTTTGCCCACCGGAACGGATGTCCGAAAAAAAGGAGACCGCATGTGGGCGGTATTGCCCCCGCAGTCCGCGCTGCCTAATGAGGTATATGCCGCAACTTCATCTGCGAGAAACAAGCCAGAAGGCAGGTCAATGGATCCGGGAACCCGAAATAGTGTGTCAGTGAACAAGCCTCCCGAACGACCAGAACACGCAGCCGCTGCAGGTTGCCTACCTATGTACACACCACCAGGGCTGTTTCTCCGTTCTGTTACCCGGTTTGCGTCTGCGGAACCCAGCTTATTGGAGACGCCAGTCGTGCGGCAGCTCGCTTGGCATCAAGCAAGTTTGCATTGCACCTGGCTTATTGGAAGCACTACTGGTATAATTGGCGCGCTTTTTGTCAATTGTACAGGGCAAGCGGTGCCTTTGTCAAGTGAGACACGGAGGACTACTATACCAACAAACTGCGACAGCCATGCTCTGGTGCATTCGCAGGGCAGCAAGTGAACGGGAGCAATCATCACTAATGAAATAGACGACGAAATAATGATGGCTCGTCTAGTTAGCCTGTCAGGGCTGACAGTCTAAACTTAGCGTTGCCCAGCTCTGTGAGTAAACGAAGCGCTAAAACTACCTGGGAAACCAAAGTGTCAGACCCAGAGCTCTGGATTCACCAAACTCATTTCTTGTTCCTGGCCTTCAATTCTAACTATTCAGTCTTGGCCAATACAAATGCCTCATGGACAGCCATGGTCGAACCTCGGGACCGTGTCCCGATGACTCGTATCATCAGCGAGACGTCAAAACGTGGCGCACCTCGGTTCTGTACAACCACATACAAGATAATCGGTCGTGCCATCCAAGTACATGCCTCCAAGTACAGCCTCCCAGCACCAGCCTCAGTCGGCTGAGGAGTAAATCTGGCTGCGTTGACACGGACATTGGATGGAAATGAGAAACCAGAGCTCGGTCTTGATAGACAAGAGATGCGCAAGGATCTTGGTCGTCTGTCTCCCACAGGGTACCCGCATATTACAACGGCTGACAATTGTGGCGGCGGCGGTTGTCCCTCACAACTGCGCTTTTATATTGATGAGAACAGGGTCGCTTCAAGTGCCTTTCGAAGCGACTGGGCTCAGCCCGTGCAAGCGTCTCTCATGCAAAAGAATTAATAATTACGGCAGCGTCTCAGGTAGTACGAACATATGCACAGGGTATCAATGCGATTGTGGCACGGCCAGCGCCAAAGCTTGCCGCCGACTTACGGAGCGTCAGCTAACAAACGAGGCGAGTGAGGAAAGGCTAAACAATTGCATTTAGGTGGTGTGAAGTCGTGAAGACGTGAAGACGGTTCTCGTTGCCACTCCCTTCTTTGTTGCAGCGCATCACCAGCGCCACCACAAACGGCACCTTGTCGACACGCCCTCCAGGGGTCCCTCGTCCCGCTACGACCCAACGTCCGAAAACAGGTGATCCTTCCGGCACCAAAAAAATCCCAGAAAAAAGTTCAACAACGGCAAGTTCACTATACGGCTTATTTTATTTCATTTTAGTTCTTCCTTCTTAATCGTTTACAGTCTTGTACCTCTGCCTTTGAACCCACTCCGGCTGGCCGGCTTGCGTCTGCTCCAAGCGGTATCCTCTTGCTGCCGCGAGACGTTCAGCTCTCAGCCGCTACAGTTGCCCAATTTCCTTCTGTACTGGGGGGGTAAGCGACGTGTGAACTGTGTGGGCTTGCGCCGGCCTGAAAAATAGACCCTCTCTTCGGAGCCAAAACTGCCGGCCGGCGAGAAGGAAAAAAGAAACAAGCCTGTGCGGCCCTTGAGGGGTAATGCGCTCTTTGGGAGGGGGCGGCCAGCCTTATTGCTTGTGACAGCGACAAAAGTTCCAGCCTGTCGTCGCCGCCACCATCGATCGCCCATAGTAAATAGAGGTGGATGGCCTTTGTCGGCGTAGTCCGCGGGCTATCGGATGTTGCCGCGAGAAAACAGCGACAGCTCTTGTGCCTGGGAGCTGCTATCCTTCCCGGTCGACGTTTCGAACCAGTCAGCAAACAGTGTGATGTTTGTCCAGTAGACAAACGCGTTTACCCGAGCAACGAAGCTTGGCCTGAAGCGAGTGCAGGCCAGCGACAAAATTGTATGTACAGAGTGTTTCAGACCAGCAGCCGCCCAAGCCTTGGATCGTCCTACTTGTCGCCAGTGGCTCTGGAATCCGGGGGGGGGCGTGAGAACCGTGCAAGCCGTGGTCTAAACGTGGCGCTGTTCAAATTATGCTACTCATTCTTGCAGTCTTCTACGCAGGCAAGAGTCTTGTTCCAAAAATAACCCATCCACTGATGAGCGACGACACCCACACGCCATTCCTCTCTCGAGCCCCCAGCGCTTATCCGTTTCGCCGTTTTGGCCCCCTCGAGCGGTTAGAGAGATATTTTAAGCAGAGGAGCGTCGGCCAATGAATATGATGTGAGCCATCATCTTCGCACATGTGCCAGCAGACAGGTGACAATCAGGAGGCCGGCCGATTTCAGGATGCTGGTCCATACGGACGAGTTTTGTTTCGCATAAGCGCCCTTGAAATGCGCTACGCGAAGACTACAGGGGGGGCCAATTGGCCAGCTTTGTATAAGCGAAACGTTGACGTTGCCCATGACAAATGAGCTGAAAGTCTACGGAGAGATGACTGCGGCGTCTAAGGGGGAAAAAGCACCCCGTTCTATCTAGGGAAAGGTGCGTCGAAGGTCTCAGCCCATCGTGGTGTTGCTTGAGACCACAGGGTAGGTAAGCTGGTGGCTGGCGTGAGGGCGTCTGATGAGGAAAACAGCCTTCCGCGTGGGGGAATGAGGAAGAGGAAGACGTAGAGCAAGGAGGCTCTTTGCCGCTATTCGCTACTCTCTCAGCCCCCGTCTCATCTATAATACACATGTCGAGCCCGCGCGTTTCGGCCTTTCTGACAAACCTGAGCTATGGAAAACTAACGGAGCATGACGAATGCAACCTTGTTGTTGCCCTATTTCTTTCTTCTCTTCGTCGGACCACATCTTTTCTTTCATCCCGGCCAACGGCGTCAAATGCACGAGAGAGCCGCCGTGCACCCCCCCCCCTCTTTTCGTGTTTCTGCATTAGTAAGGCAAACCCTTCTCTGTTTTGTGGTTTTTGATTTTGATTTTGATCTTATTTTGGCTATGCGACGGGCATGATGATGTACGTGAAACGAATAATGACCCCCACGCTGTGGCGAAACAAAAGGAGACACGCCGTGCCAGGCCTGAACCGTAAACACTAACACCGTATCTACGACTCTTGCTGACAAACAAACTTGAATAGTAATTTTTGTTCTATTAAATCTTGCTAAAAGAAAGGGACCTCTCACTGGGTTGGTCCCGTCGTTCAATGCGAACATTGCCGCTCTCTCCCTTTGCCTCGATAATCCAAGCCAAAGACGACGTAGTTGGCCAGCCGACAAAACAACCCATTTGACCTGCAGGTATAATGCAATAGTTCATGTATAAAAGCCGGCTTCACTCGCCCGATGTTGCCCGAGCTCCATCTTGACGCACAGTGGCCTGCTAGCTTGTTTGATTATGCGCCCCCCTCTCTCTCTCTATATCTCCCTCGTGGCATCCCCAATGCATGGATTGGATGCCCAAGAATAGATGCCCGGCACACCGTTCCGCTTCTGGTGGCGTCAAGGTTGTGAGAGTGCTCAGCTCACTGCCGCCGAGCTCACACACCCACCCTCTCTCTCCCATCGCAAGGCTGCGCGCTGCTCAACACGACCGGGCATGACTGGGGGAGTATGCGCGGGACAGTATGGATGGATGACGTGCATGCAGGTAGAGACTTGGCGTCCAGCGATGAGGCAGTGGCGGTGAAAGACGGTAACTGCCGAGCGACACTCGATGCTTGTCCCCTGGCATGCTTCTGATTTCTAGCCTCCAGGACTCCCTGCCCCTCCTTTACTTCTTCTGTCGCTTGGCGCTCTTGTCGCTCGTCGCGCTGAGCACACTGGCGCTTCGCTTGTGCGCGGCGGGCCCTGCGCTGGCCAGCCTGTATGGCTTTTCCTTCTCCGAGGGCGTCTCCGTCGCCGCCGCCTTGTCCCCTGCCGGGGCCGCCGGGGCCGCATCCTCTGCCTTTGTGGCCGCCGCGGCGGCGCCCGTCTCAGGCTCTTCAATCGTGGGAGCGGCCTCGTCGGCCTTCGTAGCGTCCGGGGCGCTTGCCGAAGCAGCGGCGTTGCCCTCTGCCTTTTCTTGCGTTTTAGCCGCTGCATCTCCCTCGGTAGCGGTAGCGGGCTCGCCTGCGGCCGCTTCGTTAGGCCCAGCGAGTGCTTTCTCCCGCTCAGCCTTCTTGGCCTCCTCGATCTTGATCTCAGCGTCCAGCTTGTCCGAGACCTTGCGGGCGTCGAGGAGGCCGTTAACGGCGGCCAGTAGCGCCTCGAACTGCTGTGTCGTGGCCGTCGTGGGCATCGCCAACTTGCTGGGCACGTCAAGTTCGTTGAGGGCGTTGTTGATGCGCATCTGCTGCTGGTTGGACTTGTGCGAGAAGAGCTTGTTGATCTTCTCCGTGCGGAAGGTTGGGCCGGAGCCTAGGCGGTCGTGGTGCGAGACGCCGTAAATGGCCTCCTCTTGGTCTGAGAGCTTGCGGCGCTCGTGCGGCTGCTGCGGCGTCTTCTTGCCCGCGGCGGTGGGTGTCGACACGGGGCCTGACGATTCACGGTTGTTGTTGTTGTTGTTGTTGTTGTTGTTGTTGGCGGCGGCGGCGGCGGCGGCGCCCGCCTCCTTCTTGGCGGTTGACGACTCTTGAGCGGCGGCCTGGGGAGTCCCCTGCGCCGGGCTGACACCTTCGCCGCCCATAATTGATTTACGCTTCTTCGACTTGTCCACGTTCATGAGGTTCTGCAGCAGCGTCTGTAGGCCAGCAGACGACTTAAATGTGCTAATGTCCGTTTCAGCACGCGGGTAGTCGAGCCTATTATACAGCTCCCGGCGCTCCTCGTTGAACTTTTCGCTTCTGGCCAGGATTCGTTTGATCTCCATCAATAAGGATTCCTCCTCGCGGGCTTCCTCCCGTGAGCGCGAGAGCGAGTTGACTGCGAATTCTCTGCGCGCCTTTTCATGTTGGGGATTGTAGTGCGTCATGAGTTCGTGCAGAGCAAACTCTGGCTGCGTCATGTACTGCACCGGCTTGTTGACAGCCATTATCTTGGCTGCCACTTCGTAATATCGCGCCTTCAGGTCTTCGAGCGCGCGAGCGCGTGCTGTATGCACAACCGCTTTACTCTCGTCGCCGTCCACATCTGCCTCACCGTTGGTCGCTGGTGGATTCCATTCGTACCGATCCCAGATAATTGGCCACCGCAGATCAAGGTCGCGGGCTAGCTCTATCAGGTAGTCGGTCTCTTCACGAGTCCATTCTTCGTTTTGTAGGTGTTGTGTGTATTGATCGTCGGTGTACTGCGGGACGGACACGCGCACATTGTATTTGGCAAATGCCGAGTCTTCAACCCCATCGGCAGGTATCTCCGTCGCAGAAGCCGCGCCCTGATCTTCCATTGCCGCCGGTGTATTCGCGTCGGGGTCCTGCTTTGCGTCCTTCCGCCGCCAATGTCGTAGTACCAGGCTCGCATCGTCTCGCGCCGAGTTACGAAAGCCCCGTAGCTCCCATCGCGCGGCCGGTTTGCGGTTTGCGAGCCGTCTCTTCTTGAACTGGGTGACTTCGGGGACAATGGCGATCGGGTTGTCGCCGCCGAGGTTGTGCACTTCTCGCGCCAGGCCCTTGAGGTTGGGTCGCGCGGCCGAGAGTTTCTGCTTTTTGGCTGGACGTGACCCAGCCATGCCGTCTGGCAGGTTGAGAACGTCGCGAACGTCTGTCGAGCTCATTGTCTGTGATGAAGCGCCGGGACGTTGGGGAGAGAAGGGGGGGGGGGGGACAGCCTGGGGGGTAGAGATGCCCGGTGTTGTAGTCGTCAAGCAATCAGCTAATCCGCGTGTTGCATCGCTAATGAATTCGATAGTCGATTTGAATTTGATCGAGGAAAATGGGAAAATTTATTCGAGATTTTCCTCAATGCGTTGTGTAGTTTTTGCGCCCGGTTGAAACTCACGGCGGTTGCGAAAAAGTTGAAGTCCGGAGATTTTGCCCGTGTTCACGAGCACTAACTACCTAGTAGGTACCTACATACAGTACATACATACTGTACATAGGTAGCCTAGAGAACGCTTTCAGCGGATCGCCTGCCTCTGATCTGAGCTGACAGAACGCGATAGCGGGTTTGGTTTGCGGCGCGTTCACGTGACTCTATATACCCCTGGATGAGCTTGCTGGGCGAATTTTTGGTGGACGTGGCAGCTTCGATGGGGGGAGCCCCTAGGCTAGTGAGGTTGTTAGCAGTTGTACGTAGCTTTGAAAGCCCTCCTCCCTGATCTTCTAACCCATTTCCTAACCACGACGGCGAATCTTCTTCGAGCCCGTCGCCAATTATCTTCTAACCACAGGAGACTCGCACTGTCCCATCAACTCGCCGCTGGTATCGAACCCGGACTCACGCCGCATCTCCTCCAAGCTTGCTTCAGCTACCGCGCCGAGTCCCTTGCGATCCGACACGCTGCCCGCCATGCGGTCGTTTCTCCCCATCATGGCCCTGGCCTCGGCCGCGCAGGCCCTCCACTTCTTCATTGACGGCGCGACGCAAAAGTGCTTCTACGAGGAACTGCCCAAGGACACCCTCGTCTCCGGAACCTACTCCGCCGAGGAGTGGGATGATCGCATGAACGCCTGGCAGCAGCACGAGGGCCTCAAGATTTATATCACCGTCGATGTACGCGCCCGCACAGCCTCCCAACCGAGTCCACTGTCTTGGACAGACATGGGCCTTGTATCGCGCCATTGATTAGAATGCTAACCGCGTTTCTTTTTTCCCAGGAGGTATTCAACAACGACCACCGCATCGTCTCCAAGGCCGGTTCCTCGTCCGGCAAGTTTCACTTTGTCGCCCATGAGGCCGGCGACCACAAGATCTGCTTCATGCCCTCGTCCACGTCTGGTCGCTCCGCGTGGCTCTCGACGTCCGCCCCCAACGGCGGCATCAAGCTGAAGCTCGACATGGTCATTGGCTCGAGTAGCGAGATTGAGAGCTCCGACAAGAATACCATTGCAGACATCACCACCCGTGTCAAGGACCTGAACAACCGCCTCAGTGACATCCGTCGCGAGCAAGTCTTCCAGCGTGTAAGTTGGCGGCGTGGGCAGCTCAATAGTGAAGGTGTCGGAAAAGACTGCTAACAATGAGGAAATAGGAACGCGAGGCGGAGTTCAGAGATCAGTCCGAGTCCACCAACGCCCGCGTCATTCGATGGATGATTATCCAGCTCGTCATTCTCGGCGGTACTTGTGCCTGGCAGCTGTCGCATCTGCGCACCTTCTTCATCAAGCAGAAGCTGACGTAAACGGGAGAGCACTGTAACACATGGCGTTTTCTTTCGACGTTTTTGTTTTGGCTTGCTCGGGACGGTTTAATCTAGATGGTTTGAAAAAATGGGATAGGGGTAAATAGGAGAAGAGGACAAGTCATGACTGAAGCTGTTTGCTGCGTCTCGTTTGGTTATAAATGGCAAACTGGTGACTTTAACACATTCAAAGGCATTTTCTATAACTGTCAACACAAATGGTATTCACTGGAATGGGGGTTCGGCATAGCATCACGCGGACGGGATATTCTTGGCAAATGGGACAAGGAAAATCAGATTCACTCGAACACGCAAACCAGAAAGCTCATTACCAAAGGTCTTTAATTCAATTACGAAAAGCATACCGATGAAACTCCTACCTAGTGTTTGTAAAGTCGATGCCTAAGTCAAAAAAATTGTGCCGTCTCCTCGTCTGCGCTTCCCCAGTCTCAAGTAATGTCGTAACACGACAGGTCTAACTCAATGATGATGAAACAAATAATGAAAAAGAAATCAACTCTGCAACGACGCTCATCCGAATGCAGCTTTCCTTCGCTCCTCCAAAGTCGAACAATCCAAGTTTTGTTCCTACACATGGGGAACAAACGTGAACTCCCTTCCTTGACGAGTTCCTGATAGCTCCTCCGCTTGTGCTCACTGGGGCAGAAAACATATTATACGACGGCATGATAAGAAATGGGGATGTGTTAGGTCGGGTGATGAAGGCCGTGGGTGTGGAGCAGTAGTAATAGTAGTGAAAGTCTGAAATGTCGAGAAATGCGTATGTGCAGGATGACAGTGACCGAGACAGAATGGTGAAGCCCTGTTGATGCAATACCGGGGTCTCATAGTTGTCAGTTTGTAGTGCCGTCTATGGCCGGCAACCAAACGACCAACTATTCGGTTTATTCGGTTTGATTCATAGTGATGGGCCTGGCACATGAAAGGCAAGGCCAAACACACGTGCAAATGCGGCGGACTAGTCCTCGTATTTTTCTTGATTTTGATGTTTTTTATCGAGTTGGTTTTCGTGGATGCAGTGAAGGACGTCTTGGTTGCGGGAGCGCGGATCGCTTTCTTTCGATGCTAGCTGCAAGTATATGTCGTGTTGATCGCGCTGTAATATCCAACATCACAGCTTCCCCACGTATACCGCCACAAAACACTTCAATATAACCAAACCGAGCTGGTGAGCTAGAGGTCGCTGACTGGCTGGGGCAGGAAGGAAAGCTCGACGGTGCTCAATGATCCCTGCGTGTATTCATTAAGCCCCGGCGTACCACAGCAATGCTGGAAGACGCCACCTCGACTCAGAACAGGGGGCGACTAGCCGCAACAAATGGACTTGATGAACTTTTGAAAGCCGCTTGGTTGCTGGGCAGCCTGAGCGTTGAGCTGACCAGGTTGGCCGATCCCGCTCTGGGGCGTCATCTTATGCTGAGGCAGGTTCTGGGCGCTGTTCTGGAACTGGGCTTGGGTTGAGCCGGCCGGGGTGGAGAGGTCACGCAGGCCCCCAGGAGCCCGTTGGGCGGATAAAACCCCTTGGGCGCTTGGCCGATCTCTCTGTTTGCCCATCTGCTTGATCGGCGAGGGAGGAGGTGGCTGGGCGGCGTTTAGCCGCCCGACGGTAAGATTCTGTGCTTGCTGGTGAGAGTTGGTATTCCCCCGATGGCCACTGTGAAGTTCCATTTGAGAGGGACCGGGGCGTACGTTTGGATTGTGGTGATAGTTGTGCCCCTTGGAGTCCCAGCCTTTTCCCGAATCCTTGTTGATCTTCATCCAGTCATACTCGCCGTCCTCAATCTCGCCAGCATTCTTGAGAGCTTGGGTGAAGAGCTCGCGCAGGTAGTCGTAGTCTGGGGTATCTTCAAAGCCGAGGTTGCGGACGTAGGTGAGATATTTGCTAAACTCCTCAGGGAACCCTTCACAGAGGTCCTTGATGGCTGTGGTTTGTTTCTTTTCCCCAATCTTTTCGTACTTTTGCTTATTGGTAGCGGCCTTGAGGCCTTGCCAGGGTAAGCCGCCGCGGAGGAAGTACATGAAGACGTGGCCGAGTGCCTCAAGATCATCTCGGCGCGACTGCTCGCGTCCCAAATGAGTGTTGATACTCATGTAGCGAGCTGTACCGGAGAGGGACTTGCGCTCGCGGTAGGGAATGTGCTGCTTCGTCTTTGGGTCTCGGTACTGCTTGGCCATGCCAAAGTCAATGACGTGAATAACGTTGGCTGCCTTTGTGCCAGGACGACCGATGATGAAGTTGTCGGGCTTGATGTCACGGTAGATGAGGTTACGCTCGTGTATCGTCTGAACGCGGGAGAGCATCTGCTTAGCGACCATGACGACGGTCTTTATGGTGAAGCGACGGCCACAGTGATCAAATAGATCTTCGAGCGAAGGTCCGAGGAGATCGATGACCAGAATGTTATGCAGTCCTTCCTGGCCAAAATAGTAGACATTGGGAATACCGGCTGAGACTTGAGTTAGGGCGATTATCGACGAAGAAATGGGTTGTGGAATCATCTACTCACGGTATCCTACAAGAATCTTGTAGGTACGGTACTCATCTCGCAGTTGAGGGGCATCACTCTTGCGAGGTTCCTATATGGGGGGTTAGTAGGTGACGGTCGGGCGTAAACGAGGAGGTCGAATCAGAGCGGTGTGGCCGAACTGGGGGATACTGACGAATTTTATAGCGACCTGCTGGTTGTTGAGCAGGTTCGTGCCTTCAAAGATGACACCAAACGAGCCCTCACCAATCTTCTTGCCAACACGGTAGTGGACACCGACAACATTGGAGGCTGACGAGGCCATGATGGGCTGGTGGCGGCAAGGAGCGAGGATAGTGTGACGGAAGGAAAGAAACGAATCGATGTAAAGACGGGCGACGGAGGGGCGGTGATGGAATTCGGGACTCGGTCGTGTGCGAGGGGAGAGTTGTTGTCGTCTTCGGTGGTCGGACGATCGGCTGGTCAGGCGAGAGGGAGCCTTGGGGCACTACCTCCGGGGAGCCCCCAATAAGGGGTGTTTCTGTTGGGTATACAGACGGGCAGGCCTGTACGGGCTAGGTATCGGCTGCAAGGCGATCGTGGATGATACAGAACTCAGCAAGTAGGCAGAGCGGTGCACATTGCCGATGGGGGGAGTAGAAGGGAAGGGAAGAAGGGGAGAAAAAACGCAAGGCGAGAGAGCAACGAGATGGCAAGGGGAGGAGTAGGTAAAGATCTGCTGGAGATGAAGTGCACAGGTAGAAGTGGATCAAAACGCAGCAGCAGCCAATTTCTTCGGGGGGTCTTTTACTAGGCCTGGTGCTAAAGGGACCACTAGGAGGGACATGTACGACAAAAGAGACCGAGATGGTGGCAGCCTCGAACGGAAGAGGGTGAAGAATGAAGCGGCATTGGCCAGTGGCTTATGGGTAGCATGAATGTATTATCAAAATATAATTCAAGCGCCCGGGATGCAGGCAAGGCTGGATGATGATGCGGCGCCGCTGTTTTGGCCCCTGGTTGAAATGGGGGTTGGGCCGCGGTGACAGGCAAAGACGATGGGTGACTTGGAGGGACGACAGGAACTGGACGCTGAGGCTAGGGACTTTGTTGTTTGGACTGCACTGCGTGGCCTGCGCTAGCGGATTTCGGTCAGGCAGCGGTCGTCACCTATCCAAATTCTAGGTACCTTCCTGCTTTTGCCTACCTTCGTCACTCTTGTCTCTTGCAAGGTTAACGTTAGTATTGCCTTTACTACAAGACGAAACGCAGAAAGAAAAAAACAACCCGGCTTCTGCATAGTTAGGGAATAGCGTGTCTGTATGCTTCTTAACCTCCCCTTCTTCTCTTTTCTTTTTTTTTTCTTGTGCAAACAACCTAATGTACCCCAGTACCGATGTACATACCTGCACCGGACGGGTCCTCACACATGCAACACGCTACAACCAAGGGGCGGGTTCTTGGCCCAGCCCAGCCTAGCGTCGTGACAGTCGGTCAGTTCGCTGCAAGTCTGAGCCCAGCCAAGTCTGCTTGCTGCTTGGCGGCCTTTCCTGCTTGAGTAGTCCGGGGTCGACCTGTTCTGGAGCGCCCCATCATCGAGTTCTGGCAACCTGACAAATAAATGCAGACTCCTGATCTCCCGCCATTCCGGATATTTCTACATCTATTTTCTGTTTCTTCCCCCCCATCCTGCATATGCATTGCTTGCGTTGTCAACCACCAGCGGACAATGGCACGCCGGCCCCGTCGCTGTAGGTACGGGATCCACCTGCCCCAGCGGCCCAAAGAAGCGGTGCGGTACATTGCGGGATAGCGCCCAACGGTGAGCCGAGATGCAGAGATGCAAGATACGAAGCGTTGTAAGAATAAAAATAGTCCTGTGAAAATGCACTTGCCACTGAGAGGAGTTTACCGTCCGACCTCCGTCACTTGAATCGGCACGTGAGCTACTCTCATCGTTGCTACTCTTAAGCTTCGGTCAGTCTGGCTGAAGCGACCGACTCGCCTTCGGAGTTTCCGAACCGCTCCACGCATCCAGCGCTCGCTTGCAAACCGCGTGCCTGACAGAGTAAAATGCCGCTTGCCTCTAACCTATCGAGTTTGCCACCACACGGGGAAGCCCAAAGGTAAATCTAAGGTAACAGGTACCTGTACTCCGTAAAAATCTTGGTAGAGCGCACAGTTCAGCCACGTGCCGTCAGGCGCAGCACTTGACTGTGGCTCAGCGTCCTCCGCCACGACTCCCTCAATCCCGGGTTATTTGTGGACGACACTTGGAGACAGCAAACAAATAATTTACATCGCAGAACCTATCATGGGCTCGGGGTGCCGATATCAATTCAAACGACTTTTGCCCGACCCTGTCAATGACGTGCCCCAGATCAGATGCAATTTCCTGGGGCTGCCAACCGTCCAGCGAATTTACGTTCCCTGTAGCCAACGCGTCCAAGCCTGTATACGATTCCGGGTTACAGAGGCTTTGGTTGCTGCTCGTTTCCCGTCCTGCTGGCACGATAAATGCCGCGGAAACAAAGAATACACATTTCTTGCCTGCAGCCAGGTTGCAACGGGCGGCGAAAATTCAATACGAGTTTCCTCCGAGCAAACGGTGAGACATGTCTTTTTCATCGCCAGATCAACCAGGGATCGCACCGCGGAACATTATTAATAAACTGGGATGTGAGACCATCTGGATCCTTGCCACCCCATTGGCTGTCGAAAGGCAAGGGAAAGGGCTCCTGTGCTCCGTACGAGGGAGGAGAAAAGGGACGATGGGAGAAAGAAGCTCCCTTTCATACTTCAAGCCGGGGCCGCATCTCGGCCTGCCCCTCGCTGATCGCAAAAGCCATTGGGCGGCAGCCAAGATGCAGCTGAGCGCCTGCAGTACAGGTTGCTCTGTAACTACTAGCTACGAAGTGCGTAGAGCCAGGATGGTTGCTTCTGCTGTTGTTCCATTCGCGTTGCACCACACACTGACTAGCGGTAGCACCCTGCTCTGCATGGAGAGTGTGACGTGAGAGACAGCCTGGGCATTAATCCCCAACGTCATGCCAGGATTCTTGGGCTTTGTGCGACCTTCCTGTTAGTTTGCGAGATGCGAGGTTGTTTCTCCGGACAAGGGGGAAAACAAGTGGGTTGGGAGATATCGCATCTTCAGGAGAATTGTGCCCAGAACATCTCTGCGACTTCAGTCTCTGGCAGCCAAAAAGGTAAAAAAAAAATCAAGGTAAAAAAAGTAAACCTGCATGCATCGTGCGTCAATGTGTTCCATACGACCACGTCGAAGAACCAGTTGCCGTCATGCTGGCCCTGGCCGCTACACTCGACGGTTATGCGACCCGTGTATCAGGTTGCACGTATGAGAGATAGTGTTTGGCTGGCCCGCGCAACGAGCTACAGGACGGAGATGGTATCCGAAAGGGTAAGTTGCACCATCAACAGGTCCGTTGTCGCGGTGAAGGGGGGCGGCCCGGGCAGTCAGAGAGGGGCCGCAGATCTGTCCACGACTTGCCGCCTATGGTGTTGTGTGGCGATTGGTCGTGTACCTGCATCAGCAGAGAAAATATGTACGTGCATAGCCTCACGTAGGCTTTGTATCCGTCCATGTGCGGATGCAAGGGCCGCCTCTTTTGATAGCTGTGGTTAGAGCTGGGCCATTTTCTACAAAATGTATAGCAAAGGCAGTCCTTGCATTGCGCTTTGTAAGGTTAATAGTAAGAGGGTGAAGTCAAATGGCGCTGCCACCCGGAGTTCGTTCATATCCCCGGCGGCTTGTATCGCCGACGACAAATCATTACCGCGCCACACCAGCGTAGAGACTAGAATATCCTTAACAGACAGGGGAAAAATATCAATTGAACCCCAGCTAGTCAAGGCCTTGAACTATGCAGCTCGACGGCTAGCTAGCTACGCGATATCTACCGGTATCTGTATAGGGTAATGGCGGCCGATGTGCTGCCAACGATGCCGCTCCTCATCAATGGCCTCCAAATGAGGCCGCAACAACTTGCCAAAAATGTAGATCAGCCCTCACCGTCTCAGTCATACGGCGGGGAATTAATCGGACATACGAAGCAGGCGGCAAGAAGACCCCTGGCAAGTCAACATGAATCGCCGGCGTTTGGAGAATGACAAAGCAGAACCCCTCCTCTATCTCACTATTTTGGCGCCCCCATCCAACCACAATTGCACGTCACCAACATTGTCCCCCGCACCTTGGTGGGGGAAAGTTGAGCTGGTGGCCCTGACACGGCAACATGGACGGCCAGCTTCATCATCAATTGGGGCCTGCTAGCTAGCTAGTTCATTGATAAAAGCCGTGGTACCTTGGTGGTTGTTTCAATAGCTGTCCCGCTTGTTTTTCTTTCTTTTCATCCCCTCCTCTCTCTGTTCCACCACCAACCAGCACAACGACCGTTTGCTGAACAACAACAAGACATCATGTCCAAGCCCGATGATCTCCCTCCCATGCAGTACCGCTTTCTTGGAAAGTCGGGTCTGCAAGTCTCCGCCATTTCTCTTGGTGGATGGCTGACCTACGGTGGCCACGTTGACCGCGGTATGCATTGCCTCTCCTCTCCTGCATGGCGCTCCCAGGTTGCGGAGCTCCGTGGCCTCGTCTAGAACACCTTCGCATGCTGACTGCTTTCTCCTGACAGAGGGCACATATGCCTGCATGAAGGCGGCATACGACTGCGGCGTCAACTTTTTCGACTGCGCCGAGGTGTACGCCGCCGGTGAGAGCGAAAAGGTCATGGGCGAGGCCATCAAGAAGTACGGCTGGAAGCGAAACGACATTGTCATTTCCACCAAGGTACGCATTCCAACGCCAGTTCTTCAATTGTTTCCCGTCGATCAGAGAATCTCCCAAACTCACACCACGCGCGCAGGTCTACTGGGGCGGCGCCTTCGGTGACAACCCCGTCAACAACAAGGGCTTGTCCCGCAAGCACATCCTCGAAGGCGTCGCCGCCTCGCTCCAGCGCCTGGACCTCGAGTACGTGGACCTCGTCTACGCGCACCGCGCCGACCGTCAGACGCCGATGGAGGAGATCGTGCGCGCCTTCAACCACCTCATCAACACGGGCAAGGCGCTGTACTGGGGCACCTCGGAATGGCGCGCCGACGAGCTTGCGCAGGCGCACCGCGTCGCCGACCGGCTCGGCCTCATCGCTCCGATCATGGAGCAGCCGGCCTACAACATGCTCGACCGCGCCAAGGTCGAGGGCGAGTTCGCGCTGCTCTACCGCGAGCCCGGCCTCGGCCTCACCGTCTTCTCGCCGATGAAGCAGGGCATCCTGTCCGGCAAGTACCGCGATGGCGTCCCCGACGACTCCCGCTTCGCGCAGACGAGTGTCCAGTACGTCGCCGGCTACTGGAAGCGCGTCGGCAAGGAGGGCTGGGACAAGGTCATCGAGCAGGTCAACCAGCTGCAGCCCATCGCGGACCGCCTGGGCATCAAGATGAGCACGCTCGCGCTCGCGTGGGTTCTGCGTAACCCGAATGTCAGCTCGGCGATTACGGGCGCCAGCGGGCCCGCGCAGGTGTACGAGAATGTCCGCGCGGTTGCAGCGGTTGAGAAGCTGACGCCTGAGATCATGGCGGAGATTGACGAGATTCTCAACAACAAGCCTCCCACAATTAACGAGAGAGAGTAATTTACCAAACAAATAGTGCTATAAAAGGGGGCTGTAATTGAGTGGCGGTGTATAGTGTTCAAAAGCGCAATCAAATCTGCTCCCAACCCTTTCGGTATACAAAACGTGTAACTGCAGGCAAATGCTATTAATGGAGCTGCAGTCACAGCTTCCCGACGTCCACAAATTGTCTGTCTGTGTAGCCAGCCTGAAAATATTATAGCATTGTCTTAATAATCGGCTGCAGTGGGTTACTCAACAACCTGCACTCGGATGGGTAAGCCTGTTGTAGCGGCGCATCTAGTAAAGCCTCGGAACCTAGCACTTACACGACTGCATCAAAAGAACAGTGACTTGGATCCTCTCATCAAAACTTGGTCCAAAATCATCAAAACAATCTAGAATGACAAGTCGCAACATGGTACAGTCAAAGTTGCAAGAATGGTTTCCCTGGACCACCGCGCCCGTCATCATCAACGCGCCGATGATAGGCGTCGCCTGTCCGAAGCTCGCCGCTGAAGTGAGCAAAGCAGGTGGCATCGGTACGCTGCGCCCCCTCACAGCCCCTCCTCCCTCCAAACCCGTTTGAGCCGATCTAACACCTGCTCGCCATAGGCCTCATCTCGTGCCTAGTCAACGTCAGCGAGGGCTCTCCCGAGCTCACCAAAGCCCACGACGACCTCGCCGCCGTGCGGCAGCTTCTCGAGCCCACCTACCCCGCCTCCCCCTACCACCCACTGCCCGCCGGCATGGGCTGCATCACCGGCCACGAGAGCGTCTCCCAGTTCGTCGAGACGGTGGTCCCCATCATCGCCGCGCAGAAGCCTGCCGCGCTGTGGCTCTTCGCGCCGGACGGCAACATCCGGCCGCACGGGCGCATCATCGCCGCCGTGAGGGAGCTGCTGCCGGCGGAGGGCCGCCCGCGGGTGTTCGTGCAGGTGGGCACCGTGGCGGCGGCGCGCGAGGCCGTGGCGGACGGCGCGGACGTGGTCGTCTGCCAGGGGGTCGACGCCGGCGGGCACCAGTTCCGCAGGGGTGCGGGCGTGGTCAGCCTGGTGCCGGAGGTGCGCCGCATGCTGGCGGAGGAGTTTGCGGGCCGGGAGGTGGCACTCGTGGCGGCGGGAGGTATCGTGGACGGCAAAGGCGTCGCTGCGGCCTTGGCTCTTGGTGCGTTCCCCTCCTCACCAATCTAATGACGAGTCTCCCGGAACAGCCCTATGCTGACATTGACTGTCTTTCCAGGCGCGGATGGTGTGGTCATGGGCACTAGAGTACGTCTCTACGTTCGACGAGCTCTTACCGGCACAGGATTGACACAGCAGCTAGTTTACCGTGTCGGATGAGTCGGTATACCCCGACTTCCGCAAGGCACAGGTCCTCAATGCCACTGACGGCGGCTTCTCTACAGTCAAGTATGCCCCCGAAACAAACCCCTGCCAAGTTACATGTCCGTCTGCTAATACAACGCTTTGCGCCCTCCCTTCTCCGTAGGTCGCCCTTCAACGACCAGATCAACAACAGCAAGCTCTGGGGTCCGCTGTACGATGGGCGCGCCATCGTCTCCGAGATCCACGAGGGGTTCCTCGCCGGGGCCACGGTGGAGGAGTGCCAGGAGGCGCTGAAGCAGGTGTCGCCGCCGGAGGAGGCCACCAAGCTGATTAACACGTGGGCGTAAGTGAGGAAGCCTACGATGGCACCACCATGAGGCGAAGACGTGACGCTTGTGCTGACGACGTTGATAAATTTTAGCGGAACGGGAGTCGGCCTGGTGAGAACAGGAGGCCCGGCTGGCCAGATCATCAAAGATATTCGTCGCGAGACCAAGGAGACGATTCAGGCGCTGGCCAAGCTGGTCTAGCCTCAAAATTCGTCCAGCGGCTAATACGTCACATGTGCGATACTCCAAGCGAACATGTCTGTGACGAAAGCGATGCTAGGAATAATTATCACAGGCGATTTAGCATAATGTAGGTGTAAAAAAGAAGTGGGAAGCAATGTCTCAAATTCTATGTGATGTCTTCCTTCCCAAGCAGCACTATTCCAAGAAAATGGCTTCTATGATACATGAAGGGCAACTTGCGGTGCTCGGCTTTGAGTCGCCGCAAGCTAACCGCTCGAAATTTTTGGTTGTATAAATTTCCGTCACATCGGGCATTATAGACATGGATAGACGTGAGCTTGCATCAGTCGTAGAGGCGACGACTGATTTACAGCTTGGCCTTGTTCTGGGCCTTCTTGAGGATAGGCTCCATCTTGTTGGCCTTCATGACGTCGCCCTTGATCTTGAGCTTGCCGGACATGAAGAGTCGCTGAGCGTTGGCCTTGCCAGCGGCAAGCTCGCCGAAGTCCTTGTCGGAGAGGGACAGGGTGACTAGGTGGATGTCAGCAGGGCAAGACTCAGACTGGGGAGAGAGAAGTATGTGTGTGGTGCGCAAGACGGATCGGACGGGGAGGCTGGGGAGAAAACTAACCGGTAGGCTTCTCGCCGAGACCCTTGGAGACCTTGCCCTCCTTCTTGAGGTCGAGGTTCCAGCTCTCGGTCTCGCCGGCGGGGTTCTTGAGGGTGAAGGCGAAGACGGCGCCGCCCTGCTTGATGGCGTCCTGGCGGTCCTGGTCGTTGGCGAGGGCCTGGTTGATCTGGTCAAACGCGGCGGAGGCGGGGAACTTGGCTGTCACGGAGAGAGGACATGTCAGCGTCGGATGTTTTTCTCAGAAAGCAATCGTGAGGACGTGTGAGGGATGCGCGCGCCGACTGAACGTTGTTCGTTCGGCCTCGGCTAAATCAAAACGGACAGACGAGGCGCGGCGAGGAGAAGCTGCAGGGAGCGAGGCAGGGATAACAACGTACCGTCGGCGACAGACATGGTGAAGGAGATTTGGGGTATCTGGGGGGGGGATGTGGAATAGAAGAATTGGTATAATGGAAGAAAGATGAAGCAGGGTTGCAAAGGGAAGAGAGGAAAAGAAAGAGGGAACGTGACGGAGGGGTTTCTGGAGCTTTATGACATGCGGTCGAAGCGGCGACCGGGACTAAAAAGCTTCCCATTGGACTCGGGGACGCATGTGATGGGAACCTCGGCCGGGCCGCTTCAGTGCAGTCACTGTTAGTGCTAACGAAGTGCCTTGCCAGTAAAAGGCAGGCTCAAGGCACGCTGGAAGTTGGGGACGAAGGTGGGCCATGCAGGTCTCCATCACGGGCTGCTACAGCGCTGCTGCCCCAACTCCGAGCCTGCGGAGAAGCCGCTCCCATCGCAAACAGGGCCCGGCTTCAGCACCTGAGCGCCCCTGTAACCGCTGCGGCGCTCCCCACATTCATGACGCCTCCGCGCCCCCTCACTCTTCTTCTCTTCGCAATTTCTGTAGGGCCAATCTGACCAATCAGCGTCCGTATCGACTCTGAGCCTCCTCGGTAACTGTAATCGCGACATAGCCGAAAGCCTCACGTAATGAGTGATGTGCCGCTAAATCACTTACGGTCGTTTAAACTGTCACCCCAGACTTTGCTGATATAGGCGACCTCTGGGGGAACCGACAGACTCGGGCCATGAGCCTGCCCAGCGGCATGTACCAATTTTCCCAAGGCGCGATTCCGCTGCCGAGATGCAATCGAGAGAGCCAATTCCTCAATCCTCGATTATACAAGGCTGCCTGTCACTTATAGCTATACCATCTCCAATATCCATCTCGCCCGGCTATCAGACCATCTTCTCCTCATCTCTCGTACCGCCGAGGCTTGCCCCGACTAAAGACCCCGTACTTTTAGAACACCATCCGCCGGTTGCCATCTGATTAGCTCAACATGCCCATCTACATACATCTTCGGCACACACGCGCGCCACATATGATTAGCTGCCAATCTGCCTAGATGCTCTCACATGGACAGATTCGCAAGCTACAATAGGATTCTTCCACAGCTTGATCAATGCGGGCACATGCCCGATCCTCTATTAGTCTTGTCTTTTTTTTTGCTGTAAATTCCATGCTACTGTACAATTGGCTCCGCGAAGCCTTCTATCATTCCCGTGCGTGCCGTTCCTGGTGTCGGCGCATGAGCGTTACGCCGCTGTTGTTTATAGATGCCATTCCGGCACCGCAAAGTCGCGGTTATGCGGCCAGCTCTCCTGCCTAGACATCACTGTTAGCGAAACTCTCCCCTTCGTCCCACAACACTGCAACATACCTCGTCATCAGCAGCGTCGTCATCCGCTGCCGGCGCTCCGTCAGGTCCTCGGCCGCCGTCAGCCGTAGCCAGTCGCCCAGCCAGGTCCGCATCTCCGACTCGCTCTTGCCCAGCACGTCGATGCCGCGCTCCATGCACGCGATGCGCAGCTCGTCCACCTCGAGGCCCACCGGCCCGCCGTCCCGCACCAGGCCCTCGTCGTCGCCCTCCAGGAACGCCATCCGCAGCGCGCCCTTGACCCGCCACATGCCCGGCGGCACCATCCCGCCCGTGAGCCGATCCCACATGGCGCCCGACAGGTGCAGGCTGCGCAGGACGTGCCGGCGCGCCACGGACCGCGTGACGCGCGGGCTCAGCACGCCGTGCGGGTGCGCCACCTCGAGCTCGCGAAAGGCCGCCCGTCGGCGCGCCTCGGCCTTTTCGGCTGCGCCGCGCAGCTGCTGCGGGATGCGGCACGGGTACGGCACGATGCCGTCGACGAGCATCACCACGAGCGGCGAGAACTCGCCGCAGATGACGAAGAGCAGCCCGAAGCACGGCAGCCGGATCATGTCGTGCCGCACGCGCCACAGGAGCACCCAGTCGGCGCGCGAGAACGACCGCGGCGGCGACTGCGCGAGGGACCACGCCGACGACGGCCGGTCGTCCGCGGGCGTCCGCGCCAGCCTCTCCCGCAGAAGCCGCCGGTTGGCGAAGACGGCCTTGAGCCCGTCCTTGTAGAAACGCAGGTAGCTCTTGCCCAGGTGGAACAGGTACGCCGGCGTCGACCCGTGCGCGGAGCGCTGGACCGTCTCGAGCACCGGCGGTCGCGTCGACGCCGGCGGGTTGAGCAGCGGGTTCAGGCTCTGCTTGCTGCTGCGAGATGCGGCGGGTGGCGCGGTGTGGTGTACATTGCGATATTGTAGAGGTCGCCCGTGGTGCGTAGCGGTGTGGGGGGAGAAGATCCGGGTGGTCGTCGGAGTTGTCGTTGTCGCGAGAGCATTGTGGTTGGGGAGAACGACGAGATTTCGAGATAGCGACAATGGACCGGCGCTGCGCGCATGGCAGCGCCAAGCAAGGCCTGAGCTCATTGCAAGAGATTGAGAGCTCGCCTTGGCGCTGGTATGGGGCGCTTGATCGTATATGTAGAGGAATGTGATGTAGGAAGAATATGTAAAATATCACTGGGATCGTCGGAAGGACGGTTGGGGAAACGGGTCGTGCTGTGGCGTCGCCCCACAGGCCACTTCATCAGGTACGCAATAAAATACCCCGACTGTGCAGAGACCTGCGTTTCAATCATTTAGTCTGAAATCAAGGTAAATTGCAAACGGACTAACTGAAAATACCTCTAGATAATCGTGTAATTCTTTATCAAGGGCAAAATCAACTCAAGCTGGAAAAAGTCCATCGCAACATCCATGTGGCATGCTTGCCACTTGGGAAAGACCAATTGGGATAGAACAGTAAAAGAAATACTTTCTATGATGCTTGTGACGAGAGATAATTGCTATTCATAGTATGAGGTTAATAAAAATTATCTGCGGTCGTACAACCGCCTTGCGAACATTTGCGTGATGTCGCCATTTCTTTCTTAGTAATGGTGCTATGTGGAGCGCATATAGACACAAATTTGATATCCAGAGCTCGGAACTACTCAAGACCAAGACGAAGCATCTAGCCTCAAGCTCGACACGAAACGTTGGCATAATTGAAATAATACTATCCGAAATGGTATGCTACTAAGTATCTCATCGAGGCGACTGCACCGTGCCATTTGCTGACCTGTATCTAGGTTCACGCCGACGCCTCCAATTTCGACGAGGGCGTCACCAAGGAGGATGCTTATGAACAGGTTCTCCTCCAGGCAGAAGGCCTCTTCTATGGCCAACGCAACTGGGTATGTGATGGTGTTGGCTGCTTGTGGACGAGAGCTGTTTGCTAACTTGCGTAGGTCTGGTAGGTGACTAGAGTGTCTGGGTCAATACTCTGGGATTCTAATGAAATGCCAGTAACCTCTCCAACGCTGCAGCTCTGCTGTGGCACGCATACCAGTCTTTGCCAGCCCCGAGCAATCGCGTAAACTGGTCCGGTAAGTGTATACGAGAGGATACATGAGTACCTGCGCACTGCGTGTCTAACCAACCTCAGGATTCTACGTGCTGGACCCTTCGGCCACCAAGCCGCAGCTTATTCTGGGCCCTTTCCAAGGCAAGGTTGCCTGCCAAATCATTGCTTTTGGCCGCGGTGTCTGCGGCGTCGCCGCCGAGTCGCAGACGACGCAGCTCGTCCATGACGTGGAGCAGTTCCCGGGTCACATCGCCTGCGACAGCGAGAGCAAGAGCGAAGTCGTGGTGCCGATTGTTGCTGAGAAGGACGGCGAGAAGAAGGTTGTGGCTATTATCGACGTTGACTGTGCTGAGCTGAATGGATTCGACGAGGTAGACAAGAAGAACTTGGAAGAGCTGGCTGAGCTGATTGGGAAGAGCTGTGATTGGTAGCGAGAGAGTGAATAGAGGATAAAGCTCAAGTTATCCGCACAATGGCTTGGTACATCAATGTCATGGCAGGAGAGTCAGGCACGGCTAGGGTAGTGGATTGTACCAATGGTAAAAATAGTAGCAGAGGTCTGTAACTCCGGAGTACATACGTAAGTACAACGGCGGAGCCCGAGGAACATACGTCAGGAGGGGCTGACTTGCATAATGGCTTCGCGGCCGGAAGCTTCAAGATCGAGATGGCGTACATGAAGAGGACGCCCGACTGCTGTATTGTCTGCCACACCTATAAGGCGGTTCCAATAATGTGTCGGAAACAAGAAGCGTGAATGGTGACGAGGAGCCGGGACGCGTGGGCTGATGATTTGGTTGGTTGCGAGAGGTAATCACAACAGGCGCTAATGTAGGCGGTGCCTGATGTTGAGTTAGAGCCTGGGAAGTAAACAAGGCGACAAAGCGACACGAGCATTCCAGCGAGGAGACGAAACCTTAAAAAAGAAAGAAAAAAAAAAGAAAAAGAAAATGAAGAATAAATCTTAGAGAGCCATATCCGTACATAGGTATGGAGCTTGCTCATTGCAGGTCTCCAATACAAGCAAGTCCTTGTCGAGAGATCAAGATGCATCCATCCTTTGAGCTCGGCTCCAGGGGGGTGGCCGGGCGACAGGCCATTTTAGCGGGGCACCGGTCGCCAACGACCGCTATTTTCCCTGTTAGCGCTCCTAATAGCAGCAAGAACATTGGCCTGCTTTTGGTTGTTCAGCTCTTGTCTGCTTGTTCTGCTGGGTCAACCCACAGCGCCCAGCCACCCAGTCAGTCGACCTCGTACTGCGGCCACCATCCGAGATCCCCATTCCCAGCCACATTTATACAAGGGAAGTCGCGCTTTGAAGCCGTTTGGCTACCTGGGTGGTCCATTCGTAAAAGAGCTGAGACAATGCTTTCTCCTGGAACTAGGTTGCTATGGGACCGTTGCTGTCGAAACTACTCCCGATGGCCCTAGAACAATGCCCATAAAGAACAACTGAAATACATAATGCACAGTAGCGCCACACCCACCTTGTCGCTGGAAGCAACCAGCCAACCCAGCCCCCAGCCTCGCTGTGGCACTGCCTGCCCCTGCATTGCTCTAAATCGACGCCAAGGATAACCGAACAGGCATCGCCTTGACAAAACACGCCCAATCCAAGCTCTCTTTGCCCACTTCACTTCCCATCGACTGTTTCGTCCTCGGAACCATTTTTGCATTCTTCTTTTCTTTCTTGCAAACATCCTCTTCTTCTTCTTACTTGATCATTGCTGTTGCTTCTCCTTTTTTCTTGTTCTTGCTCCTTCATAGCTATTTCTCGTCCTCTCGACAACGTTCAACGGATCTGCACAAACGGCCCCGCCGCTCCTCACCGTCCGTCTCTTGCGTCCGAATGTCAAAGTAAACAAACCCGCCTCTCGCCGTCTTCACGCTGTCAACCTACCTGCGGAGCGAGCCATCTTACAGTTCGGTGATTCTCTGGGCACGGAAGTGGAAATACCAGAATTATCCACGTCCTCGCCCCAACACCGTCGCCATCATGGCATCTGCCAGCCGACCGCACTTTACGGGTGCCGCCCATACTGCCGGCATATACGCCGACCTCTCTGTTGACGGCCCAATCATTGGCACCCTCGTTGCTATTGTCGACCGCGCCAAGAACCTCCCCAATCGCAAAACAATTGGCAAGCAGGATCCCTACTGTGCTGCAAGGCTCGGTAAGGAAGCGAAAAAGACGACGACGGACATTCGCGGTGGTCAGACTCCCAAGTGGTAAGCAATCCAACCCGAGTTCCCGGGTGCGACCACCACCCAAACGGGGTGACCCCGCGCAAGCTGCTAACTCGCATATCCTCTAGGGACCAAGAGCTTCGATTTACTGTTCACGATTCTTCCGATTACTATCAGCTCAAAATCTCCATCTTCACCGACGACAAAAGGACCGACCTCGTCGGTGAGGCCTGGATCGACCTTAAAAGCATCATTGTACCTGGCGGCGGGCAAGCGGACGTCTGGCAGAGCTTGTCCTGTAAGGGGAAATACGCCGGCGAGATCCGTCTTGAAATTACATTCTACGACACCCGACCTAAGCCTGAAAAGCCCGTCAAGGCTAAGCAGCCCGCAGCTTCCGACGTTGACTCGGTCCGCCAGCGAACCTCGCCCGTCAAGAGACGCCCCTTGCCTTCTGATCCCGTCACTGGCGAAGCTCCGCCCTCGTCTGTTCCTGTTCCTGCAGGCACAATCGTGCCCTCGAACCCGGAGTACTATGGCCACCAACAAACACCTCCCAGACATGTCAAGCAGTCTTCGCACCCTGCTATGATCCCGAACCAGTCTCCGCTGCAGGCCATGGAGTACAATAACACTACTCCTCAGGGTGCCCGACACCAGCCAGGAGATGGATGTGGCGCCTCACCTGGTGCTACTGCCGCTCTTAGCTACTCGACAACCCCCAGTCGACAACCACACCGCTCTCGAGACCATCACGAGACCCCTCCTCGACAGGCCGATGGTCCTGCCTACGATTTCCAGGACGGCCCGGTTCATTACGGCCAATCGGACCGTCATGAGCTGCATATGGGTGACAGAAACCTCCCATCTCTCGACCTGAGCCAACCTCCGCCGCCGCCGCCAGCACACCGCTCCCGCCACAGCAGCGTTGGTCCAGAGTCTCCTCAAGTATCACCTACAAAGGCTGGCCCTTCAACGCCCATGAGACGCGACGTCTTGAAAAGCGAGGCTCATCGCCACACAGGCTCAACCTCGTCTGCGCGTCTCTCTTACTCACACCAGGACCTGCCGCCGTCCCCTAACAGCCCAGCCAGTCATGGTACTCTCCCCCCCAGACAGCAGTCTTATGATGCCGGCTATGGCAACCGCTCCTTGCATGCCACAGTTGAGGATGTACCAGATTCTCCCACAACACCCGCGAGCACCTCCCACAGAAGTCGACATGATAGTGAACCTCCATTACCGCCCCTGGCCCCCTCCTACCGAAGCAGGCATGATAGCGAACCCCCAGCAGCTGCACCAGTCCCATATAGAAGCAGACACGATAGTGAGCCTCCAGCAGCGCCTGTGGGCTCATATAGGAACAGGCATGATAGTGAGCCTCCCGCCGCTCCCATGAGCCTTTCTTATAGGAACAGACACGGCAGTGAACCTCCAATTGAGCGCGATCCTAGCCCCAACCCCTACCAGAGGCATTCAACCCAGCCGCCGTCGGGCTACCAAAACCAGCGCCCTCGCTACGGTGCTAGCCATGATGATTATGATGACAAGGATTATGACCATGGCTACCATGGCTCGCCGTCTGCTCTGCCAAGCCATGGTTATACTGGAAGCTCTCAGAACACATCGCATCACAGCCACGTCAGGCAAGGCAGCGGGCAACCTCTGCGTGCCCCTACATATGGTATGCCTGCTCCTCCTGCATCCCTTCAGCACACCGTGGACCCTAGGCTGGCCCGCGATCTTGTGGAACGCATCAATGAGGAGAGGCAGTACGACAGTCGCCTCACTGGCCAGTACACATCGCCAGCTCGGGGCCGCCAGAGGAGCGAGCCTCCTCCCAGCTACGGCATACAGTCCCAGACTTACGTGCCACCGTCTCATCACCAAAGGCACGGAAGCTCCATCACCTACTCGGGAGGTCCTCAGGATGTTCAAGCTGTCCAGCACCGTGGCCACGGCAGAAACATCTCTACCAGCCCCGCGCACAGTATTCCTAGAAAGTCGGTCAGCCCGGCACCCCAGGCCCACGAAGAACAGCAAGTTTCTGACGTCCCATTCGGCCCCGACTCCTATGATGCGCTTAACCCTAGCATGGTGTCGTCTCGCTCGTCAAATTCTGCACTATCGGGGCAGGATCGCAAAGATGTGAATGGCAAAATTGTCATGCACGATGGACGCGAAGTCGATCCATCTGACCATTTACCGATGGAATCGTGGGCACCCGAACCCGAGCCTAAGCCTGTTCAAACTGCCCCTTCTGACGACATGCGCCGTTCACCGGGTGGAGCTCAGCCCATGCCATCGTCCGGACGTAGGCAGATGCGCCTTTCGCGAGCTGAGACAGCCCCGATGCCCTCTTATGGATATGACGAGCCTCACACGCCGCCAGCACCGACTGGTGGCCGCACTCGTTTACAGAAGAAGGCTCCGCGCGGCTCCGTTTCGCCTGGTGCACCAAGTCCATTGGCTCCCATACACGCGGAAAACCACCAGGAAAGGCAGAGTACTTACGGCTCCTATGGCTACCAGGGCCATTCGCACCGCGGCTCGTACGATTATCCCAGCGAGAACTACGCACCACCAGAATATGGCAGCGGACCGCCCATCCCAGCCAAGATTCCCCTAATGAGCGGTGCCAATGGCGGATCAGAGTTGTCACTAGCCGAGGAGATGCAACGTATCGACATTGGCAGCGGTAGATCACGCCGTCGGGGAGGCTACTAATCTGTTTTTGAATTTTGCTTCATTTACAACCCATTTTTTGCATCAGCACTTTTATATCATTCATGTACCATATTTGGGGGAAACGTGGTTAAGGGGCGGGGTGTTTTGAACGGCGTAGGGCTTGACATTATGATGCCATCGATATCATGTTCGCAGACGTAGAACGATGTGGAAGATGACAAGTGCATAGATTTAAATGACACGATTTATTTTCATGATCCAAGGTAGACTTATCTTTTGCTAGTCTGTGAGGTGTACCTAGATATCTTTACAATAGTATTGTACAGTACGGAGTTGCGCTAGTCCACGCAAAGCACCACACCTGGCACCCGCCAAAAAGTGGTTCACCGCCAAGCTGGCAGAAAAAAAAAGCTGGGTTCCTTCACTCCAACAACTTTTTATCCTACCACATCATTGTTCTTATATATTTAACGAATTCTATTGACCGAGACGGTGCGACGAATTACAATCCATTCCGACACATCGAAAAATACACCATGGCCGCGCAGGTTGCACCGCTGCCCCAGCTCAAGCTGGCTGCGGGCCCGGCGCCCATGACAGCCGAGCAAAAGTACTGGCGGACCTTTAAGAACCAGCTGCTGATGCCCTCGCCCACGAGCTACCCCGTGACGCACATCTCCTGCGGCAGCGCCGACACCTTCGCCGTGACCACGGGCACGCGGGTGCAGATCTACTCCACGCGGACGCGCAAGCTCCTCAAGACCGTCACGCGGTTCGGCGACGTGGCACGCAGCGGCGACATCCGGCGGGACGGCAAGGTGCTTGTCGCGGGCGACGACACGGGCAAGGTGCAGGTGTTTGACGTCAACTCGCGCGCCATCCTGCGGACGTGGACGCAGCATGCCGGGCAGCCCGTGTGGACGACGCGCTTCCACCCGACGCAGCCGACCACGCTGCTGAGCGCCGGCGACGACAAGACGGTGCGCCTGTGGGACCTGCCGAGCGGCGAGCCCGTGACGACGCTGGCCGGCCACGCCGACTACGTGCGCTGCGCGCGCTTCCTGCCCGGCGCGACCACCTCGGGCATGCTGGTGTCGGGCAGCTACGACGCCACGGTGCGGCTGTGGGACCCGCGCGTGTCGAGCGGCGCGGCCGGCGCGGCCATGACGTTTAGGCACGCCGCGCCGGTCGAGGACGTGCTGCCGCTGCCGGGCGGCACCACGGTGCTGGCGGCCGCGGGCCCCAGCGTCAGCGTGCTCGACCTGGTCGCCGCCCGCCCGCTGCACGTCATCACCAACCACCAGAAGACGGTCACCTCGCTGAGCCTGGCCTCCGGCGGGCGCCGCGTCGTCACCGGCGGCCTCGAGGGCCACGTCAAGGTCTTCGAGACGACGGGCTGGCACGTCGTCAACAGCTTCAAGTACCCGTCGCCCATCCTCGCCGTCGAGGTCATCCCCTCACCCTCCTCCTCGTCATCCGAGGACACGGAATCCGCCCCGTCTGACCGCCACCTCGCCGTCGGCATGCAGTCCGGCGTGCTCTCCCTGCGCACGCGGCTCACCGGCCCTGAGGCGCAACGCGAGCGTGAACGCGAGCGCGAGATGGACGCGCTCGTCGCCGGCCGCGCCGACGCCCTCGACGCCACCAAGGCGCGCCGCAAGCGCCGCGCCGCCGCCCAGAACCGCCTCGACCTCGTCGGCGAGGGCGCCGACGTCGTCATCGCCCACGACGACCCCTCCTCCTCCTCGTCCCGCAAGAAGGAGCGGCCCTGGCAGGCGGACCTCCGCCACGGGCGCCACGCCGCCGCGCTCGACCGCGTCGTCGACCGCTCCGCGCCCGACTACGCGCCGCTCTCCGCGCTCGCCCTGCTGCTCGCCCTGCGCCACCGCGGCGCCGTCCGCGACGCCCTCGAGCGTCGCGACGAGGCCGCTGTCCTGCCGGTGCTCCGCTGGGTCTGCGCGCACGTCTGCGACCCCCGCTACGTCGGCGTCTGCGTCGAGGTCGGCCTGCACCTGCTCGACCTGTACGCCGAGTACGCCGAGGCCTCGCCGGAGCTGGCCGCCGGGTTCCGCACGCTGCATCGGAGGGTCCGCGATGAGGTCGACCGCGCGCAGATCGCGGGCCAGACCGGCGGCATGCTCGACAGCCTGATCCTCGGGTGCGTCTAAGACAGAAGCAGGTGAACGGGCAGATCTCCGTTGGGTTGTTGATGATGTTGTGCTTTTATACTGGTTGCTTTCAAACAACTCAAGCATTGTACCTGGCATGTTTACTTGCCCTTCTTTTTTGGGCTGGCGTTTTTTAGGCGTTTGGCACTGCAAACAAAAGGGCGTTGATAATTTCAATCTGGCTGTCAAACAAGACAAACTTCTGTGGTCTCATGACGATGATGGATATGGTCTTGATAAATGCTATAGATGTATGTACAAGACTTATTAAACACGTTAAAAACACCGCATTTGCGCTTCGCGAACCCTTTCTAATGGAAGAACAAGGCAAACGACATCAGTTGTAACCAGCAGTTGGTGGTTCGGTTCAAACGTCTTCATTCTGATTCTGATGCTTCATCTATATCCCACCTAAAACACAAAAGCATTCAATCCGCCCTTCTTTTATGGATTGATAGAGTAAGAAATTCCAGACCTTTGCACGCACGAAACTTGGGGTATCCTCCAGTGGTATCTTTTCAAGGTCGCCACGCCAGTACGAGGGGAAAAAGTGATAGATAAACACGAAACGCATTGGAGCGAAAATTGGAACAGAGACAAAACTTTGGAATAATACAGCAAAAGGAAAAATCAGGCCAAGCCTGGAAGATGCTATAAGGATATGATCCAAGAGTTGGAGAAAAAATGGCATAACAGGGATATATATATGTATGCGTGCATGGTATACAAAGGAAAGAAAGAAATGCATACAGAAGAAAAAAGGTATATGTAATAAGAATGAGTCAAATGATGACATAAAAGGTAGAAGAATGCTCGCCACGTAAAACGGCCGCTCACCATGGTGCATAAAGAAAGGAATCAAGTTCAAGGTTAACAACACGGCTCATAAGCTTGGAGCCAAAAGAAGGAGAAGAACAAAAAGAAAGAGGTATATCGTCATTGCTCCGTCATCGGCACAGAATGTGTCGCCGTTTCACATTACACACAAAGAGGGTCGGGTAGCGAGCGTCACATGGGAGCTGGCGTCGACCGATCGTTAGGCATCTGTGGCGTTCCCTCGCCTTCGATAGTATTCCTCGGGGGCGGCATGTCCATGCTATCAGAAGACATGCGTGGTGTTGTACTCTGCGCATTGCCCATTGCAGATCCCGTGTTGTTGGTGTTGGTATTGTACGAAGGTTCAATGCCCCAGAAGTCGTTCTGAAGTCCTTCCAGAATGTGCATATCAATTCGTAGCGAGCTCGTAGCCGTAGCCGATTGGCGCAAAAAGGCAATCGTCCTCTGGAACAAATGGCGAAGGAGCTTCTCATCAACATACTGACCCATGATGGGATCTTTGAAAGCGGCGGACAAGACGAGCAAGTTGCCCCATTGGGCGTGCGCGGTGCCGAAAACACTCGTAATGACGGGCCGTTTGTCGCCAAGTCCATGGAAAGCCCTGGTGCTCTCAACAAGTGCCTTAATGGCCTTTTCAGCGAGCTCAAGAATGTGAGGGTCCAAGTCCTGTACATTCTTTGCGTGAGGATCAATGCGAGGGGCTTCGACTTCAGCGCGGAACTCTGACGAGGGCTGCCCTGTGCTCGGATGTTTCTTAGCAAAAGAAAACTGCAACATCTGCCGCAGGAAGGGCCGATATGTCAGGACTTGAGCCCCCCAGTACTTGGCACGGAGTCTTGCGGATAAAATGTCAGAGGCAGGAGGATCGTCTTCTCTAAAGGCGAAACTTGGCGCCACCCATGCCATTGACGAAACCGCAGCGGAGACTAAATCCACATCTTTATATGGTATATCATCTCCTTTGTCTGACTTTGCATCGGACGGCGCGTAAAACATGCGGTGAATACTATTGAGATGTGTTCGCAGGTAAAGCTGACCAAGGTAACTGTCGAGAACTGGCTGGGGAAAGCCCTCGAGCAAGCTCATATTTGGATGCGGAATGTCCATTTCATAGTTCAAGAGGCCTGAAGCTGGGCAAGGGAGTTCAGCAAGTAAATCACTCTCCAGCTGCAGACACGTCCAAAACGCCAACGAAAGTTGGTTATACTTGGTGTCTTGCGCGAGCTTGTTCGTGTTTCTGAGTGTTTTGAGCTTCTCCAAGCTCGGCCGCATAATCACTTGGAGCTTGTGACCGGCTGCATGAATGAATGAAAAGCTCTCCAGCGGTCGCCCAAGTTGGCCATAATAGAGACCAGCAAAGATGTAGGCATAGACGTTTTTCATATTGTTGTAAGATCCGAGATGATTGCCCAGAATGTCTGATGCAAAGACAAAGTATTCAAGGCCTGGGATATTCTCGTAGTTCTTCTTCAGCAGGCCTGAACGAGTATTGCCCCCCAGAGACGAACGGCGACCGTGGCATGGACGTTCCTGTTCACGAGGAGACGCCAAACTTGACGACTGCGAGCGCGTCTCGCTAGGCGGCGAGCCCTTGGGCGATTGAGGGATACCATTGAGATGAAATCTTCCGCGGGGCATTGGATCGCCCACATGAAGGGCATCAGGCACATAGTCTCGATGCAGACAGATCTTGCCAAGCGCCAAAACGGTCAGCACAAGCGCCGTGTGTATCGTTCGATTTGGTCGAGCAATTCTGGTAGTCGGTGATGACGCCGATGAGCTCTCGATACTATCGGGCGGCCCCGGGGATGACCTCTTGCGTTTTGCACCGGGAGGTTCCATTGAACTACTAACAGCCCATGCTGTGCTGGCTTTGCTACTCTGCTTGTTGCCGGCCAGCGGAAATGAGTCGAGAAACTGGCGCACCCATTGATCGAGTATTGGGGGTTGAACGATAGGATGCATGTTAAGCATATTGTCTTTGAAACTTTGGACATATTGCCAAACCTTGGTCTCGGAAAAGTCAGGATTGCCATCAGGACCGAGAACTCCGCTTCTATAATCGACTTGATCAAGTGGGCTAAGGCCACCCATGTGACCCCAGTCTGCTGCTTCTGTTATTGTTGATGGTGACGGAGAGTCGGATGAGTCGTCTGGTATGTCGACACTTTGCTGATCAGGTTCGCGTTCGCGCTGCCTGCGCGACATTCTGTTGTCCTCGCCACGCCCAAACAAAATTAACGAACCTCGGTTTTGTTCTTGGCTGATAGGGTATTCTCCTACATAACTTATACCTTCGCGCTCGCAATGGTGCTTCGTCAGTGCTCGAATGGATGGCCAGTAAAGCAGGAGACCAGCTAGTGTTGTATGGTTTGGAGGGATGGCCGGCTCGCCGGGGGGGATCGGGCGACCAGGCTCGGCCTCGACTTCGTCCTCGGGTAAGGTACCTTGATCGGCAGCTGTAGCAGCAGCAGGGTCTTGCACTTGGTAGTTGACGATTGCCTCCCCATTGATCGGCGTACCCTCAATTTTGCACCGATCCTCCACAGCCAGGTCCAGGTTGGCAGCGGCGTCACTTTTGGGTGAAACAGACGTTTCGATTTTTGTGAGGCGTTCACTCATCCGGGCGAAATGCTCAGCAAGGGTGTTCAGTTGGTTTTGCATCATGTTAATGCCATCGAGAATATCCGATTGAGTTTTGTCGGCGCTGCAATTCAAAGGTCAGTATTGAGGGGAAGAACGTATGAGGCCGGACAAAACTGACACTTTCGGTGGCGGGTCGCGATATTTGCACTCGGTACCTCTGTCCCTGCATGTTTTGCATGGTCTTAATTCGTCACATTTCGCTTTCAGTTGACGGCACGAGTCACAAGCCTAGTTTGAAGAATTAGCCGTGTTCAAAGGGCTAGGGAGAAGGATCACAATCATACCTGCGAGGCTCTCGTATTCTTCTTCTTCACCGGTTGCACACTTGAAGACGTATACATCCCACCACCATACATGGACTGATCCCCAGGCGTGTAAGTGGGCTGCCCTTGAGGTTCGTATGATTGTGGAGGTTGCATGGATGGTGAAGGCCCGCTGTGATGACGATACGACGAAGGCGTTGGAGGAAGCTGCGGTGTAGATTCATAATTCACATGACGCGGCGGCTCAGAGGAATAGGAATGGGAATGCGGAGGAGGGGCAGAGTGATGCGAAGCAGAGCTATGGCCGGTGTCAATAGCATGGCTGCCTGATGTCGGGCGACGGCTGTCATCGGGACCTTCTCGCTTTATGAGGGAATCTCGGGAGGAATAGGGAGGATAGTGCGGCTGGGCCGGCGAGTGAGGCGGCGGCGGCTGCGATTGAGACTGAGAGTGGCGATAGTGGTCGTGCATAGGAGCGAGGGCGTCCTGGTCGTGATGGCGGCGGTCGATGTCAGGATGGTGTAAGATGCCATGCCCAGAGGCAGAAGGAGGATGACTGGGTGAGATGTCGGCGTGCCGGGGCGGGTAGGACTGATATCCGGGAGCAGCGGAGGATGGATGTTGAGAATGGGAGGGCGGAGGCAGGTGAACCGCGGAGTGCGGGAGCGGTAACGTGGTTGGCTGCTGCGAGGTGGTACTAGACCAGGACATACGAGCCCGTTTGCTTTCGCGAGGGAGATCCATCTTTGTGTATTGTGAACAGGGCCAGAGACACACAGGCTCATAGCCGTGGGTGAGTCGAGTGGCAAAGCTAGGACCAAGCGAGGCAGGGAGCCATGGACGGGAGCCGAGACGACACGACGGGAAGAACCAAGCCGGGTATCGCGATGTCGCGGCCTTGGGGGAGGAGTCTATGGGAGCAGGAGAAGGCTGATCAAAGGTGTGGTCTCCCAGCCTGGCTGGCCGACATGGGGTTGGGCGACGACGTGGCTTGGGGCGCTGTCAGTAGCTACTGACCAGAGAAGCAAAGGCTCTCTGCTGGCAGAGGAGCAGTGGCGTATGTAGTACGATGATTTGTGTGTGACACGGCAGGGAAGCGATGAAGATGAGCGATGAACTGGGACGCGCCGACAGGAAGCGCAGTAGGAGGACGCAGCGCAACGCGGACAAAGACGAATGAGAAGGGCGCAGGCGACGCTAATGTTAGAAGCGGTGAATCGACCGAGACGGGAAACGATTCCAGATCAGCAAGAGAGAAAATCCCGAGGCGCTCGTGGTTGGAGTTGAAGGTCGAGGAGGACGAGAAGCGCAAAGCAGAGCGGCGGCGTGTGGGGCGTGTCGCGGAGAGACAGGGCCAAACAAAGCTTGCCTTTTGCGGGCTGAAGAGCAGGAGCGGTACCACACTCCAGAGGGACGGACAGGGATAATGTCGGGTCGGGTTGAGGTGGCGAGTGATGGGCCGTGTATGGGAAAGGCGGCGCGCAGGAGGTTGCGATGCGGCGTACGGGTGTTTGCGCCAGCGGCCGCAGGGACGGAGGAGAAGCGGCGGTACTTGTATGGGTGGTAGCAGCAGCAACGGTGTAGGTGGGCTGCAGGGCCAGCGGGTGTGTTGGGCATGAATATGCACGAGAGAACAGAGCCGAAGGGGGGTGGAGGGGAGGAGGGGATGGCCGAGAGGGATCGAGAGGGAGGTGAAGCAGGCCAGACAGAGCGACGCGGCGGGCGACAGCAGCGAGCAAGGAACGGCGGCGAGCCAGGGCTAACTACCTATTTACCCGCAAGGAGGGACTGGGCAGGCAGGGTAGGTACCCTTTTACTGGCGGGCGTTAGCCAGGCGGCGTTGGAGACGGCGAAGAGAGGGAGAAGGAGGCTGATGACGGGGGGTCGTAACGGAGCCAAAGCAGATCTGTGATGGACCGGGCGCGCGCGCGAGATGGGACAGAAGACGGCAAACGGGTAGGTAGGTCTGCAGGCCAACTGCCTAGGTGGTAGAAGCGAGCAAGGAGGAGTTGTGTGAGATGCATGTACAATGCAATGCCGTGCGTGGCTGAAAATGTGGTCGCGGGAGACTTGTGCTTGTGTTGGGTGGGCGCTGGCGCTCGGCGCAAAGAGAGCTGCAAGTCTTGCCATGTACAATGTACAGCGTACAATGTAAATGTACCTCAAATGGGAAAACAATGCTCAAGTCGGTATCCGTACCTGGATACCTGCCTAGTACCTATTCCGTAAAGTGTACGGATGGATGATCGCGCGCTGCTTGGAAGCAGATGTCTGGTAGCCGATACCGTCTGACTGAGTCTGTCCGTCTGCGGTGGCTCGTGGCGGCGGCGGCGGCGACAAAAGACGGTAAAGCTGCCGTGAGGTATTCACTTATCGCTCATCAACAAGAGCGCCAAGGCGCAACGCAAAGACGCAAAGACCCAGACACTTGACCCGAGGACCCAAGAAGGACCCAAGGCTGCGGGTACTAGCTCCTTTACAGTGTGGGCCAGCTCCCAGCTCTGAATGCGCACATGAGCTGTCCTGGTACTTTTCTGTCTCGTTGTGTCTCGTTTTTTTCCTTCTGGTCACAGTGCGGGACGGGCTAACAAGCCCAATTGCCTGGCTGGGCAAGGGTGCGTGCCTGCGGACAAGGGGGGGTGATGCATGGGCCGCGCTCCGTCGCCAAGTCGGTATGCATGGGCATGGTTGCTAGCTTGTAATGAGTCGATGGTCAAGAATGGGGTAAGGAGGGGCGAGCTAGCAGCCAGGCAAATACTAATTAGTTGAAGTCCCGTCATTGTTGCGAGGTCAAGTGGTGCTCACTCTGGAGTTGCAGTGGTGGTGGTGGTGGTGTGGTGCGGGACGAGTTCCAATGGAAGACGGATCAGCAAATAACTAGTTAGATGGCTGGTCTGCAGGAGGATGGACTGGCAATCGCATCTCGGCGCGTCGGGGAGGACGCGGATGGGAGGATAGGGCGATAGGGATCAAGTGAGGTTGCAGGTAGACGAAAGTGAAGCTGATGACGCGAGTGTTCTTTGCGTATGCGGTGTTTGCTGTGGTGTTGTTCTGCAAACGGAGAGCCCGTTTTGTACACACTGGAAGTTGGTACCTGAGGAAGGTAAGGTACTACCTCCCGCTTCTAAAGTTACCTGCCTGCGTATGAGCTACTAAAACTATGTACCTTAGACAGCTCTGTATGCAAAACACAATCACACAGGCAAAGACGGCGAGACTCCATCGCCAAGTCGTAAACTTTGGCAAAAGCCCATCAAGCATCAATCTCGAGGTGGCTCGCTCCTCCATACTCATCTCTTACCTTGCGCCACTTGAGTCTTTCCGTAAATAATACTGAGCGCAGCCTCCCACCCCTTTGGCGCCTCTTTTCCGTTCATTTCTTTGGCATCCACAGGATTGCCCTCTCCCCTCTTTTTATTTTACTTGTTGTCAAACGCGGCTTTTTTGCGCAGGTTTCAATTACGAGCAAATTGATTAACGATTTGCCCTTGCCTTTCTCGTCTGTGCCCAATGTTTCTCTTCAGCGTCGATTGTCAGGCTGCATGTACTGAGGTAGTCAGGTTGTCACGGCGCGTGGCCAACTCGCGGGGCTGTTGCAATAAGTTGTACGGTAATTATAAGAGCAGGGATTTCATTGGCTAAACGAACCAAACATGCAGCTCTTTGCTGGCGCAAACGAGGCGAGGAGATTGCTGCAAGATACTTCTCTACCTTGTGGTACCTGTTTCGGAAGCATCCACTCGCTTCCTGCACCGCATCCGTGACTTCACCCGCAGGTACTCGTGGTAGGTAGCTATTACAATTGTAGCCACAAACACTCGCCTCGTCACCTCCATTACCACATTGCCACATCACCACATTACACATTATCACATCTTCACCTAAGATGTACTGAAGACCTTGGGCGCAAACCTCCTCCTGCAGCTCCTCGCGGGAGTTATGCCGCCCCAAATCATATCTTGACGATCAGCATCATTCTCTCTAGACCAATCTGCTTCGGAATCCACCCATATGCAGCCCGCTACCACCCCCCGCAGCCGTCTCTTGTTCTCATGCTTCTCATGACGCCTCTCTCTCCGCCTCCCTCTTGTTCATGACCATCTGGACCAGCCCGGAATTTAAGCTGCTGGTGCTGCTGCCGCTGCTGCTGCAGGTCTACTCTCCCACCCTGGCTAATTAGTGTTCTGTGGCGCACATCTTTCTTCCCCAGGCCCAGCTCGGTAAATAGCCCGCAAACCCGCCCGCTACGGACCGGAGCGAGGCGAGCCCGCGAGGGGCGGCAAGATGGTGGTGGTGGGTGTCATCATCAAGAGCCCACCGCAGAGCTCCCTGCTGTGGCGTCGCAACCAAGCCGAAACTACCTGGGTAAAACACGAACGACGCAATACTTGTAAAGTGCCTTGTCCTATCCCTTGCCAGCCGACCATGTTACTGATAAGCCGCTTGATTCTCCCAACTGCGAATTCCACCAAGGTCTTGGTGTTTGGCGTCCCTGGATCACTCGCCTCAGCAGCTAACCGACTGAAGAATAGAATGAAAAATGCCTTCTCGGAGACCATGCTGCATGGTGGACTAAAATAGATGCAACGGCGAGACATTTATAGGTTTTTTTTTTTTTTAGAAAGGGGTTGGGTGTCACCAACGCTCTGCAGGAATAAAAAGAAGAAAAAAAGAGGGAAAAGGACAGAAAGCCCCCTTATATTTGCTGACGGCATGAAGGAAAATAGAACACTTTGATAAATCTATGAAAGAGCATTTATTTTTCTTAATGATCAGTTGCACTCATCGAATGACTCGGGTTCTTCAACAAAGTTTGGGAAACTGGAATGCAACATTGATGCCAATCTACGCATTGGACCGCGAACTCTGACTGCGGAGTACTCCATCTACCGAATAAAGTCTACCAAGGCCGCGCTACGCGGGGTTATTATCGGCTGGTGCTTTACCAAGCAACTACCCGGTAACAACACACTCAACATGTTTCGCTGGCCCCCGTGCAGTTACACGCGATGTATGTCTCGCCCACTGTGGTGGGAGACATGCTGCTTTACTCGGCCCGTTGACTCGCCTAACGCTGTTCGGCTGGTTACCGGCCGGCTGGGTGACCAGGGAACCAATGCCTCCAGGACGAGATCTCACCTCGAAATCGACAGCGCATCCATCAACCACCAACCAGTACCCGTAAAGCAACAACTATTCGTGGATGGATATATTGGCAGATTAACCATTCTGTGTACCATTTCACCAAGCTGACCAGTTACGCCAAACCGGGCTATCCGTTAGCACCAAGGGGGCGCTTACCACATCTCCGGGTCCAAGTGCAACATTCCCTGACACAGAGAACTGCTGGGAGGGCGCACCAACCTACGGAGTAACTACTGTAGTTACTGGTAACGCACGGAACTCGGAAATCCACAGTTAATTTATTCGCACCTTGCCGATGTTCCCATCCTCGTTTGTTGAACCCTCCACGCCAGGAAAGGCTGAATATTGCTCCGTTACTCCGTAGGAGTAATTCGTACCTTGACCAGAGTTCTTTCCCCTAAGCGAACAAGAAAGAACTCTTTAATAAAACCAGATCCGGGTTGAGTCCAGCCACAACTTCCATTCCCGCGACTCGACCGCCGGAACGCTAGCATCCGAGCACTATGTCTCTCAACACTCCCCAGCGTGGCTGGGTTCCTGCACGGATGACGTTCCCCCTCGTCGCTTGTCCGCACTTGGAGATCTGCCGAGTCCCACAAACAGGCTGGGCTCTGTTGAATACCCGCAGGAGAACTGCCATGATATTCAGCCCGCGTTTCTAGAATGGCGTCTCAGTGCGCCCCTTATACCGAAGTTGCGCAAAGCCCTGATAGAGGCCGCAAACTCTGGCCTAGTAATTCAATATACCGGATCACAGTACGGATATTTTCAAAGGCTTATTCGGACCGTCTTTGGTAAATGCCAAGTTAAAGGAGGGTGATCTGCAATACCGCTTACTTCGTGACAACTTTGCCTTCCGGATTCAACTGAGTAAAGAGTAGATTTTCTTCCCCAGCTAGATGTGATACAAAAGTACAACTTACACAGACAATCTGCAGTTTGACCTCGATTACAGATGTATCTTGTTATCACACATGCCAATACTCGCAACTCCGTAGAGAAGAAGGGAATGTCCTGACGGCAAATACAGAATATGCTCATTAAGCTTAACTATCGGCAGCGCTACCAAGGCCTCGATCTGTATCCGCATATGCTAACTAGGTCAGCCAAGCTTGTATTTTTTTTTTGGCGAGCAATAGCGACGGCCATGTGAATATATCTATGCAGATTACTAGCTAACGGCTTCAGCTCATGCAAGGATTGGTCTTACCCTGCCTGGTCAACAAGACAGACGAATCCGTACTACATAGCTCGAGCTTCTCATGCACCTGAATAGCGCGAATAAAGGCTGAGTGACGACTGTCAAGCCCTGAGAATTAGCAGGTCGCCCGTGGAACAACGCCCGTCCGTCTGCAGCCAGACTGGCATAACAACATAAACCTAGAGAGAGGATCAAGTCGTGATCGCCCGGAACGCCCTCCCCGACGAACAGACGAAGGGGCGCAATGCGGGTTAGAAGAAGCATAAAAACAGGATGAACTATGCAGTAGATTGACATGAACCTTGCGGATATGTACCCCGTACAATTTGATTCGTAGTCCTACTGCGACGGCTAATTTGATGCAGATGTATCCGTGTATCATCACTTCATGGCAACGGTCCCAAGACAACGCCTTCGATATCTTCCTCCACAGACAGTAATAGTCAGCCAGTAGGATGTCTCAGACAGTTTCCCCCGCGGCTGATCTGTCACTTGATAATCTGTAGTCCTACCTATTTACTGATAAAGCGCAGCTCGCGAGGCTAGGTCGACCGGCTCTCCAATGGTCGCTATAATTTCGGATTGCCTCTTTCGAGACAAATGCAACAGCTGGCAACAGCCCGTAAGGTATTCAAATGTATTTACTCCGTATACATGCTGCACTTATCCTTGCCATTGGTCAAGCGTTGGTGGTTCCCACCGTCATTCTGTCACAACTCGAAAAATTATTTTGCGACCTATAATTCCCGCAAGACACAGCCCGGCGCTATTTTTTCTTTTCCTTTCTTTTCTCTTTTCGCAATTGGTTGGTCGCTCGACCGTTGGAGCGGACAGAATCCCCCAAAAGGAATTATTCATTTGTCGCGGGAAAACTTCGTGCTGTCGTGTTTCATTTTTGTTCGCCGGCGCGCCGTTTGATATCAAAAGCAAATATCGCGATCGTGTCTTTCTATGGCTACTGAACACATCGTATGGACTTGCCTCGTGAGATGAGACGACGTTTATTCAAAACCGAGGCACCAAACTATGGGACCTTGCTCACCGAAAAATGCGGCTTCGTAATAGCGAAAAGCAATTACACATGTCTTGGGGAGGGTTTGCTGGCTGCTCGTTGTGCGAGGTGATATCGACGACGAAAAGTAGCCCCCCAGCACGAAATGCATGCGTACCAGACAGCCCGCCCCCACGCCCGCAATGAACTTGTTCCTGGCGGGTAAGTGGACAGAATATGAATTAAGAGTCAGAAGCAGCATATGGAAAAAGGAGAGAAATGAAAAAAAGAGGCGGGGGGTTACTAGCACATTGTTGTAGAACGCCGACCGTTAGGCTACTGGAGGCTGAGACTGTGTGATTACTAGAGTTGAATCGCAAAGCGGTGGGAAGTACTGCCCAGAAAACCCAATCTCATCCGTTGCGGCAAGATCGCACGGAAAGTCGTTGCCGGATTAGCGGAGATTTGTAGTAATAACACTTCGTCGTCCAGGCACATGACGTTGAGCATATGTAGGATGTCATACCAGGTCCGGAGAAGTGGACATTGCCAATACAAATAAGCGAATTGCCAACTTGTCTTTGTTTTTCACCTGCGGAGAATCTAGACAATGGTCCCCCTGGACGGACCTCCTTGTATCCGTACGCTCACCAGCAAAGAAGACCTATCGATACATAGTGAGCCCGAATAGGAGTAGAGCGAAGCTACTATCCGTATTCTGTATCCTTTACCATCTCTGTACCATCTTGCCTCTGTCTCTTGATACATCTGGGCGTCTGCGAGTAATACCGTTCATTTAACCCAAGTAGCAAGGCGAAAACGCTGCCGTTGCGACTGCACAGACCAAGTACATTGGCCGCTTGAGGACGGCTGCTTGAACCCTTTGCCCGCTTTAATGAGCGGTCAGGAGAGATTTCTCTGCAGTCGAGTGGCTGTGGACGATCTTGACCGAAGACTCATGCTTCACGAACCACCGACCATGGCGGGCCTTGTCGCAACCTGGACTGGTGGGGTAGCATGCAAGGGCATCGTAGAATTTTCCTGGAATGAGTTCAAGAAGGCCCGTGAAGTGCATTAGCTCCCAGTTTTGTGCTCACTTTTTTGGGGATGCGTTCCTCGGCGTGACGGAAGCTTGTTGGTCGATAAGGCGGTGACTATGCGTATCGGCCATCTTCGTACTACCCGATTGCAAAGGTTGCGAATGAGGCAGTGAAATGCGAGCGCTTGGTAAGTTACTAATTGATCTCTTTGAGCCGTCTCTTTTCTGTCCAAAGTACTCAGTGCGTTGACAAGATGTTTTCCAGGGAGTCGTATTTGCATTATCGAAATTTGGCTCCGCCGCATTCCCCTTTTTTTGGCCTAAAACATCCAAGAAGCATTGGCCATTGGCCTTTTGTGAGCCCAGGGTGGCTGGTAGGACTCAAATGACCCCTCCTCCGGGTTGGTCGTTCTCCTGTACAGGCTTGACACCCCTCCCCTGCCGTTTCTCTTTAGGACGTCTTTAATCTCCGGTGCAGAGGATCCGAAACGGACTTCGTTACACCGCTTGTCCGCAGCGTTGAATCTGTAGGAGAGCGGCTGGAGACTTTCGCGATTGGCTGATTAGAATCGTAGCCTCGGGGTAGCTAGCAGGGCTCATATTGTGCAGCGAGCAGACGACTTCACGAGGCGCTGGATTGCATTCAGCTTGGGCATTGCTCGCGGCAGTCATTTCGTCTTCTCACCGCCGTATCATCATTTTCCTCTGGGCTTGGTTGGTTCTTCGTTGGGCCTGTATTGTAGCAACACCTCGCATGTTGAGTAGGTTGCGAGGTAAGGTGGCAACTTCGCCAAGTTCTACTTCAAAGTCGGGGAACGAAATGCAAGCTTAAGGTTTCCTGAAAAAAGAGATCAAGACTTTGGCCGTTTCTTGCTGCCGACCCTGCGGCGTTTGGATGCCCTCTCGGCTTGGGAGTCACGCGGGAAACCCTCCAGTGGCCCGACGGTGTCGTCGATAGTGTGCCTGTTTCGGAGTTGCAAAGGCTCCTTGTCTTTGTCCTCCTCCGGCTCGACGCCCTCTGTGAAAACCATGTCGCCCCTCTTGCCCAAGATCTCGCGGCCGGCTTCCTCGAGCAGGATGCCAAACGCAAGCAACGCGGTCTCATCCATGCTAGCCTCGTCGACATTGTAGTTGAGCGAGGTGGCGCTGCTGCGGCGTCGCATACTCTTGTAAAACCTCCCCGAGTAGTCGTGGACGGCTTTAAGCAAGTCGCTTTCCGGCAACACGCCGCGGCCTGCGCGTGGAAGGTCCCTCTCGTGCGCGTAGTAGATGTCGTGCTCAGCATAGCGCTGGGGTGCATCCTTGCGACGGAAGAGGACCTCGTCTGGCCTATACTTGGTCTCGCGCAGAGAGTACTTGGCGGTAAGGGTAGATTTGCTGCTCTCGCCTGTGGCTAGGGTGCTGCGAGATGAGAGCCGGCCTAGGCGACGTTAGCATTCGGAATGGGCACGCTGCAGTCTTGAGTACAAGGCTCACCAGCGACAGCATCGTAAACAGTGGCAATGCGACGTTTGTTTCGGTTCGTTTCAGCTTGTTGTAAGTCGTCCAGCGGATCACTGACAGACTCTGCGGCAGAGGAGTCGAAATTGGGCGTTTGCTGGCGGCTCGAATGGCCGTCCTCCGAGTCCATCGTTATTGCCCGCCGAAAGTCAACAGAGAGGTGGAATTTGAAGCATGGATCGGTTATTTGTGATTTTTTTCACAGTATGTAGCCTGCATTTTGTGCGCCGACTGCCAGTGAAAAGGTAGTTGAGGAGGCAAGTTCTCAGTCCGAGGAATCGTGGCGATTGTAACCATCAGAGCCATGACCCACTATATTCATTTCAGAGGTGCATGCCTTACTATTCAGTGATCGCGCCTGGTCAGCTCGCCCTTGCAAACAAACTTTGCTTATCTCATCGAGCATCCGGAAACACGACAGCAAATTCGACAGCCGTTGCTGTCGCATGAATCAAATGAATGCAGACTCGTATCCTCGCACGTGAGACTGGTGATCTCAAGCCCCAGGACTTTGCACGCAGCCTCGCCAGCGACCTGATCCGCACATTTGCGCCCGCACCGCAACACCGTTTCAATGGCGAGATCCTGACGTCGCAAGGCTCGGCCAGAGGCGGCCCCTCCTCCGTGACCGAGGAGCGAGCGCACAACACCCGCGCGCACGGTGCCGGCGTCACCGCCCTCGACGTCGACAAGTTCGACGGGCGCCTAATGATATCTGGCGGCGCCGACGGCTCCGTCAAGATCTGGGATCTCGAGAGCGCGTCGAGCCCTCACACGCTGTACACCTTCCAGCCAACGTTGACGATTGCGCGCTCAACGCAAGATGCGCGTAGCAGCGGCAACAGGGGCCACAGTCACGGCGTCACGCACCTGGCCTTTTACCCGTTCGATTCTGGCGCGTTCCTCTCTAGCTCGTTCGACAAGACGCTGAAGCTTTGGTCGACGCCGCGCGCGGCCTTGTCGGCCGAATTTCCGCTGAACGCCACGATTTACTCGCATGCGACGAGTCCCGTGGCCGATCACCTTCTCGTTGCGTGCGCTACGCAGCATTCCAACGTGCGACTGGTCGACCTCAAGTCCGGCGCCGCCGTTCAGGCGCTCGTGGCACACGGAGGGCCGGTTCTCAGCACCGCCTGGAGCCCGCGGCAAGAGCATATCCTCGCCAGCGGGCATGCCGATGGCAAAGTGCGCATATGGGACATTCGCCGCGCGGGAGGTGCTGTCGCTCAGCTTGACCAGGAAGACTCTCTTGGGGTGGTGCATCGCTTCACCCTCGCAACGGCGAATGGTGCGGACTGGGACCGTCAACCGCACTACCGTGCGTCATCTCAGGCTCACGACGAAGCTGTAAATGCAATCAAATGGTCGGACGATGGCAGGTACATTGTCACGGCCGGCTTGGACCGCAAGATCCGCGTTTGGGACGCCGATACGGGCGCAAATACCCTTGCTAGTTTTGGGTCGGTTATCCAGAATCAGCACCCCAAGACGGCAAGTATGCTCCTGTCACCATCGGGTCTTTGCAGCAAAGGTGATGCTCTCATCTGGGCTAACGACCAGGAGATGCTGGTGCTGAACATGCACGACGGTACCGTCATCACGCGCCTACGTAGCCCTGGCATGACGAATCCTGTTGGTCCGCGCAGCGCCGAGATTGGCCGAAATAGGATCACGACCATGGCTTGGCGAGGTGCCGGGGGAAGCGGCTATCGCACACTTGGCCCGGTCATGGGTGGCGCGCAGTCGCTGGGGACAATCTACAGTGCTCACTTGGATGGACGCATCCGTACGTGGATGGTGACCATCCCTGGCCCTGACGATGTTGACGATATTGAAGAGATGGATGAAGATGAGGAGGTGCGGAGTCGTAAACGCAAAGCAGTAGATGATGCATACAAAAGCCTCATGGGAAAGAAGATTACTTTCACATGACTTGGAAGCACAGCATCCTGGCTAGAAAAGTAGTGAAAATTACACCCCAAACTCCAACCCGCTATGTGCATTGTAGATAAAAATGACAACTGTATGAACCCAATGAAATGCATCACAAGACAACAACGACAAAACTTAGCCAACCGTCAGGATAGGCGGCTTCTTTCATGAGCTCGGGCAGCGGGGCGTTGAACGGCACCGCGACGCCGTGAAGGAGAAGGTTTGCCATGACCGGATCCCTGCTGCTCGGGAACAGCTTCGGCATCGTCTCCTTGAGCGCCTGGCCCAGAAGCCTCGGTCTGCGGTCAGCGCCGAGCGGCTGTACGAGTGACTGGATGATCTTGAAGGTACCCGCGGACGAGGCGTCCCCGCCGTGCGGCGCCTCCGCCGCGGTCGGATCTCCGCCGCTTGCCGGCGCCAGGGGCAGGTAGATGCGAATGGGGACATGCTTGAGCGCGGTGGGCGTGTTGAGCAGACGGTTGTTGATGCGGGAGAAGGCGGCGTAGTCGTTGTCGATGACGGCGTGCCAGAGCTGGGTGGTGTCGCTCTTGGACATTTTCATGATCTGGTTCGCGTTGCCGTTGCGGATAAAGTCCGCCTATGGGTGGGTGAGCGAATGATGGATAAGCGTGCTTCAATACCCTCCATGAACGATTCTACTGCCGAGGAAGAAAGAAGGGGTTCAAAATGCACTCACCTCTTTGGCTGCGTTGAGAAAGGTGTCGGAAATGTCCCAGCTCACGCCGTCGTTGACGACGAGCCGCCAGGGCAGCGCCGGGCGGTAGAGGTCGACGAGCAGGCCGGCGGCGAGGTTCCGCAGAAGGACGTGCTCAAAGTGGAAGCTGGAGCAGGGCGTGTCGAAGAAGGCGGAGAGGCGCGGCAGCAGCAGCGCGAGGTAGGAGAAGCGCGGGATGCTGGTGATGAACGGCGTGTTGGGCGCGGCTGGATGGGTGATGTGGAGGGGTATGCGGGCATCCCAGAGGGCCTGGGAGATGGAGGCGGGCATCATGTGTCTTGCATTCTGCCTTTGGGTTGATGCCTGTTACCGTGTGCAGGGAAAACTATGCGTTTCGCTCGATGAAGCTGTGGTGATGGGTTAAGATGTTTGTAGGTCGCAAGGTAACAAGTGTACATAGCAGCCTACGTTTGTTTGGTGGGGCGGCTGTTCTAGGCGGCGACCCTGGGCTGGCTGAGGCTATATCGATCTCCAAGAAAGTGCTAGCAAGGTACAGTTCTTTGCCGTGTTTGTATTCTTTTTGGGGGATATTTTTCTTTTTAACAACGGAAATTATTATATTGATTGCAAATCCCGGTTTGTCTGCATCTCAGGCAATGTAAGAGCATTCTGCTGCCAAGTCGTCTTTCTAGTCGCGGCCGAAGAGTGTGCGATGGTGGTGATGGTGGTGAATGAAAACATGTATTTCTTTTTAGAAAAAAAAAACATTGCTAGTAAAGCAACACTCTAGTGCCATAGACATGAAAAAAGCTGCATAACACAATATGAGCTTACTTTTGATGCCGGATGAACGCAGAGCACAGTTGCAATAGTTGTTATCGTAGATTTTGACAGACTATCATGTGTGCATCGCTTTGTACCTTATAATAGCATGTTTTTCCATCGATAGCTTGCTTCGGCAATGGCCATCTTTGTCCCTATTCCATTTTCTTAAATATGGAGGACAATGCGCACATGGCGGACCGTAGAACCCCCGGGTTAATGTGCTGTCCTGCGAAACGGCGCGCGATTGCTGCAATAACCGGAGAGGCCCCTCAAAATCAATATCCTAAGAACTACTCCGTACTCCGTATCGCGCATCTCTATGAGATGTTTAGATATGGGCAGTTAGCGACTAAACGCAGTTTGTAATCTGCGTTCGGCTCTACGCTGCCACGTCAAAGTGCTTCTGGCTGACTCGAGGAGAGAGAAATAGAAAAGAAGGGTTCGACCAGCCACAAAAGACCAGTCCTCAAAACCTCCAATAGCTGACAGGAATAAAACTCAGGATCGTATTACAGGCTGACAGCAGTTCCATTCAGGATTTCGTGTGGGCCAAGGGTAGATGTATTTCGGCATTCGCCGAATCTCTACACCTTTTATGCTTAGGTTGAACATAATGATTTTAGTCTATCTGTATTTTCCAAGGAAACTGTCTCGCCTGTTTACCCCGTCGACGTCATGTATTAACTAATTGCCACGCGTCTCCATAGCAGTCCGTGTCCGCAAATACCAAAATGTTGGTGACGAGCCGCAAAGAAATACAACAAATGAGGCCCTCGCATTTTCACACTGTCTCACTCATGAGCAGGTGAGACTGTGCAGATTAACCCCCAACGGCTGCTTTGATGATGACTGCTCAGCTGTCAGCCGCCCGAGGCGACGGCCAGGAAATCGTAGGTGCCTTTCAATTAATTTGCCAGCAAATGAATGTGACATTTCGGGCGTAAGGGAATTAACGGCCTGTTCTAGGCCTTTTATGCCACGTCAGTTGCGTTTACAAGTGCGTCTCGGATCCAGATTGTTTTCAATTTCTCAGGAGGCTGTTATGGACATGCAAGTCTCGAACTATCCAGCTGAATAGTACCATGTGCCCATAGTTTTCAAGACCATGTCCCGTGCAATGTCGGTGAATAGCTGAAGAAATCTTGTTTCAACTCCAAGATGACCCATCTGTCCATCATCACCATCCAAGACAAAGCTGGGCTCGAAAGTTGCAAGAAGGAAAAAGAAAGGAAAAGGTGCTCTCAGCCAGCCACCAGGGAAAACTCTCTCAGGGTGTTTCCAGATTCGGGCCCTGTTCGTTATGGCGGCCTGTCTCTGATGGCGTTGGCCCGAGACACAGCTACACTTTTGCACCGAGGTGACTTTGCTATCAAGACCATGCCCTATTTTGTCAAAAAAGTCTCAAGCGAAAGTTCATCTCCTTACGGAGGTCACCGCTTTGATGTTCTGGAAGCTGGGGAAATATGGTCAGTTCCACGAGCTGGTGACTGCCCAGATGACGGCCTATATAGAGGATCTACTACCCCCCAAGATATGAGGGGGGATGAATATGTTATAGGCATTGGTTTCTGACTAGCCCATTTTCACCCTTGGCAAGTTGACATTATGAAGCTCTCCATCGCGGCCCTGGCCGTTTTCCCATTCTCTGCTGTCGCAGCACCCCGTTCCACGCCACCGCTCACCCATGTGCCTCGTGCCGCAGAAGTGACGGTCGAGATACCTGGCGGCACCATCATCGGCAACGTCACCGGTGTCGAAAGCTTCCACGGCATCCCCTTTGCCGACCCCCCGGTCGGGCAGCTCCGGCTGCGTCCGCCCCAGCGGCGGACCCGCCCGCTCGGCCGTTTCGACGCCACCAGTGCGGCGCCGGCCTGCCCGCAGATGCCCCTCAACACCTCCGAGGTCCTGCTTCCGCCCCTTTTCGGGAAGGACATGACCCCGGAGAAGTGGCCCGACGGCGAAATCCGGGGCCAGGAGGACTGCCTCACCGTCAACGTCCAGCGGCCGCGGGGCACGCGCCCTGATGCCAAGCTGCCGGTGCTCTTCTACATCTTTGGCGGCGGCTTCATCGCCGGCTCGACGAATCTCAACGACGCCGAAAAGTTCCTTGAATTCGCCTCGGCGCAGAGCCAGCCCTTCATCTTCGTCGGCGTCAACTACCGCCTCGGCGCCTTTGGCTTCCTCGGGGGCGCCGAGGTGGTCGCGGACGGCACCGCGAACCTCGGCCTCCGCGACCAGCGCATGGGGCTCGAGTGGGTAGCCGACAACATTGCCTACTTTGGCGGCGACCCGGAGCGCGTCACCCTCTGGGGCCAGTCTTCCGGCTCCATCTCCGTCTTCGACCAGCTCGCGCTGTACAACGGCAACGCGACGTACAACGGCAGGGCGCTCTTCCGCGGCGCCATCATGAACTCGGGCAGCGTGCTGGTCACGGAGCGCGCCGACTCTCCGCGGGCGCGGGCCATGTTCGACAAGGTCGTGGAGGAGGCCAACTGCAGCCACGCGGCGCCCGAGGCCAAGCTGGACTGCCTGCGGGAGGCCCCATTCCCGCTCTTCTACAAGGCGGCGAACAGCGTGCCGCGCATATTGGATAACTCGTCCCTGGCGCTCCCGTTCCCGCCGCGGCAGGACGGCGAGGTGCTGGTGGACAGCCCCGAGATCATCGCCGAGATGGGCAACTACTTTGCCGTGCCGTCCATCCTGACCGACCAGGCGGACGAGGGGACCGTGTTTTCCTTTGCCCAGCACCACGTTAACAGCACGGAGAAGCTGGTCGAGTATCTCAAGGAGACGTTCTTCGACAAGACGACGGTGGAGACGGTCGAGGAGCTCGTCACGACTTACCCGGAGGACTCCGCCGCCGGAAGTCCGTTTCAGACCGGGCAGAACAACGAGTGGTATGAGGACACGTACGGCACCGGCAGAGGCTTCAAGCGGCTCGCGGCCATCCTGGGAGACTTCGTCTTCACGCTCATTCGGCGCATGGCACTGCACAGCATGGCGGCGTCGCATCCCGAGGTGAAGCGTTGGTCGTCCCTCAGCTCGTTCGCCACCGGCATCGCCGCGTACTATGGAACCCCCCACGGGGCCGACCTGAACATGATGTTCAGTGGCGTCGGAATCCCCGCGCAATCGACTAGGACGTACTACCTCAACTTCCTCTATCACCTCAACCCCAACGGCCGGGATGGCGACGAGGGAAAGTGGCGCGAGTGGCCAGAATGGACGCCGGAAAGCCCGCTCATGCTACACACCAAGCTGTTGGTGAATGATCTGCTCAATGATACCTTTAGATCTGAGAGCTACCAGGTTCTGAAGGACAAGACGAGGGACTTTGCGTTCTAGCAAGGTCAGCTGCGTGTGTCTCTCGACGGCGGCGATGTTTCCAAATTGTCGTCGTCTTGACCAAAGATAATCAAGTAGTGAATGAATGCTAGATCATCGAGGAACTTTGGTATCGATCACATTTTTTAACATTTGCCCGTGCTAAAAGGTGGGTGAATAAGGCACACCATTTTAGCTCGACATGGTCACAGAGAATCGCAAACTTGGGCGAATTAAGATTAACAAACTGGATTTGTTGTACATTAAGAAAGTATGGAATTAAGCTAACTCAAACAAGAATACCTCGTGAAAAAAAACTCATACACTCATCATCACGCATAGCCCTTACAGACCGCTGTGCGTCTCGCGGTGGGCTGCGCTGTGGCGGCGCTCGCGGTCATGCGAGGCGTCGTCGTGTTCAACGGTGGGGGGGCCGATGTGCTTCTGGAGAACCGAGGGAGGTACCTGCGCCGCGTCCGTGGGATCCTTTCTGGTGCTGGAAAGCGGGGAGCCAAAAATGTCAGCGAGCTTGCTCCTCTCATCACGTTGCGTGTTGTTTGTTTTTTCTTTAGGAGCGGGCGTACGTGTTGTTGCCGCCGACGGTCTTGCTGCCATCGAGATCGCTGTCGACGCGGGGATCAGCCTTGTTCAGCATGTCGGACTTGTGAGGACCGGCGGTGTTGGGCGCGGGTCCAGGGGTGGTGTTGAGGCCGCCGCCGACGGTGGATCCGGAGGTACCGTGCTGGCCGGTGGTGCTGTGGTGACCGGTAGTACCGGTAGTACCAGCGACGCCGGAGGTGTGGTGGCCAGCAGTACCGTGGGTGCCAGTAGTACCGTGGGTGCCAGTAGTACCGTGAGTGCCGGTCACGCCAGAGGTGTGGTGGCCAGCAGTTCCGTGAGGGCCGGTGTGCCCAGTGGTGCCAGTGGTGCCAGTGAGGCCCGTGGTGCCAGTAGTGCCAGTGAGGCCAGTGGTGGCGCCAGTTCCGTGGGGACCAGTGTGGCCGGTGGTGCCGGCGACACCGCTGTGGTGACCGTGGTGAGTGCCGGCAGCACCGTGGGTGCCGGTGCTACCAAGGGTGTTGCCGGTTCCGTAGCCAGCGCCAGAGGTTCCGGTGGTGGTGTTCAGGCCAGAGCCTGTAGTGTCGAGACCACCGCTGCCGGTCGTGGTGTTGTACTGCTGGCCGTGGAGGGCCTGGCTGCCGGTGACGCCGCCGGTCGCACCAGCAGCAGCAGCGCTGCGGGTGTTGTAGCCACCGGAGCGGCCATCCAGGTCAGAGTCGACGCGGGGGTCAGCCTTGTTGGCGATGTCGGAGGAGTGAGGGCCGGCGGTGTTGGAAGCGGGGCCGGTAGAGTAGCCGGAAGTGGCGCCGGTAGTGCCACCAACGCGGTTGCGGCTGCCGAGGTCAGATTCGACGCGAGGGTCAGCCTTGTTGGCAATGTCGGAGGAGTGAGGACCAGTAGTGTTGGAGGCCGGGCCGGTGGTGTAGCTATGCGTGGCATCACCAGCGCCGACACCAGCACCAAAACCGCTACCGGTACCGGCACCAAAACCGCTACCGGCACCGGCACCGCCAACGCGGTTGCGGCTGTCACGGTCGGAGTCGATACGGGGATCGGCCTTGTTGGCAATGTTGGAGGAGTGAGGGCCAGCAGTGCTGGAAGCAGGTCCGGTGGTACGGCTGTGCGTGGCATCACCACCAACGACTCCGGCACCACCAACACGGTTGCGGCCGTCTAGGTCAGAGTCGACACGAGGGTCGGCCTTGTTGGCGATGTTGGAAGAGTGAGGGCCGGCGGTGCTGGAGGCAGGGCCGGTGGCGTAGTTGTCGCTGGCGGTGTAGCCAGCGGTGCCGGCGGTGCCAGTGGTGCCCGAGTGCAGGGCCGATGTGCGGGCATCGTGCTGAGCGTCAACACGGGGCTCGTTCAGGCGAGAGTTGTGGGTGCCGGTGGTGGTATCGTGAGTCTGCTTGTTGTCCTTGTCGGAGTGCAGAGCCTCCTTGACCTTGTTGACGATGGAAGACATGATGGATTGGGCGTGTGACTTTAGATGTGAGTGGAATGTAGGAGATGTTTTATAAGAAACTGTTTGAGATTTGCTTTGGGTATCAAAGTGTTGCTTGGTTTGTTGTGTGATGATGGGAAGAGAAATCGTGACATGGACGCTGGCATCGTCCTCTCTTTATAGATGAATTCCAACGACAAACGATGAAATCATGGGTAACCTTCTTTGTACGCCTCTCGACGATATCAAGGCAAGCTTCCAGCTTGGGTGTCACAAAAGTCGAATTAAACGGGCCTGTCTACCGGTGATCATCAAGAATACGGTTTGGTCATCGTCATAGATGTTGACGGCATCTGTCACACCAGACCGGACAGCCACAGCAGCCACAGAGAGCCGCAATGTAAAGATGTGGGAAGGGGTGAGCCGGCGGCGTCATCCTGACGTGAAATCACATTCGAGATGAATAAGAGTGTTTGAGCGAGCCTAAGCTAAGCGACCGCCGCAACGCGGGGGCTCATTGTTAGCTAGGCTAGAGCAGGTAGTTCCCTTGGGCACCGTTGAGCCAAACGGTTTCAAGGCGGTGGAGTTGGGTAGTACCTACTAACTAGTTGGCCTCAGCCAGGGCTCCAAGTTGCCTTCCTCAGAGGGAGTTCAGCGGGAGCTGAAGGGGAGCTCATAGAGGGGTCGAGATATTGGGGAAGATGACGCAAAACATACGCAGCTTTGGGTACAACTTTTCATATCCTAGTCGATCTTGGGTGTGGCTGTGGTGGCGTCACCACTTTTCTCTTGAAGCTGCGTACAGGTGCCCGCCTTGATTTTAGTCCAAGCACAACCTGGACAGCGACACGGCCCAATCATTGGTCTAGACGCGTCCTTTTTTCTCATTTCTGATGCAATTCAGGCCTGCAGATCCGGCGCGTGCTTCCCTGACCCGACTGTTGCGTGTGGCTCAGGCGGCCGTGTGGCTTCTTGCGGGATAGTGACGGCGTAATTCGTAGTCTGTCGGGGATCGTCGCACCGCTTCCCTGGCAATGTGGTGGCGCCAAGTGGACGAGAATGAGGTGCTGGCCACGTTATAGCATGGGTTTTCAGCTAAAGATCTCGATCACGACGCCGCGCTTCTGTCTCGTCGAATCTTGCTTCGAACTTGGCATGAAAAGAAGCTCTCAGTAGTGAGTAGAATAGCCAAGGACAAGGGTTTCGTTCGCTGAGAACGTAAGGCCTCGGACAACCAGGCTACGTTACTTTCCAAGTCAGTCCCACAATCTAACCATGCATGGTCACTTCGAGCTGCTCCTTAGAACTCAGTGGATACCATACAATGCGATTGATCTGGTTGTTCTGGAACATGGCCACTCGGTTGACGTGTCGAGAGGCAGGCCCTGCAGGAACGGTTCACGAACAAGGAAGGGCTGATTCTATGTAGATACTAGACATCCACTGAGCCTGCATACACGAAACATCTCACAACATGATGCTCCACAGCCAAATTATACCTCCCTACGATGTAGACAATTACCGAATGGAAGGTTGGCTAGGACGCCGGAGCTGATACTCCGGCAAGGTTCGCGTCGTACAAAGAACATACCGGAAATGTCGAATGAAGAACAAAGACATTGTTTTTGTGAAAAATTTAACAAGAAGGAAAAATACACAAATAGGAAAACGACAAAAAAAAGAGAAGAAACTGGGACGACAAACTAGGACCACCAAAGTCATTGATAAGTTAACTTAGCTAAAGAGAAGTGTGTGGTGAGACTACTAGAAGGAATAATCGATCATCCAAGCATCAACGGTCATGCCGCGACCGCCAGCGATTAGAACAGTGCAGTGGATGCCGTGTTCAATGAGAACAAATGGGGCCAGCTTAATAAGGTGAAATCGCAAAATAAATTAATGAATCAAGGTATATAAACATAATATCATAATAACAGCGATCCCATTTAATTGCGTCGCCCATCGTTCATCATTCCTGGCATGGCGAAAATCAAAGTGCTGCAAGGCGCTATCGAATTCTCAAGGTATCATGAACTAATCTCAAACAGGTCGTAAAGTATAAGTCAATCTCGTGGGGAATTGTATCGCGCAGTACGAATTTTTCTGGAGCTGCGCGACAAGTTCTTTGCCGCGCTGTCCCTTAATGCGCTCATCGGCCGGGTTGGGGTTGCGTATTAGAGTAATATTTAGACGGCGCTGCGGCGGGTTCCGCGGTGGTACCAGCGGCGGCGGTGGACGGTGTCGGCCCGGACCTCACGCTTCCGGGTCCAGAGGAGGCCGATCAGAGCAGACGCGAGGAACAGGATGGCGCACAGGAAGGAAAAGGCAATCGTGGCCTTGTACTTGCCGCACTGATCACCATGGACGGGGTGGACGTTATTCCAGTTGAAGACGGCGCCGCAGCTGCTACCGACAAGCTGTTGAACGTGCGTGTGAGCGATGCATGGTGGAGGACAGGCAGGCAGAGGGAGGGGGGGGGCTTACGTTGACGAGGACGCCAAAGGCGATCCAGAAGAGGATGCTGAGCAGGAAATCGATGGGCCAGTGGGAAAAGGTGCTCGAGAAGGGGATGAGCCAGATGAGGGCGAAGAAGATGCCGAGGGCGGCGACGACTTCGGTGTAGATGAAGCGCCACTGGGTGCCACCAGTGCCCCTGGTTTTGTGCAGGTATTCGCCGTTGACGCCGGCGACGATGGCGGCGAAGACGAGCTCGGCGCCGCGGAGGATGAGACTGACGAGGCGGTCGAGGGCCATGGTGGTTGATGGTGTGGGCAAAGATGGGAGCTTGGAATAAAATAAATAACGAAAGCGAAAGCGGAGGCTTGCTATACAAGACGATACAAGTCTGGATGCGATGGGGTATCTGCTTGGGGAATGAATATCTACAATTGAAGCTGGGGAATCGTCTGCCTTTATGTTTTTTTTTCTCTTCAGCCAAAGTCACTTACTCATTGTAGGACGAACATCTCTTGTCATTTTCTTCTTTGACTGACAGGGAATACAGTCCCATGACGCATGCCCCCTTTGACAACAAGTGCAGACATACAACCTGTTCAAGATGGACAATAACCAGTTACCACCACTCACTGACTGCCGGCAGGTCCCCCCCCCGCGGCGCTTGCGTGGCGACCGGGGCTTGGATGCTTGGGTGTCAACCAAGCATTCAAAGATGCTATATTGAGCGTGGCTTGTGGCGTCCAGCGCCACTGTTGGAGATACATGGCCCACGGGGCCTGTTGGATGAGGTCATGGACATTGCGAATCCCTGGCCTGTCCCACCTCAGCCACGCCATGACTGGGTTGTTGGCAGTGACATCCTCACCATTCTCACCAATTTACAGTGTCCTTCTGTGGCACAACGAGTCGTTGCCGTGTGTGGCTGATGCTTCGCTGTCGAACAATCGGTCAAGGCTTTTATGGGACCACCTATATTACTATATCAATATGACCAGCATTACCATTCGCAGTACCTCCCAATGTACAGCCCCCGGTTCGTGAAGCCCGTAGCAGGTCAGGTTTTGGCTACATCGGTTGGGATGCCGAGTTGAGGCACACCCTGGCGCGGGAGGCGTCGTGGTGACGTCGTGATCGCGCAGTCGAGTCGGTAATAATAATATGAGTATTAAGCATGCCCGTGAGGATCCAGGAATGCTCAAATGCCTTGATCAGAGGCGGGCGATTCGCCCCAAGTTTGCATTAATAAAAAAAACATGACAAAGAGGTTTCGTAAACATGCGGGCATGTTTGAGTTTATTGCGTTCATACTAAAGGCCAGGGTAGATACAGGATTTGGCCACTTGCGGTAGCATGAACAATACACTCACTCGTAAGCTGGCCCGGCCTCCATTTGGAAGAAGAGGATTTATTTTGAATGAATTCCATCACTTTTAGAGGGAAGGTGAGGCTGCAGCATTTTCGCCTAATTTTTTTTTTACGCATAAATTTGGCTTAAAAATAGAATGTCACTATTGTCAATAGGTAGTAATGCGACTTCTTGGGCAAATGCTTGTCCTTGCAACAGCCTGAACCGGCCGAACCAGTGTAGACGCCCCCTTTTTGATACTCAGCTCTCGTGTAATTCACATTTCACATCTATACGCTTTTTCTTCACTTAGGAGCCCTTCTCTCTACCAAATGCCAGCTCCGAATTCTAGCTAAGGCGTTTGGATAGGGTTAGTCTGCCTCAAGTATACCAGGTGTAAATATCCCGCCGGAAGACAGCTGCGCGCGCGAGAGAGGATAGCCCTGGCACAAATGAAAAAAGCCGCCTAGGTACGTTGACATGACTATACAAATATCCATCGCTATCCCTTTAATTTTCGGCTTCTTTCTTATTATTTTTCTTTATGCGTTTGAACATCCAAGGCACGATTTGCTGTACTGGTTAGCCAGCGCATAACCCCTACCCTGTACCTGCAGCCCAACATCTTGTGCTACCAAACATGGCTGCTCCAACCACTGTCCTTCGCATAATGGAATTGCTTACATACAGAAAAACGTCTGCGGACAATTAACGGTAAGTCTGCAGCTGACGCGACTCCGGACCCGAAAAATGCAGCACAATAAAATCACTGCAACTCTAAACTCCCCCGGTAGCGGATGCAGGCGGACGCGGAGCCGCATTCAATGGTGGGCTCGCGGAGGTGGAACCCCGCCGACGCTTCACTGTCAATGCCAGAGACTGCCAGCCTCAACCTTGATGGAAAAAATCGCAAAAAAATCCTCCGAGTTCAAGTTTTCTCTCTCACTTGCGGTTAAACTTATTCCCTCAGCAAACTGGCTTGGCCGGAGTAGACAGGCGGCTCTCAATATCTGGCGTTTGCATCATTTGGCGGGGTAGCATCCAAGTGCATGTCCATCCTCCTTGCCCCTCCTTCTCTTCTTCAACATCCAATTCCCTTATCACGACATCACGCCTAGAGATTGGGCAGACGATCCAAGATGGCACAGGTCTCCAAGTCCCGGGGAATCCGCATCGCCATCGACCGCGGCGGCACCTTTACCGACTGCGTCGGCGAGCACAATGGCGAGGAAATCATTATCAAGCTTCTTTCCGAGGACCCCGCAAACTACAAGGATGCGCCTCTCGAAGGTATCCGCCGCATCATGAGCCACTTCACCGGCCGTGATATTCCTCGTGGAGAGGCGCTAGATACCTCCAAAATCGATTCCATCCGCATGGGCACAACCGTCGCTACCAATGCCCTGCTTGAGCGCAAAGGCGAACGTATTGCTCTCATCGTGACAAAGGGCTTCAGGGACTGCCTCACAATCGGTAACCAATCGAGACCGAGAATCTTTGACCTTGCAATTAGGAAACCGGATGTCTTGTACGAGCAGGTTGTCGAAGTTGATGAGCGTGTCACACTGGAAGACTACGCCGAGGATCCCGAGAGAACCATCACCGAGGCCGACACGGTCGCAGGCACTGAGGCCGCTCAGACCAAGGAACTCGTTCGTGGCTTGTCGGGCGAGACAGTTCGCATAATGCGTCGGCCCAACCATGAAGAGATCAAGGCGCAACTGAACGAAATTTACAACGGAGGCATCCGAAGCATCGCCGTCTGCCTTATGCATGGTTACACATTCCCCGACCACGAGGCCGCCATCGGCAAGCTTGCCAAGGAGGTTGGCTTCACTCACATTTCTCTCAGCCACGAGCTGATGCCCATGATAAAGCTCGTCCCCCGCGCGACATCCGTCTGTGCTGATGCCTACCTCACCCCCACCATCAAGAAGTACATTGACGGATTCCAGTCCGGTTTTGCAGGCGGCCTGGGCACTCGCAGTGTCCAGGAGACGGATGGACCAAGGGGCGCTCGATGCGAGTTCATGCAAAGTGACGGTGGCTTGGTAGATGTTGAGAAGTTCACGGGTCTCAGGGCCATCTTATCTGGCCCTGCCGGAGGTGTGGTTGGCTACGCCATCACCTCGTACGACGAAAATACAAAGACGCCAGTCATCGGCTTTGACATGGGCGGTACAAGTACCGATGTATCACGCTACGGCGAGGGCAGATACGAGCACGTCTTTGAGACAACGACTGCAGGTGTCACCATTCAATCACCTCAGCTGGATATAAACACCGTTGCGGCTGGTGGTGGCTCGCGCCTCTTCTTCCGGAACGGCCTCTTCGTTGTCGGGCCCGAATCAGCTGGCGCCCACCCCGGACCGGCCTGTTATCGCAAAAGTGGCCCTGCTACCGTGACAGATGCCAACCTGTACCTAGGTCGCCTGCTTCCCGAGTTCTTCCCCAAGATCTTTGGCAAGAACGAAGACGAGGGCTTGGATGTCGAGGCCAGTCGCAAGGTTCTCCAAGAACTCGCTGATCAAGTGAATCGCGAAACGGGCAAGAACATGACGGCTGACGAAGTTGCCTACGGATTCCTAACAGTGGCTAACGAGGCCATGACCCGTCCCATCAGATCCATCACCGAGGCGAAGGGCCACGACTCTTCCAAGCACAGACTCGCCACATTCGGTGGTGCTGGTGGTCAGCATGCCGTTGCAATTGCCGAGTCTCTCGGTATCAGCCAAATTCTGGTCCACAGATATTCCTCCGTTCTTTCGGCCTACGGAATGGCCCTCGCGGACGTCGTTGACGAAAGACAGGAGCCAGAATCGTCGGTCTGGGTCGACGGTGGCGATGTCGTTGCGGACCTAAAGTCCAAGATGGAAAAGCTCAAAGAAAAGTCTCGCGCTGCACTAAAGGAGCAGGGCTTTGAGGCGAGTGAGATTGTTTTTGAGGAATATCTCAACATGCGCTACCGCGGTACCGAATCCGCTCTCATGATTGTGAAGCCTACTGAGGCAGAGGCCAAGGAATTCTTTGACGGAAAGGACTGGCAGTTTGGCCAAGCCTTTGTCAAGCAACACCGCTACGAATTCGGGTTCACTCTCGACGAGCGAGATATTATCGTGGACGATGTACGCGTTCGTGGAATCGGCAGAAGTTTCCGCAACCACGAGAAGACTGTGGATGAGCAGCTCAAGACCATCAAACGCCAGGATGCTACCGAGTCCAAACGCCACAGTACACAAAAGGTTTACTTTGAAGGGGGCCGCACCCATACACCCATATACAAACTCGAGAATCTGTCAGTTGGCGATGTCGTCCCCGGCCCCGCCATGCTTGCCGATGGCACTCAGACCATTGTCGTTACCCCCCGAGCCAAGGCCCTTATTACTGATACACATGTCATCCTCGACTTGCAGAAGGAAGTTTCAAAAGATGAGGCCCACAGATCAACAGAACGTGAAGTTGACCCCATCATGCTGAGTATTTTTGGGCATCGCTTCATGGCTATTGCTGAGCAGATGGGGCGTGCTCTGCAAAAAACAAGCGTCAGCACCAATGTCAAGGAGAGGCTAGACTTTTCTTGCGCCATATTTGACGCTGATGGTGGCTTAGTAGCCAATGCTCCCCATCTGCCAGTTCATCTCGGATCCATGTCGACGTGTGTTCGACGACAGGCGGAGATTTGGAAGGGCAGGCTAGAGAAGGGCGACGTCATTGCTTCCAACGACCCCTCCTACGGCGGCACGCACTTGCCTGACATCACACTTATTATGCCCGCCTTTGACGAGAGCGGGACTCGTATTCTCTTCTACGCTGCCTCGCGTGCACATCACGCTGATATTGGCGGCATCACCGCGGGCAGCATGCCCCCCAACTCACGCGAACTTTTCCAAGAAGGCGCTGTCTTTAAGAGTGAAAAGATTGTTAGCAAGGGTAAATTTGATGAGAAGCGTATCACTGAGATTCTATACGAGGGTCCGGCGCAATACCCTGGCTGCAGTGGTACTCGCTGTCTTGCTGACAATATTAGTGACATGCGCGCTCAAGTCTCGGCAAACAAGAAGGGTATCTCTCTGATCGAGACCCTGATTGAGGAGTATGGCGAGGATACCGTTCAGTTCTACATGGTCAACATTCAGAAGAATGCTGAGACGTGCGTACGCAATCTGCTCAAGGACGTCTACAAGCGATTCGAAGGCCGCGATCTCTCCGCTCTGGATTTCATGGATGATGGCTCCCCAATCCAGCTCAAAGTCAAGATTGATCCCGAACAAGGCGAAGCGGAGTTTGACTTTACCGGCACTGGTCCTCAGGTTTACGGAAACGTCAACGCGCCCGAGGCTATTACGTACAGCGCCATCATTTATTGTTTGAGATGCCTAGTGTCTCAAGAGATCCCTCTAAACCAAGGATGTCTGCGCCCTATTAATGTCAAGATCCCGCCGAAGTCGTTACTCTCGCCCTCGCCTGGTGCTGCCGTCGTCGGCGGCAACGTGCTCACCAGTCAGCGAATCACCGATGTTGTCCTCAAGGCCTTTGAAGCCTGCGCGGCTTCGCAGGGCTGCTGTAACAACCTCACATTCGGTTTTGGTGGCAACGTGACCGGACAGAGCGCCGTACGCGGTTTTGGCTACTACGAGACGATTGCGGGTGGCAGCGGCGCTGGTCCTGACTGGGTCGGCACCAGCGGCGTGCACGTGCACATGACCAACACGCGCATCACCGACTCGGAGATCTTCGAGCGCCGCTATCCCGTGCTATTACGTGAGTTCTCCATTCGGAAGGGCTCTGGCGGCCGGGGCCAGCACCGGGGCGGCGACGGTGTGGTGCGCGACATTGAGTTCCGGATCCCGCTGCAGGTGTCCATCCTCAGCGAGCGGCGCGTGTACCGACCGTATGGTCTGCGAGGTGGCGAGGACGGCCAGTGCGGGCTGAACCTGTGGGTGCGCCGCGTGGAAAAGGCCGACTGGCAGCGGTCGATGCAGTCGGTGCAGGGCGAGACGGCGGGCGAGCAGCAGGACAAGGAGGCGAGGGGCGTGGAGTACGAGGAGCGGTACATTAACATTGGCGCCAAGAACTCGGCGGCCATGGCTGCGGGTGATCGCATCATCGTCAACACGCCGGGTGGCGGTGGCTGGGGCGCGGCCGGCGAGGAGAGCGTCGCCAAGGATCGGGCGGACCATACTGATGCGTGGAAGAAGGGGAGCGGTGCGGCGCGCGATGACGCTGCGCTGCAGGCATAAATGATTTACATAGATCATCTTACCATGTGAGGGTGCAGTTGCTTCGCTTGGATTTTCTTTGTATAATGGCACTGTGTGATTGATGATGAGTGGTAAAGGGCTAGAAGCTTATCTTGTATCAACTGTGTTGGGGATTAGTCCACGAGCAACAGCTCCTATGTACCACTCTCTGCTATTCCCTTGCTACCATCTGCTTCTCCTCCAGGTGGCTGCAACTCGAATGCTGATCCGGTAGCCTGATCGCCCTGTCCAGCGCCGTCGGCAGTCCCCTGTGCCGGCCGCGAAGCATCACCAGGCAAAGGATCAGCTTGCTCCCCACATACCACGTCCCTGAGAAGCTGTACGCGCCGTGCGGCGTCCCGACCGAGATGCCGACCGTGCCGTATGCTGAAGCCACCTCGAATATGACGTTGAAGACGGAGTGGTTGACGGGATCCGCGTTGAAGTGGCTGCTCTCGATGATGACGATGACGAGGACGGCCAGCACCAGCCACCATATGTCCTGGGCCAGCTGTCCCTGTATCTGCCGGTGGATGAAGCTCATGTGGCTCTCATACGTCGGAGGTGGGGGAGGTCTGTGCAAGGACATGAGTCGTGTGTGATAATTTGGTCGCTTCTCTGGAGCGGCACCACCCTCACTGGGTAGTAGTACCGGAGGCACCCGCATTGGCTGCTCATCATTTGCCGTCGCTGGGTGGCTGGGCCGTCCACGACAGGTAGCTTGGTCTGGCGATGCAGCCGATGATGGGTGAGGTTGATGACCTGTGGCGACACCGTCCTTCTCGACGGGATACGAGAGGGTGTTGTCAGGGATGGGCGGAGGGGCATGCGACACGACATGTGCTTCGCTGCTAGGCTCGTCGTCGGGTGATTCTGTAAACACATCGGAGCGGCGCATTGTGAGGACGACGGGGTATACTGAAATGTACATCATGATGACGTACAGAAACTGCACGCCAATGGAAATCTGCGCAATAGGGACGACATAGAACCCGCCGGACCGGACTGCCAAGGCCTGAAACAGCCCGACCAGCACGCGCGGCCCGACCGGGATGCTCCTCACCACCGGGTTGTGCAAGTTAAGCAGCTCAAAGAGCGCCCAGTCGATGGCGTTGAGACCGACGAGCATGAAGACCAGCCACCACGTCAGCCGCGACGGGAAGAGGTTCGTGTAGACCCTCCGCGGATCCTCGAGCAACAGCCGGATCGCCCGCTTGGTCTCGCGGAACGAGGCGGCCCCGGTCGCCGCGTCTACGAGCCTCAGGCCCGCCCACAAAAGGAGCCGCAGGAAGATCGGGTAGGCCGTGTTGCCGGCGAGGATCATTAGGCCCATGGTGATGAGGACGAAGTAGGCCTCTTGGAAGGGGACCATGTTGGCGTCGAGCAGCGACATGCCCGAGTTGTTGAAGGCGGAGACGCCGTTGAAGACGCCGAGCCACCACGGGGCGATGCCGTTGGCGAGCGCCGTCTCGGGCATGCGACGGCTGATCCAGGCGCCGAGGGCGAGGCACCCGAGTAGCTGCCACAGGAGGAGGTACAGCGGCACGACGACGGAGAGCAGCTGGAGCGCGCGGTGCTCGCAGCCGCAGACGCGCGTGCGGGCCGCGGCGCCAATGAGGCCGTCCTCCGCCATACTCGGGGGTGGTGGTGGTGGCGGCGGCGGCGGCTCGTGACGCTGGTCGCCCGGGCCGTCGCGGGCCGTCGTCGTCTGCCGATGTGCTGCTGCTGCTTGGTCGGGGCCGACCGCCGGGTCACCACCACCTCGGGCGGATGCGGAACGCGGACCCGGGAGCTCGGCTTCTGAGCTGCTACCGCTGAGATCCTGGACGGAGGACTCTCGGTCCAGGGGCGCGAGCACGGTTTCCAGCGGCGCCGCGGCGGCCTCGCGCCGTCTCGCGTAGGCCAGTCGGCGACCGAAGACGAAGCTGCGCGCAGCAACAGTCCAGGCAGAGACCCAGACGGTACCGCCGCAGAGGATCAGCAGGAAGAGGATGGCCTGCTGCCAGGCAGTCATGGTGCTGAGGTTGACCGTGTTGAGGCCAGCCTCGGTCACGGCAGACACGACGACGAAGAGGCAGTCGACATAGGAAATGGCGCCGCGCGGGCTGGACGACGCCCAGAAGACCCCGGAGGCGAGCAGGCAGACGACGATGAAGTAGCAGTAGTGGACGGTGATGAAGTTGAAGTTGAGGCCCGCGGCTGGCGGCTTTCGGCGGCGGCGGCAAGCATCACGGCCCCTGTCCCTGCTGATGGAGCGACGCCGCGATGATGATGATGCTAGCGTCCCCATTGATCCCATTGATCGGGGTTGAAAACGGGCCGCCAAGCCGTATCGAGGCTCAATTTTGGTGTTTATTTTTTCTTTATTTTTTATCAGCTGGAGGGGATCGCCAAGAAGGGGGGCGGAGGGGGCCGGGAGGGGGCCGGGAAGGAGCCGGGAAAGGCTTTCTTCACTCTAGCGTCCCGGACAGGGTAAAAAATAGGGGACCAGGCCTTTCCATCAGGTCATGACGGGGGAATCGTGTGGGCTCTGGCGTGTTATACTTATCAAGGACCTTCCAGACTTTCGACTCGGTCCCTCGTGATTCCGAGGATACGAATATTTTACTGAATTGGGATGAAGTCCGGATTGTATCTGCAATATTGTGCAATGTCGTGGTGTGCTTCTGTGCGGCATCTTTCCGCCCCACGCCGAGCCAAACGGTGGCGATGACGATAACTCTGGTACATACATACATACATACATACATACATACATACGTGGCAATGGTAATATAAGACACGCGTTAAGACAGAAGGCGCTTGTGACCAAGAATCTTGTTAGAGGCAAGTTTACCGAAACAAACAAGAACAGAATACACTTGTGCTGAACTGCCTTGTTTTTGTGGCCAGCAACTCGCTTCTCGGCATTTCGTATGGTGCCAAGACGAGGCCTCGCGAACATGCATTAGCAGACATGATGTAATCCGATACGCGACGCAATAGTGCATGAATCTGCCGAGCCAGATGAATGAATGAGCGAATGAGCGAATGAGTTAAAAGGACTCGCACCGGATACCGATGTATGTACCTGCACCGCTGGCCAGCCTGGTGGGCATCGCATGCAGCAATGGGCCTATCGACAGTTCCAAATTCGAGTACTAGACATTCACGCTCCAACATGATGAACGTATTTTGACATTTTACCAGAGCACTTCAAGTTCACAGTGCTCTGCATATAGTTATAACGTTCAACTTAAAAAGCCGTACGACCCCAGCAGGCGGAGCCTCAGAGCACTCCCGGTTTCATCCTGCTCGGCGGGGAACGACACGGTTCTTGTCACCATCTCTCAATCACTTTTCATTTTGACCTTTTTCATTGCTCCTCATCATCGAGAAACTCCGGCTCAAGTATCCCGTACTGGATGTTCAATTTCTCCAATCAGTTGTCCTTGGATCAGTTCAGTGTCTTGACTACTTATCCAGGATGGCTCGGCTGGTCACACGCGCACACGACCCGTCTGTCGGGGTGGTCGATCTCGTCCTTTATGACTCATCACATTAATCCATCTTTTGCTTGCTTGCTTTCTTTTTTTTTTAAAAAAAAAGAAAAAAAAAAGAAGAAATCAAAAAATAAAGAGGGCTGATCACGCAAGACTTTTCGTCTCTCCATGCGGTGCGCGCATTACCACCCCTATAATAGTTGTAGAAGGTGATGACCACGAGCGGAGTAGCCGCGGGAGACGCGGCAAGATTCTTGGCTCTTCTTCCCCCAGTGATCATCAAGGCCATCGCGTAGATAAAGTTTTCGTCTCTTTTGCATCTCGCTATTCGCGCTTATGTCTCTTCCATTACCTCTCTCCCCCCAGCCGCCCTGCCTAAGCACCCTTTAGCTGATGAAGCTACGCTTCCTTGCCTAGGCCATGATACCTCGTCTCCAACTTGCAAAATTCACGCACCAAATCTTCTATATACTTGACTAATACTTATTGCAGACCCCTCTAGTGGGGATTCTTAGCTCGATATAATCCTCAAATTGGTATAACTAGGCATCTCGAGGTGGCATGACTTGCCATTACTAGGCCTCACTTTTCCGAGGCTGTGCTCAGTAGCTGACACTTCCCTTGTACACATGGCCATGGTGTTATCCATCTTCTGATATGCCTAGCCAGGTCTTTCAACGGCTGGTTACTTGGTAGACCTCTTGCACAGGTTGTCGTCTCCCCGTTGCTGCGCTCCATGCCCGCCGTCCCTGTCCCTGCCTCAAGTGCACGACACTGCCCCATCGTGAGCGTGTAGATACACCCACTGGCTTCATTATGATCATGGCGACGTATACAAGATAGATAGCAGAATTCCAATAATCCCAATATGGCGGGCCCGTGTGCAAGGTGCTGTCTGTCGATTGACAAACGTATAAAGAGAGGCAGCTTCGCCAACGAATGCCAACATCCTGAAGAGACAGACTTCCAGCTCGTCACTCATCTGACACGTAAAACCTCACCCTACTAGCTCGCTTCAACTCAGCCAAAATGCTTCTTAGCAAGGCCTTCCTGGCCCTTGCCTGGGCTGCAATGCCTACCCTTGCAGCTCCGCAAGGCTACGTCGACATGGACGGCGGTATGTCCCCTCGCCGCGAGAAGCAGCCACTCATCACTCACATGTCCTCCAGGAGCCGGCCCGTCCAACTCCGGCCCTCCCGGCCACAACGACGGCGACGGCGGCATCAAGCGGTTCGAGTTCGTCCGCGAGCACCTGCCGCCCGGCGTGCGCCTCGCCCGCTGCTCCGCCCCCTACTACAAGGACGACGACAAGGACCAGCGCATCACCCCCGAGACTATCGAGGTCTTCCGCCGCCACGGCATCTCCAACATCATCAGCGCCAACTCGGACGCCCACAACGACGAGATCAAGCGGGCCCTCGCCGACGCCGGCATCGCCTACACGCCCGTGCCCGTCGAGGACTTCAGCGGCGCCACCGAGGAGGACTTCCAGTGGGCGTGGGACAGCTTCCGCCAGCATCGAGGCCGCGGCGCCACGCTCGTGTGGTGCGGCTTCGGCCACGGCCGCACGGGCATGATCGTGTCGGCGCTGCAGATGCACATGGACCACGAGAGGGGTCACCTAGGGCCGAGGTGGACGCGCGACGACTACCGGAGGAACCACGTCGAGGACGACAGCCAGGAGGCCGCCCTGGACGCGCTCTGGGCGCGCCTGAACAACCAGCCGCCGCCGGAGCTCACTCACGAGCAGGAGGCGGACCTGCTGGCCGGTCACTTCGCAACGCTTAGCTGTGCGGCCGTCCTCGGCTCCGTCATGCACATGAAGGGTCCTCGTCGCAGAGCCCTGCCGAAAGACGTGGCCTCGCTGAGTCGTCGACAAGGTAAGCAAGGTCCCCCCGGCTCGGCTAGGTGCCCACCAACCGAGTTCCTTTTTTTTCTTTTTTGCTAATCGCTGGCTGGCATTTGTAGTGACGCCACACCCGCTGCCGCCGAGCTACGACTGCGATCGCGCTCGTGACATCCTGCAGAGGTTGAACGTGCCCACGCCTTGCCAGAAGATCAAGAACATCATGCTCGGCGTCGCCTTCTCAGACTCCTACTCATCCGGAACGTACGACGACATCGGCGCCACCCTCGAGGGCCCGGCCGGCCAGGCGGTCCTGCACGTCAAGTCAGAGCCGTACCTCGGGGACCACATCTGGGTGACGGTAGACATGCAAAAGTCATACGGCAAGGACGAGATCGACATTGGCGGCATCAACAACATCACTCTCAACGCCCAGGGCATTGCTGCCTGGGGCACTCGCAATGACGAGTGGAAGATTCAAGGTACGAGCTCCATCCATCATCGTTTCCCTTCCGACACCGGACGACTCACATTATTTCGAGCAACAGACATTCAGCTCCGCGCAGAATGCGCCGATCCCACCTTCAAGGCGCGCGAGGACAAGTACGTCGGCCTGAACGCGTGGTACGGCCACCCCGGCGGCTGGAACTACGGCCTCGAAAAGGTCGCCGTCGCCGGCTTCCCCGTCGTCCCCTCCGACTGGGCCTTCTCGCCGCCCTGCGCCGTCATCGAGGAGCTGTCCTACGAGTTCAAGCTCGACAACTGGTACTCGGGCGGCACGTGGGACGCCCTGTCCTTCACCATCGGCGCGAGCAAGAAGATCGACCTCGGGGAGCAGCTGTCCTACGGCACCACCAAGGCGAGAACCATGGACCTGAAGGACGCCTTCGGCTCGGCCGAGGTGGACATTCGCAACCTCACAAACATCCGCATCTACGACGAGTACGGGACCAGGGGAGGCGGAGACCAGTGGGCATTCCAAGGTATGTGATGCAATCTCTCTCTGACCTTGTCAAACTGTGCAGGGGCCGGATCGCTGACCCCAACCCCTCCTCTATTCAAGGCATCACGTTTGCCGCAACATGCGCCAACATGAACAAGAAGATGGCCATGAAGAGGTGGCAGGCGGTTGACGACTGGTATGGCTATGTTCAGGACAGCTGGGCGTGGCAGGGAAATGTCTACCCCCAGGACTGGCTCGAGGTCGCCTAAGCGTATCGATCCAGAAGCCTCGCCATCGGCGCCTGCCAAAGAGCGACTACACTGACTAGGAGGAGGAAGGAACCATGGCATTACTTCCATCAGCATACTTGAACAACGACGTAGTTGGGAATATCGCTATCCTAAATTTCCAGGCAGATAAAATCAGGGATTTCGATATTAAGCGACTCGCATTGCATGTATTTGCGTCACAGGATCATGCTCAATCTTTGGTCTAGTGCTTTCCGCTCACAATGATACTCCTCTGTCGGGGAGACGTAATTTCGCGTCTCAGCTGTCTCTATCTGCGCTGTGCCTCACCTTGCATGTCTTCCATGTACGGACGGATGCTGTTGAATAACTTGAGAATGCTTCTGATCATTCAAGCATCTAATTCCTCTTGGTGGCCCAAGCCGGTACATACTTTTATGTAGTAGTTTTGGTAACCGACCCTGCCTCTGTAAATAAATGCATTTATATCAAGGATACTGATACTAGAAACCAGATGAAACTGCTCGTAGTATTTTGAAGAGAGGAAGAGATGGCGGCATCAACAACTCGTATAATATACGGATAGCCATCCATCCGTATGCATGTTTTACCCCGTCCTGTGCCGTGTCTCAACTGTATTGAGTTGAACTCCCGAGACTATCATTTGTACGGATACTACATGTCCCATTTGCTTTTCTGGGGGTATGCAAATATGATTCATAATGGCAAGCCCGAATTGAACATGGAAAATGATAAATAGCAGCTTCACCGTGTTAATCTAGCTCCCATTCCGCCCACGCATCATCTCACACGAATTTTCCATCACAATCTCTTCAAAGCAAAACTCAAGAAAGCGCTCTCTTCATAATGAAGCATTCAATCTTTGGAATTGTCGCTCTTGCAGCGCAGGTCTGTTTTGGCTTCACATTTTACGCCCGAACTTTGGAAGGAAATGTGTATACCCTCAGAGGCGAAGACTCGACCAAAGTTAGTGTCATCCAGGAGCAGTTTGAGCAGGCCTCGGGTATGCCGGTCAAACAACAGCGAATGATTTTCAAGGGGCGTCAGCTCGAGAGTGACAAGGTCCTCGCAGACTATGGCATTCAGGAAGGTTCAGAGGTGCGGGTGATGCTCCGGCTTAGGCCAGATTCAGAATTACGTCGGTAATTCGTAGCCGGACGGTTTCTCAGGTAAGATATCAAAGGATCGGGATTCAACGGAGCCGAGTTGGAGTGCGCTAACATGAGTGAGTATGTAGTGCTGTGTTTTGTCAGGGCAATCAGACTGCCGGATCAGCATTCGAGTTTTGCAAGCACCTGGAGGAGAAGCAGACGGTCACCAAGAAATAGCAGAGAGTCGTGGAAGCTAGAATTGCAAGTAAAAAATACATCAAGAGTGTCGATATTTGAACAGTAGATATCTACATGTGCTCATGGTGCTTCCGCCTAATGCTGCGCAGCTTCCGCAGCAGCTCCTCGAGCGCGCCGTGGGCGAGGGTGGGCGCGCTGCTCGACGGCGGGCGAGGCGGAAAGAATATGGCTTATGCGTCAATTCAATAGTAGAGTTGAGATGCTCTGTGTCTGCCCATACATAAGTTCACGTCTGCGAGAGTTTGAGCTGAGCAAGTGACGTCATCCAGGCTGATGGGAGGAGACAGCGACATGTCCACAAACAAGGCAATTAATTCTCTAGAAATTGTATTTTAATATAGAGATGGACAGTGAGGATATTCAAAGACTGCACGGTAGAAACTTGTTTCAAGGCAGCCACTCTAATTAATAGGTGCGGCCTTGGCTCCAATCAGGGCCATGTAGAGCCGCGTCTCGGCGCAGATGATCATCCTCCCATCGCCGACAAACTGAAAGTTGGCCGCAGGGCCGTCGGTAAAGATCTTGCCGAGAAGCTTGCCCGAAGGGTTCCAGACGTGAATCCCATCTCCGCATCCGGCATACACATTACCGTTGCTGTCGCAGTGAACACCTTGGAGCGGTCAGCGTGCGTTGTCTCCTGCATGAGTCGGCTGTATGATGCTAGACTTACCATCTGGGACGCCATTGTCTGCAAAGGCAAATGTCTTTCGGTTTTCAAAGGTTCCATCTTGCGCAACATCGAAGCGGTAACTGCGGGACAAGTAAAGGTAAAGTCAGCGCATGTTTCAAATACTGCAGCGTGCCACCGAGACACATACATGGTCGCGGGACGAGAGGCGTCGTAGCCGTAGAAGCCGTGGTTGGCGCCGGTGTCGGTGATGTACACGTGCTTGCCGTCGGGCGAGAAGGTGATGCCTGGACGAGTTAGCCAAGATTGCAGGACGGAGTAGAACCGGTGACAAGAGGAGACTACCATTGGCCTGGTCAAATTCGCTGGCGACCACCGTGACGGCCATTGTCTTGGGGTCGAGCCGATACACCTGGACAGGGAGCGCGGGCGCGGGCCGGAAATCCTGAAAGTATCCGTAGAGCGGATCGGTAAAGTAAATGTGGGAGTTGCGAGGGTTGATGCCAATGTCGTTGAGCGAGTTGAACTGGCGACCGTAAAAGTTGTTGATGAGAATCGTGGCGTTGTGAGGCGGGAGCGGGTTGACCGAGTACAAGGCGGATGCTGTCTTGTTGCCCATGCCCTCACCGGCAAAGAGGATGTTGCCTTTGTAGTTGGTGCCACCTTTGTTTTGTCATGGTTAACTCGAAGCGCTTTCGAAAATGTCCTCCAACAGTCTTGAGTGGCTTACCGTTGGGGTTGATCACGGGCGGATGGGAGGTGACAGTGTCGATCTTGACATGGCCGGTCTTGTTCCCGGAAGCGACCTGCAACGCCTCCTTGACGGAGACTTTTTGAACAATGGCCGATTTCAAGAGGCCAGTGCCTGCGGCCGGGCTTCCGGCGTTTTGCGCAAAAAAGACGTGATCCGTGGCGGGGACCCTGACGGGGGAAGCAAGTCAGCCAGTTGCAGTGAGCGAGCGAGCGAGCGAGCGAGCGCTGTTTCAGTGAACAAGACGAGCACGAGCACGAGCGAGCGCTGTCTCAGTGAACAAGACGAGCACGTACCAGACAACGGCCTCGTGAAACAGAGGGTCCTTTTCCGTCTCTGCAATGATGGCCAGCTTTGGCTCGTGACCGATGACTTCGAGAAAGTCGGGGTCAAAGACGAGGAACGGGCGGTCCTTGAGCTCCTGCCGCGAGACACCGGGCGGCACCCAGACCTGGACGGCGCAAGCATTAGCAAGATGACGGGTCGTCTTGGAAGAAGAGGGCGGCGGTTTTAAACTTACAGTCGTGCCATTGTACTCGTTCGGCGGCGGAACCGAGGCCACTGACGCAAACTTGGCACTGTCAATTACCTGGGCCTGGGCAGGCAGGCTCGTGGCGGCGGTCAGGTAAGGCCCGGCGGCGGTCAGGGAAGGCCCGGCGGCGGCGGCGGCGGCGGAGAAGAGCGCGGCGAGCGATACAAAGGGCAAAAAGGTTGCATTGGCCAAGTGTGAAGAGGCCATTTTGACGACTTTTGAAGCTTGAAAATAATAATCAAAAAATTTTTTTTTTTTTTCGATATTTCGGGCAAGGGAAATACAAGCCTCTGTGGCCTAACAACAATGCTTTTGTAGTCTTGTCTTGTCTTGTCTTGTCTTGTCTTGTCGTCCCAACAATGACTCGCCCCGCAATCGGCAATTGAGACGGTGGCTGGGACCGACAAGCGCACAGTCGAGAGCTGGTTATTATACAATAGCCTAATAAAGTAAATCATAGTAGTAGTGCTTGATGTACAAAATTATTCTTCAATTACCGCTAAATTGTGCTCGATATTTTATGAAACACTCGTCCTCTATAGCTCATGGCTTATGGCTGGCTTGCAGTTGCCTAGTTTACACGAGGCTACTCTTATAACAGTGCTATCGATAGGTACGAGGATAGAGGCATGTAACTACATGTATTTAGAAGAATTATAAATTATTTCTCACTAGTACAGCGAGTGATGAATTAGAGACGCCAACTGTAAATTAATCACAAGATACCAGACACAAGGAACATGGGCGAGCTGTCAGAGCCAGTCAACCACCAATTCATCATCGCCATCAAATAGTCACCGTATCGGCATCAGGCCACGTCGCCGATGAACGGGATCGCCGTGTCCTCCGGGTACGTCGTGAACTGGACGTACCGGCCTTCGGCTAGCCGGTACGGCCGCATCGCCGCCAGCTGCAGGTTGTTCGCGTAAAAGCACGCCACCAAAAAGGTCGTCTTGGCGAGCAAGCGCCGCGTCCGCCCGGATCACGGCCTCGACGTCGTGCTTGCTGTCAAAGTGGTACACCGGGTGGCTGGGCACGCCGCGCGGCAGCGTGCTCCAGACGTAGTGCTCCAGCCCCGGCACCGCCGCTGCAGCCCTCGCCATGGCCGCGCCGCGGGCCGCCTCAACCTCCTTGGCCTTCTGCGCACCGTGCTGCTGCTACAGCGCCCAGAAGTCGGCTACGGCGTAGATTATGTGCGAGCCGGAAAACGCGGCGGCGACGGAGGCGGCGGAGTCAATGTCAAACTGCACGACTTCGATGCCGGAGGCCGCGAGCCCGAGCGCGGCGGCGCTGTGCGGGTTCCGCGTGAGGCCGCGGATCTTGAAGGCCGGGTTGTGCCGGAAGGCGTCGACGACGGCGCCGCCTTTGCTGGCCGGTGGCGCCGACGACGGTGATGAGTTTCTGGGACATTGTGTCGGGGTTCTGGGGACATGTTAGTCTGATACCCTGGCTCGCTGAACCTGCTACACTCACATATTTGTATGAGTAGTGGTTCTTGTTGGATGCTGTCGAGGTGCTGTCTGGCTGCAAGATTGAGTGTGTTTATACCATTTGTTGATGAACTTGATGAGACACAACTCCTTCAGCTTCCGACTTACAACCAGTCTTTATACTCGGACCAGCCTCATTCTTCCTTCCATTCAATCATGAGCTGATGACCGATGAGCCTCTGGCAGATGGCAGACATGTTGAGATTTCACAACCAACTTGGTAAGCCACACCACTCACTGTCACACCCTCATCGACAAACTGCCTCCAATAAATGCAGTTCGAGTTTGACAAGATGGGTAGGCATTATTAATGGTTGCCCGGATTCTCTAGCGTCCGCTTCACTACTTGCCTTCAGCTACAGCGACTCCACACCAACTCAAGACAGATTGCTCTTCAGCTCTCAGCCATGATCGCGTAACCAGAATTATGAGAATATTTTGGTTCTAAACACAGTTGAAGGAGTACTATAATGATTGCGCTGTAACTTGATTGACTGAGAATATTGCAAGAGTCAATGCGACACAGGCAAAAATGCAAACTATACGCGACTGCGGCGAGGAGCGACAGGCCGCTATGGGTGGATTGGTGAGTGAGTGCATGTGAGAGGGAGAGAGATTCGGTAATAAAGTTGATTAAAGTCAGAAAAATACCACGTGCTCATCTGGGACCAGAAAATTCAATAAATGCAAGACAATTGCATGCTCCTTCCCCAGACTGAAGCTGAAATGCACGAGATTCAGCTCATGACACGATTTGTCTACACTGCATGTGGAAACTTGTACTGTGCCTCTAGAATATGTACGTCGTATTTCTGCGGCCTTCCCGGTACTGCATGAGCCGAGTGATCCCAATAATAATTCCCTGCCATATAAGCACTACATCTATGATGTGCATACGGCTTCTATCCGTTTGCGAGTGTGCCTGAGCAATTAGCATGCTCGCCCACTACGTCATCTTGGACACTCTCGTAGTAAAAGAGGTGTATCCAGAATGACCAACTCGGAACAGGCAGTAGGCGAGCGAGCGGGCGGTAATCAAAGGCTGAAGAGTCTTCATTTTAATTTCCTTTTTTTTTCTCTTTTTTTTTTCTCCTTTTTTTTTTCTTTTTTATCTCGGTACCGCGGCTGTGCTCAGCCCTACCATGACACACGATGGGCTCTCGGGTTCTGCTTCTTTTGAGCAGGAAGTGGCAAGGGAACGCCATCCCGGATCCCCCGTAGCCAGTTGGAACTGTTGCCGCGGCCCCTCCTGCCGCAGCCTCGTCTGACTCGATCCTTTGCTTTGATCCGTCGTGGCGGCGCTGTGAGATTTGTGAACGGGGCCAAGGGATGACGGAGAAGGAGAGGAGAGAAGGAGAGGTTGTTGTGAAGATGCAACGCACCTCTCACCCCGTCGCTTGCGTGCCCAGAAACCATCTCGGTGTAAAGAGCGTCCGTGAGTGGCTGGAAAAGTAATGCGCTGCCATGCCACCACGCAGCGAGTCGCGTGTGCATGTATGTAGGTATGTAATTGACAGGCTTGTTGGGGAGCTGCTCAGTAGGTTATTACTTGGTACTCGAGGGGACGCCGCATCTTCAGGTGGCAGGAGAAGGCACGCGGAAAGGAGGCTGCAGCAGGGTTACAGGGGCCAAATGCCGACGCCATCGACAACGACGCGCGCGAAACGAGAACCGAAACAACGAGGATCGGGCCGTCTCTTGTGGAGGAGGCTGGTAGGGGCAGGGGGGCTGGAGGGGTATAGAACGGCAGGTCTGTTTTTTCAATTATTATGCATGAATCCATATGGAAGGCGATCCAAGCGGAAACTGTGAGAGATTTACTAGTTAGTACTCCGTATCTGTACTCTGGAGTTCGTACGTGGAAACGAACGGGAAACAAACATTGGTAGCAGAACTGAGACGGTCGACAAGACACTTTACCTACCTGCTGAAGCTACTGTCGAAGAGTCTCTCAAGTCATTGGGGTCATCCGTCCATGAGTGTCAGTAATAAGTATCACGGACGTCTTCCGTTCCTTGCTGCCCAACCAACCCCTCCCTGGTCGCGGCTCTCTGCAGCAGCTCGCATGGGACGACGCACTGTCCCGGTAATTAGAAATGAAAAGATGGCGCAAGCAACCTCGTCCTGAGGGACTGGCCAGTAACGACCCAGCCGACCTCCCCCTCTGCGTCAGGGGGACCCTAGCTAGTCGGTGCCCCCCATGATGATTTGGATTTGCCTTCAACTACATACGCATTAATAGTTACTAACAGAGCCTAATCTCGGGACACATGTGCATCATCACGCAGAGGACGCACGCACCGACCAAAAACTTGGCAGGGATGTCTTGGTGCGTGTACTGTAGATACAGAGTAAAAAAGCCATGACATACTGACTGTAAAGTAACCCAGTGGGACGGGTCCCCCCAACGCCCGTCGCGGCAAGAGATTACAGCGGGCTCTTTTGCTCTTGTGTGTCACCGTGTGTGTGCCCTCTGATGAATGACCTTCCTCTTACGATCATCTGCAATAGAGAGGACGAAACGTTTTCCCCTCTTCACATGCGACAGCGGGAAGCACAGAGCCCACCAAGTTACGGGTTGCAGGGATGCCGGCCTGGAAACGATAAACCGTTCGATTCCTTTACGCACTACGTTAATAAAAGAAGGCCTTCAAGACTGTTGGCAATGGATGCAAGACAGGGCTCAACTAAAACTTGAACTACTAGCAACTTCCTAGACATATTGCGCACCTGGCGAACTGGTCTGGGCTTTTGTCTCTGGCTAAAAAGAGACGAAACGGGAACTAAGCTAGGAAGTCGCAAGCCTCCCTCGGCTCTTTTTCCCTCTCCGTCTTCTTGTCCTTCTAATCTCGACCGTTGCCTCCCGCGCACCGCCGCCATCCCGCGCCACCCAATCCTTTCCAGATTTCAAGTCGATGGGACTAAACCCTGTTCAAGGATGGATCCAACGCCGTGGTGTGGTAGTGCGGTGGTGGTGTACAGTAGGTGGTGTGGTGTGTCCAGCTGGTCTTGAAGGCCCGGCTACTGAGCTGCAGTAGCCTGTATGTATTACTATCAACCGTATCAAACCAGAATCGACACTGGAGAGAACCGAAAAATTAAAAATAAAAAAAATAGTCAACCACCACAAAAGGTCCCGTCCCTATCTGCATAGTCTGACGTGCCGCCCCGCCATCATGTCGGCCGCGCTCCCCCTTCTGGCCCGGCTTTCACCTACTCCGAGACCTCATGGTTGATTCCGGCGGCAATTTTCAGTCCCCAATCGTCAAGTCCTCTCTGGTGCGAGATGGCAGTTCGAATTTCGGAGCAAGTCATCCCTCGCATCCCCTCAGCCGCTGCAATGCCGGGCAGGGAATGACAATGCAACGCAGCATGTTAGCCTCCATATCTAGCAGACTTGTCCGATTGGTTTCTTCCCATCTTCCCCTCGTTTCTCCCATTCTTCACACACACCCCTCCCGTCCCAATCCGTGTCTGCCAAGTGTAGGAGACAAGAGGGGCGGGCGCACCGGTGCCGATGGAGCGACCCCCCCCGACCCCCCCGGCTTGCACTGGTACTGGTTCCCAACTACTCTATTCGTACTGGTAGAACGGTGGCCCGGGAGTGAATAATAAGGAGTGTCTTTTGACAGGCTAATGATATTGTGTAAATGGGCCGTGGTCGCTAGTTGTGGTAGTAATTTACTGCTTGTGGCCCTGGTGCCGTGGCGCCCCTTCCCTTTCCTTCTTTCCCGGCCGAGATTTGTAGATGCACTCTTTCCTTGACTTCTTTTCTTCTTCGCACCTCAAACGCCAGGGTTGCAAGTGTCGGACGACATTTTGGAAGTTTTCGCTCAGACTCGCCTCATATTGCAGGTCCCCCTCAACGAGTGACGCAATAATACAGCACCATCACCTGGTATATTGATACAAGCATCCGCGGTCTGAAAGGTGCCTTGCGACTTATAACCCTCAGCAGACCATTGTGCCACAAAGTGACTCAAGCTCAACTCAGATCGGCATATCAGACCACGCAAACCGCATTCCTGATTCGCCTTGCATAACCACAAGGCCAAGGAAAGACTTGCAAATCGGAAACAAACAGGACGAGGTCGTCTCCGCGGACATAAGCTTCCGAGCTTGTGCGTCTAAAGCTTGGGGGACGTTTCTGCGATACCTGCCTGCCTGCTTGGTCAGCCCGCTCACGCACATGCAATACCACCCAACCATCAACCCCCTCGGCGAGACTTTGACTGTCATTTGCGTTGCCACTGCAAAGGACCTCACGCGGCTTAAATCATCTGGTGGCTGTTCTCTGAAACTCTTTATATAACCCGATACTTGGGCCGCCAAAAACGCCGACTTCATCCATCTACGACATTGCCGATGCGCTTCCTCGTGCGCTGGTGTCAGTCTTGAAGAATGTCGGGCAGCCTCGACGCCAAATACCGCGATAAACAAAGTACAGCCAATGTTGCATGATGCGTATAGCAGTTGCCGGAGGATTCGGGCTGGGATATCTGATCGCGACCGGGCTGTCGCGTGCAGAGACCGCCCACAACATTGTTGTGCTGTCCCGGACGGTATGTTTGTTGGTTCCCATCCGACCAACGAGTGCTTGACAGCATCTCGTGGCACACGCTTCCATTCTCGAGCGCTTGGGCACTGACTAACACTCATCTCATGGCGAATGCAAAAGCCCAGGAGGGAATTCACCGCCGTCGGTATCCAAGTCCACGTCGTCGACTACCACAACAAGGACCTGCTGCAATTCGCCTTGAGCGGCATCGACCTCGTCATCTCCACCATTTCCGGACAGGAACAGCTCAACCTCATCAATGCCGCCTGTCATGGACGAGTCAGCTACTTTGTGCCGTCCGAGTTTGAGGGACCCCTCAACAAGCGCCCACCGGCCCGCCAAGATCCCCTAGATAGAGGCAGCTCCGCGGCGCTCACCCTCTTGCGCCAGTGGTCCGACACAAAGCCGCGCTTCAAGTGGACAGTGTTTTCCTGTGGCATCTTCATGGAGCGCTTCCATCCTTATGGGCTCGCCGCAAGCTTGGGCATCGGCAACGGCGAAGGGGTCGGCGCCGTCGGTAGCTACGTGGCCGACATCAACGCTGGCATCGCTGATTACGTGCCCAAGGATGCAAGAGGAAGCTCGGTCAAGGTTTGCATGACAAGTGTATACGACCTTGTCAGGTTCATCATTGCTGCCATAGACCTTGGTCCTTCAAGCTGGCCAACCGAGTTTACCATGAGAGGCGACAAGATGAGCTTGGATGACCTCGTTTCTACAATTTCGGTTGCTCGAAATAGTGAGTCTCGTCGTCTTCAGCTATTGAGCTGGAAGCTAATCATCCCAGTGCAATTTCAATCCGTCACCCTCAGTTACGAAGAGCTAATAGCGCACATCTCCTACAACACCGATATGGGCCAATACGCCCGTGTCTCGTATCTTCACAGAATTCTCGAAACTGCCAACGGACGCTACGATTTCTCGCGGACCACACTCAACGACGCCATCAGCAGCAACAGGCATGTTAGGTTTAACCCTATGAGCTTTTCGCAATGGTTGGCGACGGTGCTTTCTTGATTCTAGGCTGTTCTTCGTGTTTCACTGTACCCGCTCTCCTGGCTGAACGGCTTGTTGTATGCAATTTTCCATTAGAATGCCTTTTTCCAAAATTTCCTTTTTTTTACGTTCGTTGCGAGGAGCATGGCGTGTATTAAATACATGGGATTAGGCGTTGGGCAGTGCTGCGCAAAAGGCATCGGCGGAGCACACGGTTAGTGAATACAAGGGAAAGTGAATACAAGGGAAAATGAACGTCATCTCTGATAAGGAAAAATATCTTGAAATTTGTTAATCTCATTCTTGTTGAGTCTTGCTTGTATGTACCTCATTGTGGACTTGGTCTGTTATGGACATGTTTATCTCCAAATATCATTGATGAGTTTCTGTATTCATGACCTCCCATTTTGATGCACCTTTCCATTGTGACGAATCTCCCCGTCTTTCCGAGACCGTGCTTTCCTCCCACTACGCCAATAAACAAGAAAATAAATACCAACAAGAAGCCGTCTGCTTTGAACATCATGCCTTGTCAGCTTCAGGAACAGCAACGACAGGTTGCTTGCCAGCCGCGACGCTCTCTTCCGGCTCCGGTGTGTCGTCGTACTGCTCCCCGTACTCGTCCACGACCCAGAGGCAGAAGCGCTCCCACTCGACCTGCCACTCCTGCAGGCGTCGTGCCTTGACGCCGTCGCCGAGACTGGCCGCCTTGACGCCGGCCATCCACTTGTCGTTGTCCTCGTCCTCAAACGCGGACCACCGTACGCTATTCTCCGCGAGGCTAGCGAGCCCGGCGAGCCCGAGGTTGTGCCAGCCCTGGAGGGCCTGCCAAAAGTCGTGGGACATGCCGGCGGACCCGTGGCCCATCATGGCCGGGTCGTCGTTGCAGAGGCAGCAGGGCACGCCACGCGCGAGCAGCGCGGGCAGCGGGTGGGCTGCGACGGAGCCGCACAGCCGGAGCACCTCGTTGGAGATGGGGCAGGCCTCGACGAGCACTCGGCGCTCGCGGACCATGTCAACGAGCACCGGGTGCTTGTAGAGGCTGTAGCCGTGGCCGATACGGCGCGTGCCGAGGAGCACCGCGTCGAAGAGGTTGGCGTCGGGCCCGTCGCCGTCGCCGAGCGTCTCGCCGGCGTGGAAGAAGAAGGGCACTGAGACGCCCTCCTGCGCACACTGCTGCCGGAACCAGAACAGCTCCGGCAGCAGGTCACGCAGCGTGCGGCCGCGGTTCTCGTACCCAACCACATCGTAGCCGACGACGAGCTCCGGGAACTCCATCTTGGTGGTGATGCAGTGGTCCATGTCCTCGACGATCGGCCGCGTGGGCAGGGAGCGCAGCGAGGTCCAGATGATGCCGAGGCCCCAGAAGTCGCGGCCCTCGTCCGAGGCGCGGAAGCGCGCCACCTCCTCGCGGATGACGGTGAAGAGGTGCCAGTAGTCGGGCTCCGGCTGCTCGTGGCGGTCGCGGCAGTAGTTGAGCGGCCATGCGAAGCGCAGCTCCGCCCAGCGGACGCCGTCGGCGAGCAACTGGCGCATCAGCGCGCGCAGGTAAGCGCGGACCATGGGCTCGTACGTCATGATGGTGGCCGACGCGATGAAGCAGTCCTGGAACTTGTCCCAGATGGCGTCGATGCCGTGGTGCTGGTGATGCGCGTTTTGCGGGTGCAGTGTGCAGCGGCCGACGAGCCACTCGACGAAGCCGTCACGGCCACCGCCGGGGAACTCGTCCGCCATCTTCGTGAGCAGCAGGAACTTGCCCGGCTTGTAGTCGGCGCTCCAGACGGCGGTGCCCTTGACGCGCTCCTTGGCTCGGTAGCGGAAGGTCACCTGGCCGGCGACAAGGGCATCATGGCTCGCGAGCGGCCGGTCGCTGGCGATGTGGACATTGGGGAGCGCGAGCAGCTCGCGGATCAGGTAGTCAAAGTCGACCATGGCCTCGAGGTGGGCGTGCAGCAGCGAGCCCTTGGGCATGCGGCGGACGATGCGCCACAGCGTGGTGCTCTCCATGCGCTCGCGGCACATGGAGAACATCATGCCGGGGAAGACGGTGACGTGCGGCGACTCGCTGGCCATCCTCTCCTCGACGTCGCTGGTCCATATCGTGCGCTGCTCCTCGGCGCGGATGCGCTCGACGATGCGGCAGGCGCGCTTGGCGATGGGGGAAAGGGACTTGCGGAACGCGACGTCGGCGCGCTGCGTCTTCTCGTTGGCGATCAGGCTCTCGCGGCCGGCGAGGTACCGCTGCAGGAAGGGGTCGTCAATGGAGGGGATCTGCTGGGCGATTTCCTCCCAGGCAGCATCGGTCTCGGTCGTGGAGAGGGGGGCCTCCGGGGTGACTCCATCTTGCGCATCCTCGGGCTTGAGCGATGGATATTTCTCCAGGGCACTTTTCCCTTGAATATCTGTGGGCTCGGCCATGCTGGTTCTCGGGGAGAATGGTGAACCTGGTCAGAGGTGGCGTGTGATTGTGAAGACGGCGTGTAGTAAAGACAGGTAAAGACAGGGCCGACCTGGGGTCTCGGCCGGTTCCGACAGGGGCTGAACAGATGAGCCTTGTTTACTGAACAGATGGGCCTTATTTACCCTTGACAGTGGTTCACTGGGTATGGAGTACTTCGTAGAACCAGACGCTGCAGATTGGTGACAAGCCTCGGCGGCTCAAGGCGGCCCAGGGCGGGGATGGCTTTAAGGACCACCCAGGACAGGCTCGGTGTTGTCGGTTGATGGAAAGAGACCCGGAGGGGCTTAAACCAGAAACCTAATTACTCAAGTAGGGCAGCTCTAAGCTATCGGCGTTTGGAAGCTTCACCAGTACCTCGGCGTGGAAATGTTGTCTGATCCGATCAGTGTTTGCTGGTGAAGGAAGGAGCCGGATGCTGACAGAGCAGGGGAACGAAGCTAAGCGTTGGCGGGGTCAAGCGACGTCACCGAAAACGAGACGGAGGGAGGTTGGGCGTTCGAATACTAGTAATTATTAGTTGGACAAGATTTAGAACTACGCGTAGGATAATGGGGTTGTGGAAAATAAAAACTTCTCCTTGTCTCTCTCTACTCCGTACTGCTTGGTGAACCACTTGCAGGGCGCCGACTATCTACTAGTTAAGGCGTAACGCCCTGCCACAACTGTGATATCACATCTCCCGTTACAGCGGTTGTACAGCGAGCTTCAGCGCTGATTAGTGGGGTTTCCAGGCACCCTTGGCGGGGAAGCTCCCCCGAACCGACGAGGAGAAGAAAACGAAGAGGAATCCAAAGGAAGGTAATCGATCATGTCCAAACGACTCGCTTTATCCCATAACACGCGCTACAGCTTGCACACACCCTGCATCGTGCGCATCGACTTGACATCCCTCACAAACGTCTCTGGCAGCGTATCAATCCTGTCGCTCTTGAGCACACGCCACTCGGCCGCCATCGACTTGAAGGCGCCCTTCATGCTGCCCGCGTCAAAAATGATGCTGAACAGATTCATCAGCAAGTTATCCGGGTGCTTCACCGTGTCATAGATCGAGTAGCCGATATCCGCAAAAGTGCCGGCCAGGTTGATGATGGTGCGCATGATCGCGCCGCCAACCAGGCTCGCCGCCTCTCCGACAAACGGGACGAAGAAGAAGACGGCGGAGATGATGGCCGCGATGCCCTCCTCGCGGTCCTGCTCAATCTTCTGGTTGGCAACCTTGACGATGCCCTCCATGTTCTGCACCGCCGCGCTCATCGACATGGCGGGCAGCACCAGCGTGCTCGCCAGCTCCTCCCACGAGACCCAGTAGTTCTCCGCCATGGTCATCTGCAGCTCTGTCTCGTCCATCAGGCGCGTCGTGTTGGCGTATGCCCGCTTGATAATATCTGAGGGGTCCGGCAGCTTGAAGTCCCTCTTGAGCGAGGGGTAGTTGTGCCAGAACACGTCGGTGTCCTTTCGGCATTGGGCCATGCCCTCGACGTCGACTTCCGTCCACCCCCAGACACAGCCGTAGTTGTAGTAGACATCGTAGTCAGTGAACTCAATCCAGTCGCGCAGGACGCCGTAGTCCTTTTCCATGTTGTCAAAAAACTTGTCCTTGTCGTCTAGGCTCCAGCTCAGTGGCTTGGGGTAGTCGCCGACCTGGTCTGGGCACGACACCTTCTTGCCAACTCCATTGCTGCACTTTTTAGGGTTACCGTCATCAGCGCCAAAGCAGCCGAGATGGAAGCAGATCGGATCCAGGTAGTTGCCACCGATGTGATCGCACTCGTTACAGCACTTGATCGGCTCCGGTTTCGCGCAGTGCCATCCCTCGGCGCCCTTGTCCAACATGTACTTCTTAATTTGAGAGATGGCCTGCGTTTGGACAATGTCGTGGTAAATCTTGAACTTGCTCTCGTAGTCATCCCCCATAATGCTGTTGTACTTGTCCCTGGTCGTGGTCAGGTTCTTAGCAAACGCCTTGGCCAGATACTGGTTTACGCAAGCGTCGGGTATCGAGTCGTAAGACGCTTCAATGGCCTTGAGAGTGTCATAAACGCCATTGCACGAAGTAGTCGTACCATAGTCTTCATACTCATCATTCTTATCATCATCGTCGAGTTCGCCCCTGTAGCCACATTCAGCAAGGTAAAAAAGGGACACAATAGACTGCGTCTGAGTGCACGTACTCTCCGGTTGTGGCGCGCAGCCAAGCATTAACCACGGAAGTGAAAGGATGAATGTTGGTATTGGTGTTTGCCTTGGCAAGTACAGGCTTTTTAGAGCCGTGGTTGATCATTTCGACAGTGCCAATGGTGTAGACATTGTACAGGAACACTTGGCCGCTCTTTTCAACCTTGAGCACGCGCTTCTGACAGTCTTGGGTGTCGACACACGGCTGTGCGTACTTCTGGAACCAATTGTACAGACCAGCGCCGTATACTCGGACGTTGGTTGATCCAATGATGGACAGACCCCAAGCAGCCGCACAGTGAGGATTGGACGAGTCGCATTCCTTAAAGTCAGGGTCTGACCGGAGATTAAGGCTCTCCTGGAACGGCGCAGGTGCCTGTGGATCAGGTAGGTAGTATGGGCTTTCCGTTTGGATCTAGGAAGAAATTAGCAACTTTGTCGAGAGAGATCGTCTTGCATTCAACTTGCCATGGACATGACAATGTTACGTGCACCGTAGATCATGTACTGGTAGAGAACCGAATGCTCAGATGACGTGCCGTACAGCCAAACAGGGGCAGCTATACTTTCAATCAAGATTCCTTTGCAGTATTAGTCGTGAAGAAGAGCAAAGCGAGAGAAAAGCATGTGCTCGCATACCTCTTGCGACGTAAATGTCAATCTGCGTTTGGCTAGGGCCACCATCAAGCTCGTGATCGGCAACCCAAGCCCAAACATTTTCCAAATATCCAGACGATTCAGCCGTCATGTGTAGCATAAGGGAGCCAGCAATGCACTTCTTGTTCACAGAGCCGGTCAGTTTAGGGCAGTCAGCTTCTTGCAGATGCGAACCTGCGGCACCACCGATGCGGAAGTGGACGTCTACACATCTGTCAGCATGGGATGTGCATGTAAACACAGGTCACATTGCAATAGAAGACTCACCCCACATTGCCGCAGCGCCCTGCTTGTCTTGTGCAATGTTCCATTCCATGAGCACGGCACCGGCGGTTGGTCCTTGGACCGTTAAAAGTAAGTCTTGAAGCTCCATCGAGCCAATGTCTCCATAGCTTCCAACCGAAAGCACCGGCTTTGGATCTGCTGCATCCTCAAAAAACTTTACTGAAGGTTAGAGAAATAAGACATCTTCGAGTTTTTAGCAAAAGGGGGGCTTACCAGCCCTCTGGCGACAATTTGAGCCCAGCATTCTCCAACAATGACAGAGCCCGGGGGTAGCTGTGAAAGCGGTAAGCATGTCTCCTGGCGAGTATTCAAATGAATGAAGAGCGTACGAAAATGGTAGTCGTAACAATGTAGGACCCCATAGGGATGTATAGGAGCTTATTCGTCATCCGGGCAGTCGCAGCCGCAAGTGCAAAAGCGAAACTGTCGTCCGTCACACCGTCCCCTTGGAAGGCGTGTCAGTCGCTAAAAAAAAACATTGTCAACGGTCGTGACTAAAAGCTTACCTTTGGCCGTGCCTGCAAGCGAAATAAAGTCATCAGCAGACTTATGTTCGTACTGTGGCTTGGAGCGGATATAATAGCCGTCCGCAGCAACGCCGTTTGACATGACCAGCTCCGGCTGTCTCTTCGCGAGCTTGTAAGACTTGCCGGTGACAAAGGTGCCTTCGGGATGATGATTGTCATACATCCTCCCAAGAATCCACGACTCGATGAGCGAAGAGCCCCCAGCTAGCCTCGTGTTTGAAGCCTCGTGGATGGCCATAGTCTTGACCCCGCTCATCTTAACATTCTCCAGCGTCATGGAGAACTGTTCTGGCTCCGTTCCGCCTTTTTGGGTTTTTATATGTATACCCAAGTTTACAAATTCAAAATGGCTGTCCAAAAGCAGCATTGAGCCGCCCATAAAGCTTCCATCCATGCTGAAGCCGACATCAGTGTTAAAAACGTACATGTTCTTCCAAGTCCAGCCCCAATCCCACAGTAGGTCAACGGCAGTGCCTACATTGAGAAAGGCCATGGAGTGCGAAGTGAACTGCTGGTTGCCACCTTTTAGAGCTGAGTTAGACGTGATGCTATGTACGCCATCAACAACGACTTACAGCGGATGCCGATGGAAGTGTCGCTGAAGACCAAGTCGCCCATAAAGCCGCCGCTGCCGTTTTCCGCAACTTAACAACAGAGGATGGTTAGCATGCAAAAAACGTTGAGTCGCGGCTAAGTACAAAGCATCCAACATACAGATGCCAATATGCTTTTTGCCTCTGTCCTTGGATCCGTAAAAGTGAACATTGAAAATGCTTGTAGCTTGCGCAACTTGCCAGTGGAGACCTGCAATGTTGGCCATCCTGGCTTTGCTCGTGTCGATAATCAAGTTGCGGACTTGACGGAAAAAATTGTTCTAGATCTTTGATCAGAATAATGTCTGGAGCATTGTCAGTAGAGTAACTGTGTATGCTATCATACCTGGTTGATGAACCACTCGTCTGCGCCACCACTACCGCCAGTGTACTCATCAGAAGAAAGAACACCTAATCCAACAAAATTTTCATCGGCCAAGATAATGGGCATGTCATTTGGCTGCAAGTATTTGTCAGAGCTAGCGTTGCATATATAAACAGTATGTACATACGTTGCCGATCACCTGAGTGTTGTAGAACATGGGGATTGTTTGACGGACGCGGTAGGAGCTGCATCTCATGTCAGTTTTTTAAGCAGGCGGGGCCGGGATATACCAAGATCTACCCTGCTGGAAAATAGACGATAGCAGGCTTAATAGTCGAAGAACCACAGTCGGCACCGCATCTGTGGCCGTCTGACATGGCTTTGTTAATGGCGTCGGTATCGTCTGCCTTGCCGTCACCCTGTACGTCCCATTTGTTAGTATCCTCTGTTACAGCGACAAACACGTTTTGAAACGATGTACGTACCACTGCACCGTAATCCTTTACATTTCTGAAAACTTTATAGCCGTCATTCGCGGAGCCACCAAAGGGAACTTTGCCATCATGGCGAATGGTTTCCATCCACCAGCTCGCTCCCGTTCCCGGAGGCGATCGTTTTATCAGGTCGGAGTCTTCTTCGAAAGACGCAATTTTGGACGCGATTTCAGCAGGGAGAACATATTTCGAGTAGTCCACCTTGGTAACATTGCCCTCATTCGCGGCCGCCACGATGGCAGCCGCAGTGGTGACAGTTTCGTTGATATACAGCGAGACCCTGTCCAGAGCACGAGCTTTGTTGGCATGGCCACTGTGGCGGTCATAGTAGTTGTTAATACGGGGATCGGCAAATCGTGCCTTGTTACGCGAGTCGAACTCGCGCTGCGCTTGCTGGACGATTTGGAGGGCGCGATCAAGCGTCGCGCTGGAGTTGGCACCGCCGGTGCTGTTGCTGGCGATCTTCCCGAGCCCGGCCCGCCATGAAGAGGAAGGTCTATTGGCAATTGACGGGACAACTACCGGCGGTTCTGGAGGAGACGGGTTGGCCAGCTGGTCCTTCATCCGATTTGCGGTGCCGTGGATATCCGAGACTTCGTCTTGGCTGAGTCCGGGATGGTCGAGCTTCCACTGTTCCACGAAAGAGTCAATGTGGGAGAATGCGGCATCTGTAATGCAGAAATGAACAAAGTCAGCTTTAAAGTTTTAAAAGTCACTCCGCTAGATCTTTTTGCCGCCATATAAAAGAAAACGAGGCATGTGTTGTAAACGTACCGATCGCTCGAGGAGACACTTGAGCGTGGGCATTGTATGCCAACAAAATCGGAAGAGCAACTGCGATGACTTTCATGATGTACAGCACTTATGTCACAATAAGACTTGGAAGCAAAGCAACGAAGAAACTCGAAAACGAATTTGGAACTTGACGGAAGAAAAAAAGAGTGTATGAGTTAGTGCAACGGCGTCATTGAAGACGAAAGAGAAAAGACAAGACGAAAGAGAAGAGCAGAGAAAACGCGCTCTAGAGACTTGCCCGCCACAGTATCAATGGTTGCATTACCTCATAAGTTAACCATGAATTCTGCGGATATGTATCTCCAACCTGTTCCTGGATAATGGAGCCTCGCCTACGGTCGGCACCGCGGCGAGGACAAGCAGGGTGGCCTAAAAGCAGCCATGAGCCCACGCGCACACGCGCACACGGCAAATCGGCAAATCGGCAAGTTATTTTGCCATTCTGCCATTAACAGTTCCATCAACATAGCTTGCTCCATCTCGCTGCATCAGCATGAGTTCTCATGAAGCTGTGAGATCAGTATGCAGCACGATTGTCCCGTTCCAGGGTCGCGATAGCCCTGAATCCGGAAACAGAAGCCGCTGGCCTGGGGCAAAGTGGAAATTACTAACCCTCTATTCCCACAATAAGAGGCGCGCTTTACTAATAGCCATCTGCGGCCAAACGGTTTCGATGAGCTAATAACTAGGGCTTCCCATGAACGATCGTGACAGGTTCGGAAGGCGCCGGACAAGAGCGAGAACCCCACAGCTTAAGCAAAAGCATTTATTAGTAGACGTGTGAAAGTCCAATACATCGCCTTACACCGGGCCTTATGAAGACTGGGGCGAGCATGCTGTTGAGCACTGGCAGCAGCCTTCGATCTGTTAGGAGCTGGAACAGGTTATCTCTGCCCTCACCCCCGACTGGGCACATCTGGAACGGACGAATGTTCCACCGGAGCACAGTTATGTAGGCACATCATGTAGCAGTCTCAACTAACCTTCACTCAATCACCTCTCTCTCTCTCTCATGTTCCTGAACCTGATCTTATCATTAGATACCTAGGTACGGCGGTCACTGGCGGGGAAGCCCGACTCAACTGAACGGACTTCATGCCTCTCCGGCTCTCGACATCCGGCCGGCCTCCTCACGCGCATTCCCAGTGTACGTAAAGCCTTCCGTCTCCTCGGTCCTCGGTCGAAAAGTATTCGGTTCCTAACAGCCTTGGCAGAATTCTCAACCCCGAGACTCTTTCTCCCACCCAGCGCCCCTGTCAGCCCTTCCTTGCTCCTCAACTGTGGCCCCGAGAGTGGGCTTCCCTCTGCAGCTGACAAGATCCGCTCAGATATTGCTTTGCAGGCATCCTGAATGTTTCCGCGATGGATGAACAATCAACAACCATGTTTCCGCTCTTCCCTCAATTTCCTGCCGAGATCAGACGCAGAATATGGCTTGCTGCGCTCGAGCCGATGACACTCACCTTTATCGACGAATTGCCCCCACGCAAAGACGAGGAGCTCCCCGAGGATCCTCCCGAGGACCTGTCATGGTGCACACCAGGGGAACTGGCATACTATACCATTCCGCCATTGTTCTCCAACTTTTCCCGATACTATGGTTACGTTCAGCTATCTGACGGAAGCTTCCGCTTACAATTCGTGGTCAGGTCATCCGCAGCCTACCAGGCGTGCAAAGAATCGCGTGGGTTTTTAAAATTCATATTTGCAGAGCCGATGAAGTCAGGAGGAGGCTTGCCGATTTGGTTCCGCTTCGACATGGACACCATTCGATTTCATTCCTGTTACTTGCAGACCATCACCCGACATCCTTGGTTCATTCAAGCACAGCATCTCCATATCGTCTTCATGTATGACATACTAGACTATACAGAATCCTACTCAGACGATCACTTAGAAGGCAAACACCATCGTTGGATAGAAGACAACTTGGCGTCACTAAAAAGCATCACTTTCGAAATGATGTGTGATCCCTCGGAAAATCCAGACGACCAAGTCCCCAGACGCTTCGCCGATTGGTTTCGAGTTTTTCAGGAATGGTACAATTGGTCTGAATTCGAAAAGCCCGTTCCTTATTATGCTCGAGTTATTTTTCTCGAGAATGGTTCGGCGGAGCGGGAATGGTTAACGCCAACCAACTATCTTTGTGTCCAAAAGCGGTATTATCAGAAGCACTTCCAGCGGTGTTATCCCGGTCATGATTGGAAAGATCACATCACCGACCAAAAGACCAGATGTATCATCGACGCAACGGATGAAGAGCTAGGGAACCCTACTGAGTTTTTTGCCAAACATCGACCATTCTGGGACTAGAGGACTCGACAAGAACAGAGTTGAATGACTATTGATTATCCGCGCGAAAGAAGCCAATCGATGCATGTGTTGTCAGGCAATAGTATCCACAAGCCATAGTGGCTCATCCATACGCGGCTCCGAAGACGATGTCCAAAGGGACGTTGTCCGCATATCCAAATTTCCGTAGCTTTCATGCACATATACCAATAACTAACGTAACAAAGTAGGAAGCGGGTGGGCTTTTACACGACCCAACCGTCGGGTTCAGGCCAGGACGTCATTCCGAGCAAATACGGTAAGAAAAATGCGAAACAGTTTCCGGTTCTCGCCGTCCTGCTTGCGGTTATTGCCCCATCTGTGTGATAGCCATGACATGAACTCAACCCAATTCTGTCGACCATGTATTGTATCTATGGAGGAGCCGTCCCGTCCATTATCCACATGCAACAAGGGCAGGAACTGTTCCTAATATCAGCTTATGAGTTCGGACTAGAATATTGTCTGCAAGGCTGCCGCTGCTTGGCGAGGCAAGATACACATCCATATGTGATGTCTCTGCTCATCGGTCTACCCTTTCTCTCCCTCCGCTCACTGCACTGCTGGAATAGGCCGTGGCTCTCCTTCTTCATTCTCTCAGGTCTGTTCTTTCTGTACTGAAGCTACTTGCTTACGCTTTAATCCTCATCATGAAAATATCTTTTTTTTTCCTTCTCATCACGACACTTCTGGGTACCGCGGAAGCCGGTCTACGCCACATCTACGAGAATTTGTTTGTCTTCTTGGCATATCGATTCGAGTTAGAGAACGTGGAAGACAGCGATCGAATCATTGGGGTCAAATGCGCTTCTGCCGATCAAGCCACAGGAAGATGTTTGCCTACTAATCCCCAATACAAGCGCTGCGTCGGCACCGCAACGGTCGAGGCAAAAGGTGGCAGAATGACGGATGCCTGCAGTCTGCGTGAGTTCCTGAGTCACATCAGCGGTAGCAAGGGGGCACGGCTCAAAGGCGAGCCGTATGACGGAGAAGAGCTCCACGACTTTCGCAACAAGCCACTTTTTGGGGCAGGCCTAGAGAATTCGGCCGACTTTGATGTGGACAAGACTGCAATGAACATGCTCGACAAAGAGATTGGCGACATCCAGTGTCCACCTTGGTGCAAAGTCAAAGATGGTAAATTTCTTTACTTGCCTTCTCTTGAGACTATTGCCATGCGCGTCGGCGCCATCAAGGCTACAATGTCGGTCGAAGAGCTCGAGAGCAACAAGAGCCTGTTTCATCGCCTGGACACCTGCGTGGATGGCGTCATCACTGACAGGAGGGCTGATATGTCCAGGTATCTGATACCACATCTGAGAAAAGCGGTGAAGGGCGTCCACCCCATTGCCTTTCGGTCATTGCTTGGGAACAGACAGCTGTTCCTCTACGGCAAGACGATTCAGGGCATCAGAGACTCGGTACAGGGCACCGGCGCCAACGCGGAATCGTTTTTTAGGAATCGAAAAAAGATATTGGATAATGCCTGGGAGGAGTATATGGGAACGAAAAGGGCATTGGAGCATAAAGCACCAATTGAGAAATGGGGCGTTCTCACGGCTCGCATGTTTCCAGTCAAGGGCTGCGAGCAGCGACCAGCAAATTAGCCGTAGGTAATCGCGGCATATTTTCAGAAAATCTCTAGGAGAACAAGTTTAACTCTGAAACTTCCAAGTCTTAAACTATGAGCTTTGTTTTTCTCGTGCTGCCGCTCTACTACATTCGAAGTGATCAACAAATGCTTTCATCGTGTGACACTTTGCAGGGTATAATGCTTTGTAACACCAATTCGCTGCCTGGCGCCTGCCTTGTAGTAGCCGAATAAATGGCTTATTCCGTGCTATCTACGGCCTCGTAAGCCAATATGAATTCTGAGACGCCTGATGAGCTAAGCGCAGTTCCGCTGATGTTACCGGACAAGCTTTGTTCAGGACTTGAGAATGACTGGACCAGCCCAAGAGTAACAACACTGGCAGTACCTTTGATGCCGAGAACTGCAGCCCACATAGCCGTTTCGGAAACAAGACCGATGGACGAGATTCATTACCATGGGGAAATCCACCATTAGTTAATGTTCATTTCTCCTCTCCGCGGGAGCCACTCAATTTATTATCAGGCTGAGGTGGGCTTACTTGGCTGCGCTCCTTCTAAAGCCGCATTTTTACATGTCGGCGTATTTCACTGGCAGGGATCTTTTGGCCAGGAGCTCATAATATCGGTGCATGACGCCCCAATGCAAGGCAAAGGATCTTGTCTTTCGCCGTTTGCAAGGAGAGATATTGGACAGGCACAGTCGCATGCGGTACTCTTCCCTTCTCGCCGCCCTTGCCTCCCCATACCTTCTCTCTTAATACCCGACTTCTCACTTATACACCGGAGGAAACTGGAGTACCAACCTTCCCCCCTCTTGCACACTCTTGAGCGCCGGAAACACATTTTCTGCTTCTTTTACTCATCTCATTCTTCTTTCAGTGGGCAGTACATCAGAATGAAGTCTGCTCGGCTTCTGTTTACGGCTTGGTTGGCCGGCCTGGTGGAAGTGGCCTGGGCCGACACGGAGCCTTTTCTCAGCTATGACATTCGTACCATAAAAGGCTGCAGCTACTGGTATGACAACTATGGCAAGAGAACTTGTGAATCCATCCGAAAGGCTTGGGAGGTCTCTCCAGAAGACTTTGCCCGCTGGAACCCGTCCCTCACTGTCGACTGCAAGGGCTGGAGCAAGCATGCCTACTGCGTTGCTGTCGCGTCGGAAAATACGTCCTCCTCAACCACAAGCACCACTACTACAACCACGACAACTTCCACGTCCGTATCGCCTGTGTGGACTGATATTGGCTGTTACAAAGACGCTTCGATACATCCGTTCCAGACGCAGCTGGCCGTACCGAATGACCTCACCCGCCTTGAATGCGAGGGTCATTGCTGGGACGCCGGCTATAAATACGTCGGATTCAAGGCTGGCACTGAGTGCTGGTGCGGCGAGTACGTCCAGGGCGACTTTAGCCCTTCGCCTACGGATTGCGCAATGCCTTGTGCGGGCAACGCTTCTGAGATTTGCGGTGGCGAAGGCGTATTCAATGTCGTCGCAGGCAACAAGCCTGCCTGGACTCCTAAAAAGACCCCCGCTTCTACTACTGCTGCAACCTCCGCCTCTGTTATCACAGTACCTACCTCTTCTACCTCTGTAAGCCCCCCTGGTGCCTCAGAGACTGCGTTTCTGCTCATGTCCCACAAGAATGGGGACTGCACGGGCGACGTCACCAATGAGGTTTTGATTCGGTCAGATTCTGACGGCATGTGCATAGACACAAACTGCGAGGTCAGCTCTCTGGATATTGCCAGCCTTGGTGGTTGTCCGGATGGCGAGATCCAGATAGGCTACTGGCAGAATGCCGGCTGCTCAGGCGAATGGTACGGCTACGGTTACGGCAGCAGAAACACTTGCCGACAGCTTTGGTCGGGCGGCGACAGTTTCAAGTCTCTCTGGCTCCGTTGCGCCAAACCAGAGAACGATTGCGTGAACAAGAAGACATGCACCGTGTCGCCGGAACCATCGCACGGCATCTGCCGGGGTGGGCAGCCAGAGAGCGACGTCTCTTTTAGCCTCAAAAGTCACTACCACGCAGACTGTACTGGTAATCAGCACAACGATGTCACTATCAAGCAGGACACCAATGGCATGTGCGTGAACCTAGACTGCCAGGTTGCAAGTCTGGATATTGGGAGCGCTGGCAACTGCCCTGATGGCGAGGTTCAAATTAGCTATTGGCAAAGTTCGGACTGCTCTGGGAACTGGTATGGATATGGTTATGGAAGTCGAGGTAGTTGTCGCACTCTCTGGGGGGCAGGGTGGAAGACAAAGTCAATTTGGGTTCGCTGTGCCAAGCAGAGTGATAATTGTGTTAGTCAGGGAACTTGTACGGTGGCGCAAGAGCCGGCCTTTAACGAATGCTAGATGGTTTATAAATGAAGCGCCAAGTATTGCACTAGAAGAAATATTTCGGCCGGAAGCCATCGAACCTAATTTAAGGTGTGAGATACAATCTCCTGGTGAGTCATAGTAGGACTTGCCTAAAGGAGTTTTTCCATCTCGGCTTTCTAACCTCAACGGCAAATGTTCCCCTCGTTTCTTCTTCGCTAACACCGAATCAAGTTCTCCTTTACAACGGCCAACAAGATTGCTGAAGAAATGCCAATGCCAAAGAGGTCGAGTGGTAGGATAGTCGTCCTAAATGGCTTCCCGGGTACGGGCAAGCTCACCATTCTCAAGCAAGCCAAAACGCTTCTGCCCGCCGACATGACATGCCTCCTGGACAACCACCTGCTCATCGACCCGGTAGTGGCCATCGTCCCCGGCCGAAGCGACGAGCACCACCAGCTACGGCGTAGGGTCCGGGCGCCCATCTTTGGAAAGCTGGGAGAGCGTGGCAAGGGAAGGCTACACCATCCTCATGACGGCATGCCTAGTTGAAGACGATGAGAGGGATGCCGCCTTTCTCAAGGAGCACCTCGACATGGTGCATAAAACTGGCATACCCATCTTCTGGGTAAATGCATACTGCGACCAGAAATTCCTGGAGCGGCGTGTTCAGAGCCTCGGGCGGTGCCAGGGAGACGGGACGAAGCTGACAGACGTGGGCATCCTCCAGAGCTTGCTACATACGTAAACATCACCTCATCGATGCCAGCAAGAGCGCTGACGGATCGACGAAGCTGGTTTTGGGCAACTTGGATGTGAGTGGGCCTCTGGAAGTTTCTGTCAGCCGTTTGTTGCGCATGATCGAGCTTCCACGGTACATTATATCGGCATAGAGCCCGCAAGTGTACTGTTGGTGTCAGGAGGAAAGGGCTTGAGAAGGCTTGAAGGAAGTGAGTGGCTTGACTCGGCAGGTTATAGGGCCCGCAGCCACCCGCTAGCCCCGCCAAGTCCCCTGGCGGCTGGCCTGTAATGAGCCGATTCACCTCGACGCCACATCACATCGCTAATCCCCCCAACATCCTTCTTCCCCCTCCTTGGTAGCCGATTGGCACATTCTGCAGGCTTGCAATGCATGCAGATGCTCACGGGTTCAACAGCCCCTCAACGCCGTCTCCTCATTTCGGAGCCATTCAAGTTGTCTGATTCCGCACTCCTACCAGCCGGCCGCTACACCTCGCCGCCTTTCTGCGCCCAACGGCGTCCGCTTTTCCGCTATGCAGGTCTTGACCGCTGCATCGAGGGCATCAAAACTCCAGCCTAGCATCCTGTTCTCACCAGGATAGGCTAATCAATCTCCCCGCTGGGTGATAGGAAAAGCCGCAAAAAAGCCCATCACCAGGTCCCATACCACAGAGAATCGACCTCGCATGCCGCCATCGCCAGAACCAGGCTAGAATGGATCGGCAACTCTTTCCTTCTTCCTGCTTCAACATGAGGCGGCTGTATCCGTTCGTGCTCTTTTCTGCTCGGTGACTGGCTGAACATGAGCCGATCGTCCTCCTCCTACCTCGATGCAGTCGGGTTGGCCACTTGGCACATCGCAGTCCACATATTGCTGCACCACACCACCGTCGTCACCTTGTACTACTCCCGTACCTGCCTCTGCTCTGGTGGCGCCAGGAGCACCATGCATGCACTGCTATGGACAATTCTGTGTGACGGAAACTCTAATTCGTGTCGGCAACTTCCTAATCCTGAAACTGCGCACCCGCTTGTGTCCCAACAGCCCTGTCCCGTGTAAGTCAGCTATAAGAAGTCACTCTCCGCCACCCTTCTTCCACATCCACGCCTTAACATTACCTGATAAACACAGCAAGATACATGACAGCGTCAACATCATGAAGCTCACCTGCCCCCTCATGCTCTCTTCCATCGTCGGCATCGCCCTGGGCGCCGCCATCTCTGCCCGTCAGGATGACGTTCCCAAGGGCTTCTGTTGCTTCCACCTGCAAGACACCATCAGCGGCAAACTCCTCCAGCAGGACGCTCATACCCACGAGCTCTTCCTCGATGACCCCAGCCTTCCCGCCGGCTGGTACTGCATTAACCAGAACGCCGGCTCCAACGTGCTCTACGACCGCGACAACAACGCCTGCATCCTGACCGACCCTGGCAAATCATTCGAGTGTCTCGACGGCACTCCTGGCGGCGACACGTGGCAGCTCGTCAAGAACACTTACAACGCCATTCTTCTCGAGGACTACGGCAGTACCGACTTTAATATTTGTGACACCAAAGGCCGCCGGCAGATCTTTGGTGCCGACCCCCCTAGTGGTCTTAGCTGCCAGAAGACCAAACTGGCTACGGACAACCGCACCGGAGAGTGCAAATGGTAGACAGGCTCTGCCATGTATATCACACAATTGAACAAACGATTTATATAGGGGAATTATATAGTGATTATACAAACTTGCTAGTGTATTGCACTCCCGTGATCTTGATGTCATAGCTTCGGCGGCGCGGCTCCGACGTCCTCAGTCCCATACACAATGAGCGTATCCTTCTGTAATTCAGCTTCCGTGTCTTGCCTCTCTCGTTTCTCAACACCATGATATTTCCGCTCGACAAAGCGCAGGAAGATCTCTTGCGCGGCACTGTCACCATCACTCGCAGCATCCACGTACAAGAGAAGCGAGACCAGTATATCCCCGAGCGCCGAGACCAGATCCCTGGCCTCGCCCATGAGCTCCTCCTGCGGCGTGCTCACAATCTTCGCGCGAAGCGTCCTCCACTCCTGTACGGCATCCCATCCCTCCGGTGCGCTCCCCGCAAACGCAGCAGTCCTCTCGATCACGCTGTCCAGCGCCGCGATGCAGTGCCGGCCCGCCTGCGGGTGCTTCAGCGCGCGGACCGTGTCCGTGCTGAGCACGTCCGTCGTGCCCTCCCAGATCGGCAGCACCGCGACGTCCCGGAACAGCCGCGACACGTTCAGGTACTCCTGCTCCTCGTTGTCCATGTACCCGACGCCCCCCAGCGCCTCCATGCACGAGAACACCAGCGCCACGCACGGCTTGCACACGTACGCCTTGGTCACCTGCCCGAGCACGCGAATCAGCGGCAGCGCGAGCTTCCGGTCCGGCGTCAGCGCCCTGAGCGCCGGTGGCAACTCATCGTCACCGGCCGGGTGCTCCGAGACGCCGAGGATGTAGGCCGCGTAGAGGCTGAGAAGCATGAGCCCGCGGTACTCCCCGGTCATGGCGGCCAGCGTGCGCATGTGCAGCGGGCTGCGGGTCAGGCGCATGCGGGCGCGGCGGCCGGCGCCGACCTCGCGCACGCGCGCGTACGCGCGGGCCACGGCCAGCGCGCGCCCGACGTAGGCGACGGCGGAGACGGCCGAGTACACGCGCGTGATGGTGAGCACCTGGCTGATCTCGCGGATGCCCTGGCCCTCCTCGCCGACGAGCCAGGCGCGCATGCCGTCGAGTTCGAGCTCCGCCGTCGGCAGCGACTGCGTGCCGAACTTGTGCTTGAGGCGCGATATGCGCACGCCGTTGAGCGCCTCGCCGCCATTCTCAGCGGGTCGGCCGGTGACGGTCACGGCGTGCGGGTCGTGGCGGCGCATCGGCGCCACAAACGCCGACAGCCCGCCGCCGCCGGGCGACGTGCGGGCCAGCAGCACCGTCATCTGGGAGTCGGTCGCCGACGAGAACCACTTGAAGCCGCTGACGCTCCAGGGGCCGAGCGGGACGTCGCCCCCGGCGAGGCCGGGCTCGGTTGCCGGCGTGGCCACCGTCTCTGTCAGAGAGACGTCGCTCCCGCCGGTGCGCTCGGTCATCCACTGGCCGGAGGTCCAGGCGACGCGCGGGTCGCGCGAGGTCAGCCGGCGGTAGGCGTCCTCGAACGCGCGACGGGCGTCGGGCGCCAGCCGGGCCGAGAGCGCCGGCTCCGTTAGGTGTCGGCGCAGCAGGCACGCCGCACCGTCTTGCATGGCGGACGGGCAGGTGACGACGGCCGAGGACGGCTGCCACAGGTGCAGGCGCAGGAACTGCAGCGGCCGCGAGAAGCGGCCGTGGGGCGTGTCGTATCCCGTCGCGACGATTCTGTGACAAGTTTACGTGTTAGCCAAGTTATTGCCAATGTTCTGTCAAGTGCTGCAAAAGCCAAAGTGTGCTTACCCTTTGGAGATGCCCATCTTTTGCAGCTCGCGCCATCCTTCACCGGTGACGAGCTCGTTGGTGCGGTGGCCAAACGACGACCGGCCGGAGCCCTTGAGGTACGGCAGGTTGCGGTAGGCGTCCGAGACCCAGGCAAAGACCTGGTCGGACAGCACGTCCTCGCCCAGTGCTGCTACTTCATCCCGGGCTTGGGAAGCCACATTCTCCGACAGAAACACTACGCAAAAAGGTTCGTTAGCTTCCTAGGCGTCTCGGTCGAGCTGCCCATCCCGCAGTGGACAGAAACGCCCGGAACTTGACTTACATTTGAAGCATCGCTTGTAAGACTCGTCGTCGTGGAACTGGTTCGACAGTGTCGGTGGTGTCTGGAAAAAGCCCTTATCGGCTCCGGAAGGTTCCATGGTGATAGTCGCTTATAGATCCAGGACACTGATGTTGATAATGCGGGAGAGGTGCTCGCGTGTGGCGAGTCCTTCATATACTTTACATAGTACGGACGGTCGAGGCGGAGCTGGCCGTTTCTAGTGGTGGTAACCTCGGCAGGTGGAGCGATGGCTCCCCCAGACTGCGGAATAGTCCCGTGAGGGGTTCTTTGTGGATGGATTATCATGATTTCAAGGGTAATGTGTGGTCGGTGAGTTGAGGAGAGGTCGGGTTCGACATGAGTAGTGAGGATAAACGAGAAACATCAATGTGAGGTCATTAGGACCAAGACTGACGACTGTGTGATTCGGATCCAGTAGTTAGTACATAGAAAACTGGCAGTCCACGTTCTCGAGACAACGTTACGACTATATAGTAAAATGGTGCCGTGTTTCTGGTGGAGACATCACAAAGATGAACATTCGTCTCCGTCGCCCTTTTCTTGTCAATGCATGCCTTTCCCCCGTGTCGCGGACCTTGTTCCGTGGGAGAGCCACAATGGCTTGCTGCCAACCCACATACCCTGGATGCATGTTAGTTGTTAGTACCGCGTCTTCCGGTGAGCTAGATGAGCGCAAGTTTTAGTCAAACATGTAATACCATGTGACTGTGGAAGTAATCAATTTCTGTGCATTGTTGCTACGTCATCTCATTCCTGTGGTTAATAAATAAGCTGTAGGATCAGCTTTGCCCTGCAAGGTCATCGGAGAACACAACTGAAGTTGCTTAACCATGAGCTAAAACAGCCCCTTGGCCTGTACACTGGCGTTGGGACTGTTCAGCTTGGGAGACACATCTCCGCTTGATTTTATCAAACAATCGGTCACCTCAAATATCAGACTTTTTCCAGAAAAGAAAAAGGAATTTGTCTAAAAGCTGTGCTCTGCATGCTAACCTCAAGGACAACTGCTGTTGATACATACATCTGTGACCAATTAGGCGCGTCATTCAGCGGAATTTAGTGGAGATTTTGAGCCCTGGACTACATAAGGCACTTTAAGCTTGACTCTTCTCAACAATCAGACCAAGTCAGCCACAGTCGTCTAGGGGTCAGGACACTAGTTTGTGGAGTTTACAACACCGCGAACCACTGGAAACCGAGGTTCGAGTCCTCGCTGCGGCACTTGTCTTTTTTTCCACGTTGCACCTAATTTAGCGCTGTCTTCCGACAGTGAAGAGGTTATTGTACAGCAACTTGCTTGGCCACAGTCGTCTAGGGGTCAGGACACTAGTTTGTGGAGGATATTTTCTGCGCAAACCACTGGAAACCGAGGTTCGAGTCCTCGCTGCGGCATTCTTTTTGCTTTTGTGTTTGATTTTCTTTTACGTCCGCCGCCGGCAAAGTTTACTGTTTCGCATAGGAGAAGCACATCACCGCTCCCGGTTTCCGCTGTTTCGTGACGTCCACCAGCACCCACCTCGGTGACGGAGCGGCTGAGAATATTGTACAAATGGATGGCCGGTAATGGCGCGCTATCTCAGCCAGGACAAGCTTGGTTACCATGCCGAACCATGTACTTCGCACGAACCTCGACTTGTATTTGATATCCTCCTTTGGCTGCGGGACCTGCGTGCTGGCCGTTTCATGGCGTTGTGAAACGGCGTTGCAAATCCTCGAGCGGACTAAAGGAGAAACGAGGGACAGACAGGCCGAGACAGGTGTCTCAACGGGAGGTGGCCATGCTCAAACGGTAAACCGAGAAGACTTGTGTGCTCTTTGTGTGACTTAACATTGGTGTTTTGCAAGGAGCTGAGACGGGCCGGCGCATCACTTCTCTTATTAATAAGTGGGAAAGAGGTAGGTCAGGTATAAGTGCATGTAGTCAGTCGCCGGGCGAGCAGCGGATGGCGGCAAGACAAACAGTCGAAGGACAAATATTGCTGCACGTTTTGTGCGAGTCAACTGCCATCCTTTGTCTTCCCTTTTCGCTTTTTTCTTCTTTGGTTAGCTGGAACAGATGGCGTCCGGATCCTTGGCGGAGGCAGCGGAGGGAAGCAGCACAACCTGCAACCAGGCGAGGCTGCCAGTTGGTATGCATATTATATAAGACGGTGAGGAACGCAGAGACGACTGCCGATCGCCGTGACATTCGGGCGAAGCAGCATATATTGGACGAACAGTCACATTTGACGAGGCCGGTCACGTAGTACATGGTTTCTGTTGGGGGGTAGAAGTGCAGCCAGCACAGAGGTGCAGAGGTGCCCGCAGCCACATTTGTGATTGTGTGCGCAAGAAGCAGGAGCGACCGGGATGGATGTAGAAATCACGTCTTGACATGGGCTTGTGCTCAGGTGATGCGCGAAACTATTGGATTCAGAGGCGGCGGGCGCGTACATTAGTCCTGAGCAGGCTGTGTGGGGGGTTACTTGTCTCTGCCCGGGGATCGGCAAACATGGGTGCAACCATGTGCCGGTGGTAAGTAGTCGAGATATCAGAATTCAAAATTGAGACATGCGGGAACACAAGACTGGGGCTTGACTCGAGACAATGCAGCGACAGAGGCTTTTGGTGATGTTGGCGTGTTTGAAGGCGGAGAGAGGTTGTTGCGATACAAAAGTCGTCGTTTGTTCGGGCGGGGAGGACGGGATTTGGTGCCGCGGGCACTGGGCAGACATTTCGTCAGCAGGCCGGGGGTCTGGTAGAGGCTTAGCGGAATCGAAAAGATGTCCATCGTGCATGATGGAGCTGCAGGGTGTGTGCTGGATGGGCAAAGTTAGCGAGACGCGGTGGCGAATGGGTTGGGTTGGGTTGGGCTGGGCGAAGGAAGGCCAACGGGTTCGCGGAGCGGGCAGGAATTGGCACAACGGAGTTGATGAAGGAAGTGCCGTCGTGCAGGCATTGGCAGGTTACCTTGGGCTCCATGAACGTCGATGGACGGGTCGATATGGACGGGATCAGGGATAATCGGCGGGCCTTTCTTTGCCTCCTTGTGTTAGTGAGCGAGTAAGCACTGCGCGGTGAGCCAAAGGTATAGCCGGACGGATTCCAGACGGTTCGAGCATCACGTCGACTGTTGTCGAAGGCGCACACGGCATATGCACAAAACGACAGCTGACGATGCCGAAAAGCGTAACTGCTCGTGTCGCGGGTGTCCATTTGCTCGTATACCGCCTTTGCATGTTAGACCGTTTGTTGGTACATAAGTTACCTATGTACGTACTGTAGTGGTGCTCCGTTCTGGTCTTTATATGCAGGCATGCCTTAGCCGCCCACGCCCAACTCGGGGCGCATGGTGGCGGAGAGGACACAGCGTGATCCGCAGGACCACAGGGAGATATGAAGCAGGGTCTGGGGGAGCTTATATTGATTCTTTCATTTTAACAATGCTGATATCTGCACAGTGTGCTGGCTCGTGGCTGAGGTGTGACGGCTTTATTATGAGACTCGTCTGGCGCCCCAGACGCCCCTGCCTTGGTATGTACTCCGGGTGCAGGTCAGCTGCGCAGGCCACAGGCCAGCCAGCGAGATGCCCAACAATCGGCCGACACTCGGGGGTGTGTCATCAGTCATGGCTTTTGCTCTGACGGGCGTGTGCGTTGGGTCCAACAACTCGCCATCGGCGCTAACGTTACCAGAAACTTGTGGAAGCGACAGATACTTTGAGCACGGTATCATTGGCCATAGAAATCAGAGTACCTTCGGCATCCCAGCGCCCGGAGCAGACGACCCAGCCGTCAGGTTGCCTTACTGTGGTGCCTGCAAGACCCTGCATCCCCTGTATCCGCTATCTCTGCTGCTGTCCTTGTGCCCAAGCCAAGTCTGCCCACTGTCCCGAGTACCCGCTGCCCAGTCAGTCATCCGCCACCGCATCGTCTCGCCTTCGCCTTCGCCTTCGCCGCCTCCGTCTCCTCTCCTTCCCTTCTCATCCTCTCCCAACAAAAACACAACTTCTTCTCCTCTTCATACCACTTTTTCTTCTTGGTCCTCTTCCTCTTCCTCCCTGCTCAAGTTATCCTACATTCCCGTACACATAGCTTCGAGTACACACATATTCAACGACGTACCGCTGCTAACCGCCTCCAACGCCTTTCGCCTGCACACGACTGTTGCTGCTGACCGATCACGGAACCAACCAGCAACCCGCCCATTTGCCAACCCCGACAGCGACTCAAGATACAAAAACCTTCAATCATCGCTCGTACAATTCTACAACTGCACCCCGCAACATCACGACATTATGGCTCCTAAAAAGATTCGTTGCAATGCCAAGGACTGCCGTGAAGCCGCCCAACGCATCGTCGGCGACTGCGGCTTCTGCAACGGCCACTTCTGCGGCAAGCACCGCCTATTAGAGGATCACAAGTGCAGCGGCCTCGAAGACGTAAGTCGATCCCTTTTTCTCTTGCCTCCTTTCCCGGTCTTCGGTCTCAATCTCTGTTATTACTCATCCCCGTCCCCATCCCCGTTCTATCCCGGAAGAACACGACACCCGCACATGTACGACGCCGGGCGACCCCAACCACGGCGCTAACTCAAGCATGGTTGGTTGGTTGCGCCGCCCACTTTCCACCTTGCCTACCCCGGCGTCGCCGCACCAGGCCGCCCTCGCCTACGTCACCGCCTGTCACTCCCCATCGCGAGGATTCGCATTGATCAATCCCTTCGCAATACAAGGTGCTGACAAATTTATCGCACAGTGCAAGAAGCAGTCACACGAGCGCAACGCTGCCCAGCTCGAATCGGAACGAACCCAGGTCATTCGTGGCGTCTAACAGCGCCTACCGTATCCGTTACACGAATGCATTACATGGCATCTAGTTCCACGGCGTGCGCCGGGCCCAACTCTCGAGTCCTGCACCACCACAGCCGCCGCCGCATTTCTCTCCCCTTCTCCCACACGACGACGATTCGACGATATTGCTAGCGACGGAGGCAATTCCAATTCCATTTTTGGTCTCATTTACCCGGCCAGTTTGTTTTTCTTGGGTTACATGATATTTTTACGGGACATGCGTCTGCCATGCCACAAGCAAGGCGCGACAGTTCTTTTGTATTCTATTGGAGCTAGACACCCATTGGTGGCACATGGAGTAATGGCTATTATTTGAGCATTTTAGATATTTTGTGAAACACATTTTGATATATTCTTATTATGTCTGTGAATGGCAGCTTTCTACTTGACCACGTGGCTCGCGATACGTATTGGCTGAGATTCGATTGCGATGGTGTGAGCTGCGAATGGTGTGGCCTGCTGACGTCTGCCAGTAGACGCAGGGCAAAACTGTGGCTTGCCCGCGATGCATTGACGAGGACAAATTGTGCATATATGCAAACAGGATGCAAACCGTCCATCTGCAGAATGCATCACCCTGGATTTCACGCAAAAGTGGCAGCGGGCGGAACTGGGCGGACTGGGCCCCAGCCTACTTGCAAACAGCTGACTCGTGCAGTTGTTACGGTGAGCGTCGCCCGTCACAAGCGATGGCGGCATGCATTGCAGCGGCGACGCCATTTCACGCCGAACGCTGGATTGATTGGTTGGCACTTTAATTTCAGGATGCATGACTGTGCAAGTATGTGAAGTGGTTTTTTCCCCTTGCACCCGACTTCACTCCATCTGACTTCGCGATGTTAGTACATACATAGGTACCGGGCAGGTACCTACTGCAGGTTTAGTGGCAGGCAGCGGCCGTTTTGTTGGCGAGGCGGCGAGTTAGCGGAGGCGTTGCCAAAAACGGCCTCGCCGTATCCGTAGATCGGAACTCGATGGTGATGGGTGCTGTAACTGTAAACTGCTGAGGGAAGCTACTAGACGACAAGCGAGACCACATGACATTCGCCAGTATCAGCGACAATGCGGGAGACCTTGGCAGTCGCAAGATAAGGGATCGGCACCAACGGCGTGGTCGGACTTTTGATAAAGACTCACGTCTGGCCGTCGTCCGTCCCAACATTGGTCGCCAAGGGTCCGAGTACACTGGATGCCGACAGGTGACGAACCAGCCGATGTCGATGGTATGCCTAATAAATGGATGAGGCACCACACCGATATGGCGAGCATTGACAGATGCCCATCTCACATCCTGCAAATATTGGCATAATAATCACAAGCCAAAAATCATAATGTACGAACAGTGGCCCACCATTTACATCAACGCGTAACCACGGCCATGACCATCCGACCGCGTTCCGATTACAAGCTCGGGATGGTCATGATTCCGTCACCAGCTCCTTTTTTGCTCTTACGTTTTTTTCTTCGCCGCCCAGCCTACCCTCGCTTCGACTGCCCTGCCTGGAGGCATGGATCCCTCGTCTACCAGCGGCCGAGTCTTGGCTACTGCCCGCGACCGCGGCCTTGTCCAGACGACGCTTGCGGCCCGGCCAAACTCTATGCTACCTCCCGTAACTTGCCTTCTTCTTGACTTGCCTGAAGTGACCAAACGAGACAATACGTTCCGGGTCTTTAACACTCAGACAAACTAATTGTCTACTGCAATGATTTAGGGAAGGACCCCTTAGAAAAAAGAACACACGCTCCCGTGCCATGCATGGCGCCCAGGTTTTAGTGTAGGGAAAGTGATCACTACCCCTTCATGGCCTTTCTATCAGTCTGTCTGGGCGACTCCAGTTCATAGCTCGGGTTCGGATCGGCTTGCAAAAGACACGCCAGAAAAGAAGCAAGATGAAATGAAATCTCAGGCGCGGCCATCGAAAAGTCCACTCTGCCCCTCTCCCAGGTCTGCCGGGTCGCATTCCCGTCCGGTAAGGCCCAGCCGAGAGCCCAGGTGTAATAAAATCCTCTTCCGGCGGCCTCTGTATTTTTGCTGCGCCCCGAACTTGTGGTGCAGTTTTTGTCGTCGCTTTTCGTAAAGCGTCGTATTGGTGCCATTCTCCCCTCTTTCACCATTTACCACCGTGGCCAACGACTGCAGTCGCTTCTTTCCTGTCCAATATCATAGCATCTCCTGCACATGGCCTCTCTTTTAGAGGGCAGGGGCCAATATCCAGGCACCAGTAAGCATTTTCATATTTTTTTCCTAATTGTCCAGCGCATAATTATAGAAACCAACCCCTGCTCAACACATCCATCCGTCCCGCCGGACCCCCCGGGCTCACGCACAGGTAGATTCGGCGCGGGCAACAAGCAGGCCGAGTGGTTGAAAAAAAAAAGAAGTAGCAAAAGCAAATGGAGCAATAAGAAAGAAAAAGCAAATCAAATCAAAACATCAAGTGTCCTGTGCCACTGGCTATCATTGTCCCTTGGCTGCTACCTGTAAGGTACAAGTTAGTGAGCAAGTTGCTACCTCGGACTTGCCCACGAGTTACCGCCACTGCCTCTAACTGCTAGCCTCGTTGCCCGCCGACTGACTTGGACTCGCTTCAAACTTTTTTTGGGCTCTACATCCTCTCCCTCGCACACTCGCTTTACCTCCCTCCTCTTAGAGAAAAAATCTTGTTCTATTTTCATTCTTTTCCCCTCTGGGAGCACCATTGCTCTCGGATCCCATTCCATTCTGATTCACCTTGTGCTCGCGCTTTCGTCCATGGCATTTGCATCGTGCACTTTATTACACCCTTCACCATGACTGACGCCAAATCCGAAGCTGCACGAACTGCTACCAACGGCGGCGCCCCCGCCCGCCCCGACGCCGCACAGGAGCAACAGCGGCAATCGCCTGCTCAAGATGCCGACCGCGATAATAAAGACTCCAATGCGGCCGGCATTTCAACGCCCGCTGTGCGATTCTCGTCCGCCGTCCAGGAATTTTCTCCGGTCCTAGACGACGCCCCAGCTGCTTCTCCCGACGCCCCCGCCGAGTCGCCAGAGGTCACCCCGGACCAACTCAGGGCCTTCACCAAGTCGCTTCATGGGCCGCTGTTGCAGGAGCGTCGCCTGAATACATATCAATTCGAAGCATTTTCCCTCCCGCCGTCTCGGGTAAGTTTTCTCCCCACTGCCCGCTGCCACTTTTTGGAACGTCGACGACATCACTGTCCCCGCCAACCAACCCCACCTCAGCACTGATACCATCCCTTCCAGGTTCCCTCTCGCGATGAAGACTCCCCCGACTCAACGCGCCTTCATACCCCCGTGTCCTCCAGCTACCAGTCGCCTCATGGCAGCCCTCGTATCTCAGCACTGGCCTCACCGCCTCTCACGCCCGCGGGCTCGGCTGGTGAACGACGAGCCAGAGACAAGCGCCCCGTCGGCGCAACCGGCAGCGACTCGCACATGATTACTCCGCTACCATCCTCATCCCAGGAAGCTATCCCACAGGAGCGAGGCCCATTGGTTCACCGACCAGTCTCCGACCATGCTGGTCTGCGTCGCTCTTCGTCCGTCGAGGAGCGGCTCGGCGACCCCCGCAGCCACCGCAAGGGCATGTTCAGCGTTGGCGGCGGTTCTGTCCCCGTCTCCCGCGAGTCCAGTCCTTCTCGCAGCGCTGCCTCCAACTTTTACTCCAAGCCTGCCACCCCAATCGGTGACCTCAACGACCCATACGCAAAGAACCGACGCCCACCGCTCCAATCCCACCCCAGTCGTGCCTCCATCGACCCGCGCTTTGTTTTTTCAAAGAAGAAGAAGCACGGCTCTCCTGGTGGCTCCCGCTCCAGCTTGGCCGGCTCTGGAGCCTTTAGCAGCACCAAAGACGATTCCAGCGATGGAGGCTCAGGCCATGGACATGGCCACGGCCACCACCATGGTCACGGCTCCATGGCCGACTTGAAGCGCTTCTTCCGAAAATCGGGAAGCCACAAGAAGCGTGAATCCTCGCCCGCCCCGGCCAAGCCCAAGGCCCACACGCCACCGAGCAGTTCGCGTAGTTCTCAGCTGGTACCTTTTGCTGATGATCACGGACTCTCCTCAAAATACGGCAAGCTGGGCAAGGTGCTTGGAGCTGGCGCTGGTGGCTCCGTCCGTCTCATGCGCCGCAAAGAGGATGGCACTGTATTTGCCGTCAAGGAGTTTCGGGCTCGCCACACCTACGAGTCTGAAAAGGAGTATGCCAAAAAGGTGACGGCCGAATTTTGCGTCGGTTCCACCCTCCACCACGGCAACATTATCGAGACACTCGATATTCTTCAAGAAAAGGGTCGCTGGTTCGAAGTAATGGAGTACGGGCCCTACGATCTATTCGCCATCGTCATGACCGGCAGAATGACGCGCGAGGAAGTCAGCTGCTGCTTCCTGCAGATCCTCAACGGTGTGACGTATCTACACAGTTTGGGTCTGGCCCACCGCGATCTCAAACTCGACAACGTCGTGGTTAGCGAAAAAGGCATCATGAAAATTATCGACTTTGGCAGCGCTCATGTGTTCAAGTATCCATTTGAGACGGAAATCGTTCGAGCTAAAGGTAAGGCGACCGAATTTTCTTTCGCAAACGTCACTAACAATTCGTAGGCATTGTTGGATCTGACCCATATCTCGCCCCCGAAGTATACGACCAGAAGGAGTATGACGCGGCTGCGGTTGATATTTGGTCGCTGGCGATCATTTACTGTTGCATGAGCTTGCGTCGGTTCCCCTGGAAGCTACCGCGCCTGACGGACAACTCTTTCAAGCTGTTCGCCTCGGAGCCGACGCCTGGTCATGATCCCAAGAAGCTGATTGTGGCCGCACCGTCGACAACTACCTCGTCTGCCAACCTCTCTGCTCTATCTACTCGCGAAGCCGAGCAGCGCTCTAAGAGCCAGACTGAGACAAGGGAAAGTGGCACAACCAACTCGAGCGACTCGAAACCGGTCGAACTCAAGCACGAGCCCAAGCACAACGAGCAACCAGAGCACCAAGAGCACCAAGAGAAGCACGAGAAGCACGAGAAGCACGAGGAGAAGCACGAGGAGAAGCACGAGACAAAACCAGAGGCCAAGCCCCAGGAAGGCGAGAAGAAGGAGATTATCAGAGGTCCTTGGCGCATCCTGCGACTTCTGCCTCGATACAGCCGTCACGTCATCCACCGCATGCTGGAGCTTGACCCCAAGAAGCGTGCCAAGATGGAAGAGATCTTGGAGGACCCCTGGGTGGCTGACACCGTCATATGCCAGCAGCTGGAGAATGGTGAAGTGCTTGCGGCTGAGGATCATGTGCACGTACTTGAGCCGCCCAACAACCCGAGCTCCTAGACGGCCCCGGGTTCTCGACCAGGCGGTCCACAACCACCCGGTCCACACCTCGGCAGAGTCATCGCCAGTCTCCGAAAGACGGGATGAGAGATTGAGGAAGAAGCGATCAATAATGCACGGGAAATAATCTTTCCGTTTGATTTATGGCTGATATTACCAGTAGTAATAGTATAGAGAGAAGGGTTTATTCAGACAGCGGATACAGCGAAGAGTCAAGTACATGGGTATAGTTTACAGGAGGGGCCTCGGGGTACTTTTTTTTTGTTCGTTTCATCTTCGGTCGTTTGGAATATTGGATATATTTTATTGGTTAGAACAACATCATTAATGAAGGCTTCTATATTATTATATCTCGAATGTGACTACAGTGCTCGCTTTCCCATCTGGTCGGTGTCTGTCGGAACAGGAAAAATGGCGTTGCCGGGCGGCGCAAAATTTCTGGAAGCTGTTGGAACAGAGCTCCACCCAGCTGCGGGTGACTTTGCCCAAGGTTCCCCGAGCAGAGAACTTGACCCTTTTTTTTTTAACCTGTCCAGCAAGCCCAAGTCTTTAACAGCAACTCGACGACTCGACATCAATTGATTGCACCCGTGCATTTCTATACATTCATATCAAAATGGTACGCATGGCTTTACTTTCGCCCAGAGGAAACGGGGTGCTGGATGGAAGCCGCGTAGGCTGGAGTCTTGTTGGTTCGGCCGCCGCCCCTAAAGCGAACGATTCAACGGCCCCCCCTGCGCGCGCTCAGGAACAGCGACGAGAACATGGGAGAAGAGGGATGGCAAAGCTAACACGATTCTTGATGCGCAGGCCACCTCCATCCGCTCGATCCGCGCCCTTGCCCCCCTGCTCGACCGCGTGCTGGTGCAGCGCGTCAAGGCCCAGGCCAAGACGGCGAGCGGCATCTTCCTGCCCGAGTCGTCGGTCGAGAAGCTCAACGAGGCCAAGGTCATCGCCGTCGGCCCGGGCGCGCTCGACAAGGCGGGTGCGCGCCTGCCGATGGGCGTCACGGTCGGCGACCGGGTCCTGATCCCGCAGTTTGGCGGCTCGCCGGTCAAGGCCGGCGAGGAGGAGTACCAGCTCTTCCGCGACAGCGAGTGCGTCTTTTTCATCCCCCCCCCCCTGTCCTACACACCTTGGGTACCGTGTGGTTAGATGTGCTAACAATTGCTTGTAGGATCCTTGCCAAGATTAACGAGCAGTAAATTTGCGCGGAAAAAAATGGAAAGGAAGGGGGTGCACGGGTTGAGTACGGACGATGAGGACTTCTGTCCACGAAACGAGTCACCGCTTCTTTCCCCCTGGCCTCGGTCAGTGATGACGCCAATCTGAAAATGAACAGAAGAAAAAGGAAATATAATGTGGGTGTACTATATGCTGTACAATAACAAAGAAAACAAACTCGAGCGAGGGGGGTATCAATCATCTGTACGAGCTGAAGACGGGAAGAAAAAAAACCTTGTATCAAAATCGAAATGCTTGGGGTCTGCACTGCACGGACGCTGTTGTAGAACTTGTGCGCTGTACATGGGAGGCCGGATGGCTCGCTGGGGGGGACTGCAGATCAAGAATAATGAAAACAAAAATCTCCGCTCTTATTAAAACAAGCCAGGATGCTCGTTTCGTAAAATATCTGAATGAGGAACAAATTGCGAGAGAGGAAGACTGGTTGGAGAAGTGAGAGAGCGCCAAGGCAATAAACGCCGACATCCGAATCTTGATCCTCCTGGATGGCGTTTCCCCCCCTCGTTTCATCTGCCTGGGACCAACCCAAACAGAAGGTTCCTACATACATCATTTTATTTTCTCCGAATCTCGCTTCGGCGACAAATGGGACGAATGAGAAATCGGGGTTGATAAACGGACACTGTGTAACCCATGACGGAAGGTAAGCATGAAAATAACGTTTCATATTTCCACAAGGAGGGTGTATGTGGGCGCGTCTGGTTCGTTCTCACGATAAGTGTGTGTGTGTATGTATGTGTATGTGTGTGCTTGTGAAAAACACAAGAGTTGCAAAATTTGCTTGCGTTGAACCAAACAAAAAACAACCAAGCGAGAGGTACTATATATCCCAGGTGCCAGCCGCCCTGTTTGCTCAGTTCTACAACTTGACACTCCTCAGGACTCGCTGGCTCGTTTGTCTTTCTTTTCTTCATTCCTTTACCAGCTGGTGCTGAACCTCGTTCTCGTACATCCACTCTCTTCACCTTTTCACATACTCACGCTCTCTTTCAACATTTCCTTTTTGCTACTTCTTTACTACTTGCTCCCTTTCTCGTCATCGTAGCCGCCAGGAAGCATACATCTACACCTTGCCTCTTGTACTAGCCGAGCATGAAGCTGCTCAACGTCCTCGCGCTGGCGTCCGCCGCCAGCGCCCACACGCTCTTCACTACGCTCTACATTGATGGCAAGAATCAGGGCGACGGGACGTGCGTCCGGATGCCCAAGGACGGCGCTACCGGCACGGCGCCCATCTATCCCATCACTGGCGACGCCATGGCCTGCGGTACGTACAAAAGCACTCTCATCCTCGCCTTTGTTCTTGTCCCCTTCTTCACGCACACATGCAAACTGCGACTGACACGCTTCTGTCTCAGGATATGGCGGCCGTGACCCCGTGCCGTTTGTCTGCCCGGCCTCGTCCGGTGCCAAACTCACCTTTGAGTTTCGTCTCTGGCCCGACTACCAGCAGCCCGGCGCGCTGGACACGGGCCACAAAGGCCCCTGCGCCGTGTACCTGAAGCGTGTCGACGACATGTTCAAAGACCCGGCCGCCGGCGACGGATGGTTCAAGATCTGGGACGACGGCTACGATAACAGCACGCGCCAGTGGTGCTCCGACCGCCTCATCGCCCACGACGGCCTGCTGTCGGTGGACCTGCCCGCCAGCCTCGCGTCGGGGTACTACCTCGTCCGGCCCGAGATCTTGGCCCTGCATTTTGCGTACAAGGGCGATCCGCAGTTCTACCTCGGCTGCGTGCAGATTTTCATCCAGGGCGGGCCGTCAGACGCCCCCGCGGTGCCCAAGGACAAGATGGTGTCAATTCCCGGCTACGTCAACCCCGACACGCCCGGTCTTGGCTTCGACATCTACAAGGACACGCTGCCCGCATACCCGATGCCCGGTCCGGCCGTCTACGTGCCCAAATCTTCGTCGGGCGGTGCCCTGAAGCTGGCGGCCGCGGCACAGAAACTGTCCAAAGGCGCGGTGCCGGAAACCTGCCTCATCAAGAACGCCAACTGGTGCGCCAAGGAGCTCGCGCCGTACAGCGACCAGGCGGGCTGCTGGGCGGGCGTCAAGGACTGCTACGACCAGAGCAAGCGCTGCTGGGACTCGGCGCGGGCGAGCGGCTCGGCCAACTGCTACACGTGGAGCGACTACTGCACGGCCATGAACGATGCATGCGAGCGGGAGGAGTTTACCGGCCCGCCGGCGTTCCGCGGCAAGGAGAAGTTTGCGACGAAACCGGGCAACATACCGGAGCCGTGGGGTACTCGTAACAGTAAGGGCGACGAACGGGAATCTCCCGCCGGGGAGAAGAAAAAGGCGGACGATGGCGGCGCTCCGGATGGCGAGAAGAAGAAGGCTGACGATGGGGAGTCTCCAGCTGGAGAGAAGAAGACCGATGATGGTGGTTCTCCGGACGGTGAGAAGAAGAAGGTCGATGACGGAGAGTCTCCAGCCGGTGAGAAGAAGAAGGTCGACGACGGGGAGTCTCCAGCTGGAGAGAAGAAGAAGGTTGACGACGGCGAATCTCCGTCGGGGGAGAAGAAGAAAGTTGACGATGGGGAGTCTCCGGCTGGTGAGAAGAAGAAGGCTGACGACGACGTGGCGGTGACGACGACGACGATGGTGACGGAGGTGCGCACCAAGACGGCGACGAAGAGCACTACCAAGAGCACCGATACAGCCACGGTAGGTGGCGGTGGCGGTACGGTGGTATGGGAGGTTTCGAAGGACGGTAAGTGTGGTCCCGAGTTTGGGCAGACGTGCTCTAGGAGCGCGTTTGGGGACTGCTGCTCCAAGAAGGCCGAGTGCGGCCGTAAGGCTAGGCACTGCGCGTGCGGGTGCGTTCCTGAGTTTGGATCATGCTGGTAGATGGAGGGCGTATCCTTCAGCTTGACCAGCTTCTACCACGAATCGAGTGTCTTCTGTATGTAGGCACGTAGTGAAATGTATACGGTTGTCGTCGTTTTTCATCCCACAAAGAGTTTGTGTTATTATCTGTCGTCCTGCGCTCTGGTCATCAGAGTAACGGTAAGCTAGATGCTGTAACGGTGATACGCTCAATCGCAACGGCTGTATTCCAAGGGGTCATTGTTGATGGCCATATGGTTTTGGAGGAGGGGGTGGTTCGTGTGGTTCATAAAGGGCAGCCTGGAGATGCCGTCATAGGTTTTGAAGTGGGTGGTGCTGGCCAGGATGCCAAGCGGTGTACCTGATACGAAACGTGGACACGTGGAGCAGATGGCTTGGGCGGGTAGAGGGTACCTGGAGGGGAAACAGGCCATGACCCTGGTGGATGATCGCTGTGCTATTATATTACTAGGTACCTAGTAATCTAGCTTTGCAAACTTACTTCGTAATGTATTCGGAAATAAATATCCTTCGTAGTTACGAAGTCGTCATGTAGGCTGGCGGTAAGTAAAGGACGGCAACTGCCAGTACTTTGGTGCAGCTCGTACTGAGTTAGAGTTGGTGCTTTGCCGTACCTTGGTGATTTTGGGTAGCATAACCAGACACCAACAAAAGGTCTCGCAGGCAATCAGATTTTCAATCCGAGCCAAGAAGCCCTGCATTCGTTTCTTTTCTTTTCATTGCTCTTACATCCATACATTATTATATTCATTTTTTCCACTCTGGTTCGTTTACCATAACCAAGTACCAGGACGGCTTTCCCCACGCCGGCTAACGCTAACGCCTAGGAACGGGTCCCGCTCCTCTGTTCGTCGTCGGTCTTCACCCTTTCCCAAGTCGAAACTCTCTGTCGCCGCAGGACCACCAGCTCAAGCCAGAAACCCCCCTCCGTCATCACCACGATTTGCATTGTCCGCCTACAACGCCCGTCCCTTCACCAACAGCACCAGCGGCCCCCTAACGCACAGCGTTCGCCTCCATTTCGCGCAACAGCTCAAAAGCTCAAATAAAAGAACACGCGGCCGCTGCCAACCTTGATCGCCTGCCTACCTACGAGCCACCGAGACAGGAAGCCCGCCCCTCGCATAAACGCCGCGTTGTCCGCCACCGCCGCCCAAGACAACCACCACCAGCTTTCCACCCGTCCAGGCACCGATTTCGCAGCCCGTCGCGCGAGAATAGTCTACAATGCCAAACCCTCGCAACTACGATTTCCTTGTACGATCTCCCCTAATTCCTCTTCTGCCCTGTCTGCTCTGGTGCCGTCGCGGCTAGAACTTGCAATCGTCACTCTCAAACCGACCCCGGCCCCCAACATAACGAATCCGTGGCCCTTTCTGCACCGTCTCCCTAACGCCTTCAACGCCTCGACAGACCAAAAGAATGATAACAAATTGGACTAACCATGCGCGCCTTGTCGCTGCACCCTCTACAGATCAAGCTCCTGCTGATAGGCGACTCGGGCGTCGGCAAGTCCTGCTGCTTGCTGCGCTTCAGCGAAGACTCCTTCACGCCCTCCTTCATCACGACGATCGGCATCGACTTCAAGATCAGGACAATCGAGCTCGATGGCAAGCGCGTCAAGCTACAAATTTGGGACACAGCCGGCCAAGAACGCTTCCGAACCATTACCACCGCCTACTACCGCGGTGCCATGGGCATCCTACTCGTCTACGATGTCACCGATGAGCGTTCCTTTAACAGTGCGTTCTGTCCCACACGTGCCGCAGGCTAACGCGTTGAAATTGCCAACGGCACGATGCTCTCCTTGCAGCCGCAATCACTGACCGCAGATGCTAGATATCCGTACCTGGTTCCAGAACGTAGAGCAACACGCCACCGAAGGCGTCAACAAGATCCTCATCGGTAACAAGTGCGACTGGGAGGACAAGCGTGTCATTTCCGAGGAGCAGGGGCAGGCCCTCGCAGACGAGCTCGGCATCCCCTTCCTCGAGGTCTCGGCAAAGAGCAACATCAACATCGACAAGGCCTTTTACAGCCTGGCTGCTGACATCAAGAAGCGACTCATTGACAACCAAAAGAACGAAGCTGGCTCCTCTGGAGGTGTCAATGTCGGTGACAAGACGGACGGCGGCATGGGAAGCAAGTGCTGTTGAGAGTAGATGCCTCTGCAGAGGGAAGCGGGCGAGCTGGCAAGAAGATTGAGAACGAGAGATGACCGGGCAGGATATGCTGAGGGCAAGGGAAAGATGAATTAATTTTTTGCCAAGGATAGACGGAAGAGAAGGCGAGGAGGATGAGGAATGAACTCCCCCTCGTGGAGACCACAATACCACCACAACCACGACACTCGACAACGACAAACACCCACTACTTACTACCCCCCGTCGTCCCACCCAGTGCTGCTTGGAGAAGCACAGCACACAAATACACCCGAGAGAGCCTTTCTTTTTCTGTTAGTTTACTATTTATTGCATGTTTCTTCTTGACTTGGATGCTCGCTGTGGCTGTTTGCAACGTCGTTTTTGTACTATACACTCACGTCGAAGAGCGTTTTGACGCGCAGGCGAGATGCCAGAGTAGAACAAGACATTATTTGCATTTAGGGTCTGTATTGTTTTCTTTTTTATATTACACATGGTACAAAATATACATGGACTACTACTACACTTTGCCGTCTCGTTTTAATAATCTAGCACCTGCGTCCGCACAAAGTGCCGCGGAGCACCGGCCGCCGGCGGTACGTCGCGGCCGCCCAGCCAGCGACCGTTCCACAGGCGGTGAAAGCGCTGCGCCTCGGCCCTGTCGCGGAAGGCGACGACGAATCGTCGCAGCGCGGCGCCCTCCAGGTGGCGGGCGACGCGACGCAGGCCGTCCCTCTTGCGGAGCACCGCGCCGAGCCGCTGCTTTCCGTCCTCCACGCCGTCGTCATCTTGCCCCGTCGCTTCGGTGAAGGGCTGCTGCTGCTGCTGCTGCTGCTGCTGCTGCTCGCCGACGTCTTCGGCACCGCTCGCGACGTTGTCGAGGCGCTCTCGCTGGGCGGCGGCCTGCTCGGAGAGCCGCTGCAGCTGCTGGTGCATGTTGGCGGCGACGGGGTGCGCGCGGGCGAGCCCCCAGGAGCCCCGGGCGCGCTGACCGTGCTGGCGGACCGGACCTTGTTGGACTCGGGCCCGGAGTTGACGCGCCGGTGCGCGAGCGCGACCTCGTGCACGCCGGCGGCAAGGCTGAGCCGTGCAAGCTCCGCTTCGAGGTCTTCCTGCGTCGTGGTGGTGTCGGCGACACTGCCACCGCTCGGGAGCAGAGCCGCGGGCACCTCGCTCCGCCACAGTCCGGTGCGGGAGTTCGCGCGGATGCGCGCGATGGCGTGCAGTCGCTGGAAGCGCGTGGCGTAGGCGGTCGCGGCGACGGCGGAGGAAAAGGTCACGTTGTAGGTCCCGGTTGGTTCGAGCGTCATGCGGTCACGAACTTGCTGCACTAGAGAGGAAAGAGAACCGGTCAGTTTAAGGAGGTCGACGGGCTTGCGCAGATCGGGAGGGATATTTACCCTTTGTGATGGATTGGTTCCATTTCGACAGTTCGTTGTCAGCGAGACGGTAAAAGTCGGACGCGTGGACGTTAGTGCTCAGACCGTCTATTCGGATCATGGTGTGTGACTTTGCGGCCGTAGGATCCCCTTTCTGCGCGAGGTTGGCTTGGGTTGCCGCGATCAAATCCGTGGAGACAGGCGTCACTACAACATCCGTCGAGGCATCAGCGGCCATGTCCGCGAAATCCATATATCCGTAGCTTGGTTCCCGTCTCTTAAGAAGTGGCCATTGCTGGGTATTTATCGTTGTCGTCTCGGTCTCGTTGTACAGTTGCGCATTCTCGAGAGCGGACTCTGGTTCGGCGCTTCGTTGGCGTCTCTTCAATAACGACCATTGACTCCCATCACTCTCCAGATTTACATTCGCGGTGCTCCCCGCATATCGACCAGATCCTCCCGTATCTTTGATATTTCCGGACCCCCCAGCTGTGATCTCCTTCAGGTCCAGGCCCTCAATCGCTGCGGCCGCATCGGCCTGCTCTGCCAGCGATAGCCTACCCTCCACAAGTCTTTTGCGTAGATTTCGCTCTGCTTGTTGTCTTTGTTGTACCGTAGCGTCTCGATGCTGCGGACGACTTCGTAGCTTGTCGCGGCGATCGTACGTTCTCGTTTTTCCTCGCGGCGCGCTGTCGTAGCTCGGCCGGTCTGGAAGAGTGCGGTTGTCACCGCGCGAAGATGAGTATAGTCGTGCTCCCCTAAGGCAGCGGCAAGTGGCGGCAGCTCCGTAGCGCGGCCATGTCGAATGCAACATTCGGGCTAATTGTGTTTTTGCCATAGGGTACGCATCGGGATTGTGGCTGTCAGCGTCTGCGAAACTCGCCTGGACTCGATATTGAAGGTGCGAACTCAGAAACGGCAACGAATCGCTAATATTTTGTTTCGGCCTTTTCGACCCACCCACCACCAGTTTAGAAACATTGAGTCCGCCTGCCCCTTCACGCAACAGAGCCCAGTCTTGCAATAAAATATAAAAAGTTCTTTTTTATTTTTCGATTTTTCGATACATATTTTCATGCCCTAATTCATTGGATTTTGACCAGCTTCTATCTATTGTGCTCTCTCTGGCGCACGGGACCTGCCGCCGTTTCATTATTTGCTCCCTAATTCTAGCGCAGCGAACACACTTGCCTCATTCAACGTCTCAGTATGGGCTAAACATCTGCCGTAAACTCGGCTCAGAAGCAGTCAACGATCAGATACGACTTTCCGAAGCATCGGCTCCTTCCATGAGCTCCCATGGAGACTCCAACTGGCTGCGCGAGCCTCGCGGTTGCTGCGCTCCTCACACTCCAATGCCTGCGTGTTAGCAGCAGAGCTGACCAGCCGCCGAGGTATGAGGCTGAAGACGCGGACTCTGCGCAGGAGTCAGAGTCAAGGCTGCGCAAACTCACTGCATCCAAGCTTTGTATGAGCGCTGCCGCTGTTGTTGGAACCTCCGCGTCTTTCCTAGATGTCACTTCTTTTGGCAAGCCAAGGCCGTCGATCTTGCCAGCCGTGGCAAACGCTCGTGTTGGCCTCTGGGTATGAACTTCCAAGCTGGCCCTTCGAGGCAAGACATATCACTAACGCTGCGGCAGATTCTTCTTACAGCTCAGGTACTAGCCATTGCAAGCGAGGTGGGCATACGTGAGCGATACAGACAAGGTGTTTATGCCGCGACGACGGCTGCAGTCCTCGCGCTCTACATCGCCTTTCAAGAGGTCACACCGGAACTGACAGTCATTCCAATGGAAACAGCTTGCGTCCTAGCAATTGGGATAACTTGCTTAACCCTACCTCGACGTCCAGTAGTGTACGAGGACGGTCGCCTCGTAGATCGACTGAATTGCGCCTCGATTATTTCTCTGCTCTCATTCTCCTGGTATCCGTTGTACCAACACAGATTTTCCAATATCGACAATTTACAATTACGTGATTTGCCATTGAAGCCTCTTGAGCAAAGAATTCGGAATGTGAGATCAAGCTTTATGTTATTCGCCTCCTCCGGCACGCTTTTGTCGGAACTGATCTTGACGTGGAGGTACAAATTCTATATACAATGGGCTCTGACCATGGTTCACGGCGTGTCTCAGGTCGTTGGTCAATATTTGCTTCAACGATTGCTGAGCAGTCTGGAGCGGCCTCTAGCGCCGCAGCAGAAAGCCATGGGCTATGCAGGCTGCCTTGGTTTGACGATGTTAGCGGAAAATTTGTCTGCAGGTTGGATTACCTGGGTCACACAGGCTCAGCTTAGTATGCCAATGACTGCCCTACTGAAGGGTCTTTTGTTTGAAAAGATGACCAAAAAGCGAAGCACGCCACAGACCGGGCCAAAGTCTGCAAAAGGCAAAGACTTGCTCTCCTTAGAGAGTCTAATGGCAAACGATTGGTAGGTGCTCGTGTCTTCAGTCCCGCCTGTGCTAACAATCCCAGTGCATCGGTGTCCCAAGCTTGCGCCTCGAGTCAGCATTGTCTGAAAGCTGCTTTTAAGCTTTTGTTTGACGTTACCTATCTGATCCATCTCATCGGTTTCAAACATATTCTGATAGGCTGTTTATTTCCTGTCATTCTATTCCCAATCTCAAAAATGTTTGCCCATCAGCACAGGCTTGCCAGGTTAGAGCTTTCGAATTTGCACAATACCTTCACCGTTGAAGTCTCTGAGCTACTTCGAAATCTCCGCCAAATTCGTCTGTCATCTATGGAGGAGCTTTGGCAGCATCGAGTCACCAGATCCAGAGCTCTTGAGCTGGGGCAAATATGGCATTGTGGGATGCTCTTGGCAGTCCTGGCACTGGTGACGAACTTGGGCCCTATTTTACTGATATCGGTGGCGCTGTCCTCCTATGCCCTCGAAGTCGGACATCTGAGTCCGTCGCTTGCTTTCGCTTCTATTGGCTTGTTTCGTGGTCTTCATGCCCTTGTTCAAGAACTGCCATCAATGGTAGCCAGTCTGAAAGAGTCTATTGCGGCGAGCAAGCGCATCGAAAACTACCTCCACCAGTCTACCACAACAAGAGCTTCCTGCAACACCGAAGAGATCTCCTTCCAAGATGCCACAATAACTTGGCCCAACCTGAGTTCCGCCGGTGAGTCGCCAGGTTTGTCCTTCAGCTTGAAGAATGTAAATCTTCAATTCCCGCAAGGAAGACTGAGCGTCGTGACCGGAAAAACGAGTTCTGGCAAGGGCCTTTTGCTTTGTGCAGTTCTTGGTGAAGCTATTATTCAGCACGCGAGCCCAAAGCTGAATTATGAACCTGTCGCGGAAACGCAAGGGGAAGGTCGCGCGACGGACTTTGCCTACGTATCACAACCTCCATGGATTGAGGATCGAACGATCAGACAAAACATCATCTTCAGCGACGCGTTTGACGAAGAGCGGTATGCGGCAGCTCTACGTGCTTGTGCTCTGGAAAGGGATCTCGAAGCTCTTCCTGACGGAGACATGGCTATGGCAGGCGTCAACGGCGGGGCTCTCAGTGGTGGCCAAAAGTGGCGAGTCTGTCTGGCAAGGGCTCTGTACTCTCGTGCCCAGACCCTTGTACTTGACGATGTTCTGAGTGCGGTTGATCCCCATGTCGCAAGATGGATTTGTCAACATGCGTTGTCAGGGTCATTGGTTCGTGGCCGCACAGTGATTATCGCGACCCATCATCTGGCTGCTTGCAAACACTTAGCCAGTTATGTGGTTACTCTTGAAGATGGGACTGCTTCAGGGCATGATGCTAGTCCGCGGCGTAGCAACGAGTTTCTGAACATCGAACCCGTGCCACGGTCAGCTACCAGCAGCCCTAAACCGGAATCTGTGGTGCACTCGACAGAACGAGATATAAATAGGTCATCAAGATCTGAGCATTCTCTTCTGCAGACCTTTCTTATTTATCTTTTGGGTAGCGGAATTTGGCCTGTTCTATTCGCCGTTTTGGCAACTTCTGCATGCCGGCTTCTCGCAGTGGGAAACTCGTGGTGGTTGACTAGATGGACCTCAAACAAGGAGCTCGATAACGCGAGCCTTCGGCTGAACTTGTTTCTTTACCTTGTTCTGTCTGTTTGCGCCGCGATCGCCGTAGCAGTGCATTCCATGGCTGTTCAGAGTGTCAGCCAACAGGCATCGGAAGCGCTCTTTCGGAGAACAGTGCACGGTGTGCTACGCCGTCCTTTGCGACTGATAGACAGCACATCGTTGGGGAAGCTCTTGCAAAGTCTTGCCGCTGATATGCATTTGATTGATCACCGAGTGGCGGCCGGCTTGAGTGATTTGCTTCGAATCATTATGCAGCTGTTTCTCGTGGTTTTCACTAGGTGCGTGTTAAACTTGATTCTTTCGACAACTTACTAATGGCATCAGTGGAATCGCAACACCTCAGACCATCGCGATGATGGTTATAATGCTGAGCTTCTACCTGAAAATCACGGCTAGACATCTTCACATGTCAAGACGCCTGAACAAGCTCGTTCCACTAGCAGCACAGCCTATTCTAGAGCACACAAACTCTACAGAATTGGGTATTGTGACTATACGAGCATTTAAGAAAGAGTCGACGTATGCTGAGCGTATGTACGACCTGCTTGACGTGGAGATGCGTCTAAGTTGGCACATCACGCTCGGACAGCGATGGATTCATGGACGATATGGCATCCTTGGCTCGCTATTCGTCTGTGCCACAGCAATTTCCTTGGTAATGGCAGGTTCTGATGCCGCGACAGCAGGGTTTACCATTAACGTGGCCCTCCAAATCAAAGCAACGATGAGCGGGATGATGGGAAAGATCAACCTTCTCACCAGCGGGGCACGAGCTATTGACCGTGTACTAGACATAGCTGACGCTCCCACCGAGAGTCAGGATGGCTCGAATATGGTCGCATCTTGGCCTGCTTCTGGCAGAGTCGATTTGCAAAACCTAACAGCTCGTTATGACGCAGATCTTCCCCCCGTTCTTAGAAACCTTTCCATCTCAATTGCGCCGGGCCGGCGCCTGGGTGTTGTTGGACGTACTGGTGCTGGGAAAACAAGTCTTATAAATGCATTGCTTCAATTCATTGACATTGAGTCAGGTACGATTTATATCGACGGGGTGGATATTGCAACTGTCAAGATTGACCGTCTGAGGAACTCGATCTCCGTCATCCCTCAAGACCCGTTCCTGTTTTCCGGCACGCTACGTGAGAATTTGAGCATGCTTGGCGGCAAGACTGATGAAGAGCTCAAGATGGTACTGAGAAAGGTGGCGGCGACACAGGATGGGCGAGGCTCAAGCGATGCCCTCGACGACCTGGACATGGCCATCCAGCCAGGTGGTGAGAACCTCTCCCACGGGCAGCGACAGATGGTATGCCTCGCCAGAGCGATTCTGGACCCCCGGCGCATTGTCATCCTGGACGAAGCGACGAGCGGCGTGGATCAGGTGACGGATAGCGTGGTGCAAAGAGTTATTCGTCGTGAGTTTGCAGAGTCTACCATGATCGTGGTAGCCCACAGGCTCGCCACAGTCGCGGACTTGGACCAGGTTTTGGTGCTGGATGAGGGCATGGCGGTCGAGTCTGGGTCTCCGGCGGAGTTGATGCAGAAGAAGGGCGTCTTCTGGGACATGGTAAATCAGGGTGGCGATGCGGAGAGTGTGCGGATGGCGATTGAGCGAGGCTCATGACGAATTCGGAGTCATCAGACATATAATCAAGAGAAAGAAGCCTACAGAGATTGGCGATATATCCAAGATACAGGGCATTATTTTTATAATTTCAGGATAATATTTGTTTTAAGCTAATCGACCTCTGTCTTATCTCCATTGCTGTGAGAGGAAGCTATTGAAAGGCCCTAAAAAACTACGACTTGAACAACCAGGAAGGCGGTGGGGCCGCCGGAGTGGAGGCCGACCGTATAAAACCCAGCAAACGGCCGACTTTTCTACATCAAGCATCAAGGCACATTTGTTGACAACGACCCGTCAGAAAAGCTCCCTGTCTCTTTCTTTTGCTGCGAAAATGGTGCAGGGGAGCGTCACCGTCAAGGTGCGGCCTCTAACGCTCCCAGGCCTCGAAAAGAAGAATCTCCAAGGCGCCGCCCGCCTCTACGTGAGCAAAGAGTCTCTCATCGCCCTGACAAAAAGCTTGGAAGGCAACAAGCCGTGCGTGGTGGAGAGGCTGCCACCCGACGACGATGCTGCTGCTGCTGCGGAGACGCCGATCCAGCGGGAGGCCCTTCTGTGCGTGCTGCCGGAAAAGAACATGAGCCCAAACATCGGCATGATGACCCGCGCCTTTCAAGAGGCGACGGGGTTCCGCCTCGGCGATCAAGTGCGCATCGCACTGCTCCAGACTACGGCGGATGTGGAAGAGGTTGTCGTGCGGGATACGAGCGATGCCGAGGTCAATGTGAAGCAACGAATGTACCCTGTTGATTGGAGGGCCGTTCTGGGGGAGGCGATGAGTGAGTATCCTCATGATATTGCAGAATCATCATCCAAGAGCCGGAAGCTAACCAGTCTTGCGATGCAGTCGACGCAGAGCAAATTTTCCCCGGCATGGTCTTCGAGGGCGTAGCAGCTCACAAGACACGTCGCAACTTCAAGGTTCTCCGTGTCAATGGGCAGGCCGATAACCTTGGTCGCTTCAACGAGGCCACCAGCGTTATCCGCATCCTTAACCCTGGTGAGGATGATGCTCCCCCCAATTCTACCATCACTCCCAGCGGAGAGCTCGCCGTCACAGGCATCCCCGGCCTTGCCGGCCAGCTCGCGCCGCTGAACAAATTTCTTCGGGAGTTCACCCGGCCATTGAGGTTCGCGGATCGGAAGTGTTCATGCGCCTTTGTGATTCATGGGGGCCGCGGCACAGGCAAGACGATGATCTTGAACAAGTTAGCCGCCACAGGCTGGGGTACAGTCCACTGGATCCAACCATCGTGCAAGTCCACGGTCATCCGTGAGACCTTCAAAAAGGCAGCCGCCACCGGGCAACCGAGCATCATCCTCCTCGACGAGCTCGAGGACCTGCTCGCCAAAGACCGCTCTAATCACGATGTCGTCGTCGAGGCGCTCGGGGCGGAGCTCGATGCGCTGGCGGCTCGAGCTTCCGCGCAGGGATCCCTGCCACCCGTCCTTGTCGTGGCTGCCTGCCTCGACTTCATGGCGAACGTGCCCCCCAAGCTGCAGAAGCAAACGCGGCTGCGCAGAAACCTTGGCCTGCGAATCCCCCGCGCCCCGGAGCGCCGCGAAATCTTGGACTTTATGAGCCTACCCCTGCGCGAGAGCGAGCGCGAAGCCTGCCTGGCGAGCCTCGTATCGCGGACTCCCGCATTCAACGGTGACGACCTCGCAACACTTGTAGAAAACGCCAAGAATATCGCGAGCGAGCGAATATGGGAAGCTGAGGGTGCTCTAGAGAAAACGGAGGATGAAACAGAGGAGACACCCAAGCCGATAGACTTCTTAGAACTGTCCGACTTGGAGCAGGCGCTACGAATAACTAGACCTACGGCCATGAACGACGTCAACCTTAACCCGCCGACGGTTCACTGGCAGGATATCGGCGGCCAGGAGGAACTGAAAAAGATTCTTTCCCGGATGATCAAGAATACAAAGGTACGCTTTCCCGTCCCCCAGCTTGCATCCCATGAACTCTTTTGCTGACTGACTACGTCAAGTCCACATCCCCCATCAGCTACCAGGTCCTGCAAAGCCCGTCCAAGGGCTTGCTACTGTACGGCCCCCCGGGCTGCTCCAAGACGCTCTCCGCGCAAGCCCTCGCCACCGAGTCAGCGTTCAACTTCTTCTCCGTCAAGCCGGCTGAACTGCTCAACATGTACGTCGGCGAGTCGGAGCGCGCGATGCGGACCCTGTTCGAGCGCGCCCGCGCCGCCTCCCCCTCCATCATATTCTTCGACGAGATCGACTCCATCGGCGGGCAGCGGGATCCCAGCAGCGGCGGCGGTGGCTCCACCGGCCGCAGCAACCTCTCCGTCAACATGCTCAACGCGCTCCTCACCGAGATGGACGGCTTCGAGAGCCTCGGCGCCGTCATCGTGCTTGCCGCCACGAACCGGCCCGACGCCATGGACCCGGCGCTGCTGCGCCCGGGTCGCTTCGACCAGATGGTCTACGTCGGCCCGCCAGACGAGGCCGCTCGCCAGGCTGTCTTCGGCGTGCACCTGCGCGGGCTCTCGCTCGCGCCGGACGTCGACTTCGCGGCGCTGGCGCGGCTGACGGAGGGCAACTCCGGCGCCGAGATCAAGGGTATCTGCGCGGAGGCGGGCAACGCGGTGCTGGAGCGGCACGAGGACACGGACGGCGCCGCGCCGCTGCAGATCGCGATGGAGGACCTCGAGGCGGCGATACGGAGGGTGCCGAGACACATCACGAAGTCCATGACGGATATGTATGAGGCATGGGCGCGGAGATTTAGAAAGACTTGAGTAAGGACTATATACATGGGCTAAATATAAGTATAAAGAAAGACTTGTTGCTTTCAATACACTCAATGCTCGGCTCCATTTACCCAGTTGACTCTCTCCACGACGGACAGATGCATACGCCATCTTTAATGCTCGTGCTATTTCATCCATCTGCCGCGACCTGCATGCATCAGCTTCACTTATTCATCATTCAGCATGCAAAAAAAAAAGAGGGTTGGTTTATTCGCTGAACTAAGCACTCATACACCCTCGCCAAGAAGAAAGCGGGTCGTCGTCATGTTCATGAGAAGCGAAAAAGAAGATTGGGTTGCAAGGACAAGATGAAAAAACAGATTCCATCCTTTCCTAAGCCCAACAACCAACACGTTACCACACCATCACTCAGTTTCTCTTCATTCACCGCGCATCAACACAACATAAAAAATGGCAAGGAGGGAGGAAGCAAAGGGAGGCCAAACACGCTGTCCGCGTACGCGATAAGAATAAACAACAAACTAATAAAAAAAAACAGAGCAGTGTAGCCGCCCAGAGCCGCCCCTGCCTTCAGAAGAAGGAGAGCAAGAAGAATACATCAAAGCCCCCCAAGCCCCAAGTAGAAACAAGAGAAGAAAGAACAAAGAGGTTTGTATCCGTTAATTTCGTCAACCTGTGTCCGGTACGCCGATGCTTTGAAAGCATATGAAAAAGAAGGAAACAAACAAATAACAACCAAAAATGTTTCATGTAACGATTTGTTTTTGTGTATAGTGCCGCAAAATCCCATCCATAATCCTCCGCCAGATTTCTTTTCCGGGTGATGAATAAATAAGTGGAAGAAGAGGGGGAAAGAGAAAAGAAAGGACGTTGCAAAGCATTCACATTTCGTCGTCAGATCGGAAGTCTCCGCCGCTTTTGAGAGCAGGGGATAGAGTTATGGCAATCTTCTTGGGATTGGCATGGCTGCCACCACCGCCACTGCCCGCTGAGAAGCTTCGCCGGCGGTGGCTCGCCCTGGTGGACGTGACCGAGTTGGCGTCGGCGGAGCCGCTGTTGCGGCGTTTGTTGGCCACGAGCTTGCCGAGCTCGTCCTCTTCCTCGTCCTCTTCGCGTCTCCGCTTCTCGCTGATACGCTCTGGAGGTGACGTCAGAGGAGGTTCAGCCTCTTCTTCCCGTGGCGAGGATCCGGTCTTATCTTCGCCTTCGTCATTCATGCCCTCCTCGTCCTCGCCGTCTTCATCCGATGGGTAGTCTACCAGCGGTTTTGATGGCCCCGAGCCGCTATTACTGGAACTCTGGGTTTCTTCGCTGTCATCTTCCGGATCTGACGTCTCCCAGTACTCCTCCTCTTGAGCATCAACTGTGAGATGCTCCATCAACCTCGCGTTGGGAGGTTGACGTCTAGTCAAGTCCTCTTCCGATTCCAAGAAATACTCCACTTCTGTCGTAAAGCCCTGCGTCTGGTCGTAGCGTAAAACTATATTGCGGAAGGTCGCCATGTAACTCAACTCGGCTAAACGGTCTCTATACGTTTCGACGAGGTGCTTGACCAGGTCCTTCATATTCTCCTTTTTGACATGTTCGAAAAGCTCCAGGCAAGCAGAGCTAAGCAGGTTGTCGCGGGGCATTGTGGCAATGAGAACGTCCAGGATGGGCCCAAGCACGCGCTTCTCTATAATTTGCTTGATGTAGAATTCTTCCTGTAGCCCGATGAGGGAGCGGAAAAATCGAATAGCGACGAGGCGAAGGTACTTTTCTGGCGACTTGATGAGGTGCACAACGCGCTCGACAATGTTGTTGGTCATGACAAAGTAGCGGCTGAACCGATGATGTTGCCGGATGAAGAAGCTCAGAATCTCAATGAGGTAGCTGAACATCGAGGCTTGTTGGACGGAGAAGTTCATGTCGGTACGGTTTTCCAGGTCGATAAGTGGTTTGAAGAGCTTCGCCGCCGATCGATCGTAAAAGCGCGTCAAGAACAGCTCTTGCTGGGGATCGGCTGATTGCTGCGGCCTCGGCCGGCCAATAAACTCGCCGTTAACCTTGGCCATGACCTCGGGGCCCTGGCCTTGGATGCCATGGTCAAGTATTACCTTCACAGCTTCCGAGATTTGTGACTTGACGCCAAGATCGACCTCAACAAGTAGAAGCTCTATCAGCGAGTCGGTTAATGAGGGTTGGTTTTCGTGCATCTGTCGGTAAATGGTCTGTCGAATCATCTGTGGGTCGTGATCGATGATGGAAACAAGGATCTCGGTGGCACCGACGCGAACAGCGACATCGTCGTGACGAAGACCGAAATGGATGACCTGAAGCAGGCCGTGTGCGATCAAGTTGTTGTAAAGAACCTGACGCGCGCCTGGTTGAACAGTCTTGGCAATTGCACAGCACTGTTGAATGAACAAAACGGCCTCCTTCTTTTTCCTGTAATCGGGCGGTACAGCAGTGAAAATGGCAAAGAGTTCGTTGAGAAATTCGGTATTGGATTGCAAGTGCTGTAGAATGTCGACCTGGTTGAAGAAGATGAGGGAGTTGAGCACAGAAAAGGTCGGGTCATCGAGAATTCGGGCCAGGACGACGTCCTTGAGATACTGAAGTCGGTAGGTCTGGTGAATCTTGCGTCGCGTGATCTCGTCGTCAATGGGCACCACTTCCTTATAGCGGCCTTGGTTATCCAGCCAGTGGCGGTGATTAGCCTTGTGGCTAGGAAAATCGGGGTCGTACTCGAGGGCTCCAACGACGCCCAGAACGTTCTCGTCGGTCACGGCGTGTTCAATGATGGTGGTGTCGTTGAGAAGGATAATCGTCTTCATGATGTTACAGAGTCGGTGAAGATCCGGTAAACTCTCAAGATCCTCGGCCATTTCGACAAGGGGGATGAGCTTGCCAATGTAGTCGTCAGCCATGATGAATTTGGCTAGGGCGTCTCGGCCGTTGGCAGTGTTGTTCATCATGCGCATGCCTACTTCGATGTCTGCGAGGTTTCCGAGTTCTGCTGCGGGCAGGCTGACGCTGTGCTGGTGGATATCGACGGTGAGTTCATCGGAGAGGGAGTCATCTAGTCGAGTTAGGGGAGGACGAAAAGAGGGTACGATGAAGAGACGTACCATTTAAGGCAAGGCTATTGTGAAAGGTTTGTTGAACATTATTAACGAACTTCCTTTCAAGACGTCAGCAAGGGTCACGGCGGCAAAGGAGTAAGCGCGCGGACGAACCAAATACTGGCGCAGCCTTCGGCTTCCTGGAAACTCAGAGCCATGTCGACGCCACTTCCTGGCTCCTGCCAGACGATGAGCGTCTCTGTTCGGGCGCATTAGTATAGCGTTAAAGTGCGGGGAAGTGCTAGGCGCGTCATACCCTGCTGCTTCTGGAAGCCATCCTCCTTTTGAATCTTGGTCTCGAGAAGCAGTCGCTCGGGTTGGTCCTCGGACTCGACAATCACGCGAGGGTCTTTGCGGCCATCACTTGTCTGAGAGTTGGGCGCACGCCGCCGTTAGCAGATGCGTGTAGGTGTTGGGCATGGATGCGAGATGCGTGGCACCAGGTGCGCGCGGGACCGAAGGGGGGCGCAGAGGCGGATGGCATCGAAACTTACTGTGGAAAAGGACGCGGTGCAAAAGCCGGTGCCTCTGTCGAACCAGTCATTGTTGCGCAGCTCGTACACCTTGACGCGCTTCTTGTCCGTCGCCTGATGAGGCACCTGCTGTGCCATCATCAGCGGCTCCGAGTCCACCTCGGTGGTGATTTGCGCGATCAGGTCTGGCGATATTTCGAGGTGCTGCTGCAGGGAGAGCTCGGTCGTCTCGGAGTGGCTGAGGAGGGTAAGCGCCGCCACGATTCTCTATGTGGAGGATGCGCACGCTTCCGAGATGGATGCGCGCGACAAACAAGGATGGGGGGGGGAGGCGAGGGGGGAGAGAGATAAAAGTGCCGAGGGTGCCTGCTGGGGGTCGGCGGTAAGGGTAGCGGCGAGGCGAAGGGGTGGATGCGAGCCTGGCGACGAGTCGGGCAATGGTCGGCGGTTGAATCAAGGCGCCATGCAGTAATCAAACGATGGAACGAGGATCGGGCCGATGGTTTGTGGTGTCGGGGTCGCGTTTTCGCAGCGTGGTCGCGATGCGGAAACGGTGGCGAGGCGGGGAATCCGCGCCGGGTTGATGGTTTCGTTGGGCAGCGGGCTGCTTCTTGGCTCCCTTGCGACACCGGCGTCGGGTGGACGGCAGATGAACAGAAAAAGAATATGAATCAAACGGTTGCTAGGATGCTGCGCGACGCGATGCGAAGCGGGCGATGTAACGAGCGAGGCGCAGATGGCCGTCCGGGGGGGGGGTTGCGATGGGCGGCTGGGAATGACGACGATGCGGGAGGGTCGTTCGGGACCAAGCCTAGGCTGGGGGATGGGCGATGAGGCGGGAAAGCGCGTGACCGCGCTTGGTGGATTTTTTTTTAGGTGAGGGAGCGGCGGCCACGGAGGACGGGGCAAACGGGCGGCCCCCTGGACTCTAGCCGGCGAAAGCACCCGAAACGGGGTGGTAAAAATAGAGGGAAAACGTGGGCGCTTAATACAGTGGATAGTGGTTATTTTGAGCAAATCAGTGCATGAAAACATTCAATTGTTGATTGCAATCAACTCGCTGTCGGTTGGTGATGCTTCACTGTGGGCGAAATACTGGGAGCATCTTTCCCCTAACGCTTTGGGTACTATAGTGGCATTGGGCGCTAGAAAAAGCCAAACGACGCTGGAATACCAACAACCTGCAAACGCAGGCAGAGAGCACAAAAGACCAAGCAGTTACACGTACGCATTACAGAGGCACTCTAAATGTTACTACAGATGCAATGCAATCCCCCAAGTTTCGGCTTGCCTTGCCAGGAAGTCTGGGGTCACCAGCCTCTGCACCTGTGGCTTTCCTCCCTTTTCTCCCCTTTTCGACAGTAGTTCGCATGTGGCTAGTGCACCGCACCACGAACTCCAGTTTTTCTTCCTCCCGCATCAATTTTTTTCCCCCTCCCCTCAATTCGGCGTTCCCTAGTGGCTGCACTAGCTTCCCAAAGCACGTCAGCGATCACGTGCACGATCCATTGTTCAAATTTTCATTGGCTTGCATTCTTCCAAGTCTTCTATTGTCTCTCTGATCGGCCTGCGCTACGAATTGTTAGTCAAAGGCCAGTTCACCAACTTTGTTCCAATGTTCCAACGCCTGCCGCAGCCACCGACCAGCCGGCCCCAGCGCGCCGGCACTCCCTGTCGATCCCGCCTTGCGAGCGCCTGCGGCAAGGCCCGCCCGCTAATAATATCACCGCCCGCAGGAGAGCCCATGGCAAGATTTGCAAGGAACGGTTAATCTACCAAGCTGCATGACATGGCCAATAGTTCAGTTTATAAATTCCTTCCCTGTTTTCTTTTTCTAGTGCAGCCGCCATGTCTTCCGCCGCGAACCATCAGCCCTGCCGTGTATGCCGCGGCCTGCACCACGCAAACACCCCGCGATCAACTACCACGCACGCCATACGGCGTGACCGGTAACTACACCAATACGGAATGTTCGTGCAACACGGAAATCTGCGTCAAGGTGAAATTCGGTAATTTACAATACGAACACAAGACCTTGCTCTGATGTCACAGTTCACCAGCCAGTCGGTGCCATTTCCCACCACCCCGGGTAGGATAAGCTACCTCTTTACGCCCGTTTGCCCGGAGGCTGGAAGAAATCACGATTTATTTGGCACAGAGCAGAAGCCGCCTCTCTTCTATAATTCTATCTTGATCCTGTTTAGCTACGCATGGTCGACATCTCGGCCTTTCCCTGTCAACGCCCATGCGCAGGTCTTCTCCGAGGGTCGCGCTGTTTCGGCGTCAACCCGGCTGATAGCCGATATTTGCCGTGAACTACCTATTGTCGACGTTTATCGTGAAGAGGTGATACATAGACGAACTATTATTGGCGCGATGGACCTGCAGCGCGGCGTCACATGCATCGTCTTTTAGAAGCATGGCGGCGATGCGTGCATGCGGCTTGCAGAACAGCCGCCAACGGCCGCTTCCACGCTTCCATGCTTCATTTTTGCATCTTGCGGCTCGATTCGACAAAGATTCAGCATTATCGGACGCTCCGTTTTCCGCGTGGCGCATCCAGCAGTTTCAGCTCCGTGAGGGTAGCTGCAGAGCGGCTGATGGCGGCCTCGCGCTGGCGTTCCTGTGACGTTGGTTGGCCGGCGTAGATTAAATGAGGCTTTGGACGGCCAAAGTGGCAGTAGTAAAAAGAGTGACATGGCTCAGTCACCGATTTTTGCGTCGATTTGCCATGCCCACGCGGCGGCCGCCGAAAATGCCGTTATTGAGCTCGCACCGCGTCATCAACGTCGTGACACCCTCAGATCAACAACGCAGGCTCACGTCATTGCCGCTATGTTCCACGGAGCAGAAAACGCCATAGGTTTCTTATCTGCGCAATATCTATGTGGCTTTGTATCATGGAGCTGATACGCATACAGATTGCGCACTCCCGCAAGGCTGTGACTTTGTTGTCGGAAAGAGTCCGCAGATAACCCGCAGAACCCGACCCCAGCGTCGGTACACGTTGACAATGAAGGGATCCAAACCTTGCCGTATCAAGGGAGATGTAGGATGAGCTGAAAGTCAAACAGCAAGGCGGCTCCGGACCAAAAGTCGACGTGAGGATGAATAGATGGATGGATGCCAATTCGTTCCGAGAGTCCAGTCAGTGCGTGCGGCTGGGAGAAGTGGAGGAAAGGAATTGGCATCATGCATGGCGGCGGTCTAAACGAGCCGCAACTTTGACTGGGACTCGAGTTGTGAAACGCTGGCAGAAACGTGCGTGCGCAATCATCAGGTCTGGCACTGTATCAGACCAGCGGTCAAATTCAACCCACACACATGTATTGTCTCTTTTTTATCTATGATTTGATGGATATTCGGGATTTGTGCAGATATAACTACACCGAAAATCTAGTTACAGCCACCCGTCCGTGAATCCAGCCATTCATCCATCCATCAGGACGCCCGTCGGTCCACCAGGCCCGCCGGCCATATTAGCGGCTGAGAATCCCAGATCAAACTTGCGGCTTGCCTTGTCAATACGAGCTCGACGGGTGCCCAGACTCCAACGGAGTGGTATTTCTCTATTTTCTGATACGGCGGCAGTGCCAGATCCAAAGGCCGGGTGTCCATCCTGTTGTCCGTGGTACGATTTCACCTGGGCAGATTGCTAGGACGTAAACGGCAGCAAGCTGGCCCGAGCTCCCACAGGTCAAGGTGGCGTCTTTTCATTTCGATATTTTTAGCTTCTTTTCTCCCCTTCGGCTGAAGACTATCCAGGTAGCTCAAAACACGAAAGCGGCAAGTCGAGAGATTTACAGGGAAGGGAAGTAACAAACCGGCAGCGGAACTTTGGCTTCGCGGCCCCTCTTCCGCGGCCCAAGGAGGCTGAAGACTATCGCGACCACACAATTGCCAGCCCCAGTTCAGCCCAGGCTGACCATCTGCATGCCAGGATACACGCCCAAAAAGCCCACTGTGGCGGTCCAGCCAGCGCCGTCCACGGGCGACGACGCCATACCGGGTCCGGGTTCGCGGCGCGGCGCGGCCCAGGCTCGTTTCGGGCCACGTTTTGAAAGGGGAAAATCGTGTCCAAGTGGCCGGAGACGTTTATCAGCTCTGGGCGGTGTGACATCAAAGTGCTGAAGCCGTTCCAGAGATAAGTAACGGTTGTAGATGGCGAGCCTGGTTTACAGAAGAGGGGACGGCAGATAAACAAGACCAAAAGACAGGGATACGGACATGACATGACAAAACGTGCGTCTGCCAGTGGCTGCTGCGGATTTATTCCCGTCTGGCGAGGCTCTACCAGTAAAGATTACGGTAGAGCTACTTTGGTACAGAGGTACATTGGTGGCAGTCGAGGATTGTCTTGATTTGTTAACGGAGCTGAGGGAGGGTGCTGGCAGGCGCGGGAGACCTGACGCAGGTGTGTATGCATGTATGCGTGTCGTGCTCAGCCCTTCCAGGATTTCTGAGAGGGACAATGGACTATTTATTGGCAAAAGTGTCAATAAAATGGCAGAGAAAGACGAGCATGGGACGTCGAGTGGTGGCCAGATGGTTCCCGCGTCAAGAGGCGCCTTGTTGGGCAGGGAAGGCCGAGTCAGGGTTTGATGATGCACCGATGCTGCAGGCTCAGGTATAACCAGCATCTGCCATGAATCTTCATTTAGCCTTTTTTCCCGTTTCAGTAAATGAATACGGCCGGCGCCAGAGAAAGCCGTGGCTGGAGGGGGGCAAATAGAATAGTTTGAGCCGCACGTCCCAGGCCATGGGCCTTTTACGGTGCTTCTCGCTTGGCGATGTGAAGCTGGGCATCAAGTCGAGGGGCGATGGGGGGGGTGAGGTCAGGAGGAAGATCTCATTGTAATACTGAATGATCAAGTGGTAGGACGACCTGATAGCATTCTGGCTGTGTCTGGAGGTGTCGCGGATGCGCCAGGCTGAGAGCAAGAGCCCGACTATATGGCGACGAGAGGTTGTAAAGCGGCGCGTGGCCATGCGGAAAGGTTGCAGTGCAGAAGATGTGAGTGCTGGGTAGGATTGTTAGGCAGGCATGTCTCGGTTGTATTGGAATTGGCTTTCTTTGTTCTTAGTCGCGGTCTTATTAAGTATTTTCTATTATTTCTTTTTTCTTTTCTTTGCTTTTTTTTTCCTCATCCTTTTCCTTCCCCCGATACGATACGACACGTACCAGCTAGTACGGTACCGCAGGAAAAGGCTATCAGGCCCATTGTTCCATTGTTGCTCGTTGGCAGCGGCCCCTCTTGACACATTGTCCATCAACAACAGCGGAGCCTTGTCAGACTAGAGGACTCGAACAATGCAATCCAGCAATTTTTTTTCTTTTTCTTTTTTTAAGCGAAAACAACAGTCAACAAAATCGCTCGGCGGGCAGCCTTGATATAGCGTCTGATTTTAGCGGCACCAACCCCTGGCCAGGTGCCTTGTACCCGCAAACTCCACCGCCTAGGGCAGCTCAGTTTAGTGGCAACTTTAGTGGGAGGGGGTGCGAGCTACAGCGCATCGGGCACTAAAAGGCTCTTGTCGTCGGCCAGGAATGACCTGCGATATAGGGTTAGGGCGAGCAGGTTAGAAAGCGCTCAAGCTTGCCTCTTTCATCCTCCTCGTATGAATGATTACATATGTGCATGTATGGGCGTACAGACACGAGCCAACTCTCTGCTTGTCTTGTTTTCCCTCTCTTTCATCAATAGTTCTAGTTAGCCTAATCGTTCGAGGTCGTCTCCCCTGCTCCCTGCTCTAGTTACCATACACCCTCCCGTTCATCCATCCATCTTATCGACACAATCATCATCAGAACCGACCTCACTCCTTGCTCGATACCAGACAAGCCTTGTCCCACCAGACGCACCCTGTTCATGTCTCACCAAGAAAAACTGCCCTGACTTTTCCGGATTACGTGCGTGTGCGACGAGGACGGCGGTTCCTCCAGTCCAACATCACATTTGCATGCCCTGTGCCGCCGTGCTCCAGCCAGGACGCAAAGGCGGCCTGAGCCCACCATCTCTCTTCCCAGTTCCCAGCTGCTGGATTCTGGTAGCTGGTGTTGAGGCTGCCATCTCATTAATCTGCATAACGGATGGTACGGATATTCCGTGCTGATAACATTCGTCACGTCCAGCACCTCCAACACCACCACCAAGTCATCTACCAATTGATCTCGAGCATTCTCAAGTATCCATCCATCCAACCATCCAACTCATCCACCCATCCAATTATCCCAGCTCCCGTCTCATGCCCCCCCCAGCCAGCTGCACAAGCACTCCTCCTCCCTACAGCCACACCAACGCCACGACGCACCCCTCGCACAGCGCATTGCCCTGCTTGCTAACCGGGCACTCACTCCAGCCAGTACCGAACCAAGGACGACTCGTCTGTCCGTCACTGCTAATAAAGGCCACCTCCCATGCATTAATACGTCCCTCTCCCAGCGTCGTCTGTCCTTGGTCCCTTGCTCGTCCTATTTCTTTTCCAATTCACCTCACAAATTTTGACCTGGTCTCTTCTTCTTGGTGCATTCTATTCTCCTCTGGATTTGGACTTTGCTTTGCCAGCGTCTGCCCAAGTTGCTGGCCTGCCACCCTCCTCGCTACCTGCATCTTACCTGTACCAGTACTGACCTGCCAAGGTTACGGCACAACGGTATACTTGCGTACGCGCTTCTTCCCCTCACAGGCGCACAACATTTCCGGTCCTTGACAAAGTCACATATGCAACGCAGCACGGCCCTTCTCTCCGATCTTTTTTGACATCTTTTTCTCTGGATTTTCCGAAATTGTCGCCTGGCCGCCCCCCACACGTCGCATCCTTCAACCCACCTGCGCCAGTCCCCCGGGCTCCGGGCTGCTGCACCACGCCAAGACGAGACAAAAAGGCTAACACAGCCTCCGTCTCGCAGCTCACTGAGACAGACCCTTTCTCTTTCTCTTTGGAGCGTAACTATACGAAAGGACGCGTCGTTCCCTGCTTTCTTCATACACCGATCCTCTGCAAAGTACCACTAGGAGACGGACGCTGCTCTCCATTCGCCGCTCCCATACCCGTACCTGCGGGTGTGCACTCAACGTCAGCAAGCCACTTTTTCTTCAACAAACGAACACCTCAACCATCTCTCCACCTCGTATCGCCACACAATCCTCACCTCGCCATGTCTATATTCTCCCATCTCCGGAAGAGCCGCCAGCAGGCCAAGGAGCACAATGCGAAGCTCGCCGAGCAAAAGAAGAAGGACTCTCAGAGGACACCCTACCGACACGTTCCCACCCATGCCGCCTCCGACGCCATCTCCTCTGCGCCACCTGCCTGGCGAGAAGTCAACGACAGGCCCCGCATCGTCGAGCAGAACCGGAGACGCAGCGCTATGGCTGCTGCCGGCTACTCTATGAACATGCCGTCGACCACCACCATTCCCGCCATGCCTCGCGTCACCAGCAGCCTCTCCTACGTCTCCTACCCAAGCGGCGAGGCCTCTCCTCACGTCGGCATGCCCCGCGCCTACAGCTCCAGCAGCGTCCATCATCCATATGGGGCCAACCGTGAGGTCGTCTACTCCATGCCCGACGCCACCCTCTCCCAACCTTCGTCCTGGAAGGGTAAAGAGGTCACCAGGAATTCATTCTCCGGCTACGACATCTCCGGGGGCAGCAGTAGCCTTGTGAGCAAAGGTGAGGTCGGCTCGGCTCTCATGTTGTAAGCTTTCGCCCTGCTGACCCGCCTTTGGTTAGAACCTACACCGGAAGGCAGCTCTAGAGCATCCAACAGCTCTCATGATGAGCTTGAGATGGCCTTGGTATCCCCTACTCGGCCAAAGATAAAGGCTGTACAGAACCTTCAGGTTCCCCAGCCCCATCCTATCCAGCAGCTGCAGACATATCACCAGGTCCAGCATGCCCAACAGACGAAGCAGCTTCAGGCTGCACAGCAAGCTCAGATTCAGTCCGTCACGCCGCCGCCTCAGCCCGTCCAGCCAGCCGCTGCAGTTCCACAGCCGCAATCGCCTGTTCCGGAGTCTCCGCGACCGGCCTCCGGCCACGCCCACCGCCTGCACCCGAGCCACCGCCGCACCTCATCCGAGACATCCGATAGAACGGCTGTTCCCGTGAGCACCAAGCCTGCGCCCAGAGACTCCCGGCCGCCGCCCACATCGATGAGGGGCTTCAATTTCATCGCCACCACGGTAAACAACCATCAGCCCGCCCTCGGCAGCAAGCCCGCCCAGCCGGAGCTAAACAACGGCGCCCGCCAGAACGCTCCTCAGTACCGCGCCAGTATAGATTATAGCGGCTTTGCGCCCAGGGCTCCTGCGGCCCCAGTCGTGGCGCCGCCAGCCTCACGAAACTCAAGCGATGTCAACCTCGGAGCCTTCTCGACCCCAAGCCCAAGCCTCAGCTTATCAGGAGGGCAGGTGACACCCCCATCTGGCGGCCAGCGGCCGTACCAGAGCCGCATGAAGGAGCACTCGCCATCGCCTGCAACTCGGCAACAGCAGCCCGAGATGGAGCCTATTGTCTCTAACGGCTACGCGCGACACGCTCGTTCCGAGATGCCGCCGCCGCTCGCGCACGAGAACTTGGTCAACATCTTCCCCGAGCCGGTGCCTGAGTCGTACAATGCAAAGTCTGGCCGTGGCAAGCTCAACAAGGGCAAGAAGACGCGCTGGTCGTTTGCCAAGTCGTCACCCATCACAGCATAAGTATGATTTGCGCATACAAGCTCATCATCTATCCTCAGCAATTTTTCTTTTTAAAAAGTCTTTATTCAGCATGTACCATCCGATCATTTCCATGCACATCTTTTTCTACACAAGCGCCGTCTGCGGCTTTTTTTTTTACTGCCATTTTTGCGAGCGGCATTCACGCCACAGGTCCTGATCTGGACCACACGCCCGCGATCTGATCCGAGACACGGAACGTCCAGCTGCATCGACAGACGGGCGATCCTTCTGGACTTTAGGGCAGTATCTTTAACGACGATTATGACGAACATGGTTTCTTTCTCTAAGCATAGATTTTTTCTGTTTTTCCTTATACTTCAGAAACGGCGTTTGACAAAATTCAGTCGTGTTATTTAAAGCATAGATATTGGATATCAATACAGATGGTTTTATGAAGCTACCGATAGTACATGCATGTGACAAGTGATTTCTGATTGTTGCTTGTGACGACTTGGAATAAATCAAGCTAAGGTGTCTTTCTCAAGACCAAGCTCGGCTGGCACGTATCTGATCAGGTCGTCTTGTCATGTAAGCTGAGACTGCTACGACGGACACTCTGCATCACTTATCTAGCTGACCATACCTAGAAAAGTGAGACGAACTGAAGAACGAAAGTAGAAGGTTCCTAAACGGACTTCCTACTCTCCGGGGAAATCCCCTGTATTTTCTTATACCACACCTCTTTTTCTGCCGTGCATCTTCAGATCTAGGGTATTCGTGCATCTTAACACCACCCCACCCACCTGTGGCGTGAAGCAGGTACCCGCGTCGCCAGCAGCAAACGCTGCACCAACAAAGTACCCGCCTAGCTTGTATGTAGTATGTACGTCAGAGTAATTTACGGAGAGGGACCCTTCTTCGCAACCACGTATGCCGTTTGCTCCAAGCTTCTCATGCCAGCTGCCACGTTCGTTTTGTGTTTCATTTCTTTCTCACTCAACATACCATTTGGGATTTCTTTATTTTTCTACCGTTTCCCTTTGTCTCATTGCATAATCCTTCTTTCACTTTTTTCATTTCTCTCGTTATCTCTCTTCTCCAAACTCAATGCTTGCCTGAAATCCATACATCCGTGCACCTTGTACCCCAAAAGCGCCCTTGGCGGAACCAAACAGCCAACGCCGCCATGGCTCCTGCACCGACGGGCTTCCAGGCGCGCATCCTGCATCCGCTGATTGCATGGATCCAGGCGACGCCCGTGTACATTCTCCTGGCGCTCCTCGTCACCCTCATCCTCGTCGGGCTGCTGTCGGTTCGTCGCCCTCCGGTGCTTCCCCTCCGCCGGCGCAAATGCTTCCGTTTGATACTGACAAGACTTCTCCAAATAGCTCTTTGTCCTGCTACACCTCGTCGCGCCCAAGCCCCGCGCACCGTTCCCCTCGGAAAAGACATACATCACCAGCGCTCCGAATGGCGCGCCGACGGCGCCCCGTCCGCTGCCTTGCTGGTACGACCGCTGGTTCGCTGAGCGGCGCCTGAGCAAGACACGGAGCGCTAGCGCCAGCGCCGACGCCGACCCGACCGCGATCCCCGACACCGGCGCCATCGAACCGGCCGAGCTCCTCCTCAGCGTCGTGCTCCCCGCGTACAATGAAGAGGACCGCATCCTGCCGACGCTCGAGGAGGCCGTCGCGTACCTCGACGAGCACGTCGGCCGCCCCGGCGGCAAGACTTCCGCTGATACCAGCTCCAGGAAGGCCCCGCGCCCGCACCGCCACGCGGCGTCGCGACCTGCAAGCAGCCGCCCGGAATCGGGCTATGAGATTCTTGTCGTCAACGACGGCAGCCGGGACAAGACGGTCGACGTGGCGCTGCGTTTCGCGCGCGACAGGGGGCTGCACGACGTGCTGCGCGTCGTCAGCCTGGAGCGCAACCGCGGCAAGGGCGGCGGCGTGACGCACGGCCTGCGCCACGTCCGCGGCCACTACGTGCTGTTCGCCGACGCCGACGGCGCGTCGCGCTTCAGCGACGTCGCAAAGCTGATGGAGGGCTGCGAGGAGGTGGTTGATGCCTCGGGCCGGGGCGTGGCGATTGGCAGCCGCGCGCACCTGGTTGGCAGCGAAGCAGTAGTCAAGGTGCGTCTTCCCCCAACATCCTCCTGACTGCACACAAGTCCCTCCCCCCCCCCCTAAATGTTACAACAGCGCTCTGCCCTGCGCAACTTTCTGATGCGCTCGTTCCACCTCGTCCTCACCATCCTCACGCCGCCCGCGACGTCGCGCATCCGCGACACGCAGTGCGGCTTCAAGCTCTTCACACGTGCCGCCCTGCCGCACATCGTGCCGTACATGCACGCCGAGGGCTGGATCTTCGACATTGAGATGCTCATGCTCGCCGAGTCGGCGCCCGCCGCGCCGCTGCTGGGTTCCGACGGCGCCGTCATCGGCACTAGCCCGGGCATCAAGGTCGCCGAGGTGCCCGTCGCCTGGCACGAGGTCGGCGGCAGCAAGCTCAACGTCGTCCAGGACAGCGTCAAGATGGCCGTCGGCCTGGCGGTGCTGCGCGCGAGCTGGATGCTGGGCGTGTACAGGCGGCGACTGACGTAGTGGTGTGTTGGGAGGAGGAATGGCGATGTCAGGTTATCAAGACAACTAGCTGGATGGAGGGGAGAAAGCTGATAGAATGGGATGCCGAATTGCATTAATTAGTATATAAGTGAGGAATTTTGCTGATCTATAAAAATCTAAAGACTATGCCTTTTTTCCTTCTAAGAGCCAGCCACCCAGAGAAATCGTTCGATGACAAAATCCGCCTCACCTGTAATTATCGATACTGAAATATCACCAAACAAGAAGAACGCCTTCGTTAAAATGCCCAACGTTTTGACCAATGTCACTCCTCCTTTCGCTGATCATCCGTATTCTCCTGTCACCAGCTCCGAGATTATATATGAAAAATGTAAATGTACACGTTAAAGAAGGAGAAGAAAGTACGGTGGAATTGGCCACATCCAGGTCAAACATATTAATCACCGGAATCCCTCCCTCCAAATCAGCGGCAGGAACACGACGCACGCCTTGGCGAGGATCAGGACGGCGTCGACGACGGCGATCGGGGCCTTGAGCACGCCGAGCGGTCCGGGCCCGCTGGTGACCGTCTCGACAAAGTGCATCCAGATGCCGAGGAACGCGACGGAGAAGAAGTGGTAGGCGAGGACGACGGGGCGGTGGATGACGCCGCCGAGCATGCCGCAGGGCCCGTCGGTGATGCCGCGGCGGAAGTACTCGAAGCAGCCGACGCGGAGGGCGTGCAGCTGGGGGTCGTCGGCGGCGAAGAGGGCGTAGAGCGCCTGGGCGAGGACGTTGAGGATGGCGGTGTAGCTCTTGCGGCGCCAGTAGAGGGCGCGGAGAGCGGCCTGGACGGCCGCGTCGTCGCTGAGGCTCGGTGTGCGGTCTGGGTGCAGCAGCTCGGCGAGGAGCAGCGCGTCGTGCAGCGCGACGGTCATGCCGGCGCCGGTCAGCGGGTGCCGCATGTTGAAGGCGTCGCCGAGGACGACGACGCCGCGCGGCACCTGCGGAGTCGGCGGTAGCCAGCTGTTGGGCATGCTGCGCAGGCGGCCGCCCTCGAGGGCGGCGAGCGCGGCGGGGCGCACGGAAGCGGGCAGCGCGGGGATGGCGTGCCGGGTGAGGTAGTTGCGGACGCCGCCGGCGGCGACCGAGGCCTCCGGGATGTTGTGCGGCACGTCGAAGAGGGCGCGCGTCTCGTGCGTGCCGATCTGGTACAGCAGGATCGGGTAGGCCTCGCCGATGACGACGTGGCCGAAGCCCGGTGCGGGGAGGTCGGCGTCTTGGAGCTCGAGGGCGTAGAACTTGGAGCGCGCGACGGGCTTGTCGGCCGTGACCTCACCGCGGAACTTGCTGTCGTAACCGTCCGCGATGACAGTTAGCTGGCCGAAGAAGCAGTCGGGCGTCTTGACACCCGTCGCCGGGTCCTTTGTGCGCGTCTCCACGCCCAGGACGTGGTCGGAGTGCTCGCCGCGGATCACCTTGACGACCTCCGTCTCGCGGACGGTGATGTTGGGGTGGGCAAGGCAGGCCTCTCGTAGGCGACTCACGAAGCGGCCATGGTGGAAGCCTTTGCCGACCTCACGCTTGCCCTCCTTGCCGGCGCCGGACCACTGGTACGGCACACCGCCGTCGTCGTCCATGGTTGGGTAGGGGATGAGGACGTCGTGGCCGCGGTAGATGACGTTGTAGCCGCGGCAGGTGATGCTGTCGATGCCCTCAACGCAGTGGCCGAGGCCGAGGCGCTTGAGCGCCTGGATGCCGCCGGGCTGCAGAAGCTCACCGACGATGCGGTCCGGCTCGGTCATCCAGCGCTCGAGGAGGAGTACGGAGCGGCCCTGCTCGGCGAGGGCGTGGGCGGCGGCACAGCCAAAGACGCCGGCGCCGACGACGACGACGTCGGCCTCGTGATGGCGCTCGCGCTGGAGGCGGCGGGCCTCGACTGTGGGTGTAGCCATGATGGCAAGGTTGTGTGTGTGTTTTTATTTGTGTATAGAAGTTATGTCGATCTGTCGGGGAATTCTCAAGATCTCGTGTGCGTGGTTCGTCACGGGGGGTTTGTCGTGGTGCGTGTGTCCCGTATTCATCAGTGAATGGATGGGATATAAAAAAGAGTCGGCTCCAAGAAAGGAAAGAGGAGGAAAAAAAGAAACAAGAGAACCCAATTCAATTCAATCAGAAACGCGCAGTCACAAAAAAAGGCCCCCGGTCGAGAAGGAGGAAAGCATGTGGAAACGGGGGGCAGATGAACTGATGCATCGCCTTACTTTTTTCCCCTTGCCTTTTGTCTTCTGTTGTTGGCCCCTCTAAAATGTCAAGTGGGCGGGCATTGGCTTGCATTGCAGGTTGCAGGTACGAATACTTCGTACTTGTTGGGTGGCGACATCGGGCCAATCGGCAGATTCCAGGGTCCCCTTGTGGCGCTACCTCAGATGAAGATTTCTGGAGGTGACTACAATACTGTGTTATTATTTTCCAAAAAAAAAAAAAGAATAAAAAAATGAACAATTTTCAGTTTAATCAGTAATAACTAAGCATTCAGCCACACTTTTCCAACTATTCTGCAGCCTACCTATGCTCTGCATCGCTGCTCAGAGGTACATTGGTACTTGGGCCACACCAGTGGAACCCATCACCATCCGAAGGGTACTTGGGTACGAAGACTCCGTAATCAAAGGTCAGACAACAAGACCGTTATTTCCTTACAAAAAAAGGCTGTTGTCCATTTCCAAAGTGGGAACATGCTGCTGCATTCTCATCCCATCTTCACATGCTATTTTCGCACCTCTTTCTGCTTCAACTGTGCGACGCAGTTTGCGACTGCGTCCCTCAGCCAGTCACTCGTTCCCGTTTTCGACTACCGCCGTATTCGCATTGGCGTCGGCTAGTAAGCCTCCACGAGCTCAGAATTCAACCATGTCACTTTCCAACGATCGAAGATGCGTTGACATCATCTCTGATTCAATGCCCAACCTAAATGTGCTACCCAAAACCTTGTCCGCTCTATAGATTGTATGCTAAATTTCTAAATTACACAGGTGTAGACCTTGGTTTGGTTGTATATACATCGGCGACGAGCCCTTTATGCATCTATGCTGATGTGCGCGATGCTGCCTTGTCGCAACGTTACTGCTCGTGGATTGGACGATGTCCTTCTGGTGGCTCGCTTTGCAAGCTTCTTTCTCTGCCACTCTAGAGCTGCCGCGGCATCTTTTTCTCTCGTAGCCTCCTCTACCGCCCGCACAATCATGTCGGAAATCATCGTCTGGTATCCAACCTCGTGCCGGCTCTCAGCATTCTGCTCCAGTGCTTGCTGCAGCAGTTCCGTAAGCCGCAGCTCGCAGTTCAGTGTGCTGCCCTCGGACCCGGGGGTATTACCCGCGTCCATCCTCGCGGCCGCTCGTTTCGTAAGCTCTCGTATGCCAAACTTGATGCTTTCCTTGCATAGCCTAGTTCCATGCCAAAACGGCTTGTCAGAGACAAATTCGGATACCAGCCGCAGTGCTGCATCATATCGATGAGTCGCGATATGGATATAGAGCAGCTTCGCAAAGCAGTAGCCGTTGTATGCGAGCTTGCCATGACCAAGCTGTTTGACTCCCAGTTGCAAAATGTCGTGTGCTGCATACAGGTCCTTTTCCACCACTCTTTTTACAGCAAGCGTATAAATATCCGCCGGGATGTCACTCTCGCATTCCACGGCTAGTAAAAGGAAAGCCTTGATATCGCGGATTGGCTTGCTTTTGATCTCCTTGGCAAGGAAATGATGCTGCGGGATCTTAGTGTCTCTTCCATAGCCGCGTGCGCGTTCCAATAGTCGTAGGGCCGGTTCTGCGTTGCCCTCATTTGCTTGTACATGCGCCTCCAGCGCCAATTCGAGGCTAGATTCGCAAGTGTCTCGAGACTTAGACAGCGCAGCTTCAAATACAAGGCACGCTTTCTCCCACAGACCTGCATTATTCAACTCGGCCATCCGCTTGCTCAAATCATCTTTCCGTTGCTTGGCCTGGTAGCCATTACCACCCATTTGCGGTAGCAAAATGGCCCTTTCCATTCGTTCCCATAAAATTTGCGTATTGTCCTTGCTAAAACGCAAGTGTCCCCGGCATGTCTTCTTCCACTCCATGGCAAAATGATAATCGACTTTCAGGCCATGCGCGAGACAAAATTCGAGCCAAGATATCATCCCTTTGATGTCGTGATAGCAAGCATACCCGTTGAGTACCGCAAATGCCCATTCCGTCCGCACCGTCATGCTGTATGATTCCGCGGTATATTCAAGCCATTGACACAGCTCATCGGCATCATGCGCCTTCGCGAAAAGGTCTGTAAAGCGTCGAAGATGTGCTTGAAATTCTGTCGAGGAAGACTTCTTGTACTTCTCGAGGTTTCGTAGTGAGTCGAAAACCGTATCGCAGACGCCGAGGGCTACTTGTTGAGTCATCAGGGCAGCTTGCAGTTCAAAGTCCGTCTCAACGTCATTGCCTTTCAATTTTCGCAGGAAAATCATCTCCGCATCGATGAAACGCGTTTGTCCTGTCGAGCAGGCTGCGATGACCGCCTCTCTTCTGATATCATATTCCTGCTCTGGTGTCCTCATTTTCGCGAAAAGCCCCGCGGATTTAAGCATCGTGTATTCTCTGATGGCGAGTTCGGCGGAGTCGGCGCTTTGTACTTTGATAAGCTCCTGAACGAGCAGCCCATCTTTCCACAGAGATGCCTGCTCTGGTTGTGTAAAGAAGGCGATGATGTTTCCTGCGACCTCTGTAGCATCCTCTGGTCTGTGTTTGTCCATCCATGCCAGAAATCGAGTAAGAATTGTAACAATCGATCGCTTAAGAAAAAGAGACGCCTTCAAAACTGCCCTCATTTCATCTGCCGTCAGATCCACGGAGTACTTCAGCAGGTTAACGACGACATCCTTGAGTATTTCTCGGAATGAGCGCCGGGTACCATCATGGGTACTAACTCCTTGCAGAGCTGTCACGGCTGTTTTGAAGGCGGACGACTGTTCTTCGCTGTTGTCGAGGTTCTCTGGTAGGGCTCGAGCGGCCTCGATGAGAGCGGCCACGGCGTCGTTGTATTCTATAGATGCTTCTTTGCTGTCTCGTGGGGTGACAATGAGATGTTCGTATTCGAGTCTATGGCTGGGAAGCGCGGCGCTCGTCTCTGCGGAGAGGTTTGAAATAGTGACGGTGCGCGCAGGTGTTGAAGCTTCGTTTGTCATCTGGCCCGCAGCCGCAAGCTTGGCAATCTTTTCAACAGGATCCGTTTTCCTTCGCGATTTTCTTGACAATACAGCACGCCGGATTGTGGGAAGCTCGCCCAACCCTCGTGTATTGGCCATGACCTCGGCAATATGGGTAAGGGGGATGGAATCATCGTGGATATTTCGGAGGGGTGCAGCGAGTGCGGTAGGGTGAGATTCGGTGGGGGCGACGGCGAGGCTAGAGGCGCTTGAAATCTCGGCTTCATTTCCTTTTGTTCGGCGATGCAAGCTCCGTTGCGCGCGTGGCTGTCTGATGAAAGATTCGCCGTCCAGCCTGGCTAGGTGAGCTTCTAGGTCGAAAGGCTCGATGGCTGCGGCAGCCTCGGCGCCGCGGTTGGCCTTCGCGGCATGGATCTTTCGAGCATTGTCGACAGCAGCACGGGCAATCTTGATCCGGCGGCGGCGTTCCTCAGCGAGCAGAACGACGGAGAGGGAGGTTGTGAACAGGACGCCGCGGAGGGTGTTGATGGCCGTCTTAGAGAGCGCGGTACTTGAGGAAGCCATTGGCGTGGTGAGTCATCGCGCAAGGCAGTTAAATATTGATACGTTTGAATTGGCCCCAGAGCGATTTTTTTCTAGGGCCGTGTCGAGTACGGAGGATGAGATGGGCTGATCAACGACAAGCAAGTCAGCCCGAGAACAGGCGATAATTATTCTGGGGCGGCAGTTCCTCGGCAAATTCCGTCACCAAGCTGTAGTATTGAACTTAAGGAATAATTGATAACTACCAGCAAGGATATAAGGATATTACTGAAAATGTTGTCAAGTTGAATTTGTGTATGTTTTTCCTTTTCAGTCTTCAATTTGGTGTGTATCTTATTTTTCACCCCCTGTTGTCGGTGGCTCGTGCTGTTTTTCACTGCTGTTGCTGCTGAGCAGCCTGGTGAGAAGATTGAAGTTAAATACAGTATCAGCACGATCTGTCGGTGTTAATCACATCAAGGAGTTTTAAGGCTTTTACACGCGGCAAATGAATTAATTTAAAGTAGATTCCCAGCAGAAAATATATCCCCAATGAAACCAGCATTGTACTATGAAAACATTGGCCGCCACAATTCAGCACAGCCGAGTAAGAAGACTTGTTTGAAGACAACACTTTTTTTATCAATTGAATCACACATCTGGTCTTGTAAAAATATACTTCGAATGTGTTTAGCCCAATTTTTAGGTCTACATTTTTGCCAAATCTCAACTGGCAGGAGCAACTGTCCGTCTACTACCCCCCCCGACGACTCATGCTTCGCTATTCCTTGAACCTTCCATTCTTTTGCCCCGATTCAATCCTTGAAACTGATCTGGGGTTTGAACATCTATTCTCTTTAGTTCAAGCACGTCACTACCAGTTCGCCTCTCAGCATGCCAGCTTACTTCCCTCCTGCTCCGCCACCGAAGTCCAATCTGGGTCGATACAGACTGCTTTCTCCTACTGCTTCGGTATGGGTAAGCCCGATATGTCTTGGGGCAATGAACTTCGGCGATAGCTGGACTCAGTGGTTTGGAGAGTGTACGAGAGAAACGACAGAAGAGATCCTAGACTACTTCTACGAGCAGGTGGGTTTCCTTGCGATGTCAGGTACTAATTTGGGGCTACATGTTAATCATAATAGGGCGGCAATTTTATCGACACTGCGAACAATTATCAGCGTGGAGAAAGTGAAACCCGACTTGGAGATTGGATGAAGCGGCGCGGCAACCGTGATGAGATGGGTGAGTAGAGGGCTGAATGTACTTGATAAGGTTCCGTGGCTGATATTTTGTTGAAAATCCATCTCCAGTCATTGCGACCAAGTATACAACGGCCTTTGTACCTCTAGAAGGAGATGCCAGGATAAAAATCAACCTAAATGGTTGTGGTACCAAGAGCCTCCAAAGTTCCGTGGCGGCAAGTCTACAGAAACTGCAGACAGATTACGTCGACCTGGTGAGAATAGCCGAAGAATTATTGGCACAACTTTACTGAGTTTGATTCTATAGCTGTATGTTCACTGGTGGGACTATAACACCTCGATACCAGAGTTGATGCAGGCTCTCAATAGCCTTGTCGTCAGTGGCAAGGTATTGTATCTTGGCATCAGCGACGCCCCAGCATGGGTGGCCAGGTACGAAGCTGTGTCCTTCTGCGACGATAATTACCTAACACATCTCTAGTAAAGCCAACGAATATGCCAGAAACCATGGTATGCGCCAATTCAGCGTCTACCAGGGCCAGTGGTCAGCAGCGCACCGTGACTTTGAACGCGACATCATCCCCATGTGCCGTGCTGAGGGAATGGCCCTTGCTCCATGGGGCTCACTCGGCGGCGGCAAGTTCAAGACTGCAGAGCAGCGCAGGGCTCGAGAAGGCAGACCGAACCAAGAGTATACTGAAGAGGACACAAAGGTCACTGCGGCGCTCGAGGCCGTCGCAAGACGCAAAAACGCAGCTCTCGCCAGCGTCGCCATCGCCTATGTCATGCACAAGGCACCGTATGTCTTTCCCGTGCTTGGTGGACGAAAGGTCGAACACATAAAGGGCAACATCGACGCCCTCAACATCGAACTGAGCGCGGACGATATACGAGAGATTGAAGCTGCAGTGCCCTTTGATCTCGGGTTCCCACACAGCTTTCTCTGGGGCAAAGAAATGCCCGCCGCACAAGGAAACGTAAAATTCGCCGTGCTTGGAGGCAACTACGATCATGTTGAGGATGCCAAAGTATGCCGACCAAGTTCCATGTCCTGCTCGCCTGCTGACTGTTTCGCAGCCCATCAAGCCTGCCAAGGCAGCGGAGTAGGTCTTCCGCTCGCACTTGAATCGATGGCAGTTGGAGACTACTCCGTGAGTAAGGGTATTGAATGGATGCCCCGAGGCTGGTACTCTCTAGCGGATCTTGTAATTGGTCAGCTCGCCGCACACCGTCGCCCGTAGTCAAAGTTTCTCAAGTTCATGCTACGTTCTCGGTTTGTTTTCCCGTTTGCAAGAATGATTAGGTATCGACCTGCATATTCCCCTCCTATATTTTGTTCAAAAATAAATATTCATTCCTGCTCCGAGTACCCGAACGCCATTTCGGTCCAGTAAAGAAAAACGCATAAAGCCAATCAAACGCGTGAAGCGCACACCCTCCTCTTATTCACCACTATGTAGACCGGCCTCTATTTGGACCCCTTGCCCTTGGCCTCATTCTCTCCCAGCTCGCGGATGATGACCACCGTCTGGCCCTCACCACTGTAGTCTTGCTGGCCCGTCTCGAAGCCCGGGCACACGCCAATGGCCAGGTACTTGCCATTGTTGGAGAAGGCTAGCGCCGCGACGCTGTTGGGCGACTTTTGGTACTGCTTTAACCTGCGCTTGGCCTCTGCGTCCCAGAGCGCGACGGTGCCGTCGCCGCCGCCCGAGGCGAAAGTGCCGTGGACGCTGTGGAAGGCGAGAGCGTTGACTGGGTAGACGATGTCGCCGTCGCCGTCCGGCGCGGGCTGTCGGTGGCACTTGAAGGCGTACTTGCGTGCCTGCGACTCGGCCGTGTCCTCGAACCACTCGACCGCGACGCGGCCCTCGATGCTGCTCGTGGCGTAGCCCGCATCGTTGGGCATGCACGCGAGGGCGCGCGTCAGGTACCGCAGGGAGGACTCGCGCTGCTGCCAGGGCTTGAGGTCGTCGCCGCTGCCGCCCTGGGCGATCAGCGCCTTTATGTCGTCGAGGTCGTAGATGTTGATGATGCGACCGGTCATGGCGACGACGACCTTGGACGGGCTGATGGCGACGGCCTGCGGCTTTCCGGGTAGGGAGACTCGGAGCGGCGTGCTGGATGGATTCTCGATATCATGCAGGGTCAGGCTGCAGTCCCAGGAGGCGGAGATGAGGATGCCATGCTTGGCGCTGTAGCGGACGTTGCGGACGGGAGCGGCGTGCTTGCTGACGAGGACCTTTTCGCCGGTCTCAAGGTTGATTCTGTAAACAGACTTTGGTCAATCAGGTGTTCTTGCCGCGCGACAATCGTGGTGCTCGGGATGTTGCTATACCTATTGACGGCACAGTCCATGCCTGCCGTGTAGGCCTCTTCGTCACTTGCGCCAAAGCATACATCTAGTACAGGCGCTCTGTGTTCGTATGTATTGGCCAGTTTCGCGTCACTCGCACCACTGCTCAGGTCGTAAAGGTAGACTTTCTTATCCCATGAAGATACAAGCAGCTTACTGCTCGTCTCTGGCGCAAAGATGACGGCAGAGACTGCGTCGCCAGGCGGCGGCGACAGCTCGACTTGTGTTGCTATTGATCAGAGTTAGCATGATCTACGGGGGGAAATCGCATTCTTCATAATCATGGCTGGGAAAAGGGGCGACAACATACCAGGAGCCATGCTAATGCTTCATACGATGTTTGGCAGCTCCCCGAAATAAACGACAAGCTCCGGTGCTCGCATTGAATGTGCGTCCGGTACCTTGTACTTGTTTACTTCGACAGGGTCACGTGCAGCTACCCGCTGCGAAACGTTTCGCCGCGTTTCCCCAAGCTTCAGCGAAAAACTACGTGTGGCGCTTTTTGCCAAAGACGACCGCCTTGCCCATCAGCCACACCCCGCCACCCCACCATCGGCTGGCCGGTTTGCGTGCAATTTGTGTGTCAAAATTGTGCTCTTGTGCTATAACTAACTCTTACGTTTCGCCAAAACAGCATCGGGGGAATACGCGTCGATTAACCACTGCATAATCCACAGCAGCCGAACCTCCTCTTATTTTGCGAAATCGATAAGGAACGAATTTGGACCAGATCAACATTTTTGCGCGCCACCTTCCCCTCCGAGAAAGCACAACCGGAAAAAAAGAGGGTGACTCCTAGTTCCTACCCCACAGCAGTCTCTCTTGTGCCCAACACCTCTCGACAACACCTTTAGCTTTTTGTATTTTTTGAAATATTCGCGACGATAGCTGGGAGACGAAACTACCGCCAAGATGTCTCTCACAAATTGCCGCTTCTACGAGGAGAAGTTCCCGGAGATTGACAGCTTTGTCATGGTCAATGTCAAGCAGGTTCGTCAGGCCACGATCCGGAATCTCGATGCGCATAAGAACGAAACAACCGGAACCGTCTTATTGCTGGGGGATGGGTGACAAGTAACAGAATTGTCTAACTCGGTTATCGCTTTATTTAGATCGCCGAAATGGGAGCCTACGTCAAGCTTCTAGAGTACGACGACATCGATGGCATGATTCTGCTCTCCGAACTTTCGCGACGACGCATCAGAAGTATCCAGAAGTTGATTCGCGTTGGCCGCAACGAAGTTGTCGTTGTTCTCAGAGTAGACAAGGAGAAGGGTATGTTGCCTTATTCGGCCTTGGTACAATGCTACGCGGCAGGTTCCTTGACTAATGGTGAACAGGCTACATTGATCTCTCAAAACGTCGTGTCTCCCCTGAGGACGTCATCAAATGCGAGGAACGATACAACAAGGGTAAAATGGTGCACTCGATCATGCGCCATGTCGCTGAGAAGACCCTGGTTCCTATTGAGACGCTATATGAGAGCATCGCCTGGCCCTTGAATCGCAAGTTTGGCCACGCCATCGACGCCTTCAAACTTTCCATCACGTACGTTTCCTACTGCCGTGCATGACTTTCGCGCGCAAACGGCAATTACATACTGACACCTCTTGTAGCAACCCCGAAGTGTGGGATGACATCACTTTCCCTGGCCAGCCTGTTGCCGACGAGCTCAAGTCGTACATTGGCAAGCGCCTGACCCCCCAACCAACCAAGGTCCGTGCCGATATCGAAGTCACCTGCTTCGGTTACGAGGGTATCGACGCCGTCAAGACTGCTCTGCGCACCGCCGAGGCTGGCAACACGGAGGAGACCCAGGTCAAGGTCAAGCTGGTTTCGCCGCCCCTCTATGTCCTCACTAGCACCTGTCTGGACAAGACAGTCGGTATCAAGCGCCTGGAAGACGCCATTATCGACGTTCGCAAAAACATCGAGGCTGCCGGCGGCAACCTTACTGTTAAGATGGAGCCTAAGGCTGTCACCGAGAGCGATGATGCCGAGCTGCAGGCCCTCATGGAGAAGAGAGAGCGTGAGAACGCTGAAGTCAGCGGTGACGAGAGTATGAGCGAGAGCGACGACAACATTCCCGAGACGATGTAAACGAAAGCAAAAAGCAGGGATGAATATGGGATTCTTTTTTCGGATACACTGAGGCAGCGAAAAAACAGGATTCGTAGCGTTGACAGCGAAGGCGAGGATATCTATCGCATCTCAGGAAAATGAGGCAAGTGCATAGATTGCTAGCAAAAAAAAATAATAGTTAGAGTATGACATCATTTAACACAGTGTTAGACATGGTGACGGTCCGGTGGCCAAGGCTTGCAAGGAATTAGCAGCTACAGATAAGCAGTCTTATAAATGAGTCCAATGACTTGTTGTAAATTTCTTTTATAATTCGAGATTGGACTGATACTCGAAATTTATAGCGCAGATTCAGGGGTAGGTTATTGATCCCTCTCTCTCTGTGATGCCAATAATTCATACTACGCATCTTTGTCGCGAGACCCACCAAGCTTTCCACAGTTAGGTGTTTTTAGACAGTGGCTTTGAAGCTAACAAGCTCTCAGCATTGACATCAGCACAACCACATCACAGTTCGTCGGACCACAAGGAGATATCCGTATCTTTGCGGCCAGCCATGACCCCTTCGTGGGCGCGCATACAGCATTGGCGCGGCTGGCGGCCACGCAGCCTGGCAGGCCAGACGGCCTGGAAACTAGCCGTTTTTGCGACATGGCTGCCGGCCGTCATTTCGCTCAATGAGCACGTTGTGGAAACGACGGTCGTGCAGGGAGCCTCGATGCACCCGTACATAAACGAGGACAAGGATTCGACTCTGCGAAATGACGTTGTCTTGACGTGGAAGTGGTCACCTCAAGAGGACTTGCAAAGGGGCATGGTGGTGACTCTGAGGTAAGGCTGGCCGTAGATGCGAGGGTGTCATAGATGTCACATCTATTGATACCAGCGCATATCGAATCTTTTGGACGAATATATGACTGACATGCTGTTTAGAAGCCCTAACAACCCAGAGACTGTGGCAATCAAGCGAATAGTCGGCTTGGAGGGGGACACTGTTCACACGCGCCCACCGTATCAGTTTCCGAAGGTCAAGATCCCCAAGGGACATGTCTGGGTAGAAGGGGATGGCAGACCTGGCACGACAATAGACAGCAATACGTATGGTCCGGTATCAAAACGATTGCTAGTGGGCAAGGTCACGCACATACTGTACCCCTTTCACAAGTTTGGCGCGGTCAAGTGGTGGGAGCATATTCCGCGTCCAATAGAACGCGGACAACGGTGAAGATCTGTAAAATTGATGTATATAGACAAGAAGGAACAATTCCGTTCCTTGTATTATTAGTGTATTTGTATGGCTGGCGTCTTGGTTTCAAATGGTACAGAGCACGCGACAGCAATGAGGCCAAGACAACTTGCTGCTGGTGCAACCATGGATGGGCTCGGCAGCGACAAGCAACGAACTCTTCAGCTACTTGAAGTCATTAATTTATCAGAAAAAAAGAACGCATCTAATCTACGTTTACGACCGGCTTTATCATCGTATTCCTGTACAGACTTCGATGCCAAAAGTGGCTCCGTCAGGCACCAACCCAATCATAACTGCCTAGAGCGCCACCAGGCCAATCACTACGGCGATAGCGCTCGGAGCCGCGAAAAAAAAGTTCGACTAGCAACAAAGCAAGACGTCGGCATCTCCAAGCAGCCACATCACATCCGCACCCATCAGCACACGGCCGGCTCGGTAGACCATTGCTTCATACTCTTCGCATTCATCATAATTTGCCAATCGCATAGTCACGACACCGGGCTCATTTCCTGCGCTGCTTTCCACCCCATCCCGCCACGTCTTTCAGCCTCCTTTCCCCTGTGCCTTTATTTGCGCCAGAAACCGAGACGACCCCTTTTTTGAACCTCGGGAAAAGCCGCCAGCATCAAGACGCAGATTTCTAGCGACCGGACGTCATCCATCTCGTCCCGGCCATGCTATTGGGCTTCAAAGCGCTCGGATTTGAACCCCCCGACCCTTCCGCGACAGCGACAGCGGCGGCTTCCTCGTCACCCCTCGCCGACTTGCCCTCCAATTCCCGCCATGCAGAGCAGTTTGCGCGCCATACCACCACCCACGCTGGACACGGCGGACTTGTGAGCACAGACTCGATGAGTCCGGAAGAGGATTTGGAGGTTGAGGGGCGGCCGCCCTACATCCACGTACGTTGTTGCCCCGAGGCCCTCACGCGGCCTGCGAGACCAGCCCACTAACCCGATGACGTAGGCGATGCTTGCTGGAGGAACGGGTGGTGCTTTTGGAGACATGCTGATGCATTCCTTGGACACTGTCAAGACGCGGCAACAGGGCGATCCAAATGTACCGTCGAAATACCGCTCGCTGACCTCGTCATACTACACAATATTGCGGCAAGAGGGCATCAGAAGAGGTCTCTATGGTGGTTGGATTCCTGCGCTAGGTGGTTCATTTCCCGGGACGCTCATGTTCTTTGGAACATACGAATGGAGCAAACGATTTCTTATCGACCACGGGCTACAACACCACCTTGCCTATCTTTCAGCTGGTTTGTCCCAACCTCCGACTCCGCTGGGCTGGCCACTTGCTAACAACAGATACTTCAGGCTTCCTCGGTGACCTAGCCGCCTCCGTCGTATACGTGCCCTCTGAAGTACTCAAGACTCGACTTCAGCTACAAGGAAAATACAACAACCCCCACTTCAAGTCTGGCTACAACTACCGCGGCACCATCGACGCCGCCCGCACCATCGTCCGCGCCGAGGGCCCGGCGGCCATGTTCCACGGCTACAAAGCCACACTCTACCGCGACCTGCCCTTTTCGGCATTGCAGTTTATGTTCTACGAGCAGTTCCAGACATGGGCGCGACAGTACAAGCAGAGTCGAGATATCGGTGTTAGCTTCGAGCTGCTTACCGGTGCTATGGCGGGCGGTCTCGCCGGCGTGATAACGTGTCCCCTTGACGTCGTCAAGACGCGACTGCAAACGCAAGTCAATCCGTCGGCAACGAACAACAGCCCTGCGCACGCCAAGGACCCGAACCCGCAGAAGCGCTCGATATCAACGTCCTCGCCGAGCACCCACCGCCCGCGTCCTGGTGCCATCCCGTTGGAGACATCGTCTGTCATTACCGGCCTCAAAGTTATTTACAGAACCGAAGGCTTGGAGGGTTGGTTCCGAGGCGTGGGGCCGCGCGGTGTTTGGACTTTTATTCAGAGTGGCTGCATGCTTTTCCTGTATCAACGACTCCTCCGGCAACTCGATATCTGGATGCCGGTTGACAAGGAGAACGACATGTAGAAGCGCCCACAACAAATGAACCGAAGGAACACCCAATTCAACCATGAGCAACAAAACGAAGAAGAGGATTGACTCACATCGAAAGCGACGATAGAAGGCTTGAACAGAGCAAGCGATGCATGACACATACACACCTGTGTCCACTTGTACGATTTGGAGGAGGACGAAACGGCCTGATGTATATTTTCATGCCCGGACATTTTCTTGTAGTATTTATCTCATATTCATCTGGTGGAATACCAAAAGAAGGAAACAATCTTTTGGTTTGGCGTTTTGGAGTGGCATATATAGACTCGGGGCGGCTTTGTCAACACACCGCCCCCCACGCATTCAAGAGCTGTTTTCTTGAGTCAACATTGATAGATCAATGACAGAAGAGGAGGAAGAGAACATGAAAGTTTGGAAAACTCGGCTACAACACATAGAAATTACTGTACACTTTACTTGCATCGTCCGTAGTTAGTCATGGTATATTTGCGAGTCTCAGCTATTTCCTGCTTCATTGCGAAACTAGCTAACATGGGGGGTATCTTTGATGTGAAGGGTGTCAAATACAGTAAAGAGCAACACATAAAGCCGTGCAGGGGATGCCTACCAGCGAGAACAAAAATGAAGAAAATAAACACACATGCCAGACATGGAAACACAAGAACACACAAAGCTGGCTTCTTGTTGCACATCTTCCTTGCACACTACAGATCCGGATCGCTGTCTTCCTCCTCCGGCTGCGGCTCAAAGTCGTCGGCGCGCTCGCGCATCTCGTCGCGCGCCAGGCAGGCGACCATGGCCAGCGTCAGCGCGTTCCAGACGCTCTGGCGGTGCTCCATGAAGTCGGCCTCGACGTGGAAGCTGACGTACGCCTGGTCGCCGAGCGACGCGTCCGCCGTCAGGATGAAGACGGAGCTGTCGAGGATGAAGAAGCCGTACACGACGGGGGGCGGGCGGCGGTACTTGACGGGGGAAGTGCTCAGCTCGTCCAGGTCGTCGTCGTCGGCGCCGCTGGCAAACGTGCGGCGTCGTGGTGTAGGCGCCGCCGCCACGTCGTGGTGCGGCGGCGTGCCCCGGGTGAGCTCATCCTCGGTCGAGTTGCTGTTGTCGCCCAGTCGCGGCTGCTTGCCGGTGCGGCCTGCTCTCCGGCGGCGCAGCTTGTTGACAAGCCTGGTGCGCCGCGGCGACAGGTATCCCTGCTGTAGGATGCCACGGCCCCATCCCTCTTCCGCGTAGTCATCGCCGCCGCCGCCCAGCGTCTTGGTGTTGTTGTTGCGCCAAAAGTTGGGGTCGCGGTCCTCGCGGAGGAACTCGCGCTGCAGGCGGGCCAGGGCGCGCATGCGGCCCTGCAGGAGCTCGGTGATAGCGCGCTCCGGCATGGCGGTGTCGACGACCTCAGTGATGACGTTGGGCACGACGCGGCGGTGGAGGTAGCCGCCGTCCTCGGCGGCCCAGGCGAGGAACCGGTCCAGCCCGTCCTTGACCATGCCGGGCACGCGGTGGTGCAGGCCCGACTCGCTGGTGGTGCGGACGGCGGCGGTGAGTTCTATGAGGCGGACCAGTGCGTTCGTAGCTTTTGGGGGTTTTCCTGTCGTATCAGTAGTGTATTTTCTTTTGGCTCTTGTTCGACTGCGGGAGGGGCCGGGGGGAGGGGCACAGGCGGGCCGTACCTAGAAAGTCTTTGGAGTGGGCGTACACGACGGGAGAGTGCTCGGCGTCGGCAAAGTTGGCCTCGGAAATTGGAACGTTGCTGAGGTCCATCCCCCAGTGCGAAGGCAGGATGGGCAGATCCTGGCGGAAGAAGAGCAGCTCAAACAGACGCTCCTCGTCCGGTGCCCAGGTGCTCGCCCCCGGATACTTGGACTTTTCGAGCTCCAGCTGCTTCCACATGTACATGTCGCTGGTGGAAATGGTGGATGGGCCTAGCTTTTCTTGTACACTGCTGTTGCTGCTGCTCTGTGACGCATCAGCGTCGTCGGCTTCAGCTGTCGCGGCGTTTGTGTTGGTCTTGGCCGGCTCATCGGTGGCGGCGGCGGCAGCGAAACCTGTGATTTTATTTCCAGCTTCTGGATCTAGAGTCCCATTCATTTCGAAACATCTGATACTTGGAGTTCCAAGTGTGTTTGTTTGTTTGTTGGATATGCTGGTTCTTTGTAAAGGGCAGGATGTTGAAGATGGCTGAAGCGGATGTCATCACTGAGTGGGGCTTGGAAACTGCGCTCACCTTTGATGCAGGTCATAGGGTAGAACAGACACAAATTGTCATAGCTTTCGCGTTGTTACAAAAAAACCCTTTATTGTGATACTTGTCAGAATTTATTGTCTTAACAAAGAAAAAGCAAGGCAAGGCAAACGACCAAACCTGGCCAACTCCCAAATTATGGCCAGATCGGGCTATCCAACAGCTCGATCGCCTCAGCACTTGAGTGGCTGAATGGGAGCAGGTATTCATCTTACACATAGCGGTTCGTTCATTTTGATAATTCGACTCTATTTTTATTTATATCGAATACTCCTCTTTTTTATCAGGCGATGTGAAAAAGTGAAGGAAAGGGCACGTGGACAAAAGGGGCGAAATCTGATGCGCCCGTTCTCAGAAGATTTCTCTATCCACCCAGCTCTTCCAGGCGGCATTGTCTCGCAATGCGGCCATGGATTCGACGTCGGAGCTGAGAACGGTCTCGTAATCATGCTGGTCCTGTCTTCCCGGCATGATCAAGCCGGCGCTCTCGTTCCACGCGCTCTGGCTCTTGCGCACCGCGTCCGCCACCGTCAGCTTGGAGCCGGTGGCGGTCGGTATCGTCCACTCAATGTCCGCGCCCAGGCGCCGCCACGAGTTGAAGAACAGCTGTCGCGGGTCGGCCGGCATGAAGCTGTACTGCACCTGGCGTGGGTCGCGGACGTTGTTGAAGAGAGTCGCGCGCGTCTTGACGTACGCTTCGTCGACACTGCCCAGCGTCGTTTCAATGCTCTGCACGACCCGCATCAGGGCGCCTTTGGCGTGGGAAAAGTTGGCCGGGGTGGCCTCAGAAATGGTGAAGAGGTCCTCGGCACCACTGCTGGCTTCGATGAAGACGACTTCGTTTCCTGCGTAGCCGCTCAGCTGCTCCTTGAATAGTCGGGTTCCCCACCAAGTCGGCACGTACAAACGGCACCTGACATCGGCTTCTCTTGACTCATCCGCGATGCCGACCGTTTTCAGGCGCGTGGTAGTCATGAAGGCCCAGGAGAGCGCGGCCAAGCAGGCGAATGTGGATGGCATGCGGGGGTAGCCAGCGGAAACGACCGCCTCTTTGAGCAGCCGCATCTTATCTGGGCCGAATACGAAGATACCACCAAATTTGACTTGAGACACACGGTACACGCTGCTCAGGTAGCTGCTATGGGCAGTGGCCGTCTCCGCCAGCGTGAGATCCGGGCACTGCTTGATCAGAGCCTTGGCCAGTTCAGCATCGTGGCCGTTGTCCTCTGGGCCTGACGGAACCGGGATGTCAATCTTGCTAGGATAGCACAGCGGCTCTCGCCTAAACTTGGCCGAGTCTTTCATCGCTGCTGCTACGGCAGTGAGGAATTGATTGACGCCCACGCCATCCGTGACGGAATGGTGGACAAAGATGGACATGAGGATCCCGCCATCTACCAGGTTGAGTAGAAACTGGGTGACGGGGATTGGGGGACCATCTTCGGACAAAGTCGCGTTAGTATCGAAGACAGGACCGATAAAGGCACCTGCAGGGAAGCCCTGCTCCTTGAGCTTCGAATAGGCTAGGTTTTCGTGGCCGCGTACATCGCACGTCCTGCAAGTGACACGGTCGTCCTCGCTCGTGTGCAGGAGAATTATACCAGGCTTTTCCTTGGACAGAGACAACTTTCCAGCCATGTGAGGCATACGCAGGCAGACATCCTCGAGAGCAGCTTCGAGCTTGTTGCCTAGCGCGTCCAACACCGCGGGGCCGCCATCTGTCTCGAAGCAATGCACCTGTCTTACATAGCCGCGCAGTGCAGCCTGGTTCCATGTTGTAAGCGGGCGAGGCTGCTGCATGGTGGGAGGTTCCTGAGACATGGCGGGTAGGCGTCAACGGCACCGGGACGAGCCTTTTTCGATTTCGGGATATGCAACATCATGATCAAGACAGACATGCCTACCAGAGTGCGGGAATATTTTTAAGAAAAGGAGACGGTTGTACAACGACGATGAGCTGTCAGTCACGGCTGTACAACAGTTACTATGACGTTTGTGGTCACGCGGGTCGCACTAAGCTCGGCCGAATTCTAGCGAAGCAAGTTTTTTTTTTTTCCTTCAATAAGGACGTTTTTAGTGAACTGATAGGAACGACACGATGGATGTGAGGGGCGCGCTGTTGAAGGATTAAATTCTAACTAGAGGGTTGGGTTGAGGTTACATACCGCCCAGCAAGCCCTGCGCCACAGGTGATGCTTAGTAACGTAGAGCACCAGCCACGACTAAATGAGCCACGGACTTTTTCGGGCAAATTTATCGCGACAACCAGCCCAGCACATCAGAGTATCACGCAGCGTCACCACTACACGACACAAACCATGGCTGAAGTAGTCAAAGCAGCGGCCGCGCGCCAATTACCAGCCTTTAGGCTTGGTCAGAAGCAGGTTTATCTGTATGGCCCCCAATTAAATCGTCCGAACCGCATGGGACCAGGGTGACGTGACACAATGGGAGGGATCGCTGCTAACTAGGTCAAACCCTTTCCAGGCCGACGCACATCATCACGATGCTCCGCAAAGAGCACCTGCCCCCCAACGAAGCCTGCTTCCAGGTGCCGCTCACATTCACCAAGTTCGATCTCCGCGACTACCTCTGGAACCTCTACAACGTCGAGGTTAAGAAGGTGCGGTCGTACGTCAAGGGGCGGCCGCTGGCCGAGCGCCCCAACCGGCCGGGCTCGACGTACCGCCCGCAGGCGCTCAAGATTATGACGGTCGAGCTCGCGCGGCCGTTCCAGTGGCCCGAGGTGCCGACGGACCGCGCCCCGTGGAACCACGAGCTTTTCGAGATGCGTGAAGAGTCGCTGGACCAGCGCCGCGAGGACCAGTACAACGCTGCGAACCGCATCATCCCGATGTCGAGCCGCCAGCCCCGGTCCGAGGACCGCAAGCAGCTAGCGAGCCTGGCCAAGGACTTGCTGTCGGGCAAGAAGAAGTGGTCGAACCAGGTGCAGCTCGACTCCAAGTGGGACGCCATCGTGCAGGAGGCGGCGGCAGCGGGCGGCGAGGGGAAGAAGGAGGCGGCGGCGGAGAAGATTGCCCAAGACAAGGATGCCCAAGACAAGGCGGACAGGACAAGCCCCAAGCCTGCGCAATAGTTGCCTAGAGCTTGAGGATAGGAGAGAGGGGAGAAGCATGCATAGGGGCTCTGGTCTACGAAACAGTCAGAGAGTTTGGTATTGTACTTTTAGCGCATGTGCGACGCGCACACTTGTACCAGCATCGTGGCAGACCGATACGGCTGTCTTGTATATGACATGAAATAAAAACTGCATGCAGTATAGACTACTAATTCTGCTTGGTGTGCCAATGCTGCGGCTGCTGAAACTTGAGCACCTCGTCTCCCCAGCTCCACCAGCCAGCCGTGAGGCCTCGCGCAAACACCTCGAGGCCCGTGTATCCCGGACCAAAGACCTCCCCAAAGAGGCCTCTGAGGTTCGGCTTGCGCGAGTGCACGTCGGGCACGGCGACGATGGTCCTCGAGGCCAGCAGTCCGAGATCCGGGACACCTACGCGCTTCGCTACGACCAGCTTCTCCCAGGGCTTCCGCCAGGCCGAGTCGAGCGGGAACAGCGGCTCCCCGCCGGCTGTGACCTTGAGCCACGTCCACTCCGCGACAACCTCGAGCCGCCATTCCGCCAGGAGGCCGGCGAGCCAGTCTACGATACGAGGCTTGTTGGTGATCCACACGGCAACCAGGCCGTCATCGTGGAGGTGTGCGCGGACGGGGATGGCGCGGAGGGTGTCGCCGAGCTCAGAAAGCGAGCCGGCCGTCTTGTAGCGGGCAGAGGTGGTGCGCCGGACGGAGCGGTTCGGCCACGGGGGATCCATGACGATGAGGTGGAATTTGGGCGCGCGCTGGGCAAAGGATTGCGCCAAGTTCTGTATGGATCCGTGAAGAAGGGCTGCCTCTGGTGGGATGTAGGGTTCAGAGTCGACGGTTTGTGGCGGCGGCGAGGATGGCAACTCTGGGGGTATCTGTCGCGGCAGGCAATACGCGCCTGTATGTTCCTGCGCGAGGGCCTCCAGTACGCTGCGAAGAGTCTCGGCCGTCATCAAGGTGGCAATCTGCGCTGCTGGCGAGGCAGTGGCATCAGGACCTTGGCCGTTGGCCGGCTCCGGCGTCGCAAACGGCGTCGTGGGGGCCGGTGAAGAGTAGATGCGGCATCGCGCAGAGTGCTCCTCGCCGGCGCATACCTGGCTCTCCTCGAGCGAACGGGGAATGTCGAGGATGACAGTGGCGCCGTCTGGGCTGCGGTAGAGAATGGAAGGTAGCTTGGCAGGGGCGGCGTTGGAAGGCCGCCGCTGCAGCGGGTGCATGAAAGGGATGGTGTGGTGATGTGTCGGGCGGGATGGTTGTGCAGGCTTACCCGGCCTGCATGGTGGAGGACTGAGACGTCGGAGAGGATGCCGATATGGTGGTGTTAGAAGGCGGCGTTTTGCAAAGGGCTGGGCGGGTGCTCGGCATAACGCCGACTTGACGAAGATTTCTCGGTAATTGTCGGCTTCGGCTGACTGGGTGGGCTGCGGGCAAGCGGTTTGCAGGGGAGTTGATTCCGGGGGCATTGTGGTAGTCACGAGGTCTGCTTAATATTGCGATAAATGCCAGTAAATTGTAGAAAGATGTAAGGAAATTCTGAAATCTGTGAAAATAAATAAAATTAAGCAAAACCACCCCAGCGCTGTCTATGGTTACTTCTTAGTAATAAAGAATAAGTCCAGGCTGGCTGTATGCGTTGCCGGGTTCCATCGAATGACGCATTATTTTTCCGGCTCCCCGGATAATCGCCAAAGCGGCGCCTGCCATTTGCTCCCCACGTCTTTGAAAGTCTCAACCCACGCACGCTTCCCCAATTCCGTACCTTAATACCCTCCCTAGTCGTCACCCGACACACTTCTCAGACCAATTTCACCTTTTGACAACCGACACAAGACAATTTCTCTCTTCCCCGCCGCCGTCGTCGTTGTCGCCTCCTCTCCCGTCCTCCCTCCTACCTACCTCTCAAACGGGCCATGTGCAATTCATAACGTCTAGATTCAACGGTCTTCCACTCCCCGCCGCCTTCTGCCACCCTTCTATATTTTTTGCACTGGGTCCGCCCCTCCAACCAATGCCGCAGACCTACGCGGCGGACCTCTCGTCCATGGCCCAAGCCGCCCAAACCACAGCGCAACATGGCGTCGCCACCGCGAAGCAGCACAGCAAGGCCGATCCCGCACTCTGCCCGACCGATGACGAGAACAAGATTATGCCCGCGGCGAAGACGTTTTCATTTGACTATGCCTGGCGATCAGGCGTCGCCGGAGGTGTTGCCGGTTGCGCAGTAAGCAGAACAAGCCCTATCAGGCAGTGGCAAGCCGTCCCAAAGCTGGGCGCACGCTTGACTGCAGTCAATCGTGTTGCTTTGTACTAACAGCGCGAAACCTAGGCAAAAACTCTGGTCGCGCCCCTCGATAGAGTAAAGATCCTCTTCCAAGCCAGCAACCCGCAGTTTGCAAAGTACACCGGTTCGTCCTTTGGCGTCTTGTCTGCCATGAGAGATATCTACGGCCACGAGGGCGGCCGCGGGCTCTTCCGCGGTCACTCGGCGACGCTTCTTCGCATCTTCCCGTACGCCGGCATCAAGTTCCTCGCCTACGAGCAAATACGAGCCGTCATCATCCCCGACAAACAGCACGAGACGCCTTTTCGCCGCCTCATCAGCGGCAGTCTAGCAGGCGTGACCTCGGTCTTTTTCACATACCCTCTCGAGGTGATTCGTGTGCGCCTTGCGTTCGAGACCAAATCGCAGGGCCGATCGCCTCTCATTTCCATCTGCCGACAAATATACAATGAGCACCCCGTGGACAAGACGGCCACTGCAAGGTTACCCAGCGCACCGAGCCCCGTTGGTGAGGTCGTCCAAGAAACGGGAAAGGTCGTCGAGGCTGTGACGCCGCGCAAGGGCCTCATCAACTTTTACCGCGGCTTCTCCCCGACCATCCTCGGCATGCTTCCCTATGCCGGCATGTCCTTCCTGACGCACGACACGGCCACTGACGCGCTACGGCATCCTTCGATTGCCAAATACACCACCCTGCCGAAGAAGGCCAACCACCCACCTGGGAAGCCCGCAGCGCTGCGATCCTGGGCGGAGCTGTCTGCCGGTGGCGTAGCCGGCTTGATCTCGCAAACGGCTTCGTACCCGCTTGAGGTAATTCGTCGACGCATGCAGGTCGGCGGTGCCGTCGGTGACGGGCGCCGGCTGCGCATCGGCGAGACAGCGGGCATGATTTGGAAGGAGCGCGGGTTCCGTGGCTTTTTTGTCGGGCTGACGATTGGATACGTCAAGGTGATTCCTCTGGCGGCGGTGAGCTTCTATACGTACGAGAGGATGAAGCTCATTCTAGGTATTTGAGCAATGGCTATTTTTGGAATACAAAAGAGAGAGTTAGTTTTAAGAAGGACCGTATGGGCTGGCGTTTTACGGATCATTCTGTACATGGCAGGGCTGAGCGACTATTGTATTTTTTCCCATCATCATTTTCTTTGTCAAGGATTGGCGGTTGGTTGGGTGTGGGCAGGCAAGTTCTGGACGGTCTTCCTGACATGGGAACGAACGCTCGCCGACCTATCCTTAACGCGGCGATAATATATATATCACGAGAATCTTGATATAAGAGTATATTTATTTTCAAAGCATGTCTAAATCAGTTTGGTATGCACCAATGTGCGAGACTTTTCACTGGCCGTGACATTTATACTTCTTGCAGAGCTTATAACTGAAGATGAAGACATGGCTAGTCTTATGGTATAGGTGAAATCCACGCAGCTCAGCCGCTTTGAAACAATGAGTTTATGAGACTGAAAAACGTTTATTACGGTATCTGCAATGCTAATGGCAAATGGCTTGGCTGCTGGCTGCAGGTCTCTGTGCACTAGCGTTTATTACGGCCCGGTAAAGTCCCGGCTAAATCCAGCGGTTAATACGGTGAGCCGCACACCAGCACAAACCGCGTTGAAGCGCACTCGCGCAGGAAAGCTCGAATCCATCCGCAATCCTCACCAACCTCGCAGCAATCCCCCCCGCGGCCGGGCAAACCATCGTCCCGAGCGCGACCGGCGAGGCGGGCTCCCCCGAGGTCAGCCTCGCGCGGGCCAGCCACCTTCTGATACCCTCCTCGTCGTCGGCGACGACCGCGCTGCCTGTCGACGCCCCGACGCGGTTCATCTCCAGCAGCGAGCGGCCGGTCGACCTGCGCTCCATCTACTTTGCCTGGCTGAACCGCGAGCTGGCCATCCCCGAGTACAACGCGTCCGCGACGGCGCTCAACGCGGAGCTCGAGGCCGGCGGGGCCAAGGTGCAGAATCTGGGCTTCATCGAGCGCCTCGACCTCATCACCTGGCTGGAGGGCGCGAGCGACGAGTCCGAGTACATCAAGCCCCTCGCGGGCGACGCCGAGGCGGCGGGGGCGGCGGCCCCCGCGGCCCCGGCGACGACCAAGGCGGGCCCGGCGGCGCAGGCGCGCGCGGGGAAGGGCACGATGGACCCCAGGCTGGCGAGCATCTACGACGGCGAGCGTCGCATGGGCGACCGGAACACGGTTCTGAGGGGGATCAAGCCTACGGTGGGTTGCCTTCCCTTCTCCCCACGGTCGAAGGGGTAACGAAAAAGAAGTGGCCATTGGGAAGCTAACCTTGAGAGTGTCGCAGGACTTTTCACACGTGCGCAAGCTCGCCGCGCCATTTATCCAGCGCAAGTCGCAACCTTCCGCGACCACGCTGCCCTCCACCTCCGCCGCGCTATCCCTCAACCAAAAGGGCCCGTCCAGGCGACCGGACCCCATCATCCTGCTGTCCCCCTCCGCCTCCTCTCTCCTGCGCCTCTCCAACGCGCGCTCCTTCCTCGAGGACGGCAAGTTCGTGCCCCCCGACGCCGGCGCCTCGACCGTCAGCATGCTGCACGTGCAGCGCTCGATGCGCGGCGTGGACGCGACCGGCCGCCCCGTGCGCTTCATCCTCGTCGAGGGCCCCGAGCAGTTCAAGCCCGAGTACTGGAACCGCGTAGTGGCCGTCTTCACGACCGGCCAGGCCTGGCAGTTCAAGAACTACAAGTGGAGCGACCCCAACGAGCTCTTCAAGCACGTCCAGGGCATCTTCGTCGGCTGGCGCGGCGACCAGCCGCCGGATAACGTCCGCGACTGGGGTCACCGCGTGCTCGCCGCGCCCGTGGATCGCTGGCGCGGCGGCGCGGACGCCGCGTCGTCGTCCCGGTTCCGCGACAAGGAGGCGGTCGAGTCCATCTGGAAGACGATCGAGCTCAACATGCGCTCCAAAGGCTGGCGCAAGGACGCAGCGCCAACGGCGATATAGATGAGAGAGCAAGGGACATCTTCGGAGAGGGCTCTTGTAAAAAGAATGTTTCATGCAAAAGAGGAACGGCACGGTGTTTCGCATCGGGTCAACCTAGGACCTCAGCGACGGCGTTTGGGATGTCTTTAGCTATTCGAATCTCGCTCAAGAATAGTGTAATTCTAGCAATCAATGCATTAAGTGTTCTTCAAGCACAGCAGTATTGAGTCGGTTTGAGCATCGACGTCGCCTTTCTACATGGCTCACTCACCTCAGACATCGCTACCAACCTGACCGGGTATTTATTGCCTGCTCCCTATCACATAAAATTACATATATACATCACCAGCCCGAGCTACTGTCATAGTTGTCTACAGACTGACAGCAGCCTCCTGCCATGTGTATGGTGCAATTAGAATCCGCAATGGTTTCTTCGCGATGCGCGACCACGATGATGGTGCACCCGCGAAAGTACTCCGTCATCATCTCGCGGACAATCTGGTCGCGCCAGCTGTCGACGCTGGCCGTCGCCTCATCCACCAAGACAAGCTTGCTGCCGGTCAGACGCCTACGGACCACGGCGCGCGCGATGCAGAGTAGCTGCTTATCGCCGTGCGAGTATCCAACCTGGTCGAGCACGGCGTCCAGGCCGCCGCCCGGGCCGGCGAGCGGCTCCCAGATTCCCAGCCGTACAAGTGTCTCGCGGACAATCTCGTCCCGTCTGTCGGCCTCCTGCTGCTGCTGCTGCTGCTGATCTGCACCCCGGCCAACGGACGGCGTTGTTTTGTCCCATGACTTGTCGTAGGGCAGCAGGTTGTCCCGGATTGTGCCGTCCAGCTCGACCAAGTCCTGAGATATGGTGATGATTCGAGCTCGTAGCTCGTCCGGATGGGCACTTCTTATCTCCACGCCGTCAATAGTGACGCTGCCGTCGTATTCTAGAAACCCGAGAAGGGTATTGAGGAGGGAAGACTTGCCGCTTCCGGTACGGCCCATGATGCCAATCTTTTTTCCAGGCTCAACGTGAAAATTGATGCCCTGCAGGACGGCCGGTTGTTCAGTCACGTCGTCCAGTTTGTAGCGAGCGGTGACGTTGGTAAAGACAACCTCACCTCGTGAGGGCCAGTCGGTGGGCAGGTCGACCGCTCCGTCTTTACACTCCATCGGGGTGTCTCTCAAAAAGTCACGCAGTCTCGCAAGGGATCCCACCGAGGTCTCCATTCCCGTCCACGCATTGACGGCCATGGTAAAGCCCTGGCCGATAAAGATGAGGTTGAGGAAGGCAAGGCCCGCAGCATTTGAGTCGGTGGAATCCTTGACGAACAGTGCAAGAATTGCAAGAACCAGGGCCATCAGCGTGACTACAAGCTCCAAAACCAGTGTCAAGAACGCTTGTGAGGTGAGAAGGTGATAATATGGCTTTTGCGACTGATCCAAGAGGTTCAAGCAGCGCGCAAAGTGGTGTTCTTGAGTGCCGAATCCGCGCATGTAAATGATGCCAGTTCCAATGTCACGCAGGGCAGTGACCAATGGCGCTTGTGCTTCAATCTGCAACAGTCGAAGCTGACGCGATGTGCGAAGATAGTATCTTTGTATCATGAAGAGACAAAATACGACCACGGGTAACGTGGCTACCATGTAGGATGTGCCAGCAAAGATCGGCGCCGTATGAGCCACGGTACCGAGAAAGGCATAGATGGTTGTGTAAGATTTGGACGGTACGCGTTTAGATAGCAACTCCATGTCCTCGCTGAACCGATTTAGAAGTGATCCGGAATCGGTTGTCGTCAGGAATCCAATGGTAGCCTGAGTCGTCACAGTGATGAGTTTTGCATGGAGTCTATTGGAAGCACGAGGCGCCAATCTGATAAACATTGTAGACAGTCCAAGGCAGGTGAGTAGACCAGAAAATAGCGCAATCAACGCGTACCCAATCAGGTACTCGTTGTTGGCTGGCGCGAAATGGATCCAAAGCCTCATGTAGATGTTGGGAAACGCATCCGACGCCGTCACAAACAGCATCAGGAACATGAAGACAGCCACAGACACCCTCCCGACAGCATTGATCCAGAGCATGTATAGACGCATGTCTCCTCTCTGGCGGCGCTGATCGACACCTTCGACACCACCTCTTGGTCGAGCCGGCGTGTCACTGAGGGGCTCGCTCGACTCACACGTTTCTGTCTCTTCAACCGAAACATGTTCCTTTTCTCCCAAAAGACCCTGTTGAAGCAGACAAGCCACTTGCGCTTTAACCTTGCCCTTGTACTGGTGGTTCTCCATGGTAATGTTGCCCTCGCCGTCGAGCAGCAAAAGGCTGTCGGCCACGTCTAGGCACTCAGGCAAGTAGCCGGCCAGTATGACTGTACAATTCTGCGCTCGAAGAAGACCATCCGGGCCACAGAGACCCATCAATACCTCCATGGCTGTCTTCTTGTCGAGAGCACTAAAGCTGTCGTCAAAGACAGTGACCTTGGTTCGCGCGTAGACAGACCGGGCAATGCCGATCCTTTGCCTCTGGCCGCCACTCAGTCCAATCCCGCCGCTGCCAATAACGTAGTCTTGCCCGTTGGGCAGTCTTTCAAGGTCTGCTTCCAGCTTGCAGCATCTAAGCACAATGCCGAACCAGACAGGGTCATAGTTGCAAGCTCCGATAATGCAGTCACGAACCGTGGTATTTGGCAGAAACACGTCCTGGCCGCAGAGTGCTACTCTCAGGACTGACTCGTCGATAGAAAGTCTGCCGGCCATAATCTCGGCTTCTCCTAGCAGACTCTGTATGAAGGTGGTCTTTCCAGAGCTTGTAGGACCAAACATTGCCGTGACAGATCCATCCTCAATGCACAAGTCCACATTTGTGAGTACTGGCTTGTCGGATCCGCGAGGTGCGATAGCCACCCCTTCAAATCGAAACATTACAAGTGGCATTTGACCAGCAGCCTTCTCTAGAGTCGAATACTGACAAGAAGTTATAAGAGTCCCATGGCCAGACTCGGAGAGATCTTGCAGGACCGTACGAGTATCCTGGTGCTCATCCTGGCACAAGAATACCTGAACTCTTTCGAAGCAGGCCAGCATGGACATGGCTCTGGGATATATTGTCACGAGAGATGCCAATGGCTCCTTTGCTAGAGTCAGAACGCCGAGTGTTGGAAATAAAATATTAGGGTCAATCTCATAGCCAAACATGTGGGTGAACAATCCAGCAGCGACGACGAGCACGGGAGTGAGATGATCAACCAAAACACTGGTTCCGAGTGAGACGGCTTGGAAGACGCGGTATTTCCTCGACGCTCGTGTCTCGTCGACTCGAAGCCGTTGAATGTATTGAGCCATTTTAGGGCCAAGCCCAAGGCTCTTGATGGCTGGAAGCTGTGAGAGTACATGCGACGTCTTTGCCACTCGCTTCTGGATCTCGCCATTCCACAAGGCCACGGCTGATGACGTTTGTCGGCCAATCATATGACCCAGTATCGGCGCTAGAATTAGCGGGATAAAGACTATAAAGCACGAGAGCTTGATAAAGCGAGAGAGGAAGAAGATGCCGAGGCTCGATTCCACGATGGAGAATGGAATCTCAACACAGGCAGGGATACCTTCGGCGATGCTCTCATAATCGGCACTCATCATGGTGATGGCAGCCTGCTTCTTTGCCTCGGAGACCTTGAGTCTATATGACTTGTCAAATAGCTGAGCAATCAATCCGCCCCGGACTCGAGCAATGAATCGATTCTTGAGATGGGTGGAAATGGCTCTACATAGAGCAGCTCCGCCGAATGCCGTCAGTGTCGCTCCGATGAGGCCTCCCATCTCATCACTATAGGGCTGTCCGATATGGGTAATGACGGCACGCATGACAAAGGGCTGCGAGTACACAAAGCCGGTGAGGCAGAGTCGAGGGATGAGGATAATGAGAAGGGCCCATTTCCAGGTCTTGCAGCAGGCGATGAATAGCGAATTCGCAGACGTCCGTAGCGAGGCCGGCCAGTGGTCGGACAGAGTGAGAAGAAGACCCCTGGCAGCAAACTCGATGCCAAGGTCGCTCAGATCGTCTAAGACGAGAATGCCATTGTATCCAGAGCGCAGCATTGGGAGGAGAAAGACGAACAAAGATCGACTGAAGAATCCGCTTGTCGCCTCGCCATTCGATATGGTGCGAAGTTCGGGATCGATAATCAGCTTCGTCTTGGGCACTTCCTCGAGGACAAGCAGGACAAGTCTCATGGCGGCGGTAGCAGCCGCGACAGCACCGGAAGCCGTCAGATGCCGCAGAAAGTACGAGCGGCTTTTGGTCCCATCGATCAGGGTTCCAATGGCAAGATAGAGGCCAAAGACGGCCGAGGACCGGATTGCATGGCCATGTTGGATGTACACGACAGTCACGACCGCGAGTGCAGCGACAAAGTCGAGAGACGCAGCCGGGTATGTGGTCTCGATACGGATGTCGGAAAGCCGACGCAGGATCAAGTTGACAAGCTCCAGGGCAAATAGAACAAACGCAGCGCACTGTAAATAGGATGAATGGTTTCTTAGCGGGCTGGTTGTCAGGGCAAAAAGGGCAGGAAGGCCTCACCATCTTTGTCCAGAGCAGCTGGCTCCGACGAATACGAATACGAGTATCACTCTGACAGTAGTGCCATAAGCTCACAGAGGCAAAGAGGATGAAGGAGCTCGAGGGCAGGATTTGGAGGATGGTCTCTTCGAACTTTAGGCTGAAATCGAACACGGGGAGGCCCGTCGACCAGAACAAGTGATCGGCGTGCCAGAACATGGCTGTTAGTGGGCGAAGTCCGCGGCAGCTGTGACAAGGTATTGAAGCAGGGTGGAAGAAGAAACGATACAACTGTGTCGAAAGGGAAGCATTTTCATGCGGGGAGAGGGGACGGGATGGCTTTTGAACTGCGGTGAAGGAAGGGTTCTCGCCAGATTCCGGGGACCAGCTAGGTTTCGTGGTCGGCTCTCCATGGCCTGTTTCTAGCATGTATTTATTACTCAAGAACACACTGGACCGTATGCAATGTAACGCACATGATGTTTTTATTATCTGAAATCAATTGTACCGGTTTCCCAGTCAAGTGCTACGCTCATCTACTATATATGCACGCGAGCTAGCAAGACTTGAAGATGCTTACGATCTGACAATAATGACCAATCTCTGCACGTGATAATTCCCTAGAAGTAGACTCTACGGGTAATGGCATGAAGTTATTTGTTACGTTTCTTTTTTTCTTTTTTGTTAAGAAAAGACAATGGTGGAAAACATGGTTGATTGGCAAACGACATGCTTAGGCTGCACTCTTCGAACCTTCCTTGGCGTCTAGGTCACCGCCCTTCAAGGCTAGAAGACGGTTAACTTTACAATCCTTGTCAATAGACTATCATCAGACATACTAGGCACTGCCAAAGCTGAAGAGAATAAGGCAACAACGGCCAGGAGCAAGATGCTAGGACGAGGCATCGTATTTGCGCTGCACAGAAAAGCAGTCGTTGGTGGTAGGTAGATGGTTCTGTGTGATGAGAGGGAGAAGATTCAAGAGGGAACCAGCCACAAGACGCGGAACGGGCATTTATATTATACAAGCAGCCAGATAACTAAGTCATGAGTTTATTGCAGCTGCTCACGCCAAATGGATGCATGCATGCATATTAACCGCCACTCCACCTGCGGGATGGGGATGGCCACGTCCGAGAGGATTCTAGGAGGATTCCGGGAGGTCTCATGGCCAATTTAACTAGCATATTTAAATCTAGTAAAGGCCACAAAAGTCCCAATCCCATGAAGAGGGACGAACGAGATGAACAGGCCGCTTCCAACTCGACAGCGAGTCTCGAATGCGGCGCAGTGCAGTTCTCATTGGCAGGACACTGAGTTGGAAGTTGTTGGTAGCTTTGCTTGTGGATCACGTCAATCTACATGCAGCCTTGCATGATTCAATAGTTTCAGAGCCACCGGTCCGAGGGATATTTCGGGCAGCGGACCGTACCCATGCCCATATGATACTGCAGTGTTCCATCTATATGCATTGTACTAGAGGGAGACGAGATGGCCAGATGAGGGGTTGGCCAATCCCCAGACCCCAATGACGTCTCTGTTGGTAGTTGCCATCGTCCGTCGTCTCATAACCGAATAAACTTATTCTCTCGACCAAGCGCTAGGATACAAATCTTAGTAGCCTCCAGTTCCGCCTGTTCATATCAACCACCAGTGGTCGGGCAATGCTACGTGAGGGCAATAGTACCGGGGGAAGGGGCAATATACAAAATGCGCACCGTTTTTCAAGTATTCGACCGATAGTACACGGATACTTATTACGGAATGCACCCTTCGGAGACAAAAGTTCTACTATGCGGGGGCCGGCGGATGCAGACTCGCATCACACACAGCACGGGAGCACTGTCTTGAGGTGGCCGAGTGCGACGGCCGACTGACTTGGCAAGCCTCAGCCTATGTAGGCTTGGGTTGTGTTTCATGGGCCTCCTCTCCCTCTTTGCCACTTTCCCCTCATTCATCCTCGTGTAGTAGCTGGCGACATATTGACAAGGTACTGTCGCCGTTGGCCCGTGATTCTTGCTTGATTTGGAGACTGCAGCTTGCCGCCCAACGGACGCCACCTATCACCTCTCCCGCCCATTAGCTAAACAGAAATGATAGAACCCTTGCGCTAGAACAAATTAACACATTTAGTATATGGTGAGGTTGCGAGTTAGTGAATGCGTCCAGTCTGGTCCGGTGCTACCCTGACGGAGGTTGGAAGAGAGGCGAGTCGTAGACATCGTGGTTGGGCCCTGAATATTGGTCATTGCGAAAATCTTGTCGTATCTCACGGTCTGAGCATTGCTCAGGTCTGGATCTCAGCATGACGAGCTGGGCAGTCAACTCCAGCTTGACCTTTCGGCATGGTAGATGTCGGTCCTCCACGTGTCTCACGCAACATCAATCGCCAAATTAACCTGCTTCTAGTGGAGAGAAAAGAGCTGAATAGGAATTTTTCCTCTCGCCGCGCCAATAGCTTTGTCGAGCGAAGCAACCGTGGAGGGTCATACCATGTTCCTGGTGTCTCCCTCAGCATTAATTTCGAGCGCTTCGTGTACCTTCACTTCTCTCATGGCTACAATCTTTGGCATCAAGATCGCCTTGGCCATCCCGAGCTTGTGATTATGGAAATAGTCAACGATATGACGGATCGCGAGGGCTGGCACGTTCATATCAATGATTTCTCAACTTGCCGTACCTGGAGAGAGCAAGCCTTTTCAGGCCACTCCTCCAAGAGTGATAGTCTTTGGGAATGGTGCGTATTTGAGCTTCGAAAAAAGGCAGTCGAGTTTGCCAGCAGTCGCTCAGTGTTTGTCTTAGACTCGGCGTCTCGCATCCGCAAGTCTGATCGCTTGGTGGGCAGCGACTTATTCAAGACTCTCCGGCACGATACTCGGTCGCTTCATCTTTCACCTTGGATGTTTCCACTAGTTTTTGAAGTCTCGCCTATACGAATCGATGGCCGAGCCATCACCCGGGATAACTTCTTGGATTACATGACGGTCGGCGCCATCTGCCCTCGCTCAAACTGGGGGCCCGATCGGTTGAGCAACGGCGATCCTTCGTACTACTCCGGGAGATCACAGTGGTTAGCGACCGACGTCAAATTCTCAAACAAAGACAACAGTGTCTTTCTGATTTCCCCGATCAACAATCTGCACGCGGCCCGGCACAAACCCCTTTACGCAGCACTGGAATATTTGATATCCGACTTGATCGACGACTGGAACGGCGTGTTGCTCTACAAGGCGCTGGCACGAGGCGTCTCGCGCGTGAAACCGCAGCTTTATAGATGTAGTGCCTGCTCCGAGGGCGCTCCAGGCATGTGCTCGTGCCCAGTCAACTTTCGCGAGTCGTTGGCGTGGGCAAATGATCGGCAGAACAACGTGGCGTCGGATACGTGGCACGAAAGCCGGTGGAATCCTATCCTAGCCCTTGATGGGCGCTTCGCCAGCTCGAGAAGAATATACGACGAGATCTCCCTGCGTGACGGCTTCAAGGAACGCGGACTTCAGATCTATGTGGAAATTGTATCCATTGAGCTTGACGCAGATGGCTCCATTTCCGCAGACAGCGTACAGTGAGTTTGCAGAAAAAGAGGATACCTGGTGACGCATGTTCTGACACAGAATTTTAGCCACCTGTGCTGGGATCTGAATGGTAATCGGAATGAGAGAATAGTCGCGACATCGCTCATATCTTTGCGTCGAAAGAATCTTGAACCCGTCTCTGGTGGCATCTCATTTCGCACAGAGACAAAACGTAACGTGTGGCAGGACAGGCCAAATTGCGAGCATTCGACTGCGAACATGCGAAATGACCCCTCGCCTACATCACCCAGCCATTCTCCGCTATCAGATCCCACTGAGTCTGAACATGGCGAACGGATACCATCCTTTCAAGAGCTAGGGACGATCAAGCTGCCAGAAGGCCGGGTGGTGACTTATCCCAATACCCTTCAACACAGATTCGAAGTGCCAAAGTTGAAGGAGACATCGACGCCGGGAAGCATTCAGTTCATGCAGATTCACCTAGTAGACCCCCACTATGTCGTCTGCTCAACCCGCTTCGTGCCGCCGCAAAGCTTGGACTGCTGGAAGGAAGCGGTTGACTACCAAGGCCTCTGCCTCAAAGCCCGAATTCCTTACGAGATATCCGCGATGATCCTCGATTTTCTGTTAGTGCCTGAGATATTACGGAACAGGAAAAGGGCAAAGGTTCGTGGCCCGCAAAGTTACTGGCAGACCTGGCCAGTCTCTTTTGACGATGACGACTGCGATGACAGCAAAGACGGCCGAGACAGCAAGCAGCCTCGGTTGTATCAGGCGTCTCAACCGCCAATCAGGTACGAGTCCGCGTTGCGCCGAAAAAAAGAGGCCTTGCAGAGACATCAGAGAGTGATGAGGGCTGTGAACGGACCCAGGGCGTATAGCCGGCCTCGCGCAATCACCGTGTGGGCGCAAAGCATGCTCAGAGACCTAGACCCAATTGATGGCGGGGATGCGCGCGAACGCGTTTCGACGCTTGCTGGCGAGACGGAGAGTGACGCTGGGGATTCAGAAGAGGATGACATCGCAGACTTTGAATCTCCCATGACCATTGCCGAATCGTCGGGCAGCGAGGGAAGCGCGGATGAAGAGGGTGAGCCCACCGGTAGGACTGGCGTAGGTGGAAGCGCCCTGAACAGGATTCGTTACGGTCCAGAAAACGGCACTGGTCAAGGGACCGTTGGTAGTAGCGTGGACGGGATTGGGGTCGGGGACGGAAATGGATCTCAAGAAGTCCATGATGCAGCTGGTGCGGCGGCGGTACTGCAAGCCGAAAACGCCGGCGAGGAGTCGGAGGAGGGCGAGGACTATGTAGACGCGGTGTATTGCTTCACCACGGCAGGGGCCTTGGAAGCCGAAGTGGTGGAACACCCTTGGCAAGGGGAGTCTGAACAGGAGTTGGAGTCACTGTACGACGATGCCATGTCGCGGGCGGACGAGATGGAACCAGATCGGGTTACGCAGTAGCTTGCAGTCTAGGCGTTTTTCAGATTTGTGTCTCCTGTCCGTCTGTGTCCCGAATGCAATGGTTTCAAGTTACGATGATGGCGTATTGATGCGTGATGAAAATGTGTTTGTCGCGTGGGAAAGACTGCTTGTATGTGCCGTCTCGTGCGTATTGCCACGTGATGGACGGCCAATAGGTAGCCTCAGGCTTCCACTTCCTGCCACCAGGCGTACCCGTCTGGCGATGACGAGGCGCACATTTCGCGTCTACGCGCGTCACTTTGAGAGCGACGAAGGATGCGCTGGCTCAATAACCCGTAAGAATCTAGCAGACTTACTAGTTAACTAAGAACAAGGGAGGCACAAGGGCGCACCGAAAATAGCAGCACTGATCGCCCACGCCAAGTTAGCGCCGACGCCAGCTGGGCTCAAAGAGCCTTGTGACGGACGCCCACCGTGGCCTGACCCTGGCTGTGTTGGATTGCAGATTATTATTGGGCCGTCTTGTATTGGGTCCTGGCCTTGTGCTTGGGCTTGGGGCTATGTATGTACAAAGTAAGTTCATTGGTGGCGCAGCGGTGATGTTTGCATAACTGTTGTTCCGAGTCCGAAGCCTACCCTACAGAGCAGAATTTTTGATCACAGCCACATTATCACAGGTACAACGCACATAACTAGAGGACCCGGAACAGCTCGCTCCGAGTAAAGCGATTTAGGCTGGGCCATCGGTATCACCTTGGCAGGGAGCTGACGAACCTGGGCTCCGTTTATATCTCCGTGTGGCGATGGATATCCGTATTGTTGGGCTGACGTTTCGGATGGAGAGGCTCCCGGAGGTCGCGCTCGCTTCAATGGCCCAACGTGGGCAGGGATCAGGGAACAGCAAGGCTCGCACGGCACCGGTCGGAGAACTGGCGGCTTTGTTGTTTTAAAGAAACCGCCCTCCACTGATCTGCATCTGTTGCCATTATGCAACTTCACAAAGTCCCTTGACCGCCTTTGTTCTAGTAGTTGTTGGGCGAAACTTTGATAGCGTCATCTTCTATTGCAGATGAACATACAGATCCGCATCGAACCAGCATAGCCGCCAAAGCATAGCTGAGCATACCTATTTGACATTGTTATTTCCGTCTTTACACCGACCGAAACAACAGTTCAAATCCGGGCGGGTGAGGCTCCGACAAGCCTCAGTCGAACCTTGATTCTAGAAACCATTTCACACACACACACGCCACAAATGCCAAAACAGTCAACCTTCACGACAGTCACCCCCTTGCCGGCGGGCATGACGCGCCAGGCCGCCATCGACTTCCTGCAGGACCATGAGGCCATGATCGACCTCAACCCGCTCGTCACCGACCGGCGGCGCCTACCCTCTGCGCCGCCCTCCGCGCCCGCCGACGAGCACCGCTGCGCGTGGTATGAGGTGACTGACCGCATCGCCTACCTACCCGGTGGTCTCGCCAGCGGCTCCGTCCGCTACCGCTGCGCCTTCCTCGACCTCGCCGGCATCGGCCTGCAGACGCACTGCTACGCGCCCATGGGCGTCGACCTGCGCACGCGCTGGTCCGTCGGCGGCAGCGAGCCGGGGGAGCCCCGCGAGCCTCGGGAGCTCGGCCTCCACGGCGACGGTGACGGCGCGCGGCTGTTGCCGCCGGACGGGCTGTACCTGCGCGAGGACACGGAGCTGAGGTGCGGCGTGGTGATGACGGCGTTTGTGAAGAGGACGCTGAGATGCTCGCACAGGAAGCTCGCGGAGCGCCTGGCCCAGCGCGCGTCAGAGCGGGCTCGGTCAAGGGGGCGTGGGGAGGAGCAGGACGAGAAGAAGCAGGACGAGGAGAGGCAGAGGCGCGATGATGTTGGGGAGCACGGGGGAGGACGGCGCGGGGTGGGCAGCTACTATGTGCAGAGAGAGCTCGAGGCGAGACGTCGCGCGGCGGCCGCAGCGGCGACCGTGGGATACCCCAGGAATGTAGTCAATGGCCCTGGAAGTCAGAGGATTGACCAGGGATGCGTGTCAGAGGAAAAGCAGCTGTACGCTGGCGGGACGAGCAACTACTGCGGCCAGCAACATCGTCACCAAACACAGCGGCAGTATCATGAAGCTGGCGCAAGACATGACGCATCCGAGCTGCCGTAATGAATTCCCGAGAAGGCGCCTTTTTTTTCCCTTTTGATCTTGTATTTGGTGACTGTTCATAGAGGTTTTGCGACGGAGCAATTAGCGTGGTAATAGGTGTCATTGTGTCTCATTCGGGTCTAGGCGCAACAACACAAACAGGTAGAAGGATAACAATACGAATTATTTTGAAGAGGTTGTCCCCGTAATACTTCAAAAGACGAGACGTCAACAAGGGAAATTTCCAAAGCCCAGCCGATAACAAGCTGCCTTGTTGCCCCGGCGCAAGAACACCGGTCCATTGTTCATGCACAGGAGCGAGGGACAAAAGGGCTAGAAGAAACCGTGTCAAGGTATCATTAAAATGTATATATGTTACATTAATGGAAACATTGTCCAATGGTGAATGAAAGTACCGCGCATATCCATGATCCCTCAACGCCAAAACTCCCTTTACTTGCCTACCTGGAGTCGTAAGAGAAACAAGAAGCCAGCTTATAGAGCGACGGCAGCAGCGGCGATGGCGCCGGCAAGGGCCATGGCGTAAGCAGCCGTGTTCTGGCCAGCACCGGCGACCACGGCAGGCGCGCCGGGGGAGCCGGGAGAGCCGGGGGAGCCGGGTGAGCCGGGTGAGCCGGGAGCGACCGTCGGGGCAGCGGGCTTGTTGGCCGGGGCGGTCGTCTGCTGGGCCGGGTTGGTGGTCTTCTGGGCCGGGTTGGTAGGGACCTGCAGAAGGGGGGTTAGCATACAAGATGAAGCCTCTTGACAGGGGCCCGGGGCGGGAACGTACGGCCTTGGTGACGGTGCAGGGGCAGTCGGTGATGGTGAAGGTGCAGGCCTCGGTGACAGTGTAGGTGCGGTTGTTCATGGTGATGTGCGTGGGCTCCGGGCAGTAGGTAGTCCAGATGTCGACGACCTCGGTGACGGTGCCGTTGTGCTTGTAGCCGGCCTGGACGGCGGTGGCCGCGGCAAGAGCGAGGGCGATGACCTTGGTGAACATTTTGTGTGTGTGTGTGTGTGTGTGTGTGAGGGTGAAAGCGTTTGTTGCGTATTGAGAAAAAGCTTTTGGTATGAGCGAGGGACTGGAGTGAGATGGTGACGGAGAAGGAAGAAAGTTGAGCAGACGGAGAGGAACGCTTTATATCTCGAGTTGGGGGGAGAGGGTTCTTTGTATCGTCAGGCTCTTTTCCCTAATTGGGACGCAGCACACAAACAAAAAGGATAGGGAAATGAATAACAACAAACGCCTGCGTTCCCAGGAGGGCTGAAGAGAGCCTCAACGGGGCAGAGCAGAGTGGCAAGCCCGGCATCTTGCCGCCGATCCCACGCCCGGCCGGGAGTTTTAGGTGGGGCTTTCTGCATTCCCAAGACCCCGGATCACAACAAACAACAACAAAGACAGATCAAAGAAAAATAGGGACTGGTCATAGTCACCGGTGTTGGGCAGGCCGGCCGACCGGGGGGCGCTTCGATCCTGAAATGGACCGTACCCACCTGAAGTCTCTTTGTCATTGAGCTATTGCTTCCCACCTGACAGATTTGGCTGGTAAAGCACAGCGCCCGGGCGCTCACCGGCACACAAAGGCCACGAGCTCCGGAATGCTGCCCGGGGATGGCCCCGCTTATCCCGGCGGGCCTGCATTCCGGTCGCAGATTGCCACTCGTGCCAGTTCAGTCAAGCCCTTTCTTGTTCCTGGCTGACCATTCTTTGTTTTTTTGCTGGTCGTGTTCTAACCTCTGTCTCTTAATATGCGGCGCTTCTCTAATTTCCTCATTTCTTCGTACTGCATGTTGCTACCTTGCCGACAAGGCCATTGATAGCTGTCTTACACCCACAAGATCCCTAAGGTGTTTTTTTCCCCTGCCTGTTCTTGAAACGTTGCAGTGACGCCGGGATGGGGTCATTAGGTATTTCATTCTTCTGGCGATAGCAAGATAGGGTCAGCGAAACTGAGAGAAGGGAGGGTTTCGGCGACTTCTACATACATGCAGATATCCATCTCTCCGTCGGTATTGTCTCTGCATCGGTGTTATAATGCACGCCTCTACACAATTACTTCTTCTCCTATTTTTGGAGACAGCTGTTTCTCCGTCTGTGTTTTGTTCTATCTCCATTTTTCCCTCCCCGTAGATCCCTCGTTCCTTGTTTCGGTTTCCTCTTGGCTGCCCTGAAACTCTGTCGCAGGCGCTGGCTAGACGACGACATACAACCAGCCTGTATTGCGTCACAACAATCTGTAGCAAGTCATCTTCATACCAGAATATGGCATTCACCAGCATCCCGCAGAGCAACCGGTAATATCAGGAAAAATGTTTTTTCTTGTAATCTGCAACAAGACACTCGTAGCCATATTTCTTTCCCCTCGTGTCCCTCGCCAATGTTTCCCTCCCTTCTTTCAGCTGATGCTTTCCTTTCTATGTTTAACAAATATAATAAACCAACGAAACTCTTCAATCGAGAAGATCAACAAGAAAGGTCACCGACTTCCTTACTGTAGCACATTTCATCGCAGCAACAACGCACAATGCACAAGAGAAATCGTCTGATGTGATATCGTCGCGTCCAGTTCGACAAGCCGTCATGCTATTCTATAATGAATTCCATAATTCCTTTCATTCACTGGTGGCTGCCGGGTAGGTTCCCAATGCACCATTCCCAATATCTAGGTACAATCGAGTCATACCCGTCGTGTGAATCCATGGCCGCATACCAATCAATCACCAGTGGCTGTGTGGAGCCCAAGTTCCTTCACCTGCGCATAAAAAGCCGCGACAAACCGTCGAAACAGCATGCAAGCTTTTCTTAAAAAAAAAAAGCCCCCAAATGGAATAAAGCGTAGGAAATGCAAAAAACACCGGTAAATGCAACACAAAATCGTGTGGTGGAATCTAGTCTTGGTATCAAATGATGCCGCCCAGTTGCAACAAAACAGAAGGAAAGAGGGAAAAAAAAAGTCGCGCCGTGTAAACAATCGAATCGAAGACGTGACCAATATGGACAAGTAGTGGCGTGCTTCGTCGTGAAGAAAAAGGAAAGGGGGCAATGGATTAATGTGTGGGCGAATTACTTCCGGTTCGATCGACTCTGGCTCCGCTCGGGCGCTCGGCCAAGGTCGGCGTCGAAGTTTCGTAATTGCTGCTCGTACTTGGCGTTGCGTAGAAACTTGGGCACCGAGTCGCTGGCCATGAGTTTGAAGACGGCATTCTGGGCGTCCTCAAATAGTGTCGTCACCTCCTCCAATGTCTCAATCATCGCAATGTCTTGGCCAACAGCCTTGGTCATGCGTGTAGCTAGGTTGTTGCGAAGCTGATGGTCAATGTTGAGCTCACAGGGAGATCCTGGCGCCAGAAAAGCATTGTAGATACCGTAAGCCTGGGCCATGATCTCTTTGATACCATCCATCGAGCTTGCATTGGGCGACTTTTTGGCTTGGCGGATGCCGGCCTTGCAGACGTGCACAAATTCATCCACGTCCTTGTAAAATGACAAGTTCTCCTCGCAATGGGTGTCGGACAGATTCTCGCGGAACAGCAGCCGCAGGGCAGGGTCGTTGAGAATCTTGTCCAGGCGCTGCGTGTTAGAGTCTCTGGTGATGCCGTTGCGCTGCGAGCCAGTGCCAGCCTCGCTCTCGGAAGCACGGCCCCTGGAGCCGCCGCCGGAGAGAATGTCCTTGCCACGCTGTGTTACCTGATAAATGGCGTGCTTTGTAGGTTGGAACAGATTGTGGCTGGGGATCTGAGAGAGGTAGGCACGGTCCTGGGTGAGGGCTTCAATGAGATCGTATTCAACAAACAAGCTGGCAATCTCAATGGTCTCGCGTCGGTCGACTATGGTGGAACAATCCATGAGCCAGTCAGTGGCAGCGCGCCCTGTAAATGTGTTGTGGTAGGTCTTGCCGTTGACCTTGCGCTCGGCTGCCATCTTGACACCGGTGAGACCATCTTGGTAGTCATGCAAGGAATCCGAGTCCGCAGCTGCGACGCTCGATTTGACGTTGCGGCCCTCGGAACCCATGAATCTGCGGAAGATGACCTCGATGGTGCCCCAGTCACTAATGAGTTTGTCACTTTGCAGGTCCCGCTCGAGAATGACCAATTGAAGATTGCTAGTGTTCATCAGCTCGCCAACCTGTTTCTGCTGAATGCCGTTTCTGTTGCAGAAGCGGTTGAGAATGGCGACGCCCTTGGGCGTCAACTGCCATACACCACCCTTCATAGTGTAGACCTGCTGGAGTTTACCGTCAGCGGACTCGATGAAGCGAGCCTCAACGAATCGTTGACAGATAGAGCGGGCCATGTCCTTTGCCATGGAGAATGTGGTGGTGGTTGTGGTGGTGACAATCCTCGACGGGTCCTTGGGATCGGGCATGCGGTTAGACTGGGAGAACTTCAGAGAGCCGAGGTTGTTGATGGCATCCTCAGAAAGGAAGGTATAGTCAACCTTGGTGAGCCGTACTCGGTGAGGCGAGAGAGGCAGCAGGCTGACGACCAAGGTTGAGAAGAGATCCTTGAAATCCTGCGACAAATGATTAGTATTGAAAAGGAAGGGACGGGGAGAGCTTGTGTAAAGTCAATTGGGGCAGCGAGGAACTTGTAGCTTTGGCGTTTGCCATAGCCAAAACCTTGGCACGCAGGATCAAGAGCTTATTTGGATAGAGGAATCTGCATCGCACACAAGGACGGTGATGACATGGGAGGACTTTTACATACCCTCGTATAAGGCCGATCATCATCGGTCATGCGCAGCAAGCGTGAAGAAGTTTGGTGCATCTTGGGCTCGTGGCGAGGTTGTCTGGTGGGGAGGGGTAGAGAGGCGTCGGTATCGACGTAGGCCTGGGAGGGCGGGTTGCGGGCAGCCACGGTGTACTCGCCGGAGGAGAGGGAGTCGGTAGAGGGGCTCTTGGAGGGCGACGAGGCAGAAGCCCTGGTGACGGGAGCGAGGGATTCACCGTGAGTGAACCTGGCGAGGCCCGGATTAGACTGGCGGGGGCGGAGGACAGGCTCAGAGAGGCTGGCAAAAGCGCTCTGGGTGCGGTCCTTTGCGCGGGAGAGGATGCTGCTGGTGCCGCCGGAGGAGCGCTGGGGTACAATTCGAGGCAGAGAACCCGTAGACGCGGACGAAGTGTGGTGGGAGCGGCGAGAGGATTGGCCAAGTCGGAGGAGCTGGTCGGTGGGACGGTGGTCGACGGAGGACCGTGGGGTGGTTGCCGACGAGCGATTGCGGTGGTGATTTTGGTGACGCGAGGCGGGCGAGACGGTATTCGCTGCGGAAGGCTTGTGGGATATTATCGAGTCGGTAAATTTGTGGTTGGACAAAGCTGCCATCTGACGAGGAAGAGGGAGAAGCGTAAGCAAAACGGTTCACGACCAGAGGTGGCGGTTGTTCCCTTCTGATGCAAAGTGAGGGAGAGTACGGTGGGTGGAGAGATGGGCTGAGCGGCGATGGAAGGAATGGCCAAGATGGAAAGAACAAAGGAAGAAGAAAGCATTAAATGAAAAGGGAAGAAAACTAGTGGCCCAGGTTTCTCTTTGGAGAAAAGCCGGACAGAGGTAGCAGGTCGGCGGGAGAATAAAAAAGACGAATGAGACGGTAGTGCAAGTTGGAGCGTGGGTGGATTGAAGAAAGAGGGGGGGAGTGTACGAGATAGGCTTGGGCGGGTGTATGTCTATAATTGAGGGGGGGGGTGTCTGTGATGTGAGGGTGAGTCCAAGCAAACGGGGGATCAGAGAGAGGAGAGGCTGACAGTCGAGCCAAAGGCACAAAAAGTAGAGGGTACATGTGGGCTCTCCCTTGACTTTTTTTATTCCCTTTTGACAGTTTATTTTGCCCGCGCTGAAATGCTGGAATAGAACTGGCCTACCTGGTAAGCCCACTCTGACCTGCGGCAAGGCTCCAAGTGCTTTCCAGAGCGCGGCCAAAGGTACGAGGTACGAGGTACAACGAGACCTCTTTTGCTCTCATGCCCAGTATGGAAGAAACAAGTGGAGAGAGGAGAAGTAAAAGATGGCGGGTGGGGGCTTCCAACTTTCCAACTTGTACCGATGACAAGGGGAGGAGGGGCGTGTCTCTGTCGGCCTGAGACTGGAAATGGGAAACTGGCTTAGATGCATAGGATGAATATGCAGCCAACGGGGCGCCAGCAGACCATGCGTCAAGTCCCAAAAGCCACGAGGCAAACGCAAACGCGCACCGCACTGAGTGGGAAGCACCAGGCAGCCCACATGCCCCCCATCCCCGCCAAAGCAAGGCCCCCTGACTCGAGACTTGGGCAGGGGACCTGGGACGTGCGCGGGCGCTGGGCAATTAAACAGAAGAAATAGACCAAGTGGAAGCAACCGATGATGGGAAATGGCAAAGCGGTCTTGCCTGGGTTCCTGAAAGCCCGTGCGGTGAGTGGATGATGCCGAAGTGAAATGGACAATGTGGTGCAGTGTAGGCTGGGGGCCCAAGTAAACCAGTGCGGCCCGGTACGGGGCAGAACGGCCAGTGGCCAGCGGCCAGCGGCTCTGTACCTGGAATCGGCCGGGTTCGTCGCACACGACGGCCCCGTCAGCAGAACAGGGACAAGGACAAAAGCAGAAGCAGACAAGACGGGCATGCCGGGTATGAGCCGCCCCCGATTCATGCACCACAATCTGATCCGGCTTGACTCTTGCCGTCTTTTTTTCTTCTTGTTGCCTGTGTCGCGAATGACGAGTCGCTGCGTGGTGCCCGTTCCTGCTTTGGCTGCATGATCGGAGAGCCGACCGGCTGGGTTGTAGTGTGGCAGACTGGCTGTAGCTCTGCTTGTGGTGTGGCTCAACTGTGACCTGTAGGCGTGTGCCACAACTGCACTACTGTGCAGCCCAGGCAGAAAAACGTGCCAAACATGTGCGCAGCTGGCCACGCGAGCAGCCATCACAGCCACTAGTCACTAGCCACTTACCATCAGCCATCAGCCACTAGCTATGTAGATAACGGAGATGGCAAGATGGCCAGATTAGCAGCGGTCCCGTGCTGTCCACCACCACATCGCCATCCGACCAGCATGGACAACGATCAACACCTGACCAGATCTCAACGAGGAAAAGAGACAGAAAAAGAATGAAAAGAACTCGACCTAGACTTGGTCGAGAGCATTTCACACTTATTTTTCTTTTTCCTCTTTCTCGTCTCGTCCCCAAACGTCGACAACTGCTCTGTCCAATGGCCGTTTGCGGACAGTAAGCAACCCATGTCGCAGGTACGCATACATCCAGTTGGCATACATCCGGTTGGCATACATCAAGCGCATTGCACTGACTTGTTCCATATACTTGCCCCCCCCCCGGCCAGGCCTCAGACCTTAGCTTTACTGGTAGACTCCTCCAGACCAAACCTCAGACCGTCCGTCCGTAGTGTGGGCTGGATTGCAAAGAAGACTCCACAATAGCGATGTACGGTCAAGATCCTACTCCGTTGGCCGTCATGATACAATCTTTTGCGTTGCATGCCAATGCGACAACAGGAGAAATATACCGGTCATCGAGGCGCCTCCGACCTTGCCACCAGCGAAAATCAAAAAGTGTGGCGTGCTCGCCGCGAAAGGCAATATGAGACCTTTCTTCACCTGCCGCTGGGCCATCGCACAATAGGATGTCGATTTGCTGGCTTGGTCGATCGGCTTGTGGCTGGCGTAACGGATTACCCGCACTGCTCAGGCGGCCGGCGCCCACTGAGGTGAAACACACCCTCCTCACATCAGGCTCACGCACCGCTCGGTGTGACAGCCGCTCTCATCTCAACAATCCATGACTATAAGGGAAAGAAAGGGGAATAATAAGAGAAGCGACACTTGCCACTTCTGGCCATTCACCTCACGACCTTTGCAAGTTCCACCCGGCATCGGCCCAAACGCAGTGCCCTCCACCAGCTACAAGACTGGGTCGGCTTTGCGCTGAACGCTGAAACCACTGCACAGATCCCTCGCTGACCTTGGCCCCAGCTTGGCCCCAGCTTGGCCCCCGTCAACGACAAGGGAGCCATTCTAGAAGCATCAAGGAAGGAATCCATGGGGGGTAAAGAGGGAGGCGCAGAGGAAAAAAAGAGGAAAGAGGAAAAAAAAGCGAAAATAACCATCATGCATATCGGGGTTCGGCCCTGACAAAAAGAAAAAAAAGTATCAATATCAATATCCTTTTCACGCACCTTTTCCGTTATGCCTAGGGGCTGAGCCTCCTTTGTCCAAAGCAGACCTAATCTCCTTTGTCGGTGACGCCGTGGAATAGGGTACTTCTGCTGCTGCTCACTCGAAATCAAGCCTTCTTTTCAAGTCTCTTGGGTGTTGTGGTGCCGCACTGGTAGGTGAATGAGTATGCCTTCCTTGGTTGATTCTTGGCTCTGGCTCAACAGCGAAAAGGAGGCACAAACAGAAAACCGAGTGACCCAAATATTCCTGCTCATAGTCTCAATGTCAGCACTTCTTCACGTTCCTCACAGTGTCTAGCATTGATGACAAGCCCGGCGCAAGGAAGACGGCATCGCCGCTCACTTCTTGCTGCGTCGCATCTCACGAGAGTCAGACGCACACGCGACAACCCTGCAGGCTGCACTTGGCGCCTTCAGACGACTGGGGCAAATCGGAGGAGGGAGAAAGGAAAATTGGACAACACAAGGGTCCACGGTTCATGCTCACCGAGGTATTCAAGGTCCAACTTGCCAGGATTCAATGCGCTTCGCTTGTCTCGCCCCTGAATCACGGTCCGACTTTAACCAAAAGGAGTAAATGAAGAATAGACAAGGGCGAATAGTAATGACTCTGTGGTTGATATGAGTCGACTTGTTGTCTTTGAGAGCAAGGGTCCCAGCACAAGGATCGGATGTTGTCGCGCGCGCATGTACCAACCACGGGGCGGCAAAATAGGTCCTTCCGGAATGTGAGGCGTGGCTTCGGTCGGGCAAGTCCTCCGGAGAGCGCAGTTCTGCGCCCTGAGTACTGGGTAATTGCTTAAAGGCTCGGAGCAACAAGCCGAAAACGGTTGCCAGACTCGCCAATTAACACGCATATAGTGTCCAGGGTATTTATGGGAAATTGTGTGAGAGTCGTTTGGCTTGACTTGCGGACAGCCTTCGTCAGTTATGCCCTCGAATGACGACACTATTTAGGCGCGACTTGATTGAGATCGATTCGAAAACGGCACTTGGGGTGAAAGGAGTCCTCTTCTGCTTTGGACAGGTTGCTCGTGTCGCTGATACAGCCCCCTGCAAACACGGGATATGTTGTCTTAGACAGCGTTCGAGTATCGTTCGTTTTCCCTGCAACGCAAATAGGCGCACAATTTCGGAGCGAAAGAGAATCCGGGGCGTCTTTGTCTTCGCTGTTGGGGACCACAATAACAACAATAGCGATACCGATATCGTGGTGGCGGCGAGTTAGGCGGGAGATTAGACCTGTCAGGGGTGGAAGAGGTCGAGGAAAAGAAGCAAGCACAGGGCTGTCGGCATATTTAAACTACCGACGACTGGGAAATAAAAGGCCAAGAAAAGCGAGGTACACACGGGGAACATCTGTAATACACGAGTGGCTTGGAACATGCCCCTACCAACAAACTAGTCTGAGGTCGACGCGGGGAGTATCCAGACACGAGCAGCAAGGGGGGTGGCATTTTTCCTGTCTCCCCATCACATCACGCAATGGCTGTGCTGCCCATGCAAGCTCTTCTTTTAGTGCTGTCGAGACGGAGCTCTTGCTCGCTTACAAGGTCACTGTTAGGCCAAAGGAATCTGGGAGAGACCACGGTAGTTGGCGACGAGTGTTAGATTCATTCACGTGGCGTCGCACGCTTGCTGTCTGTGTGTCTGCACATGTTGCGCCTGCGACGCTTGCTGCAGGCGGATGAGACGGCGCACAATCAATGTACGAACTGAGTGACAAGCACATCATGGTTCGACACGGGCAGGAGGACGAGACATGATGCTTGGCAGAGAGCGGACGGATTCCCCGTTTCCACTCACATACTCGCATACATACGAGTGAAGACACGCACACGCACAAAGGAAAGCAAACAAGACTTGGCCTATAACACTTCTAGCCCCCTTCTAGGGAACTCCTTCTCACGCCATCTACACCACAACCCACACCTCCCTCCGCTCGAGTTAGCAGGCAGGGAAAAAGCAGGCCGCATTATTATCACCTTCCCAGCAAGTACATGAGTTGCCATGTGGGCGTGGAGTTCAGAATAAGCAGCTTGGACGTGTCGCGTGGACGGCGGAGACGGACGGCGCGGCCCCGAGTGCTTAGTGCAATGGGGCGCCATGTGTTTTGTTGCGCCTCCAACGGTGGAATTGGGCAGTTTCAGCGAGCGCA